CAAGCCCCTAAGCTGCAATCCAGCCTCATGGCGAGAAGTATCCTCTGGCCGAGCTGGCTTATTGCCTGGCCCCGGCTGGGTTGAGGCGCGCATCGCAAAGCTGGCAAAGCTCCCTCATGCATTCGGTGCTACAGCCATGGTGACAGTTGGTACTCTGCGAGGGTGCCTCGTGTACAGGGCCCTTCTGGGAAACAATAACAGAAAGTGAGAAAGCATTAGAACAAAAACGAATCTGAGGTAAGAAAGTTTGGCAGAAGGGAACGAGAAAGTTGGAGGATCAGGATAAGGGGTGCGAGCTCGGCAGAGGCGAAACGGGGCAAAATCGTGAAGGCTGTGATGCCAGGTTCATATTTACAGTCCCTACCCATCTCTGCTTGTCTGCAGTGCCTCAGATTTTGGCTGATTTCAAGACGGTAGGCACGCCATGATACACCCTAGACCAGCCTCCTGCACGGCCACATGGGCATGAGCCATCTCTGCGATGAGTGCCAGGACTTCAGCCTCATTCTTGTCCAAAGCTTGTCAGGCTCCACTATAGCAGATTCACATCAGGACTGTTCTGGTGGCACAGGCCAGGACCTTGCTAAAGCTCTGGAGCTCACCAGTTTCCTGGCATTACATCGCTGCACCAAGAACTCGCGCGGATCAAGTGAACACACGAGCAACTTTGCCTTGCCCCTCTCCTTGCGTGCTTGCAGCCACTCTTTTTTGGCATCAGCGAGGGTTGCATCATATCTGCAAGCCTGACAGGCACAAATTGATGCTGCTGCTATGCTACGCGTGGATGCCGACGCGGTAAACGAATCTAAGCGCCAGGCTGTGGCAAAATCTTCCACAGCCTCTGTGATGCGACCTTCGGCACGATGGCAGCCAGCTCGTGTGAAGAGCGCCTGGAACCATGGATACCGGTAGCTGTAGCTTGTTACCAAGCTTCATGAACAATGCTTAAACTGGCAATAACCTGGTGCAGCTGAATGTGCAATTCACCGCATGACAGCCGGGTGATGATGGTGGCGTAAGTTCTTGTTTGCTTGGCTGCAGGTTGTGCCTTCACACACTTCGGTTCCAGCTGCAAAGCTGTCGATGCCGACTGCACAGCGGCCTGATAACCTGGATGCGATGAAAAGGTTGCTGGTAAGGTAGTGGCAGCTGCCGTGTTGCGACTTCTCATCTTCCAATCGCAACCGTTGAGTTGCGAGCGTCCTTGCTTTTTTTGGCATACCGCCAGGTTCCTCAGCTCATCCGGCGGGAGTTCTTCTTTGGAACGCTTGCCATGAATCTCAAGCCTTTTCCACTGTGTATTGGCTTAAAACGGCAGCTGCTTCATTCAAAGTTTCAGTTTGTGTTGCCGACTCACTACAACGGCAAGGCTGCGAAGGGCACAGGTTTGATTAGAGATTGTTCTTCATGAAATGTAGCAATGACCCCTGTCAAACTTCATTCTCAAAGCTCGCCATGTTTCGTCAGCACTCGCAGGCGCTCGCTGCGCAGCGCGGGCCGCGACTGGATCCAAGTAAACACAGAAAGCTTCCAGCTACATCACTTCAGCGAGGCTATATATATATATATTCTTAGCGATATCTGTTCTGCTCGGAAGGGAAACGAATGACAGAGAGGAGGTTTCTTAGAGTGTGCGGCGGCTGCTCGCTGCCGAGGAGGCACAGGGACAAGGAGGAGCCTTCACTGAAGGATGACAGATTGGCGACAGCAGTGGCACAAAGCTTTTCTTGCTCACATACGGTGTTTGTTCAAATTGTCATCTGGAAAGACCAGTTGACAATAGGAAAGCAAAATGCCAAACAACATGGGCCAGTGCGAGCGACCCCTGTGCAAGGGGTCAACTCGGATATCGGCCTCTGCTTGGCTCAATTCCAGGGCCTAGGGGGTGCTAGGATGTCTAAAGCAAAAACAAACCTTCCTTCGGAAGGGCTAATTGCAGATGCGGCCAGCATGGCCCAAGCCTGCAAAACGTGAAGACTGCTTGCTCGACTCAACTGGCGGCAGCTTCTCGGAAGCTGTGCTGCCAGCATTCGAGAGTGATTGGTCGGCATGTAAGCTCGTCTGTGTCAAGCATGCCGAACAGAAGTATAGAGTAGTGTTCAAACATCGGATAACATGTGAATAGGAGTTCTTATTATCTGGCTTTGGTAGACGCGGACAAGATTGCCTGTCTTAAGATCAAACGATTTGGTCAGTATGCAAGTTGAAGCTCACCATGGCTCACCTTCCCTTTGCAAATCGTGGCTTCGATGCGGAGTATTTCGTCCCAAGGACACTGGCTTCGATGTGGAAGGATCGCCGCTGCTCGGTGTGGTAGTGGGAAACGGCCATGCTCGGTGCCGACTTGGTCCGTAGAAGCCTTTGACAAGAGTGAGACATTGGGGGGGGGGGGGGTCTCTCTAAATTCCGGTCCCCTTTACGATTCCTATTGCAATGCGGCGCCTATGTTCAGGGTACTCCAAAATAGGACAATCTAGAGAATCTAGAGAACAGCCCACATGAGAGACATGAGCGACAGAAAGAGAGAGAGAGAGAGAGAGAGAGAAGAAAGAGAGAAGAGAGAGAGGGAGAGAGAGAGAGAGAGAGAGCGAAAAAGAGAACGAGCGAGAGAGAGCGAGAGAGAAGGGATGGAGAGGGAAAGGAGAGGCTTGGGAGATGGGATGCTGCATAACAAGTTGTACGCGCATCTCGAAATGCTGAAACAATCGTTTTCAGAAATAATGCCTTTGCTTTTGCCTTTCACCATGAACAAGGGACAGATAGATTGCGAGAAGGGAGATGCAAGGAGAAGAGTGTTAGGAATTGAGTTGGCCGTTTAGTGCAGGCTCGCATATTCTATTGCACTCAAAGACCTTTGCTACCATTAAAACTCTTGTAAAAACCCTTGCCCTGGCACGACTTGCTTTCTGCCCAGCGGGATCTGCAGCTGCCACTGTCGGATTGGTGCATAGAAACGTCGAAAGGTCTTGGCAATTCCCAGAGTACCTTGCCCTTCTTAAGTGAAGGTGACAAGAGGTATGGGCGCCCTCCCATATCGCGAACCTTAGAAGTACGCACGGCTCCGCTGGAGTCTTGCTATGTCTTGCTGTCATGCCTTCCTAGGGTGGGGCTGCAAGGAGTGATGTGCTGGACTAAGTCTCCATGCATGACTCTCACCCCACAACATGCAGCAACGCAGGACAGAGACACAACTCTCAACTCTCAATCCGGCTACTGCGAGCGAGGTGCCCAGGGGCTGGCAGAGTTGATTCTCCCGGACTTGGTTTCTTCCAGTCTCTGTTGATTCCAGCGCCAGAGCCACACCTGCTCCTTCTCCGCCAGCTCCGAGTCTGCTGGACTTATCATGGCATGGGAGGAAGCTTTCTCAGATCACCCTTCAAAGCTAGGCATGCTAAGGCTGGCAATGCTCCTTTCCTTCTGGTGTTCCGAAGATCACAGGCAAACAAACCTGCTGCTAAATACTTGCAACACTGCAACACCGCAGTATATTCTGCTCAGTCGTCCTGAGCCAGCTCGTGTGCCCAGCAACTGAAAATGCAACCACTGACGCAGAGTAGTCCCCATGCTGTCTTTGTTGTTACCCTGCAATTTTCCACCACATTCTGCAGGCATTCGATTCTGGAGGTGTTCCGGCAGGCTACTAGAGAGTGCTTGTTTCTGTAACCGGGCGGCCTCGATCTTGCTGAGCAGCTGCTCATAGCGCGTCTCCGCTTCTTGCAGCTTGCCTGCCTGGGCGTCTCTTGCGAAGCTTCTGTGCATCCTGAAGTGCATCTGCACCTTCGACAGCTTTTAAGCAATTTAAGCAGCAAGGCCGATCCTGGAACAAACTTTTCGCGTCTTCGCACTCGTTCATGACATCGTCTAAGGCGCTCTTCAATGCCTGCGATTGTAGCTGCAGCGAACGAATGCCAAAGAGTCTCTAGGTCCCTGGATCCTGACACGGTCCTGGTTCGCACCAGGTCTTAATGAAGAGAGCCATCCAGCCAGTTGATGAAAGCCTGGAGTGCACGGCTTGAAGGATCTCGCATCGACTCTTCTACTCCGTAGGCTTGCTTTCTGTGGTAGTTATGCCTTGCAGCATGCTTAAAGACTAAACTCTGCCAAATTTTTCGAATGCAGAACCAAGCTGCTCAACACCAACCTGGCATCTGCACATGGACGCAGCATGCACAAGACAAGTTAACTTTGCCGAAATTTCATCATACACGTTGCGACATGTAGAAGGTCGTTCCCTCTTCAGCCAGATAGCATCTGTCTGGAGCTTTGCCAGTCCGTGGTTTTGAGGAACCTTGTCTTCATCGAAACAGTACGTAGTCGGAACGACTCTTTGCAGATGCACATTGCCCAGAGTGCGAAGATATCAATCGTCCAGGACACTGCACACGCCGCCGCAGCCATCTCCACGCAGGACGTGCAACCTGCACAGGTCTTTTCAATCCTCTAGATCACACGGTGCTTGCCACCTGCTGTGGTAGATTGCGCAGACTATGTCAAACAAAAAAACCTTGGCAAGTACTGTATGGATCTGGTGGCGCGCTTAAGTTGGCCACTCGTGCATGGCAGCACAGCAAGGCTTGCCATGAATGTCGGTGCCTGCTGAGTGAGCTGAGCGGCATCGCGAGCCTGCCGTGCCCGAAGTCTCCCGAAAAGTGTGAACAGTGCGTGAACATGTAACGCACGATGCAGGCGGGAGGTGGCAAGCTTGGTTCATCGGAAGCACAGAGTAGCAAAGAGATTCAGGATTCTGCAGAGCTGGGGTCTTAGACATGTGACACCTGAGCGGCCATGACACAATTAATCAACGGTGCACACAGCTTGCGAGTGTGAGTTTGACTGCCATATACTGCCATATTCTCCATGCAGCGGCAACACATGAAGAAGCAACTAGGACAGCAATGCATTGGCATGCAAGTTGGCCAGACAATGCGCCACTTCTTTTTGAAATGCCAATAGAGCTGTGCCAAAATTCAAAGCTAGCGAACTACTGGGGCGTGAGAGGCTCAAGCTTGTGGCTCGGCTGCAGGCTTCTGCCAAATATCGACTTGGATCTGGACGCCTTCAAACATGGACCCGTTGAGAGTTGCCACCGCCTTCTGCACATCCTCTGGCGTCTTGTATGCGGCACCGGCAATACCATTCTTGTTAATCTCAGCAAAGACGCAGTCTCCAGCCTGGGACATGTGCTCCTTCAGCTTCTTGTTGGTCTCAATGTTTGTCGGACCAGCTGGAAGGCCCCCAATCCAAACCTTCTTCTCGTTTGAGAAGCCACGAAGTCCTTTGCCTTTGCCTTTGTAAGCCATCATCATCATGGGCGGCATGCCCCAGCCATAGCCACCCTTGCCGTAGCCGCCCCAACCCATGGCAAGGATAGCGCCCTCTCCTAGCTGGAAGTGCGTTGGGCGCAGTGGCTGCTGTTGTCAGACATCGAATAACCAAAGGGAACACTTCAGTGCATTCACGGCGTGTGCTTGTCAAATTCCGAGGCATAAGCATATTAGGCAAATACACTTAAATGCACGTGAACAACCCGTGAGCAATCAGTGCACACATGCTGCGCCTGCAGATCGTAGGCGGCCCAGAAGCTTTCTCGCCCTGACTTCGCCTGGGAAAAGGGTAGACCACCGAAGCCGGGCGATTCTTGCTCAACGCATCTCGTTGCAAAACAGTCGTGATAGTGACTGTGCAGTCAATGTATTCGTGGAGACATGGCCTGATGTAATTGCACGCCTGTATGCATATTTTTTGAGCGGGCGGCAATCTTCAAAGGGACGAATTCGGACAAAAAGCAGACATACGAGTTGTAGTACTAGGTCTGGCGAAGTCGCCAGAGTAAGACATTCAAAGGCCCCAGGCCTTAGGTGCTTGGGGCAAAAGAGCAACCCACCTCCTTCCCGAGGTGTCCACCAGCACTTTTGGTGCAGGGCCTTGTAGGGGTCGGCATCTGAGGTTCACGCCTGTTCTGCTATCGATTGCTGAAAGGCTGGTAGGAACCTGAGTCAAGGATGTAAGCCTCAATTTGGGAAGTTAGGTGATACGAGTGCTAGCGACAGACGAGGCATCTCATTCGAGCCCATTTTGCTCCGTTTTTGCGTTCATCTGCATGCTTTGAAGGCCAAGAAGCGGCTTCAGCGCCAGGGCAAGCGCGAAAAGAGGTTCCGAGGCGCCCAAGTGCGCAAACGCCTGTAAGCTGTTGTGCAAACCCCCTCATGATAAGTTGCCAATCTCATGCGTCCTGTTTGAGGCCTCTTGTGCACCACTTCTCTTCTCCATGTCGCTCGCCTGAAAGCAAAACGCAGACCCGCAGCCAGAATGTCAGGAGCCTGTCCTTTTCTGCAGTCACAAGCAATCACAAGCAGCCACCACGACGCCATTGGCGACGCCAGGCCTGCAGGCGATGCGCCAGAAAAGCCAGGATCTCGGCAGCCAGGCATGCTGCAAACCTCGGAAAAGTGCTGGGAAGCCTGACTCATGGATTCATGGATCTTGGCTTTCGTGACTTTCGTGGCTTGTGCGAGCAGACGTGTAGCTCAGGAGCTCGAAAGGTAGTCGCAAAATGTTTGCAGCTCTGGCATGAAGGCTGGCTGGCTCATGGTGCATGATGGAATAGACTGCTGCAGTTGTTGCCGAAAGTCTGTTGAGTTCTGAGGGAAGGCATCTTGCAACAACGAAGCCCCCACAATCAATTCACACTTTTTCTTTGAGAAAACTGATAAACTAACAACACTTACTTCTGCAGTGGTTTGTGCTCTCAGTTCGTGGGAATGCTGGCACGTCTGGTATTCCACGACCACTGCGTGACCTGTGTGAGATATGCAAAGGATTGCAAAGGCATGAGCCGATGTTTGCAGCGAGCTTATACCTGGGCTAGAACAGCAGGAAGTGCTGCAAGCGTGCATGTGGCGGGAAACAGCTGGATGCAGGGAAGGGTGTGGGCTCTCACCATGGCTGCTGCTCACCATCAAAGGCTCGCAGGCGTTGCCCATAAACAATCGGAGAGAATAGCCTACCTCTTGGCCATCTGGTAAAATCCGGTGCAGCTTGCTCAATCGCACTGCTGATGTTGGAAGTTGTAAAGCTGCTGGTGTTTAGGCTTCTATAGACCTGAATGATTGTTACACACCTTTCTGATTGACTCTTGCAGTCAAACATTGCCAGCAATATCCAGAAAATGAGCACATCTCTTCTCTGAGCCATGAGGCAAGTACCGATGCTAAGCTGAGACTGCAGACCGCAGAGGGCTTTGCAATTGGCCATCTAATCTGGAGGTACCACGGTGAGAGGTTCAGAGCAGCATCTTGAGGGCTGAGTTGAGACACCGTGCGTCGGGAGTTCTGAGTGCGCTACTTTTCGAATAACGCTCGAGGACTTCTCGAGACTTCGGTGAAACTGTGGAGCAACCTTGCTGGGAATGTGAAGTTTTCTACAGTTTAAGCATATTCACGTGCGGTACCCCAGCTGCCGGCAACGCTCGCAGTATCAGGCACAAAGTCGCCCTCTAAGCCTCCCAGCCCTACTGCTGCAACCTCCGATCGTCCTGGTTCCTGTGGGTGCCAGCACTTGGGTCGGTAAACCCAAACCCATAACTCCCCTGTGCTCTGCATCGGGAGAAGGCATCAGCAGGTAGCGCAGAGAACTCCAACACGAGTCATCGGCTTTTGCAAGCCCGCTTTGTGTGCGAGCGTGCATGCTGTTGCATCATGCACTCTCACGGTATTTACTGAGCATGCTGCTGAACTACTGCTGCTCACCACCGCCTACCTTGTTGCATACGTCCAGGCTGCTCAAAAGTTCTCTTGCGCTTCAGCGGGTAAGTGCTTTTGCACCGGCACCGCTCGAGCCTGCTGTGCTGTTTCGCAGCATAGATCCTGCGTGATAATGTGATCTGCCATTAGAGGGTACTGAGGTATCTTGCTGTCGCCTGCCTGATCATCTCCTGGCAAGCCGTAGTGCAGTAAAGCTGCTTCATGGCATCCTACAATCTACCAGCCGCACCCCCAATCGGGGGACTTTCTGCGGCCTGCTTCTATATAAGCCAAGGACAGTGAACGACCATCCTCCGGCATCCCAGGTTCTTTGTCACAGAAGTGTGGAGAACATTTGACGGATCGTATTCGAGCTTCTCATAGATCATCAGGGGTTGCCCTGAGCACTGGAATGCCGTAGTGCACAGTAGTGCACCCTGTAACTTGCACGGCCTCGTGACTTCGTCGACTGAACCGCATCGCATCGCAGCACTGCTCCTATTTCAGCCCTGCAAAGAGTCCACGAAGCGCCGCATGCAAGCCAGGGCTCACGCTAATCATCAGACCTGAGATCACGGGGCAAACGGCAGAGATGTGTCGTGGACCAACATGCGGTTTGAAGCATTTCAGCCGAGCGTCATGTGGAAACATGTCCAATTTGACCCTGGTCAGCACATGATTGAGAGGCTAGTGAGGCCAGTGACTCTGCGCAGCGAACTGCAAGCGGAGCATGCTGCAGGAGCCTTGGCGACACAATCCTGTCTGCAAGGAGGCGACGGCAGTGCTTTCTTCGTCCGATGTTGTCCAAGGTCTGCAGGGATGCACTTAAATGCTGCAAAACACACAAAAGCTGCCATCGACACCGAGCGTTCAATGCATCACAAGGCTGGTCTTGCTTTCTTTGTTCATTGAAAGGGCTTGGGGGCGAAGGGCAGCAGCCCCTGCATGGGGTGTGCACCGAGATTGGCGTCTTCTCATTTTGGAAGTACTGCCCCTTTCTGTCTTCTTCTCAGTGGGCAGGAAAAAGTTGGGCCGAAGCCTTTCCCCCCCCCCCCCCCCCATCTCCCCCTGCACGTGAGATAGGCGTGAACACTGGACCCCGGGAGGGGCCATGTCGTTGAAGAAAAGCAGGAGGAAACTCAGAGTGAAGGAGCTTGACATGGTTGAGAGATGTTGAGTGTGTGTTCTGCATGCGCAGACGGTTTGTCACCAAAACCGCCCTCAACAGAGGGTGTTCGGTGTTCAAGCAGAGCATAAGCTTGGTGACCAGTTGATGACCGAGGCACAAAGGCCTACTGAGCTCCAGACCAACCCTGATGCCTCCCCTCCCCCAAAAGGGCTCTTTCGGGCCAACCTCGCTCCTTTCGAAAACGAAGCAAGGTTTTTGCTACCAAGGGTTCCCCAAATACAAACTTACCAATATGTATAAGGAACCTTACAGAATCCTACATACAGTCACCGATAGCTTCATGTAATGCTTCATTAACCATATGGAATTCATCGAGCCATGACAATAATGATTTCCCGGCCTTTGGCTCCGTGTTGCTGTTCGAACCGGGTGCTGGCGTCTTCTCCTGCAGCTAATTTGTGGGTGTCGGGGTTCTGGCATTGTATGATGGGATTATGATCTTGATATGGAGGAGCCCTTGGACGAACATGGCCACCAACACAGCACTTCCTTTTTCCTTCAGCACGCCTTTTTTTGGAGCAGCTGGCAATTCTTGGTGGCAATATGGACAGAGAGGATGCTGTCAATGCGTAAGAATCATCCTGCGTGCTGTTTCTTGTGTCCACTCTGTCCATGGATTGCAACGCGATGTGAATGCTCCGGTCGGCGTGGTTGCGGCAGAGCCTGTGTCAAGGCAGCAAGCCAGAGGCATGACATGCACGTTTGCACATGCGAGAGATGCTTCCACTTCTTCGCGATTGCGTTGCTAAATTTCAGTACGCTCCACCCAAAGATTTCCGATGGCTTCTTTCTGCATCAGTTCGGCGAGACATCGAATATGCAGCCCTCGTCTTTGGATTGGCTTCGGGCTCAACTTCGTGAGCTGTCCAGAATGTTGGTGTGACTATGCACATTTGTGCACATGTCTACCGATCTTCCCGATCTCATTGCTGCATTGTCCAGAACGGCTTTGGCTCTTCGACCTAGCGGACTTTGCACCCCGATGCCGGATTCGACAGTTGCACAGATGATGCTTTCTCTCCCGAGATTCGAATCTGAGGCGGGATCGGTTTCCCAGCCAAACATCAACGCCAGTGGGTTGTAGCCCATATCCGCAGGAAGGCGCATGGCCTTTACATGGTCATTCTCGAATCTCAGACGAACGACTGCTGAGTACAGGTGAAAAAGGAGATTGCACCCACATTCATGTAGCTACCCACATTCACATAGCTACATGCAACCACCCATTCTTCTTATCTTTCCCTGAGCATAATGCATCCTCGGCATCGCCTTGGATACCCAACTGCCATCCTCGAGTTTGTCGCAGTTGGATACGTAGTAGTCCAGCCTGAAGCACTCTGAGAGCAGATCGTGCGGATCTACACATCCGAGTGTGGTAACAGATTAGCAAGTGCAACCTAGAAGCAGGAAAATGGCTTGCAAGACCATAATGATAAACCTGAAGCCAAAGTTTGGCAACAAGATAGGTGCGTCTGCGACTGGCCACTTCTTCATGCTGTCACGATCTTGGGAGTCAGCAACCTCGTCGGGAAAGTCTTGAAGAGGATGCCTGCAGTTTGGCGGCCGCTAGGCAGCAGTGTAACAACCCAGTGCGGGTTCAACAAGTGATCTTACTTCATTCCCGTGAACTGGAGTGAAAATAATAAAGCTGCAACATCTACAGCAACCACTTTCTCTACAGCAACCACTTTCACATTCATCAATGGCCACAAGAACAGTCTGAACACCTACGATTCTACTTGCTGCCGTTATTCACGACATATCTTATCGGAGCTGACTGCTGTGTGAATATTCCAAAGTTTGTAAAAATGCAACATTTCGACAACGACCATGCGCAGGATGAGAACAACACTGGGCCATGTAGGGCAGTCAAATCAGCATCCCACAGAAGTTCAGGCAACAGGATTTGCGCGGGAACAACACACGAGAGATTGCTGCCAAACTGGCTGCTGTTCTTTTGCAATGCATGACTGTATGACTGGTACTCGGCGGCCAGGATGCTGCCCCAACTCTTCTTGAGCTCAACCTCCTCAAAGTGTGCCAGCGCATCTGCATCGGACTCTTGCTCGACCTGTTCAAGTCAGCGGAGCACGGTTGTTGTATTGCAGCGTTGTATACCGTCATATACCGCCCATGGCTGGCCTCCTCGAGGTCATACAGGGCTTTGAACTCCAGCTTTGACCTTACAGAGACGAAGACTCCGGAACTTGAGCCTGACTGAGGTCACGCAAGGGGCAGTGCGATGACTCAGTGTGCTTGGATGCCTCAATGTAGCATGTACTTTCAGTGCCAGTTGCATGATCTCTGTTGTCACTGAAGAGGATAATCTCTGGAACAGTATCTCATCAACCTCAGCTTGCAACCGCCTTGTACCCTTTGACGTGCGCTGTGGAGGAGTGCAGAGACGTGTAGAAGTCAGTGGGGAGCTACTCCAACCACTTCAACCACTTCACTCGCCCTTTTAAAGGGAGTCAAGCAACCTGCAGGATGAAGGTCAAAGCCATGGCGTTGACCACCGTGTTCATGATCCCAGCGGTTTCCATCAAATAGTGGACACCACTGCGGACCAAACCCAGCCAAAGCATGCACTTGGGCAAGAGGATAAAGAATGCCTGACAGCTCGACTATTTTCAGCATACGTTTGGACCCCATGCTGCTTGAGTTTGCACACTACTGGTGGCAATACTGCAAATAGCTCACCACGCAGAACATGGCAGAAGTGCATCGTGATTGTGAGAGTTGGCAAAAAACATGAGCTTCAAATGCATCTCGAGCACGTTGAATAACTTCCAGTGGAGTGGGATGCCTGAAATTTCGTAACGGATAAAGTCCTTCTCCTCCGACTCGTTGAGCTGCCTCGGCTCGGTTAGCTTCGCTCAACTTCGCTCCACTTATGCATTGTAACAATTGCAAACCCTTGATGTCCCCAGGAAGGACTGTTTCACCAACCCTGGCGATTGTTTCGCATGGACCTTCGAGTGCACGGACATTTCGGGACCACAGACACGTGTAGTATCAGCTGAACACCAGCTTGCACCGCAGCTCGCAGAGGCAGATTATGGAAGTTCTTGGATGTCCAACAACCCTAAACCCTAAACCCTAAACCCTAAACCCTAAACCCTAAACCCTAAACCCTAAACGCTCCTGCTTCAGGTTTCTGTCATGTCGAGACAAGTTGCTTAATGTCCTCTTTGCTGCACCAATCTGGAATATCAAGCGAAATCCAGCTCTCGTATTCCGTCGGGATGGATACCAGAGTCCTGTTTGGACATGGTTCGTTCATGTTCATCCAGAGTCCGGGCTCATGGGGCGGACATCTGCAGCTTGCCCGCGCATCAAGCGGGCTAGCAAAAAACGCCGTGAACTCAATTCTCCGAATGCAAATATCTTGATTCTCGCTTTATGCCTTCTCGTTTTACGAAGCAAACCAGACACACCCCGGATAACGCAGCCATGACACAGTAGTACATGTTTAGTACTGGACTGCATGCGCATGCCAAGTGCGGCACCGCGGCTCCCGTCCAGGTGGCGTGCTCCCGTCGAGGCTCGAGCGTGACTGTGGGTTTGCGTTTCGCGATTTGCATCGATACAACCAAGGATTCCCACTGCTCTGTAGTACAAGCTTAGTACTGGAATTGACGTTTCCGTGACAAGGTGGACTTTTCATGGCTTCTGGAATCGACGGTTCCGTACAAGCTTCGTAATTGCTGGAATATACTGGAATCGACGCTTCCGTGAGCCGGCTGGATTCTTTTTTTTGCTCGGTAGTACAAGCTTTGTCCTGGAATAGCCGAATTGACGTTTTTTGCGTGAGCCGGCAGAAAACTCATTGCTTTGTAGTACCAACTTAGAACTGGAATCGACGTTTCCGTGCGCTGCCCCTATAGCCCGCGATACAGCCGCGATTATCGATCACGGGACCGTCACGTTATCGGGCCACTCTCTGCATCATTGCTCCGTTGTACAGGCATAGTACTGGAATGTACTGGAACGTTTCCGTGAACCTTGAACTGCTCATATTCCTTATGTCAACCTGTAAGCGGTTAATAACCCCCTATCGTTTTACAATGAACCGTTTTATTCCGGGGCCGCCCCTTCTCAAAGCTCCGCAGCGGCTTTGTACCAAGCCCAAGTTGAAGCAGCAGCCACAAGGTTGGGCCGAGAGCCGGCATCGTTCATGCTACTCTGGGCACAACGTTTGTACCGAGTTCCTGAACAGGTTCATGGCGTCTTCAAGGTCGTCCACAACAGCGAGCATGAACAGCCCAATGCACAAACAGCCTGGGCTGTCTCAAGCGGCTCAAGCGCATCTGCAGCGTAAACACCGAACAAGCAGCTACACGACTCCCTCCGGATGCTTGCGGTCAGAAGAAGACCACAATGACCATTGCCAGGCCACGGCAGCTAAAGCTTTCCAAGCCATACCTGACGCAGCGCATTTCATCATTTCATTGGCTTCTTGCACTCCAGCGGAGCTGGCTGCACGAGTTCGCAGTGTTACAAGATGTTTCGCTGCTCTTTCATAGTTGAAAGCACGTGTGACAGCACGATATCAAGATCTCGCCCAACGGCCCAACGGTGTTAACAAACATGCTTGAAGTTGATAGTTCCGCACGTAGGAATCCTAAGTTCATTCTGCGGTTGTGGTTGTGCCCCTCACGTTCCACGTGCACTATCGTGGATTTACCTGTATCGTCTTCCTGCTGTCTGCTCACTGACGTCAAACAGGTGCCGATAACCACAATGTGTATTATAATATCGTGCAGAAATAAGTCGTGAGCTTGTTTGTGCTCATTGAGGAGAAGCTCTCGAGAGCTCCGTAGATGCACTGCCACTGTCCAGTGTCGAACCACTTCGATAACATGATATGCATGGCCAAACCATAGATCCATGGAAACCGTGTGCTCTCCTCGTTTGTCAGCGAGACTTTCGCATTGGAGAAGGTTTGCAGGTGGGTGGCCAATACAATGCCAGCTTGCCGGTGGCGGGGTGGAGGGCATGCCTAGCTGCCGTTCCGGGAGAAGGCGGCATGCCCTCTTGCTGAAGTGGGCCAGAGGGATCAGCACTTTAGGCATGGCTGCTGTGCATCCTACCTCGCGCAGTCGCACCTCCCTCAAATAAACACTGGTACGGCGACTGGGGTGCATGCACGCATGGAAGTAGCGCTGAGAACTGTCACGAGCAGACGTGCGTGAAGTAAGTGTGAGTCGCCATGGTGGCAACCGCAGTTCTCAGTCCTCTGTTTGTGCACTTTTTTGTTAAAGGATGTAGAGCGTGCTTCCGAGACGAACCTATACTTCAGAGGCGCCTAGACGCTCCCTGCTTCGCCTTGCCCTGCACTAACCAGCATGCGGGGCACCGTTAAGGAAAGCAATGCCAAAACTCCGAGCTGCCCGACCCCCTGCCTTGTCGACGCAGGTGCCAGTTAAAACATCCCACAATAGATAGCTGCCCATTTTGTGGGTTTCAATCTCTCAAAGGGGGATTGGACAACAGCAGCGACAAGCGCTACAACGCAGCTTGTCTGCGAGTAACCAGGCATTTCCGACAGCAAATTTGCTTGCTCTTCCCAACCAGAACTTCATCAGTGAAGCACTACGCCGGAAACTGCGGCCCACATGGGGGTGTGTCTAGATGTATAAGTCGCAGACTCTCCAGGGTCCACGGCGCTGTCGAGGTTGCCCATGCTCGCGGGAAAAAGAACCTCTGGGATCGTTTTGGAGAACTGCACGCAGCTACAGTACAGCTGGACTACACTAAACTTACAGGAACCACCCTGCCATCGCCATCCGTATCCCTGGCCTGCAAGCTCTGCTTTACGAAAGTTCGTGTGCTCCAAATATCCTGAGTGCTCGAAGGTCAAAGGTTCAAGAACCATTTGGTGAAGAGGTGAGAGAAGCCGAGCAAAGCCGCCTGAAGTCAGACCAAGGATCGTAGTCGTACAGCCTGGGGTAAGACAGCACAGTTCCTCCAGGTCCCACGCAGTTGGGAGCACCGGGGCAATCCTGGCTGCATCCCAACCCCCGCCATTTTATTTGGGAAAAGGACGAAACGTCCGAATACTTGGCTCGCCTTTCTGTAAATTGCGAGTAGTGGTTTGCCTACCACAGCAAGCAAGGAAAGGGCTCGCGAAGTCAAACTGCGTGATCAGTTAGGTCTCGCTATGAATGCAAGTAGGTGGGCAGAGTTGTACGTATGTATGCATGTATATGTGTTGTCAAAGCCCTGTTCTCCGGAAAAGCTGCATGTGTTTAGATAGAAGTCCTGCAATGGAACATCCAACGCCATTGAGACCCTATGGGCTTAAAGAGGCTATTGCAACCAACGCAGTCACCGACCTGGATGACCTTGGACAACCCGAGCCTTTAGCATCATTGACTTCGGATAGTACGAGCGAAGAATGGATTTTGGATATTTGGGGTTCAGGGTTGTTGCAGCCAAGCGAAAGCAAAGCTTTAAGTCTAACATCTTACATACGCATCCTACTCACGGACACCGGCAACGTTGGTCCTGGATGGACGCGCCGAAATCGCATAAATGCATCTTTCCACCGAAGGGGTACCTGGATTTACAGTAGCTGGTGCAGTTCAGACGTCTGGATTTTTTTCCGACATGGGTGGCGGTAGGGTTGGACCTAGTGGACTCACGAGCTCGAAAAGGAAGTCACGCTCATCCTAGGCTAGGTTCTAGATTTGTACTTGATACACGGATAATGTGCGTTGAAGGGGTGCTAGTAGCATGGCATTTTGATGTTCCGGAGCCGATGTCAAAGACTCGCAATATCCTGAATCTGTGGACTAGTTGCCAGAAGTGCTGCTCTTCGCCAATCATGCTAAGGAGAAAAGCCTCGCCCAAGGCGAAAATCGTTCTGCATGCACACACGGGAAAATCCCTTGGGATACTGCTGCGACTTGTGCCTGCAGCGTGAAATTCAGCAAGCAGAAGAAGTAGGTTCGGATGACAGCCTCGGGACTGCTTGCTCGCTTGCCCAAATTTTCTGGCAGTCCAAATACGCCAGGCAGCTGCAATCAGCGTTCCTGGCCACTCACAGCTGCGTGCAACCTGTGGCAAGACCTGCTCAGCAAAAACTCCGAAGTACAGCAGATTTCATGCTGCCATGCTGATGTTTTCGGAAAAAAAGCGCTGAATTCCATCATTCGAGCTGCAACAGCAGCGCCATAGACTGAATCGTGCTGGAGGCTCAGCTCACCATGGTCGTCCCCCATGACGCAAAAACCTCAGTTAGAGACCGATACAAAGATCTCTGCAACTTGGGAAGCGAAGGAAAGTCGAGTCCTTAAGCGGGAGACATCGGTCCTGCATCTTCTCCAGGATACGAATCGCCTTGCTGGCTCCGATCTTTGCATTTTCCTCGGCGTCCGCATCACACAGGGTTCTGAGAAGTAACAAAAAGCCCCTACATAGCCTACATGCGCCACACAGAAAGGAAGCTCTAGAGGCTTGATTGGTTGATGACAACGGACTCATCTCAAGCACTTCGAGCTTAGCGTTTCCTCTCAGCGCTCCGGCTTTGGCTGCCGGATGTCTTCGGATGCTTCGGGCGAATCTTCACTTAATTCATGATTTGTCTGCCCGGCTGACGGTGCGCTGGAGAAGCTACGTGAGAGTAGAATAGTGAAAGATAGAAACACAAACAGACGCGCACACAGACACCCCGAGGAGTTAACTTTTTGCTGCAGGTTAGCAGGAATCGCATCCTATTCAGTTTCCAACTCACCTGTCCCAGCGTCTTGGGCGGCGTAGAGAGAAGGGCGATTAAAGCGGCTGTTACCACTGTGGAAAAAGCAGAATCCCGCGCTACAGTATCAGCATGGAATACGCACACACGCCTCCGTAGGCCATCGATGGCTGCAACAAGGAAGTGGCAGGACGACGGAGGCAGATTCAGGTAGCTGCTTCCCCCGAGTATTAATCCACCAGGCACCAGCAGATACGAGTACAGTAAAGCTGGATGTCTGGCTACGGACAACGCCACCTGGAAAAGTCACAAAAAGTCATTCCTTCAAATTGCAACCAGGCCCGTCCAGAATGGCTGAGTGTCGAGGGCTCTGGGCTTGGGAGAAGTCTAACGCTAGGCTGTAAGCTTTCAAGCCTTCTCATCCACCTCCTCCGATCCGAAACTCTTGTAGCAAAAACCCTTGTGCGAGGTTTTTGGGCATTTGGGATGGGGTGATGGGCGGACCCTTTAAATATCAAGGGAAGGGATTCGTGGTTTCCTTGACGCGTTGCTGTGTTACGGGACATAGCAGGCCAAGGCTCAAACTTCGTCTGCCTGCCGCCCTCGTCAGGCGACTCTCGGGAGAGCCGCCGCTTTGATTCTGGATGTACGATCTGCTCGAGACGTACCGGAGGCCCTTCATGCGGTGGATGGCTCGCATGATGCTCATGCTCATGCGCCTGCACGACAAGGTCATCAGCGATGTGATTTCTAGGCCAGGCTGTTGTACAAGTCACGTGGAAATGGCCTGTCCGTGGTGCATGGTCACACTATGGCGTGTAGCCGATGCCTTCAACAAGCGATGCTTGTGCAAGAGCAAGGGTACTGTTCACCAACTCACCGCGCATGGTGCTGACTCATGTGAAAGGCCCACGGCTTGCCCATTCTGATGTAACTCAGTAAGCGGGAAATGCTGGAAAGAGCGGCCTCTTGTTTCGCAAGCAGTTGCGGCATCGGACAAACAGCTGAGGCGTCTGTTTTGTGCAGCGTCGTGTCATGTTGCGTCAACCTGGTGGTGTCTTGTTCAATGTTCCGGTCTGCTGCTTCAATCCGTCAGCTTGCAAAACTTGATGATATGGTACACTAAGCAAAATCATTCCACACGGAGTCTTGTTTGAACCATGACCATGGCTGTCAAGCTTGAGCCATGCACACAAGGAAGCTACACTTGAAAGAGCATGAAGGTGGAAAGTAGCACATGATGACACGGATAAACTGCCTTCACGAGCTGGATTGGCCCTGCGCAGAAGAGGCCGCCGCCTGTACAACAGCTTCAGCTGACGGACCCTCCAAGATACTGTACTTTGGGCACTTTGGAGTCTGTCATATCCTTGGTCATGCACCGCTGCTACGAGTGCGAAACTCATCCGGAGATCATTTTCAGGCTTCCAAACATGAGGCCTGCAGTATGCCGAGCCGGCGCCGTCTCCAAGCATAGGCACTGCAGACCTGTGGGAGAGGAACTTGGCGCTGCTGCGGCAGCAGTGAACAAGAAAGCGGTGCGAATTTCCGCTTCATCTTCAGGCCTTCTCTGTGTAGGTGAAAGGCTGCCAAGGTGCCCGCGCCTGTTCATGGGGACAGCTTTTTGTCAACCAGGTTTTGAAGAACACGCCTTCTTCAGCCCTAACTCGAAAGCCTCCAGCACCAGAACAACAAGGAGACTCCCGCACGTACGCTTCTCGCGAACTTCCAAATATTCGATACTTGCCACTTCGTCCATTTCCGCAGATTGTTCGACGATCAGTTAGACGGCTCGACACATACAAAAAAGATTGTTGAACATTTTCGCGAGTCCTTCCAGGAATCTTTGCATTTCTGCAATGAATTGGGTTTGCTCGGAAAAGGCTCTGACTTTTCGCAAAAAAGGCTCTGCATACCTGCACAAAACGACGCTCTTGCACTGGAAGTTCGCAGCGCAAGGGTAGCTCACAGATTTCTGTTTAGATTTCGCAAAAAAAATACCAACAGGCAGGATCTTTCATGAGGTATGTCAAAGAGACTCGAAACGATGTACTAGGTACAAGTATTACAAGTATCGACGGCCATTGTGGAAGCATGATTGCCACACGCTTCGTTCTCCGGGACCCTATGTCATTCAGTCCTAGAACTCAGAATTGATGGGTGACATGGCTGGAGCAGGATGATCGTTCTCTGTGGGACCCTCTTGAATGTCTTTCCAACCCCTGAACAGTCGAAGCTGATTCTGCCCCTCTCTACAAGGTCCCGGCTTTTTTGCATGACTTTGAAGGGATAAGTGCATCTCACACAAGCCAGGCGAGGATTCCGTTGTGTGTCTGGTCGGGCAGGACTTGGGCACGCCCAAGTAGGCTGGGCAAGATACTTGCGATCCAAGACCTTAGCAGCCTTAGCACCTTGTAAGATGGTCTGTCGCAATCAACTTGACCAACGGACTTCCCGAATCATTTTTGGAAGGTCATGTCTATATCTACACTCAAGCTGAAGTCGCGAGCAGCCAGTATGCAATCCATCATGCATTCATACTGCAAGGCCTCTTGCGTCGAGCATTGCTCTTGCTCAGCTGCCCGTCCCGGCCTGAACGAAGCACTTTCACAAGCGACGTCAAAATGATTGTTCAATCACAACAAGATGCCAATTGCAAGTTGATGCAACGGCAAATTAGCCCATGGCCCTGCATCGGCTGCCACCTGTCGCAGCAAGCTGTAGTCTCACATGAAGTATCTCGATGCATCCACCCGCATGCAACATGTCTGCACATTACGGCCCGTCTCCATACGCACCGCTTGTTTCCGACTCACAGCAACTTCATAGCATCTTCTGGGAGTGGGCGACCTTAGACACTCCGGCACAACAGAACAGAACATAACTAGAATATACTAGAACCATAGCAGTGACGCTCAGAAGCTGCAAAAAAGCTCAACTCATGTTGCGGCAGGTCTTGCTATGGATGGGCTTCAAAACGCGTAAATCCTCGTGATCTTTTCATCCAAACATTGTTGATTGCTCATGTGACTGCTTCCCTCGTGCACTTTGTGCTTCGCTGGATTGGACCTTCCGTTGAAGAGCCAGAGCAAATGTGCTTAACACCTTGTCATGCATTTTCCGAGCAGACACCTTCTGCGGTCCGGGGGTGTGGGAGCTGGACTCGCCACACCCTGACCATGCATACATGTATACTTATGTAAATACATATGTAAATACACACTCTGCTTCATACACACGAGCACAGCAATGATGGTCAAATTCTGCAGTTCCATAAGTTGCGGAAGCAGTGGAAAAAATAGGCACAGGAGCCCTACATGAGCAATGCTAACCTAATAGCCTAACTAACGCCTTGACCAACCTAGCAGTTTGGGTGGGGTGCTCTGGCAAAGTCGCTGTACCAGCGTCTTCCATTCAACCGCCCTCGCTTGAGACGCTCGCCGATGGCAGCGTGCCGGCCTTTCACAAGGACCTGGGCATGGGTTGCGTACAGTGACGCAGTTGTGTGGACGCCGTGTACCCCACATGCACACAAAATGACATGCACGACTCACAGATGCTGAAGTCTCGAGTCCAAGGTGCAGGTCGCTGCAACAGGTCGGCGCGTTCTGCTAGAGCCTGTCCAACCCAGCAACCAATAAGGACAACAACTGCAGCACGCACACACACACACACAGCAACACCACAGAAGGGTTATCTAGAAGGTTCCAATCTTGCCATGTGGGCAGTTTGTCAGCCCTTGTCTGAATCTGATGTGAGAACGCATATGAGTGAATGCTCTCACGCATATCGGCAATGTAGCCAGCGGCTCAAGGCTAAACCGCTGAAAGTTTTCCAGGACCCAGTTGAAATCCCGATCCGACACCGGCAGTACATGAAAGAATCGTTCAACACAACCTCGAGGCCAAGAGAATGGCTTGAGAGGTAAGTATGCGCATCGCCACAGCGAACGAACATGAAGACTGCAAGCAACGTGGCATCTCGGTCATTGCTGAAATTACTGTTCGTGTCAACAAGAAACAGTCCTGCAACATGGATGTGTTTGGAAAACTTTCTCGGAAGCTACGGGTGAGATGAGGCTGTCAAAACTCTGAGTAGATGGTCTGGTTTGAGGAAAGGATCGGCTAAGGTCCACAATCAGACGACAAACTCTACCATGGACTCAGACCTTTGCCTCGACCATGAAGACTGTTGGCCACAGAATTCTCGATCGATACGGAACTGTCCGAACTGACCTTCAAAAAGGCAATTTCTTTCATCTCACCTTCTACACTGGCCAACTGATCTTGTACTTGGTGTTGTTGACGCTGAAGGTCATCAATCTGAAGCTGCAAAGAAGGCCTAGTTGAGAAGCTTGCAACACCGCACGCGAATGCTCAAGATAAGTGTGGATAGCCAGTACTTAGTACTTCAGACTGGGTACATATGGTGCAGCGGCCTTGCAATCTGAAGGATAGAATGAGTAGATGGATTGATGTTAATGAAGAGCCGAGTCTGGCGATGATGCATCTGACTTGACATATCAAGTGGGTGCCGCAAGCAGAACTGTCCAAGGGTTTTGCTATTGTTGACAGTATCTGTGAAACACATCCGCCACATAAATATGATACCCAGGGGGTCGATGCTAGAACTGTGGTGCAGAACTTGCACCATGCGTCCATGCCAGCGAGGAGACCAAAGGAGGAAACCTCGCTAATGCTTTCGATCATGGTGGACGTAGCTGGATCGTGTTCCGATGTTCAGGTGGGAAATATGTGGAACAGACAAGACAGGTTCTGTACCGGAAAGTGGTGCAGCAGATCCACGTGTGCGACTGCTACTTGACCTGATTGTGTCCCTTTGAATATGCACATGAACATTGTGATCCATGGCTGTGGAACGATCTCGAAGAAATGACAGAGTTTTGACACCAAGATACATTGCCGGTGTGTGTGTTCAAAGTCGAAACCGCGGATGTCATGGAATCTGCGGGTCTGTAGAATCGCCTGGGGTCCCAGAGTCTCAAATGCTCAGCGGTCGGGCAAGAGTTTGTGGGACGATTGCGTCTGCGAGTCTTGGAAGCTTACATCTCAGTGTACACGTCGTCAAGAACTATTCAGACCGAATTACTGTGAGTCCGACAGCGCTTTGGCAAAATCACGGTTGGGATCACGCACACATATCCAGTCGACGCTGGTTGGGGAAATTGGGTGCATTCAGGTCTTTGATGTTTTCTTGAAACTTCCAATGTTTCTAATGTCTTTGTGAAAACCTTTGCCCGGACGTCTTCCTTGCACAATGATATTTGGGCTTGAAGATTGACTGCAACCAGTGATGAGGCACAGCAGGCCTGAACGTTCCACAACACTTTCATGCTAAAGCTGATTGCAGGTACTCCACAAGGTGATTCATTGGATGAAGCCTCACCTGCTTCCTCCCGGCTTCTTCCGAAAAACAAACGTGCGGACATTCAGAATCGGATATGTACCTTCTTGGCAACACAAAGGTGTCTCACATACACACACACACACAAACACACACCCACACCCACACCCTCCACCCACACCCACACCCACACCCTCCACCCACACCCACACCCACACCCACACCCACACCCACCCACACCCACATGCCCGCCCGCCCGCCCGCCCGCACACCCACGCACCCACCCACCCACCCACGCACGCACGCCACAAGCCGCCGTGGCTTTGGAAAGGCGAGTCGGTTCCCATTCACTGGTGTGCATTTCCTGATGTCTCACCATCCTATACAGTGCCGCCTCGAGAATCTCTTCTCCCGAAGATCCCGGAGCGTGCACCTGACGAGCTGGGCAAAGCAACTGAACATCCAGCACGTCGAAAGAGTGGGGTGGGAGACACTTACGACGTGCGCAGGTGCGTATGTTGCAGCCGTTCAGCACTTCAGGTTGCTTCGAGTGACCAGCTCTTGGTCTCGGCAAAGTGCACCTTCCACAAGATCGTGGTTACTTATGTTGAATCAAGACAAAGGGACGTGGTCGGTCATCTCATTTGGTGACATGTGAAGACGCTTGAAGGCTTGTCTGTGAGTTCGGGGCCTGCCGGCGTTCCTTCCTTCACCTGACGGGGCCATTCTGAAACGAGATTCGCCGTGCTTCACCGTGTCCACCGCTCGGGTAGTAGGCTGCCGAGTTCCCTCGCCTCCAAGCGGGCCGACAGAGTCTCCAGCTCGCTGAGGCTCAGGGGTGCCTGCACACGAAAAGCAGTCAGAAACACCGGAATCAAGCGTAGGCAGTGCGGCAGCACCAACACTCACACACGCAATTCCAGGAAGCGGTCTCTCCTGCACTCGGTAGGCATTCACGCAGAAGCGCAGGCACACGCGTCAACAAACTATTGCACATCAAGGACATTTTCCCAGTCGGAGCCTCCAAGTACAGCCGCTCGCTGTACTTCACGCCTGCTGCATCCAGTGCCTCTCCCGCTCCAGATCAGTCCAGTTGAACCCCATTTTTCGGTCTCAAAGCATTCCAAAGCTCTAGCACTCGATTTGCGGCCTGCTGTAGGGCACGGCTCTTGGAACACTTGGGGTTGGAGATCAGAAGCGGCTCCTGGCACGGAGGATCTCGGACATGCCCCCTCTGTTGGGACGCTGAAAACTTCACGTGGACCTCCTCGTCGCCAGGGAGGGGCGTGCTGATGGGATCTACATGGCAGAGACCTGGCCAAGGCACAGAGGGGCTCTGACATGGTGGACAGAAGCATGCTGCAGTGTCTACGGTAAGGATTGTTTGGAGCCTGGGGGCCTTGTGCTGGCGAGACGACGTGAAGGTCGTGCTCCACCAAGGATGTGCCTCTTACGAGAGAGTGCGCCCACGCACTAGGCACTCACTTACTCCCGGAGCTTCTTTCGGCCTCGGAAGGCAAAGCTTCCGCGCAGCATCGCGTCATGGAACAAGACCTGGTCATACCAGACTTTGTCGTCCTCCGGCATCTCATCAAAGGGAATCTCGCCTGACGCAACATCTCATGCCATCCTTCATTCAAGCTGCCAAGCTGCTCCAAGCTGCTACAAATTTCTTGTAGTGGTCCGGGTGGACGATTTACAACTCTGCGGCGGCAGAACTGATCAGGCATGATCAGACAGTAGTTCAACCAATATTGACTCATATCGACTCAAAACCAGTTTCAGACAGTGCCTTGGCCAAACCAACCAATCTGCTCAAATCGATCGTTGGGTGCGAGCTGGAAACTCTCGGAGGCTCGCAGTCCTTACCGGCAAGGTCGAGCACTTTCACTGCAAAGTTCGTGCTGCATGAGTGTCAAAACTGCAACATGAAGTGCAAGGATTAAGAAAAGTCGAGGATCTGTACACCATTTGGTGCTCCAGATACTCCTCGCCCAGTGCTACCGCGGCATCATGCGTAGGATCCAACTCCTGAACGAGGCTTCGAGTTGAACAAAGCAGTGCAATGCAGTGCATACCCCAGGAGCTGCTGAAAGAGAGCTTCCCCAAACTGCCAGCTGGCAAGGGCACGCTCAACACTGGTGCCCCAATGACAAAGCTCCTTGAAGCTGAAGAGGCCTCTGCGCCTCAGGCGAGTCATCTTCAGAGAACCTTTCAATCGGCAAATATGATTTCATGTGATTTCAACTCTTTCAACTCCTTCAAACGGTGAACTTCCCAGTGCCCAGCGGCCTCCCAGTTCTGCGACCGCTGAGACCGCAGCAGCCTCGGGGGATGCTGCTTCGCCTGCACAGGAGCGGAAGATCCGAGCAATGCAGGGGGCCCATGGACTCTTCATACTCTGTTCACCCACCAGTCCAGGATAAACCGCTTCTAGAAACCGTACCATCATGAGTCTTTCTACGTGACAGGAACTAATTCACCCTTTCCAGTTCATTATAACCTGTTCTCCCTTCATATTTTGGTCTAACCGTTCACACCCTTGGAATCGCATGCCAGGTTAACCGTGTAAAAGCCCGATTAATATAATACTAAAGGCGTGAACAAAGGCAAGTTTACGCGCGCTTTGCTCACGAATTTACTATTATTTCTGTCAAAGCCTGTCAAAGCTCTTAAGCTCCCCACGCATATCAATCTTCAAGTCTGAAAATGATGCGGTTCCGAGGGTCTTCGGCCTTTGCTCCGGGCGCCGAGCAGCGCCGTGACGCGGCCGACAAAGGCGCCAGAGCCAGGTTTCCAACGCCCCAGAAGCACCTCCAACCAAGGGATCAAAGGGCGCGAATGGTATTTAGATGTGTTTTGGACTGGGAGCCATGAAAGTGAGGCGGTCAACCGCGCTGACTGCTCGGGTTGGCCCAGCCGCTTTCGCGTTCTCATAAGATGTACTGCTTGCACACTGACACGGACATGTGTGGAGCTTGGGCGATGAACTGGAGAATGTGTGCGAATCCGGGCGAGTGGGGCTTCATAACAGGAGAGTCGCAGCAAGGCGCACAGCAAGAAAATCTCGGTGCCTTTCCTTCGCGCATCACCAGAGTCTGGACCAGGGTTGTTGCCATGGCACACACGCACAACTTCAGCGGTGATTTTAAGAGAAATGATCGTAGTGCTTCTGATGACTCAGCTAAGCATCCAAAGCATGAGTGGCGGGGCTTTCCGTTGAATTTGGGCTCATGCAGCTTGTCTTCGTATGCAGTATAACACTTCGGTCGAAAGGTCGAATGTGTCAGCGTCAGTTGAGATGGCTACGGGGGTACTCATGGTTTCTGCAGCAGTGACAAGTGGTGATCTTTTGGCAAAGCTGTTCAGCAAAGATGCCTGCACAGAATCACCGAGGCTCGCCATTGGCATTGAAGACCTAGGCTTTCAACGAAGTCGGGAGTACAGTACGACTCAGTACGAGGAGAACGGAAAGCCATCTGATTCGAGTGCTGAGAGGAGGCTTGAAGGTGCTGAGGGCCTGGCTCATCTGTCTGCGCCTCTGTTGGCCCAGCTTCGGATGCATGCTCCACCTCAACCTCAAACGTCAGCTCCACTTGTACTCCTTCTGCAGGTTCTGCTTGAGGTGTGCCCGGCGCAGGGCTGGGCTCTGCCAGACCCACAGGAGCTTCGGCATTAGCTTCATTAGCTTCCTCAGCTTGCACCGGGGCCGCCTCCGCGAAAGGATCGGATCACACCAGCTTTCAACATGAGCTCGTTTGGGCTGATCTGTACTGGTAACACAAGGGAAGTGGACTTGTGGCTCACTGCATCTCGCGAGGATGACGGCACTTGTGCTAGCCTGTTGCGTCGCTGCCGTTGATGAATTTTGACCTCGTCCACCATCGCAAGTTCAACAGTACGATGTCTCAGTACGACAATGTATGACTTATGTGACTCATATGGGGTTTACGAACATAAGGGACCCCCAGTGTAGTTCCCCAAATAGTAGGTTTCCCTTATAATTAGAACCCCAATAAGGTACCACGATAATTTTGGAAACCCCCGACTCAGAGTCGTTCAAGATAGGCAGCCCCTGCCTTGCTCATTGCTTGCACCGTTTCGGGCTGCGCTCAGCGCTGTTTGGCTATCCTGCCCCAGCCAGGTATTCCCCAATGCGGTGGATTAAGAAACAATACCTTTGCCTGGGGACCTACGACCGGTTCTGCGAAAAGTATGAAAAGGACTGAATTCAGAAATTGAGGGTGTCCTCAACCTGGAAACAACATTTCTTAATGCAGGTTGTTGCCGCAGCAACAAGCGACGGAGGGACTGGCTACGGAAAGAAGATATCCAGCCCCTCAATTCGTACGAGTAATTTTGGGTCCGAGAGGGCAGTTGAGCTGCCACTTGGGACATTCTGTCCATCCTCCTACAGCAATCCGATTGTGTGGCAGTATGGTAAAGACATCGACCTCAGATCCTTCCAATTGGCAGTGGCGCTGGATTTCTTATTTCGAAGGAACATTACGTCAAGGCACTCGATCCTCAACTTCAGGAATTGGATTCAGGAATCGCTCAAATTAATGTAAATGTGGGAGGCTTCATCAAGAGTGCCTTCATGGATATTCAGAAGTCTCTTATCCAGAGTTGTATTGCGGACTGCTTAACAGGATTGAGGGTCTTGCATGAGGAAAGCCCTGAGCAAGCTCTCCTCGATGTAGTGCAGCATCTGTTGGACGCCCGCAACCACATCCTGTCAGCGGATTTCTAGGTGGTCATGCAGCCTCTCCCTGGCCGTGCTGTGCCGTATGATGTTGCCTAATGCTGCGTACATACCACTGTGTAGGTGATACAGTGATACTTCCAGCGTTCCAATACACAGATCAGTACTCACCGTCGACTTCTGTCCAACACATATTGTGAGCAGCACACCAAGATTCAGGGACTGCCTGAATTTGCAGCCATCTTGACCTCAAATCTGACTGTGAGCACGTATAGCGACTAGACTTGCTCTGATGCCATGGAGCAGCTGAGCTCGGGTACTGGAGGCTTCGGACAACCCTTTCTAGCTCCGCCGCCTGCAGCTAGTTCAAGGGAAAGGCGGAAGCTCAAGGACACTTGCCAACATCGAAAGCCACGAGCGGCAGCAACTCGCAAAATCGGAGGCAGTTGATCCCAGCTCAACTATCCCTGAGAGCAGCCTGCTCTGGCAAGCGCTCTGCCGAGAGCCTCTGGAAACAGAGCTGTGGGAGACTCTCAAGCATGAGGCAGTTGCCGCATGACTGGTGTCATTGTTGGCAGTTGAAGTATATCTAAGCTCGCCACGCTGGCTCCAAAGTGCGAGGTCCGCTTCCTTCGCTGGCCTGATGACAAAGAGACTCTGTACAGATCGTCTGTGCCATTGCGTTGCTGTATTTGCGAGGGTTCGGGCTTCATGTGCAGATCTCAGAACTCGAAGCAAGCTTGATCACGCCCACATGCGCTCCCTGTTGCTGGCTCGGGGAGCCTCTGATGGAGCTTCGACCGGGGCTTGTGGCCTGAAGCAGCAGGGACATCAGAGAGTCAACTTCTAGCAAAGCCCCGACCGTACTCTTATGTACAATGGGGCTCAGACACTTCAGCTTCGGGTGCTTGCGTGTCTGGCTCCTCTGCCTTGACACAGGTTCCCTTATTCCTTCTAGGCGCTCTTTCCAAGCATGGCCATCAAATTCCATGGCACATGTCTCCAGCAACTCTAGCAAAGCCGAGTGTCTGCCGGCACGTCTGTGGGAGCATCACCGGTGCCTGCGCTGACACTTGACTTATCCATGCTGGGTCTACTTCTACGATTTCACCAAAATTTCAACAACATTGCGGCACGCACGTGACTCGCCGATTGTGTGTTTGGGATCCACGTAAGTTATCTGGGAAATCGATGCGGCAATCTCCAGTCCCTTCATACTGTCGTCACATTGACTGAAGCCTTTTGACAAACCAGGAACAGGAAGCTTCGCATCGTGCTGCTCTCTACAGAAATCAACCCACAACAGCGCTAGTGGGGCTTTCTGTGATCTTTCCCGTAACCTTCACAAAGAGGTGCCTGCTGGCTGAGGGTTTGCCTGGGCGTCTCAGGTTCGTCTAAGGTTCTGTCAGGGATCGTTTGAAGCACAACAGGCCTTGGTGTTGAAAAACACTGTATTCTCAAAGGTGCTGCTAGCTGCTGGTATCAGGGCATAGCGTGATATGCCGAGGCCGAGGCCGTCTGACCCTGCTCACGTTCCATCCGTTCCTCAAGTGAGCTTTGCTTGGACAAAGACGGGATTTGCACCTACAGTACTGGGTGTAGTGAGGGCAAGACAACTTTTAACCCGAGGCTCCATGATATCGATGGGCGTCTTGCAGACCGGACACTGTTTGTCCAGAACCAAGTGCCTGAACGAGCAGGAGCCTGTGAATAACTTGAAGAACACAGCCCTTCCAAGCTAGCGGAAGTTCGAGGACGGTTGGGAAGAAGGGAGGTTCTCGCCTAAACCAGGATATAAAAAGATCTGTCAACCAATCCTGATACAGGGTTTGGGCGCCAAGGGCGCTTGCTTCTTTAAGTTCAACAGCTCCTTCATGGGGAAAGTGGCTTTCCAATTTTGGAACACTCTTGCATGTCGCTGGTCTTGAGGGAAGCGCGCGCAAACTCTGCATGATAAGAATACATCGTCCACAAATCGTACTGCTGAGTCGGCCTATCAATGTTGCAGTGGCGCCCCTGGGAGGAAGAAGACTCGCCACCTCAACACGACGAGCAGCCCAACACTGGCCGGATGTGACACAGCCTTTTCCATCACTTTGGAAGCAGGCAGGCAGGGTGCGCGCAAAGCATGGCGGTGTCAAACCCTTGCGATTTAATTGCTCTTGCAGTTCCTGGTCGATGAGACCTAGTGTGGGCAGTAGCCAGCTCCAGCCCTTTCTAGGCCGGGTGCCCACGACGTGGAATAAGTGCATGCAGGGGAGTCTTCGTACCTGGCAACAACCACTCAGTTGGACGGCGAATTGCAGGGATGAGAACCCGCAACTGGCAGCAGCAGGACCTTGTCGCCAACTTGGAAGCACTCCAGGCAGATGGGGCACGCCTGCATGTTGCCGAGATGCCATGCTAATTGAGCTGGAAACGGGACTGAAGATTCGACTGAGTTCTGCAGTGTCATGACTGCCACATTGCCAGCAGGGTCCTCCTTTTGCAGTCCAATATCTTCCTCCCGTACCGCGACAGTCAAGGTATTCTCCTGATGTGACAAGCTGTGACAAGAGCATCGAAACTTGTCTGCGAACATCTGAACTACTGAAACGAGAAGGTATGCCAGGAGATTGGACAGGACATGACAGGACTGCCGCAAGGCAAGTGCTAAGAGTTGGTTTTTGCTTGGAATCCGCCCCTGTCAGCGTGGTGGAAGGGAAGAAGCCATGCTCTTTGGGGGTGCGGGTACGAGGGGGGCGGAGGGGCGCGTTTGGGCTCAGGGCTTTTGATCTAGGAGTCTAGGGGTTGATTCAATCGTGGGCTTATGTGGACTTAGCGGTCTGTGCAGCATATGCAACATCGGGCATACTTTGCATGGTTGATGCTATTTACAATGACGTGTTGTTTCGTGCGAATCAGGTGACTAAGTCTCCAGCTACTATCATGGAATGGGTGGCAAAAGGTAGGTCTCGCGGAGCAACGATATGCATGACCTGCAGGCCAGGGCTACACTGCAGCAACATCTCCCAAGCCACCTCTCAATCTCACTGCTGTACACCGCAGCACGCTGCAGTACAGGATGAAACTTACAGACAGCTGCGATCAAGCCGAAATCTCCTTGGCGCCCCGCGCAAGCAACCATCGAGGTGTACCACATCCGCAGGATGAGGTTCAACAGCAGGACCCCTTACCATTGTGAACTGAAAGGGTTAACTTTGTTGAGCAGAGCTAAGCCTGCTGACACTCTGCACGACATGCTGAGGAGGTGTCCGGCAGAATGCTTCAAGGCCACTGGACAAAGCAAGTCGTACTCCAGTGTGAAGACCTCAGAGGCTGGCTGCTAAAGTCTCCGCGGAAATTGAATCATACCCTTCCAGCATCTCTAAGCATCTTCGACCATCGTTCAAAGCCCTCTAAAGTGCCCAAAGTTCCCAAGTCGAAGCGACCCCATGCTCTGGCAGTGACGTTGGTTCGTCCTCGGTCACTGGAGCCACACTTCAGGCGCGTGTACCTCGCGCAGCAAGCTGCTCATCAGGGCTTAGGGGAGACCGGAGCACGCAGGAGGTGATGATCAGGTGATGGGGTCTTCGGAGTAGCGGGTTTTTCAGCCGAGGGCCGGTTCTGTTTGTACTGGGATTCTGCCCGCTGCACCAGTCTGAAAGTCGCCTTCCGAATAACTTCGATGAGGCTTCCGATCTTGGCACATGTCGCTTAATGTCGCTTTATTCGGCCTGCGACTTTGACTGATTGCAGTCACTCCGCGGGAAAAAAGCACGGGCTGACATCCGATTCCCAAAGCGCATGATGTTCTGCGCCTATTCTTGGCACCTTGCCAGCATTGCTTTCAGCAGCGGTCTGGGGTCAAATGGCTAGCTGCGCAGCCGTTCTTCCCAAGCGGTCCTCTCTTTTTGTGTGGGAATCTTCGTTACTGCTGCCACGTTCGTGCTCTGGACACTGAAGCTCTGGAACCGCACTTGCTGTGCATTAACGAATCGGCGACCTGCTGGTGCGTTTGCACCCGTCACCGTGATTCTGTTGCATTGGGTTGAATTACAGGCGCCGGCCAAAACTAGAATGCTCGGCCTCCTTGGCAATGAGGGCGGACAGCATTCCGCTGTGCAATCTGCTCTCCGCAAGGTGCCACAAATTCCACCGGCACGTCAGGCCCTTGGCGGCAGCTTGTGCAGGACCTGACACTTCGCCGAAGCATTTGGCCGCTTGAACATCTGGCAGCTAATTTTGAACAAGTCCTAAAGTCAAGGTCGAGGCACGGTTCAAAACAAGATCAGACGTGGCAATGGATTTCCGTGATTCGGCAACCTCACGCACCTCGCGACCTCGCGACCTCATCTCGCCACCTCGCGGCCTCCTTGCGGCCTCTCAGCCTCACCTCGCGACCTCGCCGTCTCACCTCACCTTGTCACACGTTGTCAAGTACGTTCTGTTCGTAATTCAGGATTGAAGATGGACAAAGGTCTGGAGCGCTGGAAGCCCTGTGGGTTTACAAGCTTCAACTGGTAGAAAGACTCGAAGTCGGCCTTTCCGTATTCAATCTTGGTTCTTTGATTCTCTCGGCCTTGTTGCAACGGTGTAGGTCGCTCCTGTGCAATCACTCAGAATGTACTTGTGGCCTTTGCACGCTCGCGTGCACGCCGAAGCTGTCGACTCTGTTCACGCTCGACACGACGAGCAAACTCCTCAAAGAAAACAGACGTTGGAGTCATTGGATCGTCACCATGCTGCATGCTGAGATTGAGAATTTGTAACCCGGTGCGCAGTGGAACGAGCATTTGCATGAACATCTCCTCTAGTGGCTCCCAGGCATTGGAATCGCTGTCAGCGGCCTGCTTACACAAGCTCTTACCAGCGACGAACGAGCAGGTGACTATGGTAGAGGGCAGGCGGCGGCCTCTTTCGCCTCAAGCTCTCGGCCACAGAAGGTCAATCGCAAAAGCGCGCGCCGGGTGCCGTAGCCTCAGCATTGGCATTGTGGACCCTGAGCACCCACTCGCAAAGACCGCGGAGGGTGGGTGCGGGGATTGTGGCCCGTTACTTGCATCTATAGCAGTATAGCATCGCAAGGCCAGTGCAGTCACGACACGGTACAGTCCGTGGGCAAGCCTGGCAAAGAGGGACCTGCAGAGAAAGAACCATCATGCAAACTTTCGATCATCATTTGTGGCAACCTGATTGTGGCAACATGTTCGTGGCACGGGCAAGTACACATGTAGTTGAAGCATGCTCCGGGCCTGCGCAGCCGGTTCCGCCGTTGTCGCAGAAAGGCTGCAAGTGCAAGGTCGATTCTATCCGTCGGGTTGGGCCTTCAAACTGAACGCATTGATGCCCTTTCTGACCGTCTCTCAATACGCACCCCGTGGTCCCCCCCAACAAACATGTGGCCTGTACGCCTCGCCGATTGCAAAGCTATCCTGAGAAGCCTCTGAGGCTGCCGAGGTGGAGGATTCCTCCTGAGGCACGCAGCTTCATCCTCTGAATCCTTCGAAAGCCATGCTTGAGCCTCAGCAGCCCATGACGCGGGGACCTGCCACGCGTGCATCCAAAACATGAGAGTCTTACCCCGAAAAGAAACGGATTGAACTTTCGGCGTGTTGCACGCTTCATGCCATGTTGGTTTCAGCACACCTGCGCATTGTGGCCAGACAATTCCATCACGGTCGCGCAAGCTGGCTGCACCAATTCTGCATCGGACCTTCGTGGTGCAGATCTTTAGGGACCGCGACTCGAGGCTGAAGTTGATATGCTATATATCTGTCCGCAAGTGCAATATAAAAAAAACTTACCAAAGGGCTGAGACTGAAGCTGCCAGACGCGCTCGGATGCAGTGTCGTTGCACTCTGCACACACCTGATGCAAAGCAAAGCCCGAGAACATCACCACCCACTTGCACAGCAAGAGGACGGATGAGAACCCAATACTCTGAAGACCTGAACGGCAGGGAGCACCAAGGAACAAAGCGCCGTTGGAGAGGGCTCTGTGATTTTTTGTGCTTGCGAGTTACGTCGGAGCGCCCAGACCAGGGTGATGCGGCAGAGGAGGCAGAGGCCAACTGCTGGGAGGCCAGGCCGATCTGAGAAAAAAACACTTCACCCACGAAAGGTGCAACGTTTGAGATCTTGACATTCTTGAACGCGACACTCTTTAGCAAAGCATAACGCAAACAGGATCTCACTAGGCCTCATCCAGCACCAGTGACCACATCTCTGGCAGATGGGCTTGAGCAGGTTGGGGAGACCTCAAGCTCTTCATGCCGTGTTTTGTCTTGCCATGCAATCTAAGCAAGCAGCCAACAGAAGGCTAGCTATTGCAGAGATCAACATCTCATTGTGTGCCCAGCTTGGGAGCCGGCTTGCTCGCTGTTGCGTCCTCGTTCCGCCTCTCTCTCCGGACGACCTGAAAACCGCACTTGGCAGTGTTCAGTCTGGTAAGTGCGCAAGTGCCAGCATGTTACCCTGCAGAGCTTTTGGCTGGCGCAGGGTCGAGAGGGTCTGCAACGACTCCTGCACTGGACAGCTTGGCCAGATGCACAAAAATTGGTCTCGGGCTCGTAGATGCTTTTATCGTCTCTGGTTTTCAGTGCCAGTACAATGTGTATAGCACCTCGCAATGCTCAGAGTAGACCTTTAATCAAAGCTTCGGGTCGTTGGCTTAAAGGAAGCTAGCCGGGCTAGCTCAGAACCAGCTTTCTAGTACTTAACTAGTAGTTGTGACTTGTTTGAATGCTTCCTTGCAGACGGATCGAATGAAAGCGGCCTTGGTCTTGAAGCGCCGGGGAAGGGCATTTTGGCAGCTCTTCCTCTGCCTGTGGATGACTGGATGCAGTGACACGTAGGAGCCCAGAATGAAGCTTGACGCAGAAGTACAACGGCACAAGCATGTACAATCACTCTTCACACAATTCTTGCGCCTCTTCAACAGCCTGCGCCTGGCGGAGCAGTTCAGCCGCCACAAAGACCGCAGAGGCCTGCGGAGTACTGGGCCCTTTAAGGTGCAGATAGCTGCAGAACACTCAGAATAATCTCAGAACACCCTGCCACATTCATCGATATCCATATGCACAGGCGCCTGGGCCTGTGCCAGTTGCTGCTGTCTGCTGATGGACTCTGCCAGCCTGTCGTTTCACACGCCACTGCGGAGCCGGTGTCGAGGCCACGGTGCGGCAGAACTACCACGAACGCCATACGAACGCCTATCAGACCTATCGCGAACACAGATCACTTCGGTCAATAGCATTTATTGTGCCTCTTGCCGTCGGTCAAGCGATGAATCCTTGGCATTCAAAATGTAGTTGAAGTATGCGTGACCCTGTCGACTGCAACGGGGCAGAGTCCCGAGCCGTCTTTCCACTTGCCTCGACGTCTCTGCAAGCCTTGCGCACAGTCTGTCAACCTCGAGTCGAGTCCATATCAGGATGAAGAACCGAAGGTTTCGAAGGATGTGCGAAGGATGCGCTGAGTCAGCGACCTCCGTGTCTCCACACGATGCAAGTTGTCTGGGAGCATGCACATGCGAGTCGCATGGAGCCACAGCCTGGTGTTCTGCCTCGGGCTCCTCGCTGCAACCCGGAGACCCGTGTCTCCGAGAACGGTCATCCTGCCACACCACCTCTCGGTTTTGTCTTCCAGCGTGCCGTGTCGAAGCTGGCTGTAGGCTCTCCTGTAGGTCCGAGACCTGCCGGGTCGGAAACCCTGTAGAACTCCCTAGACCAACAAACTTCCCGGACACTCGGCTCGTCTTGGCACAGTGTGTTGAACGATACCTATAGCGCATTCTGCATTCTGAACATGTCAAGGTGAGTCTATGAGGCTCCATGCGGGTCGGTCCTGCACTTCCCGCAGCCTCAGAACCGCCTGAGCCAGCTGCAGGCGCCGGGCCGCCGCCTTTCGCTTCGCCTCCTCCTCCGCACGCTGGGCTCCAAGGCGCTCCCCAACACCTCTGAGTAGGGAAGGCTGCGGAAGCTGCGCTCGCTACAGAAGCTTTGCAAAACCAAAAGGGAATGAAAGGGCCCGAAAGTAACTGTCAAACTTAAAAGCCGCAGCTATAGCACTTCTCACTCACGTCTCCCTCCTAGCCTGTGGAATCGTCCACTTCCCCAGACAGCGCGCGTGCTTCAGCTTTCAAGCTGCAAAGCGTCGCTTGCGTACTTCGAGCTTCCGCAGCTGCATGCTCACGATGGAGCTTCATCAGCTCGTCGTACATCTCGCTGATCAATTTCAGCTTCCTGTTGGCCTCCTCTTCGGACACAGCACCGGTTGTGAAAGTCGAAACCCCTGTGCCTGGCATTATCCGCCCTTGCGTCTGCCAGGATGACGCGGGGACTTCCGAAGGGGTTGGCAGCCCCCTTTTTTCATCCCCTGGCCGGCTTGACGAACTTTGAGCGCAAAGAGATGGATCCGAGCCGAGGCTTCCCATGTGTGGGTTGGCCAAGGTGCGGCGCATGGGGCGTTTCAGGGCATGCGATCTAAGCAGACATGCAGTTGCACGAGGCACGTTACTTTACATGCTCGAAGCTGGGAATGATTGAATCATGTCGAATAGCAATAGTATCTACAGTTACCATATTGGACGGTAAAGGCAAATGCTGGCGGCGGGCAGGTCCAGAATTGCTGCATGGGACACCTATTCCGTCAATGTTCTGCACCAGCTGGCTATTTTCTTGCACTGAAGCAGATCTCTTCATTGGCTGCACCACAGGCAGCAGGATCCACTAGGCCTGGCAGGGGCAGCACATCCCTGTACTGTACCAGATCCAAACCAACATCTGAGTCCAACACCTCATTTTTAGGCATCTTCCAGTCTCTGACGCGGCCAGCCGGATCGGCATGGGCCTCATTTCGCAGCACATAGACATAGACATAGACGTAGACATAGATATAGACATAGACATGGTAGGACAACAGTAGCCTCTGGACACTGGCAATGCTCGACAAATAGCGATGATTCCCAAGACGACGCAGCCAACAACACACAACTCTTCTCATCTGCCAGGTTGGCAGGTTTGCTTCTTTCAATTTCTTTCATTGATGCGCTAAGAGGTCCGCCGCTGCCGGGGCTGGTCCAAGCAAGGAGCAATCTTCCAGGACTTCGCGCAGCCTCGATCAGATCTGAGTGAAACCAAACAGTTCGCAAACTCTAGAGACACTAGAGAGTCTGGAGACCAATACGGGAGTCGGGGGCCGAACTTCCTGCCAGATGCACCGGCAAATTGAGTCTCCTCGCGCTTCTACCCGCTCAAGTGACTGAAGCGGCGCTTCGAGTGCAGTGCAGAACTGTTGTTAATTGGCGTGGGGCTTCAGTCCGCATGCTTCCAAGCAAAAGGGCCAGCAGCATTTCTTCACCCGGCAGTTGAAGCGATGGAACAGATCTGCTTTTCGCAGATAAGAGACTCAGAGTATCTCAGAGTCCAACGGCATATCGCAGCATGTGAACCACGACAGCCATGTTCATACCATTTAAAAGGAAGTAGCATGGGATCGTGTACTTGACGATGCCCGCGTCCGCCAGCGACTTCCCCACGGAAGCTCGATAAGTACTGCAATAGAGTCTGCGCAGAATCAAGTACATCATGGACAGGACACCTCCGACTTTTGCATTCACAAGGAAGCTGAACATCAGCGAGCCAGCCATAAAGGGGGTCATCTGTTCAACCTTCGTGCTTTGTGCGCGAGTGATACCCTTGCTGCTCTGTCTACATGTTCCGAACTGTCAAGCTATAATAATAGTCATAAATAACAGTGTAACAGTAAGCACTGTGACCACTTCAGAAGCCTGATTCATCTGGGTCCGGTCCGCCAGTTGCACTTCTTCTGGCTCTGTCGCTGGGCGTTCGCTAAGTGTTTTCTTCTGGTAGCCGTGCTTCTGCTTGGCAACGCCGACGCCCATCACATCATAGACCTGGGCTTCTTTCGAGGGAGTGGGAGTGGAGTGGACTGGAGTGGCTGCGGACCTGCCAGCTTCTCTCTCCCAACTTCATCCATGTCAGCATCGGCCATTCGACACTTGGGAAGTATGGAAGGAGCTCCTTATGATGAAGTCTTTGTACAATCTGTGGGCATGTGGCAAACTGGGTGCTCGATCGCCTGGCGACCATGATTGAGCAGTGGGGTTGGCTTTGCAGTGGACATGCTCAGGCTAGCCATGTCCATGTTTGTACTCTCGCTTTTCCAAAGGCAAAGTCTGCAATGCCAACCTCCCCGAAATCACCAGCGCCTGCTGAAAAACCGCAAGCCGCGTCCAGGCAGTAATGCGTGCGTGCCTGTGTCCTGATTGGTATCGCGATTCTGGCGGAGGCCCGCGGCTTGTGCCGACGGGGGCGATGCGCCCAGTTTTGTTGCTCCACGCGCTAAAATCAAAAGTTAGTTTCTCGGCCCATTCAGCTTCCTGAGTTTTTCGGGTCTCCCGAATTTTCCCCCTTGGTTGGCTGTTCTCTCAGGCCACTACTTCTTCAGCTGGCTCCAACAAAACTCGTGCAGGAAAAAATCAGGCCTTGAGAGTTTCATGCTTCAACACAGCAACGCAGGAATGCAGGACTCAAGGCATCACAGGCTTCAGACTTTAAGAGCCTTGCCGGAGAATCCGGGAATCTCAACCATCGAAAACCATTTTCAGTCGCGAGCGAAACAGGGCCCCAAGCAAATTCCGTGACAGGTAGCCCACGGGCCAGCCCGACTCGGTTTAGCAAGTCTGCCGGGTTCGCCGGCCTAAAATTTACTATGGTGGCCCAGTTTCAGTTGGTTCCAAGGAGCCAGGAAGGCTGTAGGCTTCAAGGGCTTTGGTTTCGGCCCAGGCGCCCGTGCTCCCCCATGCCCTCCCCCCCAATGTTTTTCGCGGGGCCCGGGGAATGCTTTGGGGGGCCCCTTACTACACCGAGCTCAACATTACCAGAACTAGGGTGCAGGACCAAGGCAACAGGTTCTGGATGTAGATTGCTTGTTCTAGCCCATATACTCGAAAAAGTATAATGTTTTATCCTGACTCGTGTCCCCCGGATGGCGAGGCTGTTGAATAGAGTTGTTGTCTAGAAATCGCTTCTGAACTGAGCTTGAGAGAGAGCCAAGATCTGAGCCTGAGCACAGGTTTCTATGCCAAGATGGGGATCCTCGGAATTAGCAAAGGTTGAAGAATGGAACGTTGAGAGTCCATGAGCCCCGGCCAGCCGTTTAAGCACATAGATGAACGATGATGACCGTCAAGAGTTTCTGGGCAACGCAGTCGGGATGGGTCAAGCAGCATCGGTCTTCATGTGTGCGCTTAGGGCTTCATATGCTTGACGCCTAGGGGCATGGTTTGGACGTGTCGCGTCCTAGCTACGAATTCGAATCCGAACCGCATGTGAGCCACAAGAGTGGCAGAAGCAGCTACCCTCCTCCCCTTTCCCCCGAAATAAAGAAGAGCACGTGCAACAAATAAGGTTTGCGAACGTTTTGTGTTTAAAGCTACCGTGAAACTGCTCATGGATGTGCAGGTCTTGATCGTTTGCTTGCCTATTTCCCGCTTGTAGTCAAAAGCTTTGGCGTGGCCGCTCTTATCCGTCTTAACCCACTCCTGAATCCTAATGCTCCCTCCCCTCCGAGAGTTACCATCAAGAATCAAGAAACTTTCATGAGAGGCAAGCGCAGCAAACCAAATACGCCGGATTCGTGGCCCCACTCCACCTACATAATGCTTCCGTGGTACGCTGTACGTGATCGACCATAGGCCCATAACGGCAAATGTTAGCCACATCTCACCGACGATGTCTTCCGGCACGGACCCTGGCTTTCGTCCGAAGAAGAAGGACAGCGCTGAGCCCAGGCCAGCATACCTTCGATGCCGAAGTTATCAGAATGTATCAGAGCATGCGTGGATGCGTGGGAGGCTCGGATGAGGAGAACTCATCATCTCATCCCCAGGCCAGGAAACATGCATTATCAACATGCTGCCTCGATGCGCGCATAAAATCCCACCCGCCGAGGGTGGATGCGGAGCCATGACGAAGATGCGTTTGCCGGCGCTTGTGTGCCCGAACTTCTGTGAGCCAGTTTAAGCGCAGACTGCGGAACGAGCACATGCGCAACGAGCACTTGATTGAGAGATGGTGGCATGGACGGGAAACTATGCCAACGTATCAACCATTCGGTGCTTCAGGATCTTCACTCATGCTTCATTGTCCTCCACTCCTTTCCAGAAGAAGATGTAGCAAGGCACGCGCCTTTGTCGAGCCGACCCCTCAAACAACGATGCAAGATGCAGGCTGGAATGGTGAAGCGCGGGACCCAATGGAGTGACCCAAGCGTGTGGCGTGGCCGCCCATCGCCTGGCAACTCCGGGAAGCTGAACGATGTCCGCACCTTCGCGGACGTCTTGTTGACTGATTCAGACTCCACCCAGAAAACTTGCACGGCACTGTCCTGTCTTGACACAAGCTGGTTTGCGCGCAAAGGCGCGCAAGAAAACCCACGTAGGGTATGCTTTCGCCAAGACCTGCGATGATGGTGCAGACATGTGCAGAACTTCATTGGCTTCACCACTCCACATGTCGTGTGTTCAGACCTCAAATTCTGCACGCATCGCGGCACTGGCCGCCGACCAGGCAGCCCCAAGCTCCAGCACCACCCACCTCTTTGGCACTGCTTCAGCAATGCTCTCGTTGAGTTCCTATATGTTCCTATGCTGTGACACACTGACATGTTTCTTCATCTTGACACAAGCAGGCTCCTGCTCATTGCCCATCACACTGTCGTAGCAACAACGTCTCACAGCTGCACCTCTGGCGAATTATGTTAGATTTTTGAGTGGGCGGGAAGCCTTCTGCCAAGCGCTGAGAGCAGTAGGTCCAGCTCCTCCAACTGTTTCAGAACTTCGATGTGGATTTTGCAAGAGGGTCGGGAATGGCCGGGATTTCGGCAGGAGCGCGAATCTCGCTGATAGTGTCCGGATTTTTCAGGAGCCCAAGTCTGCCACCATGCAGGCGTCCTCCTCACCCTGCAGCTGCAAAACCAGTCCAGGGTATGGTAGTGACGAAAGTCTTGCTGCGATGGATGCGTCCTGTCAGGCAGCAGCGGCCGTTGGCTGTTCGTCTTTACTTACCAAGTCATCACCGAGGGCTCGCTACAAACGCCGCAAGCCCCCTTCGAGTACGCAGTTTATGCAGTTCAGCATGGGTGCTGGAGTGCCCTTCAATATCAGGACAGGCGTCCAGGGGGCGAATCTCCGAGCCCGTGTAGGGCTCGCCATCGACTGTCACTTCGCCAGATGCATTCCTGAGACTCCAGCTTCGCGATTCGCAACATGATGAACGCAGCGAGCTGCATGAGCGTCGTCGAATTGTCGCAAACTTGTCTCAGCTACTTCGTTGCGCTCGCGCAGTCTGTCCACAAATAATCTTCTGGGCAAGGATCGAGTCGACAGCGTTCTTCGAATCCTTGGTATGGGTCGAGGCACTTCTAACTTATAAACTTGCAACCTCACATCCTGATCCGTGAATGCAGGTGCGATGACATGTGTCTCCTCATTGCGCTTCCGAGTGTCGGTCGAAGTCTGAGGCAATTCAGTGCCAGTGGGAAATTTGAACATCGAGGCGCGCAAGCAGCTGTCTTGTGCTGCTTCATGTCATGTCATGCCACTTCTGTCGCTGTGTCCTAGAAGAGCCTTGAAGCCAATGCCAGCAATCTGCTGCATGCTCATTCTCGAAGCATCTCAAAAGGTACTGCATGAGCCTCTGAACTAGTCTCACACACCCGCTGCATCACTCTTGCCGACCATGCATGATTCGAATTGTCATGCGCTGGAGCAGCGAGTCTGCAAATGCAAACTATTCAAGGAACCATGTACGTCAGCCTGGAGTGATCAGCCTCATCGCTCCCGACTGTGACTGTCGAAAGGACATTCTCTTGTGGGGCACGGCTTGCTGGTGTTCCACTCGTTTGCCATAAAGTACCTCCCCCAAGCGCGCTTATGTTGCAGAGCTAGGCATCTGGGAAGAGCAGTGAGAAGCAGCCAAAGCACAGCTGTCAAGGCCCCCCGAATGCCTGTGCTCCTCAATGAGTCCATGCCGATTGTCTTCGAAGATGGTTTGCAGCTTCAGATGGCGAGTGCCTTGCTTTAAAGGGGAGCCTTTGCTCACACGAAGGGATCCAAGATTTCTTCTCTCGGGGCCTTCGTCCGCCCCGGAAGCCAGGAACGCCTTGGAACGCACAGAGTTCGACTCTTCGGAGGTTCTTGTAAGCATCAGCCTCCACCCCCCTCTCCCCCCTCCCCCCTCGCGCCTTGCAGACGAAGTGGGACATTTTGAACTGAAAGCAAACAAGAGGCACCTGACACAAGATTCAGGTTCGTTCCCTTTGCCTACAGTATCAAGTGCCCAGTAACCCAGGCCTCCTCGCTTTGATTCAGCTGGAAAGGGCCCTCGATGCTCTGCGTATTGACTCTCTCCGAAGCCTGACAGGGTTTTAAAGAAACCAATCTTCGGTCCCCAAGCCTGAGTCCATCTGCTACACCTCCCCCTGTCACAACGATGATGTGCGGCACACTTCAGGCAGGGATGGGGGGAGAGAACCTAGCCAACCTTGCGTAACATGCATTCACCCAATGGCATCTGAGCCGGTTTTTCGTCAGCAGAATGCACGCAGCCTCTGCTCAAACGAAGCAAGTGCTACCATAGTAGTAGCACAACGAAACACCGCAAAGCGTAAACATTAGCGCGGCAGCACGAGTCGATCGACTTTGTGAGCTACATGACAACTTGATACAGTGTACTGCAGTTTGCAACTTGACATGACTGTCAAAGCCACAGCCAAGTCAATCGGCTCTTCTTGATTTCCTGCCAGGTGTTGTTTTCCTCACAAAAACAACGAAAAGCCTGCCAAGGCACCGCAACAGCAGACAAGCACTTGTCCAGTTTTGGGGGCCCAGGCATTGCTGACCGAGTGCTTTCAGCGCCACGGCTGCTGTGGCTCAGACTTGAAAGTCGCGACAGACTTGTCCAAGTGAGTCCACCTCCATGAAAAACTTGGCCGGGCGGCAAGAAGAAGGTGCACAAAACTCTTTCTTTGAGGTGCTAAGACGCGTGCGTATGCTTATGCGTACTTTGCAGGTATTCTGCAGACATGTTGCAGATAACTGCTTGCAGAGCCTCCTTCTGGAGCCCTGCAAGCTCGACTTGGCAGCTCCTGCCCGAAGAAACCACATCTGTGAGCGACAGCAGGGCCTAAAAGATGGATGTAGGCGGATCCTCAGCTGCTCCGTGGTGTGATCGACCTTTGCAGAGCAGCCCGAGGACCCATATGACAAATAATATACAAGAATGCTGCAAAAACAGAACATTCCTGCAGAGGCGCTGAGGCGTCAGGCTGCAAGACATTCAACGAATTGGAGTCGCACCACTAGGGCAGTGGCACATTTGTGCGATTGGGTGCCGAGGCCTGTGCAGCCTGGGCAGGCGGCGAAGCTGGTCCCGATCGAAGTTGCCGCTGCCTCTCAAGCAGAGAGGAGACAGGCGACGGTAACAAAAACAAGCACAGGATGTCTACAGATCACTTTGCCGAAGACATTCCGAGTGGTGGCAGTCATGGCCTCAGCTCTTGTGTGAGCAGCGCCACCTGCGATGGAGAAACCGGCCGGACCTGGAAAGGAAGCTGCATTGCATGGAGTCACAGGCTCGTACCCCGTCATTGCGAGAACCTGGGCTTTGAGAGTCGGACTACAATGTTCATGCCTGGAACTGCCTGGCGAAACAAGAAATAGGCGCATATCTTACAGGCAGTACGAGTCGACCTTGGCAACAGCGGCCGCCGCCGCTTTTGCCATGGCCTTGACCTTTACCACTTGAATCCGCCGAAGCAGCAGAGGAGCGCTGACAGTATTGGAGCTTGAGACTTAAGATGACTGGCGCTGCAAACTTGGCTTGGGCCTCCGGTGCCATGAAGCGCGGAGTGTTGGGCACCGAAGTTCCGCATAGTGCATTCGGAGTGAAGGCCTTGGGACAAGGCTCTTGGCAGGATCCTAAAGGAAAAGGCGAGTGCGTAAGCGTCTAATTATTTCACCTTCGGATGAAGTGACTCACGAGACTAGGAACCTGTGCTGAACTCTGACTGTCTGTGTCTGGGAGCTGGACATAGGCAGCAGGCGGAGTCGCCGCCCGGCGCAGAGAAACCTAGTGCCGAGCAACGCTGCGTCACCATGCAGGGCGGTCAACGTTTGCATCGCTCTGCAAGTGTTCATGCTGTCCATGTGATTCCATGTGCAAGATTGTCACAAGATTTGTCAACAAGGCTCGAGCATTCTCCACGGATTGGCTTCTCGGCCTGTGCAGTGCAGGGCTGGGAGATCGAGAAGGCCTCAGTGGGATGAGTGCCTCTGCTCTTTCAGACTCGTTGCCAGGCGTTGCCAGCTACCCCCAAAATTTCCCCTGCTGCAAAACGCTGAGAGCACGGCTGTTGCTCCCATGCCCTTGAAGCTGTGATGGGGACTGTCGGTGTTTGCAACACCTGCGTGCAAACTACCATATTCAGTCGGAAGCCGAGCAATTCGAAACTGAAGAGCGAACCCGTGTGGCCTGTGGAACCGGCCATGCCACTGGAGGTGATTGTGCAAGAGCCGCAAGAGGAGGCACTGTTTGGCTTGGTCGGCTTGGTAGTTGAAGCTGCTGCGTGGGCAGCAGATGCTGCGCTGGCATGCTTTGACGGCTGTGCCCCGCGTATCGACAGGCTTGCGGCCCCACCTGACATCGGTGATGAACATTTGAGCAAATGATGAGCCAGCCTTGTCGCCAGCGTTGTCTAGCATTCGGCAGGCTCCGTGGATCTCCGCGATGTACCAGTCTCAACACGTACATTAACTTTTGACGCCAAGCCCCGTGCCTGACATGGTGCACCTGCCAGCATTTGTGAAATCTACCTTTCAGTGGGTCATTGATGCACCCTCCCCCCCCCCCCCCTCCCTCTCTTTTTCCACAGTCGCTGGTACACAGAGAGGGTTCAGCCATTGCTGAAGCCCTTGGAAAGTGCCATCCAGGACATTGGGATGCACTCCTCTGTCTCACTCAGTGGTGGGTGGTGGCCACGCCGGCCTCTACGACCCTACGTGGTGCAGGTTCTCGAACCTTCGAAAGCTTGGGGCTTGAATCCAGCTCCCAGATTTCCGGGAGGTCTGAGGATTTTCTTGTGAAGTCCTCCTGAACAAAGTCATTTGCACCTTGTCAGGATATGTCAGTAACAAGATGACACAAGGCACAAGGAGCATGTGTTCTTCGTACTCTGGCATCTCGTGAACTCTGCTGCCTCAGGAGGTGGTCTTCTTACACTTGGAGAGTGGAACGTTTGGCCTTGGCACGGAAAGCAATCAGCTCCGCTATTCGGGGCACCGTCTCTTGAATGCATGCCAGAAAGCATTGTCTCTATTCGATTTTCAGTGGGATCGAAGTACTTGATCTCGCACTTGCCGTTCTCCTCCTGCAGGGGTGGCCGCAACAGTTGCGCAGTGTTTCAAGCACACCATAGCACACCACATGGCTCCACCAGTGAATTCAGCAGATTGAGCGCCACTAGTTCGCCCGCCTTCAAGATCGTGGCCAGCACGGCACCGTGGATGGAGTCGATGCCCTCCGTTTTGCAGCCACTGTCCGCATAACTTAGGCGACTTACGCCAATTTACTATAATTTACTCTTGACATCACAGAAACAACAGCACGATGTGTGGCATATCATCATGGGCAAGCCAACCGAGCCAACCTCCACCAACACGACGTCTCCGGCGCCCAGGAGTTCGTCCTTGATGGACTCTACCTGGCCACCTTCGATTTCATCGCCCTGAACCTTCGACATGAGATTCTCATCCTCAGTTCGGACAGCGTAGTTTCGAGCTACGAGTGCGGCTATGGGGGCTTGACCAGGATCACACTTCAACAAAATTGGCCTCGGACAAGGTCCTTGTCATGATGAGCAAATCCACCAAGGTAACGGTTCAAAAAGGGTCCTGGAGAGTGCCAGTTCTGCCCAACTTGCACTGCGCACAGGGCATGCTACATTTACATATCACCACGCACATCGTTCCGGACAAGAGTTGCAGTCACTCTGAGCGCCAGTCGCAAGGCCACGATTGGGCCAGAAAGGAAAGTTTTCCTGAAGATTCTGGCAGAGCAACTTCTGTGCCCAGAAGTACACGATAGCAAAGGACCATGCCAGTGACTGCGCTGCACACTTGGTACTTGCAAATACTGTTGATGCAGGGGCTCTGGAGCTCAAAGATCTTTTCCGGAATCCCTTGTCCGAGCAGAAACGTGCAAACCTGGCAGGGTGCTTCTGTCTGTGTGTGTCTCTGTGTGTGTGTGTGTGTGCGTGTGTGTGTGTGTGTGTGTGTGTGTGTCTGTCTGCCTGTCTGTGTCTGTCTTGTCTGTGTTGTGTCGTTGCTGTTAACCAGAGCGCCCAATGAAAGCGCAATGTCAAATGCAACATGTCTGAGGCACTTTGGGTCATGCGACTAACATCGACAGCATCTACGTGGCATGATCTTGGCTGTGCGCTGCGCGAGTGTTACACTCACCCACCTCGTTGCTGAAGTGGTTGCAGCTGTGTGAGAGAAGATCGTACGTGTGCAGTCCGGTATATCGCTCCTGGAGACATATCTTTTTGCACAAATCTCTTACTGTCCAAGGAGTGCTTGCATGACGTGTGCTAGAACTTGCTCTCCTGAACTCCAGCTCTCAACCACTGGAGGAATTCCTGTCAAAGTGCCGATACACGTGGACGACTCGGCGAAGAACGGAGGTTTGTCAAAGCAAGGCAGCTCGAGAATTGGCCTCGTGAGTCACGAAGGTGTATCCGAGCCGGACAACTGGTAGTTCAGGCATCGCCTCAGACCTAGTCCCGGCATTGTTCCGGCGGAAAGATCGGAAAGAGCAATCAATGCTTCGGAGATTTGTGGGGTATGATTGGACTGCTGCAGCGTAATCTGAGTAGCCGGCTGTTCCAGCTGAATGCCCCAGGGGTTCTTCAGCGGTTCACCAAACTGTTTCCGGCAAGGCGGATTGCTTCGGAAGACTTTGCCACCTGGGCTCAAACATAATTTCAGGAAGGCAAGCATTGCAAACCTCGTGCACTGGTAGCGATGGTGAGCAAGAGGCCGTACCAGTACTCGCTGCCATAAACCAGGACACCAGTGTGCACAGCCTGGCCAGAATCTAACAGACTCGGAGCTCGGATCTCACTTACCGTATGCCATCATGCCTGCATGTTACTTTGCTGTCTTGGCCTCGGCAGACTTCCCAAGGAGCAAAGGACCAAGTTTGGCTGCCATGCCTTGCTCGCGCAAAGTCCACTGCCAGTCTACAAGGCTTGAGAAGACCTGCTATGCAAACGCCCCTTACAACATCCTCCAACATCAGCAAGGTGCCCTTGGAGATGTCGTACAAAAGCAACTCGACCTCGCAACAAGCTTTTGAAGCTGAGCCAAATATCAATATAGCACAACAAAACACGATGCGCGCAAGGGATTCCCGGTCTTGACTCTTGACAGGTAGGGTCAAGCTCGGCAGAGTCATTGGATCGGTTTAAGTGGCTGGCGGACTGCTTCCTCAGTACAGCCGCGGAGTCGTTTATACGGCTGATACGTGCCCTGAACTCCATACTTTCAAGCATTGTTTCTCGTCGACTTTATCTTATTTGATTATTTGATTATCTTTTTATTTTTTCAGTTTGTCTATGATTTATCTCTATTACCTACCTAGTTTTGCATGATTGATGTCATTCTTGATATCTTTATTGTGATTATTATTCTTTGTTGTGGAAGCTTGAAGACTGAAATTGAAACCGTTCGAGCTCGACATTTTGAAGGAGCGAAGAATTAGGTTTTTTGAGCCTGGAACTTGGAGTTTGAAGGCTAGTCATTTATGCGTTCCATCCAATCGCTTGTTGAAAGCCTGACCTGAACCTTTCTATTCTTTACTGGCCCTAAAGCCTGGGCGTCAAGCCCACCTAGCGACGTAAGAAGGCCGCCGATCGGATGAATGTGTCTGCACTGCCCCCCCTGCTACCTGCTCGCTGTTCCTCGCTCATACTCTCGTATTTTTTGTTGACCTCATATTAATAGACCTCCCCGTAATTGCACAATCCAAATCCCAGAACGTAATCATAACCCCCCGTATTTGCACAATCCTTCCGGGCCAAAGCCGGTTGAAAAGCTGCCTTCCCCTAGGTTGCTGAAAACAATAACTTGAATGGCCGTTCGGGTTTGGGCCTTCCTTGAGGCTGCGTCAGGTTTAAGGCCGTAAGGCTTTGCCAGGCAATCATCTTGAGGGTTTGGGGGTGAAGGCAAGGGTCCGTCCAGAGGCTTTTAGTTACGGAGCCCGCAGCCTGTGACCATACCTGGAAGGGGGGGTGGGTTTTGATATGAAGTGAACAATATCGTGTCGTACGTCTGTTACTGTTCAATTCTCTACCGCTAAAAATCTGAGCTTGCAGGCATCTCTGGCCAAGCATCTTCCGCCCAAGCATGTATGCCATCACCTCCCAAAGGTCTACGCGTCCATCCATGTCGACCTTGTCAAGGCCACCGGCATGTGCAGCTCTTTGCCACATGTGCTGCCGCCCCCTCCCAGTCAAACGTCATATACTGAGAGTCCGGCATCTGCCTCCGCAAACACCTCTTCCATCATCTTCCGCGCCTCGCAATGGTTTGTCACTTGTGGCTTGGCAGGTCATGGCAGGCCATGGCAGGTCTACCGCATGCCCTGCCTCGTCGATACTCCTTTTCTCGGACTTGTCGACCTTGCCATCTGTCATCGCCATCTCTTGCAGCCTGAGATACTCCACTCCAACCCATGAAGAGTCTATGAAAGTGGCAACTGCGGACAAGATGCTGCACCAAGTGCTCCTGAACCCATCAAGCAAACACAGAAGAGGCCGTACTGACGAGTGCGACGTGAGTGCACGACACCAGGCTGCTAGGAAACCACCTGCGGTTGTTAACTTACCGCGCCACTCGGCACTCATTCTACGTACCCGAGCCAACTTTCGGAGCCAATCTCTGCTTTTCGGGCACAGGGAAGGCATCTGAAATTCGAGAACAGTGCTAGGACAGAGGGCAGGAAAACCTGATATATCCTGACAAATGCTTCTTGCAACAGTTGAACGGTTCTTGAGCGCTCCTGTAGCTCATCCTTGGTGATGTACCCATCGCCGTTCTTATCCTGTCAAAAGTAGACATGGATGAGACTGCCACGATCCTTGTCGACAACCGGGGCCCAAGCCCACTGATGAAACTGATTCACAAGCCTCGCGCGCAAAGGGAAGAAGGGAAGTGATGCCACTCTCATATGGCTGCAGCTATGCTATCCCTCTACATCGCCCAGGGCCGTTGCTTCGGAAAACTGCTCAGCGAAGGCAGGCAAACAGGGAAAGTTTCTCTTCACAGGTTTTTGAGAGGCTTGTGGTAGTGAGGTGCAGCACGCAATTGAGTCTGACAAGACACACAATCATGATTGAAGAGTCAGGATGCTACAGGTATCTGGCCTCTGCAAGTGAGCAGGGTCATTCTTCATTTTCGCGTTCAACTCCTTTCGAAGCCTGGGCATTTCTGGCACCCACCAGAAACTGAAACAGACGTTTTCGCATCTTGGGTGCATGAGTCAAGCAACCGTTTATGAGCATCAAGGCTGGACAAAGCTTCGCGCTCAATGGCGGACTGATGCTTTGCTTGAATTGCAGTGAAGTGTCTGCGTCAGGTGGCTTGCATCCTCGTGCCCACCAAGCATGGCTGCAACAAACTCTTCCTCAGCAGGGTGTTACGGATTCGCAGAGCAGGGCTGAAAAGGGCAACCACATTCCTTGAAACCTTCAAGCCGCAAGGCAGGCCGTCTCGGACAAGCGACGTATGTGACCTTTCCAGACTTGTCAATGTCCATAACCTTGAAGTATTCCTCTGCAGCAGCGACTGAGGAGGCTTCGTTCAAAGCTCTATCTAGACTCTATACGTTTGTGCGCGTGTAGCTCTTGCAGTTGGCAGATATTATATCGCTGGAGCTACTGGAGCAAAATGGCTCCTTGGTGCTCTGGCGAATGATCGCTTCGTCTTCTGGGGTGAGGTCTCCTGCAGGGTAGCACGAATGTCGGATACTTAGCCAGATTGAATCTGCCATGCAACACGCCGACAGGGTAGAACATGCTGCATTCTCTGCTTTACAACCCAGGCACCGAACTTCTCTCTGCTCGCCTGCAGCTTAGCCAGGCCAAACAACATTGCTTCTCTAGCGCATGCCATTTGTGGACGGCTGTGACAAGGGGCGAGATTTGTGCACGTTCGTTGCATGTGACCTGAGTGTCTGCGTCACATGTCCGGGCCTTGATCCAGATGTCCGTCAGCTCTTGCTCGTCCAGTTGCTTGTCTGAGCCAGCATACTGGGCGAACTGAGCCTGCCCAGAAGGTTCATCCGGCTGTCAAAGTGCGACTTTTCAGACGGTTGTTGGCGCCTCAAGATCACAGAGTAGCGGGCGAAGCTTGCGCTGAGGTGCGACAGCCTGGGAGTCGCCCGGCCATCTGCGCTTTGAGATTCAGAGTCCAGAGCCACTTCAAGAACACACACATAACATCCATCTCACTTGCTAAGCAAGGAGCTGTAAGCTTCGTCTCAACTTTGTGATCATTCCTTGGAAGGCTTGACCATTGATTCGGCAGACTTGCGAAACTTGTCAGGCTGGCATCCGGTTTGCTCGGGGATGCCAAGCTACAGGGAAAGTCCTGAAGCCCTCGAACCGTCAAGGAGTCAAGGCTTGGCCTGCAGGTCCTATTTCCATTTAATTCTTGCCCAGCCTCACACAACATGACAGGATTCCTCCCGCGTTGCCCATGGCTTCAAAAAACACCAGGAGCTTGCAAAGCTACGCTGGATGTTGAACCACACAGCTAAGACACATCACACGCTCTCAGAACGTAGGGATTAACAACGTTTCTGTAAATGCAAAGAGTGTGAAGTCGTCGCGCATGGCTGATTGACATCACAACGACTCTCATGTGCTCGCTGCACGCTCGACCGAGGTGTACCCAGGCCTCCTCCAGTCGGGGGAGTCATGGTCGGCGTGTATGCCCAACCTACATTCGTTCTCAGAGAAACGTAGAGAAATTGCACCCGGAATTTCTCAGAAGACCTTTCCACAGCATCCCTGCACAAGCTGCACTAGTGACCCACGAGCTCAACCTTTTGGAGCCGGGCTTTCAGAGGTCCCGGCGCAGCTCACACTGTGCTCAGTTCAACATAACGGCAGGGATCTTGGATTGAAACAATTGAAACAGCCGTGCCAACCCAAACGCATGCTGATGTATAGCCACACGAACACGATTTGCACTGTGTGTCTCGCAGTCTCGCATCCTTCAATCACTTCGGTCAAAATGACGACAGCGCAATCCAACGTGAGCAGCCCTTTTGCCAGACTCGCCGGCCTCGTGGAGTCAGCTGAGGTTCTAGTGCTGTAGCCTGCGGCAGAAAGGCGGGGACAAATGCCTCGGAAACGACAAGGTGCCAGACACAACTGAGTCAGGCCTGCGGCAAAAGAGCACTGCCCATCGAGTAGCGAGGTGTTTGCAAGCCTCCAGCAGCTATCGCAAGCGGCGGGGTCAGAAACGCAAGAAGACAATACAAAAAACAGGCTGCATGCGACATGTGCATCCTTGGAGTTGCAAGTAGGGATGAGGGGGCATGGAGGATCCCATGCGACTGCCACACACCTCACCTGAGATCGTAGTCACGACAGTCGCGTGGGCAACCCGACTCCTGGTCGAGACATTACAAGGTCTCTGAGCCCATTTCTATACTAAGGATCGCCGTTGCTTGGACTTGAACAAGCACATCGGTCACATTGGCTGCGAGATGTTAAGCTTTGGAACAGTGGCCTTGCTGCCGCTGCTGCTGGTGCTGTTGGCAGTGTCACCGGAGCACTGAACCTCAGGGGTCCAGCTTACAAGACAGTTCGGTGCCTGAAGCCTTACACCAGAGCTATGACTGCGACTCCGCTCAGCACTGATATCCGACCGTTACAGCGTCCCACGGGAATCACACGAACACTGGGGATTGCTCCCGACATGCAACTGAGCTTCAAGCTGTCGCAAGGTTTGCTGGCCAGTCGCAAGATTGACCGGCTCAGACCTTGCCCGGTCACGGATAATAGGGATGCCCAATGGCAGTCTGACGGTGGAAAGACGCAACTTCTAAAGCCTCCAAAAACCTCTCTCCACTTCAGCTGATGGTCAGCTGCTCGCGGCATACACCGATCTGGAGTGGCTTTTTGAGGCACACTTCTTTTGACTCTTGGCAGGCCGTCCCAGTCAAGTGCTGCTCATGGTCAACTCCCTCTTGCAGTCTTGCATCTGAGCCCGAAGGAGGAAAGTTCGTGTGGACAGAGGGCCACCGAGCTGCGTCTTCTTGAGTTCAAGATCGCGGTCGAGCCATGGATCGACGATCCAGTTTTTCAGATGATCGACGGCAGGTTCACGGTCTACACGTGTGCCTCAGAAACTTGCGGATCATGCTGCTCAAGGCAAGTTGGCCCCACAGCATGTGGGGACTGCGAACGCAGGGAACCTCCGGGATTCCTGGCTCCGCAGCGCCCAAGCTGCTCAAAGCCGAGCCCGTGATGGATCCTGCTCTGTTAGGCAAAGAATTACCATGGCATGCTCTCAATTCCCACCCACGCCACATGATCGTATCATGGACATTCATGGACCCACTTCCCATGCTGTCACTCCAAACACATGAGCAGTCGCTCAGGCCTGGCTGGCCTAACCGTCCCCTCTCCTTCTACAGCCAATAGCATCTGTAAGAAGGGTCATTGCTTCTTCGCATCCCTTTCAAGGACAGTAGCAAAAGAATACTGATCGTCATTTTCATACAGGAGGTGGATAGCGGATCACTTCCAGGCTTCAAGTGCCCCTGCCCTTGCGCCCTTGATTGCCCCAGACAAGGCCGACGCAGCGCGTTCGCTATAGCGTGGAGCTTGCACATGCAACTCCAGAGTTGCTGTCGCAACACGCTCGAAAACAAATCGAATGTCAATAACTCAAGGGGCAGAAGTGTCCTGCTTCCTGCGCGTCCACAGCTGGAGCCGCTCCTGTCAAAAGCCGGGGGCAGAAAGGAGCTGGGAGGTTGCACTGCTGTCGCTGAAAAAGTTCACCTTTGTTCATCCAAGAACGAGAAGCATGCACATCATGCACAACACACTAAACGGCCATCGCAAGCTTTGTCACCTCCGCAGTGCGGAACATGCCAGCTCGCTCAGCGGCCTGCATGAACAAAGGCTCATAACAAAATTCGCCTCCGCCTCGCCTGTGTGGTGTCAGAGGTTGCGTAATTATGGGACCCTCCTCCAAATCCCGAATGTCGCCACCTTCTGGCAAGCTTCCGGGTTTTTCCATGACGTAGAAGACGGAGATATTCACACCCTGGGAATTGGGTTCCTCGACCCGACCTACCAAGGTACGGGCACGGAGCACCACCCCCCCCCCCCCCCGCTCAGGGTGGAGTGAAGCGGGAGGGGGGCGAGGGGCGGGGGGTTGACAATCTTTTTAAATTTCGACATGTATGGACCCTAAACTTTTGCGTGCCGGGCCGGGCCGAGGGCGATAAGCCTGAAACCTTACTGGCGTGCAAGTCGAGCGTGTGTGTGTGTATATATGTGTATATGTGTATATGTGACATGCTTGTTTGTATTAGTTAACTACGAGTATTTAGTTGTAGATTATGCATACGCACCCATACAGCACATGTCTGCGTGCACCGCTGCGCGTATGGCACCCGAAACAACAAGCGGTGCCTCAGTGGGTGACTTCTTTGCACTCCACACGGCGGCAACCTTGCAGATCCGTGCACGAGCATGACATCATGGATCAAACCAGTCTGGGCATGTCTGGGCCCATGCCAGGAAGTGTGAGGACCGAGAAGCTTCGGGTACAGAGGCCTTGTGTGTTTGCTGCGCAGGGCTGGCCTCTTCCGGTGCCATGCCGTCTCGAAGCCACTGAATGCGCTCCAGCTCCTGCAGAACATTCCGCTGCCGTGGGCTTGCAGAGCACGGGCAGAGGAGCTCCTTGTCTGGATCCAGGTGGTCTGAGTAGCTGATGAAACTCTGCAGCGAGGGAAAGGAATCCACCTGCTCAACAAGATTCACCACACTGCACTTGTCGGCAATGTCGACACGCTGCTCTGAAGTGTACCGGCTGCGAAGGTGCTAATTACCTGTCACATAGTACGGATGGGATGAAGACGCACACCCACACACCAGGACACCCAGATGCGGATGCTAATGGAGAGATATATACATCAGGCAGATTGGATCCAAAGCCCTGGGAGCCACCGCGAGGATCCACAACAGGTCATTCTCCAATATGCAGAATACGACTCTGACGAGGAATGTCCGTTCGATCTTCATTCTTTCAAGTGGCTGCGCCTCTAGGAGTGTGGCCATTGTGAGAAACATCGGGTCTCGACGTTGAATGCCCAAGCGCTGGAATTCCTCCCACTGCAGCGTTCTGAGGGTAGGAGGAGGGGGGGGGGGGCGGGCGAAGAAGGGCATGCATCGATGCCAGGCGACGCGGGTGCAAACAATTCGGAACATGTTGCAACCCCCGTGACTCAGCCACCGGTAAAGATCCGCCAAGGAGTGGTCTCATTGAGTTCTAAAGCATTGAAACAGCAAGGGCCCTCGCCTTTTTCTGGAAGTCATTGACTGGGTGGAAGGAACCTTGAAACAAACTCGTTTGAAAGGGCATGCACCGCCCCCCCCCTCCCTCAACCAATGTCAATCCACCATGGCTTGATGCAATGACACAGCCCCAGATCTCCTTGCAGCAGCCCCTCGAACCCAAATCTGAGCATGCAACCATTCATGCTGGTGAAGGCATCACGCACGGCGGAGCGCATATCGAGCCACTGCACCTGTCAACCATTTTTCCTACTTATTCTGGGGGATCCTTCCGGGCCAAAGAGATTCACTGCATTGTGAGCGACTGCTTATTGCAGCCTACGGGTCATCCTCCCGGGTGGGCAGCAGCGTAGCCTCTTTTCTTCCATAGTCCCTAAGCGCATGCTCAGACTAGAATCAGGCCGTGGACATCTGTCCTGTATGTCCACACTCTACAGACGAGGCAACTCCTCGGAAGGCCTGAGGTCAGCAAAAACCTAAAGGAAAGTGGTAACGGTAACGGCAAGCAAAACGACATGATGCCTCGTCTTGGACGGCGGCAGGCCTTAAACGAAATGAGACGAGGCATTCTTGATAGGTTGGTTGAGCCACTCGGTTGCCAGGTGCGTGCAGCCATGCAGGCCGCCGCTCTTTTGCAGGCAGTCCATGATCTTGTCAAAGTGATCCTCTGTGGGGAACAGCGGATTCAGAATGAAGACTCCGAGAAAGAATCCTCCAACAACACCAAGTGCAAGACCCACAATGCCGAGAGAGGCGTACATGCACTTCTTTCGCTGCATGGCGCACTGGCAATGGCGTGTGAAGAGAAGCCCAGACAGCATTCCCAGACAAAGACCCACGACCAGGCCCAATGCCATGCTGGCAACGATGCCCCAGCGACTGCCACCACCCACTTCGAAATAATAGAGTTTGGCACGGCCCTGTGTAGTGTCCAAGTAGGCAAAGCCATACTGCGGCCTGCAGCCGATGTCTGCCATGCCATGACCGCCAATCATGAAACCGTAGTTGTCTTTGCCGTTCTTTGCCTGTATGTAGTTGCAATGCTCATGCCCATCCATGTACTTCAGCCGCGACTGCAAGCCTGAACATTCTGGAATCTTGAGAAGAGCCTCGTGAACCGCAGGAACACTCATGCTGTTGCCACATCCTAGCCCTCCGGTGTTCCAGTGCCCCAGCAGGAAAATTACCTCCGGCTTTGACACAGCGAAGTATTTGCACGCCGCATGCAAATGCGGCACAGTCTCTTCGTAGGTTGCTGCCCCAGTGTAGCCAAGAAAGCCAACATTCCCCAGCTTGTGGTAGAAGAGGAAGTTGGAGCCATTGTTCAGGAACGAATTCCAATGTGGCTGGCTGTCTGGGTCAAGGTCGAAATTGAAGAGCCTGCTACTGTCTTGTGAGGCCACCACGTCCATCGGGTAATACTGCATCTGACCAATACCAAAGTTGTCATTTCGGCTTCCGCAAGCCGGGAACCCACACACCCAGTTGTCGTGATTGCCATTGACCACCATCCAGAACCGACGCTTTACATTGTGCGACACGTGAGAGAAAAACTCTTTCGAAATCTCGCCGCTCTGATCGTAGAAGTTGTCCTTCGCAACATGAGAAGGAGTCGACAAGTGCAGACTTTAGAACAAGCATGCGCTTGAGACTGCAGTGATGTAAGCAGACAGACTCATGTAAAGAATATAGGGCACATCTATGACGCCAAGCTTCACCCAGCATTCCAAAAAGACTCATGGACTTGTCTTCAAAGACAGTGTTCAGCAGCTTGGTGGATCGATCCAAGGTTTGGAAGGTCGAGCTGTACGAGCACATCACGTACGTGGATGAAAAGCATGGGTCGGCAACGAAGAATCCCCGGATGCCAGAATCCTGCATATGGGCGGGACTGGTGAAGATTCAGGGACATGTGAAGCGGCACCACTGGCCTCTGGAGGCAAATCGATTTGGATGCTCTGCCCAGCGAGGGTGACTGTGTTCGCACCAGGCTGCAACCTAGGATGATGCCATGCTGCACGAGAGAGAAGTAACTATTTTGCTGGACTTCAGAAGGACACATGGCTGGTGACACATAGTTCTGCCATGCTCGCAATGTATGTGTCTTCTGCGTGACCGGAAAGAAGCTTATGGACGAAGAAAGCCAACTCAAAATGTTCAATACATGGTCCGGCAGCGAAAGGAGTGTGCTAAGCAAATGGTGCTCCGTCCAGCGGTATTTGAACTGCTCCCGGTAACTGAAAGGAAAGTCGAGAGCCGTCTCAGGGCTTGAAGCCACAATGGACAATCGCACCTTCTCGTAGCCCTGCAAGCATCCGGTGCTGAGAACAGTGCTGCGGCAGTGCTTGTAATTTTAGCATCTTCTATATACATATATCATATATATGTGTACGTTGGAGGGTGTTGTGGGCAACCAACCATGAAACACCTCTCCGATGTGCGCCGAGGCTCCTTGGATCCCAAACCTTTGGCTACGCGAATCTCCAGCTCTGCAGGTGTTGTGTTTGATAAGGTGGCCGTCTGCGGCACGGGCGAAAGCTGCCAGCTGGATCCAAGCAAACCTCCGAACACTGGCTGCAGGCTCAGGCTCAGCAAGCACAGGCGCTGAAAGAAGTCCATGGCGCCGCGCTGAAATTTCAGTACTACAAATTATTGAATGTTGTGCTGGTGTAGACTTCGTATCGATGATCCCGAAGGAAACCACATCCTGTATGCTTGTAGCTGCCACTGGACTGCATGCATCTTGCTTGCGAATGCTTTCATCAATGCGTGAAGCTGCAGCGACATGCGTCAGACGTGTGCAACATGACGTTACGGTACTCACGGTACTCAGGTACTCTCTCACACCATACATCGCAGCTGGGATTGCAGGGGCGGTCACTGGCGAGATTTGCTGACGGTGGATGACGGGGTGGCCTGATGAATTTCTGGGGCAAGCTTCTCCTGCTCTCGATGCCCCAAGGTGTAGAAATTGCCACCTGCAAGTAGCTTTCATGTCGGTAGCAGGGGCGGTGGGTGGGGAGTGCCAGTAAACAACATGAAGCGTACAAATAATCAAAAGACTCCGCATTTTGGAACGAGGCAGGCTATGCCGACTATGCCAAGCACCCGTAGCCGTTTCACCACGGTGATGCATTGAGCTGAAGCTGACAGAGGGAGCCAAAGAGGTACTCGTACTCTGAGTCATAGTGGCCCCCATGCCCAAGAGAGCCAGGCAAGAGGTGCAAGAGTTCGTGGTGAAAGACACCACTGGGCTGGTATGGGCTGGAGTGTAGAAAGGGTTGTCGCCCATGCCTCCAACATCGCCCTGAAAGAGCCCGGGTCGTGCGACTGCTAGCAGTCAGCAGTCACAGGAGAGGGCATCGGGATACTCCACCGATGGCATCTGCGACAACTGCGTTACATCTGCCACGGCGATAGAGTGTTTTTCATTATCGGCCATTGCCTGCGCGTACCTCCGTGTGGAGGTGGCACAAATCAAAATGTGATTGAACCGGGAGCATATTGAAGACTCTACAGGACGAACAGATATGTACAGTGCCCCGGGCTCCAAATCTTTGAAAGCCTGTCGCTCCATATCAAATGATGACACAACAGACTCAACAGACTCTGCGAGAGCGGGATGGAGTGTGTTAGAATGTTTGTTTGTGATATGCCTTCAAAAGCGACTGCATCGCAGCTCTCCAATGACTTTTGTGGTCTCCATGATCGTCTCCCCGCTCGCTGAGGTATGAATTCAATGAGGAAAGCAATTGAGTGCTGGTCTACGACAGGCTTCAGGTGCCTTAGAAGTCAAAATCGTCTTCAAGGATCGGCCGCCTCCTTAGCCGCCTTAGCCTCCTCGCCTAGGAGGCTCACAGCATGTTGAGATCGGCCTTGGCCAGTGTGCGCAAATGCCTTGATGGCCACCATGGCCACCCCAGCCGCACACACACCGCATGCCACAAGCCCAGCAAGTGGACCGTCAGGTAGTGCTAACAAATCCACTGCTTTTGGCGGCATTCTGGGTGCGACAGGTTTACTGTCATGATCCTTCTTTGATGCGTCGCTGACTATGTGTTTCAAGCTTTTGATTGTGTTTGCCATCTCTTCGTCATGATGCTGCTGCTGGTATAGCATGAGGCGCTTGTGCTGCAGCTGCATCTCCTTCAAGGCTTAGCAACCACGAAGCGCTTCATTCCCAGGTCCGTTCCACGGCCTTTGAACTTTACACTCCCTCGAAACCCTCGAAAGCTTAAGCAAACCACGGAAATCGGCTTAAGACACATTTTGTGTCGAGTCTGATGGGTGAGGCTTCCGAGCATGTATGCGCCCGACGATGTAACATGTTCAAATAAACTTAAATATGTTTACAACATGCCAACAAAGAGCAACCTGAATGATACGCATGACGAATGCCACTGGAAGAAAGGTCAGGGAGCTTAAGCAGCTTAATGTTGTTTCGAGCCCTGCACGTAGAGCGACCCGTGTCTCCTCTTGAAGCTTCTCACGTTCCTTGCGGAGTTGCCTCTCTTCCTCCTGAAGCTGCGCTGCCTCTTTCTCCGGCTCGGCAACTCTGTGCGAAGTGCTGGAGTTGCTGCGCGAGTTGCTGCGAGAGGCTGAGAGCACCAAACCAGGGTACGAAGGCTGCATTCTCTGCATTGCCTTGAACTGGGAGAGCAGGCTTGCTCTTTCCTGACTGCCCTTGTCCCCCGTGGAATGCTTGTGACGCAAGTGCCCTCGCCTCTCCGGGTCGTCGGGGTAGGTCATGTCCGCTCCATGCACGACATCGTGAGCGTGCTGTGCCAAAACAGCGTGCTGCTCTGCACTTCCCTCAGGAAGCTTGTACACGAGGTGCTTGTGCTGCAGCCAATGCGCTTCCTTGAGCAGCTCACGTTTAAGCCATTTCTCCTCAGAAGTCTGCTCCAGCCATGGCCCAGATGGAGATGCTGGAGAGCCCCCTGCCGGCCAAACGGGCAAAACCCTGTCATCCTGGAGAACCTGATGCCTCGCGTCGGACCATGTCTTGCTGGAGGATTGGAGGTTCTCATGGTTCTCCCAATGTTCGTCCCAAGGTCCAGCCTCTCCATTTGCTGCGCCATTGGCTGTACTGGCTGATGCACAGCCCAGGAAAATAACACGAAGAAACAGAAGGGACATGGCTCAGGCGGCTAAATTCCACCTTGACCCCTGCATCTGCGGAATGGATGCACACGTGTGCACACACGAGGCGGTATGGTGCGGTATGGTGCGTGAGTTGCTCAGTCCCTCTGCTACCAAACGCACCACAAGTGGTTGGCCAGTCGCCTCGTATCGCTTCAGCATGCAGCTGACGTCGACTTGCTAAGGCGCGGTTAACCTCCTGAACATCTAGACATGTCTGGCCATGCAGTGAGCGTCGGATGAAGTCAACGGTGCATGTTGCCGACTCATGCAAGCGCCTCAACATCAAGAAGCTGGAGCCATGGATTCTCCTCGGCTGCAGCCACGTAGTTGAACCTTGCTTTCTGTTGCTGGGCAACGTCAATCAAGCCAACGCCAAGGTCTCTGCCTCTGTGCTGATCGCAGGCTCACATTGCTGTTCAGCAGCATGATGTTCGAGATGTTGCGGATGGGCCTGGCACTGCACAGATGCAAGGACTGCAAAAGGACTGCAAAAGGCCTGCAAAAGGACTGCAAGGATCTGCAAGGGCTGCAGTTTGGTTCTTCCCAAGCCAGCCTTGTCTGCTTAATGCTCATGAGCCGCAGCTTGCAGGTCGCCTTGGTGAGCGCCACCGGCACCTCAGGATCTCGCGAGCTGCACTGTTAGACGCGCAAGTATCCGACACACCGCATGTTTGGGTGGCGAGTTATCCGCAACAAACATGGAGCTTAAATGATTGCTAGATGCAGCAACACCCAGCTGCAGTATGCAAAAGCGAACAACTCCCCATTGCATGCAATGCAATGCGCAATGCACCTGAAACTCCTCCTCCAGCTCTCTGCGTGCAGCCTCCTCTGGCGTCTCGTCCGCATCTACGACTCCACCTGAGGGCTCAACAATTTCTCGATTTTCCTCATGGTGCGAAAAGCGTGGCATGATTTCTACACACCCCGGCCAAAATACCATCCCCGCTCACAGGAACTCAGAACTCGATTTTACTCAAACCAAAGCTGAGAGGCCAGCAAACTTCCACTCCCCAGGATACCGCATCTGCACGTCATGCCCGGGGGTGCTCTTCATCCAGTTCTGTACCTCTCCCTGCCCCAGCAGGACCTCCCACTTTGAGTGGAAAGAAGCCTTAGATTGACCAACGTTGAAGGATGGTGCAGGAACCCTTGCAGGAGTGGCAGCGGCAGTTTGGTTGAGCCTTCTTGAGATGACCAACAAATACCAGCAACTGATGCGGACTTGCCGAAGAGGATGGCGATCCTGAAGCCATTGCCGGAGGCAGAGCAGATGCCCGTGAAATGCATGCATGGCAGCTGTCGTAACATTCGACAATGTATGGTGATTCGACAATGATCAACACATGATCCTAACTATGTTATCCATGATGATGCGAAGAGCAGGCTGTCATCGTTCACTGCACGCCTGGCTGCCGCATCGCTGCCTAGCCCTTCCCAGGGCTCTTCCTTTCCTGTAGCCTCCTGGCAGTGCCAGCATCAAAAACTCTCACGAAAACCCGCAGATTCCAAAAATCCGCTGCAAGTCTTGTGTGCAAACTGGAACTCGAGTCGTACTTGCAGCGTGCCCGTATGCAGTCATCTGACTTCCTCTGGGCACCTTGTCATGCACAAACTCCGGGGTTTCTGGTTCGAACTTGTTTTGTCACACTATCCATTCATTCGGGCATCGCCAGCTGTTCGCCAGCCCCGATCACCAGATTATGTTCGGGTTGTTTCGGTCTTGCTGTGGGTCTGCCTTGTGCCGGACGGTGCTTGACTGCACACCCTCCTGAGCTAAGTCTGTTGTTACCCCCTCGCCTTCAGGGAAGCTACCTTCTTCTTCGAGTTGCAGGGTACATCCCTTGTGCCCAGCCTCGAGACTTAGCGGTGCCACAGCTGATTGCGACTGACGGATGCACACCTTGGATGCGTTGTGACATGAGGCTCCTGAATGGTGAGGCAACGCCTGCATTCACCTCCAAGTTCATCCTGGAGGCCACTGTGGCGGCGGCGCGTACTCGAAGCGGAGCTGTAGTGATCATGGCGCGCGGAGTTGTAAGTTGCAACTTGAAGAGACCGCACAGGAGGCTCTGAGCTGCAAACCGCAAGGCCAGTTTGTATATCTCAAAAGCAACTTGTCGGCGCAAGCTGCTGTCTTGCGCAAGGGACTTGACTTGATTGAGGGCGGTTAGTCAGGTGTTGTGCTGTGCCAGAGCTACTTGTAGATGTCCAACAGATACAAGACTTGTTCGTGGCACAATGCATCCAGCATGCAGTCGATATCGAGGGCATTCCCAGCAGGAACAAATACCAACTTAGTAAGGTGAACAGCAGCGAGCCATCCAAAAGCTGCAGCAGGATGATGTGAGACATGGATCAAGTGTGCTATGGCCAGCAACACCTGCTACGACACACTGCGATGTGGAACCTCTCTGCAGAAGTGTCTGCGACTGAGTCTGTGATAGCTGGTGCGACACGACTTCCGTCTGAGTGATGTGCTGGTTGAGCGCGCCGCCTTGCACCGACAATGTTAGGCCATCCATGAGGTGTCTTTCACTTTCACGAAGGCCTTTTTGAAGTTGCAGATTGTTTGTGGTTTGAAGGATTCTATCCAAGTGGCCAGCCTGGGCATGCCGACGCCAGCGACCTGAAGTGTCAAGTTCTGGGCTGTGCTGACAGTAAGTAATGTTGTATCCTGATTAGTGTGCTCCCCCGGAATTGTGGAAAAAAATCCAAAAATTATTCAGGGGGATCTATTTGAGGAGGACCCCCGGAATTGTGAAAAAAAATCGGGCGATGCAAAATTTCGGCGAGGCTGTCGAATGGTGTTGTCGTCCATAAATCGCTTCTGAACCGAGCCTGAGAGACCAAAGATCAAAGGTTTAAAGCCTGAAACCTTGAGGCCTGACGTTGTCGGGCCCTGAAATCTTCAGTCTCCAGGCCAGACCCAAAACTAAGATTTCCTTATTAAATTCTTTTGTACCGAGGCCGGGCAATCAAATTTCAAAGGGGGTAGTCCAGCAGCTGCCCGGATGCCGTATAATATAAAAGTTTGCTCCCCCGGAATTATATTTTTTTTGCGGGCTAGTTGGGTTTGGATCCAGAGGCCTAACGGCTGAGGCTTCCTAAACCTTGAGGCCTGAGGTTGTCGGGCCCTGAAATCTTCAGCCTCCAGGCCAGACCCAAAACTAAGATTTCATAACTTTTGTACCGAGGCCGGGCAATCAAATTTCAAAGGGGGTAGTCCAGCAGCTGCCCGCATGCCGTATAATATAAAAAGTTTGCTCCCCCGGAATTATATTTTTTTTTTTGCGGGCTGGCTTTGTTGGGATAGATGGATCCCCTTTAAATTCATATAAACTCATCCCTCTTAAAATCGTATGGATCCGTTTTAATTTCATATAGTCTCACCCCGTTTAGAATCATATGGATCCCTTTTACACTCATACGAGCTCATCCCTTTTAAAATCATATGGATCATATGGATCCCTTTTAAATTCATATAAACTCATCCCTTTTAAAATCATATAAAACCAGACCCCCCCCCCCCCAAATTGCCCCCCCCCCCCCCCCACACTAAAGAGCGGGGATGCTTCGTTGGGGCGGGGGGGGGGGGGAGGGGGGGGAGGGGGGGGGGGGAGGGGGGGGGGGGGGGGGGGGGAAGGGGGGGGGGGGGGGGGGGGGGGGGGGGGGGGGGGGGAGGGGGGGGGGTGGGGGGGGGGGGGGCCACACTATTCAGCAGACAACATTAATTTCTGAGAACAGGGACGGGATTGCTGACTAATTGAGCTTGGCTCTTGAGCTTAGGGAGGCCGTCGGGTGAAGCTTCGTGCTTGCTGCAACGTGGCTGCGGGCCCAGGAAAGGGGTAGGGCACAGTTGCACGCTGTTGGAGCAGTTCTCTGAGAACACCGACGCATCCCGAAGCCCAGTTCCAGTTTCAGACTTGCTGTGTGCTTGGCCACTGTAACCTCCTCTGCGTCTGTGGACCTAAGCCATGGACCTCCTGTACACCCCTACGGATGCCAATGAACGCGCAGCCGCGCCGAGGCGAGACGCGCTAGCGATAGTACTTTCTGAGGGCCCTGCTGTGGGGAAACGTAGTACTTGATGGTGTCAGGAATACCAGCAGCGAAGCTCACATCTTTCACAAGAGTACTACCTGTGCTGCAGTGAATTCAAAGTTGACTTAACAGCCCAGCACAGAAGTAACATCCATTCGCCGCCACATGCTGCAACTCCAATTACAATTCGTGGTGCCGCTCCGCCCGTAGTGTTCAGCCATGTCCCTGTGCCTTGTGAACAAGGGTCTTCGCTCTGCATTGAAGCCTGTCACTCCGCATCTTTCTGCTGCACATGAGGTGGGCCATTTGCGAAAGTATCCCCAGCAGGACACTCACAACATATGCACACACGCACACACACACACCAATACTTGTCACCATGAGCCATAGCCACAGCAAACAACAAGCCAACCTCACATGCTTTCGTCATTCCTGCATCCTCTCAGTCTTAGCCCAGTGCCGTGCTGTATCTTCGTCCCCAAACTACCGAATTGCAATATAATTTGCAATCACCTTGCTTGTTCCCTGCATGCCGTGACAGATTATGAACCGTTCTGAAACACGATTCTGCACAGGCATTGCATCAAAACCGGCTCTACGGGCAGCTAGGAGCATGTGCTACTTAGACTACTAGTGCTCGAGAATCGAGAACAGTCTCAAAGTTGAGTTTAGCATGCTTGCCTTTTCATGGGTCTACCTTTACGACCCACCTGTACTTCTCATCTTCCCTAACTTTGTACTCAGATCTGTCACATCCACCAAGTACTTTCACATGTGAACTCACGAAGCAGAGATCTGCACCTCGAATTGCTCGCTCTTCGCACTCTTCGGAGACAGAACCTGCGCCTGGAAGGATGGGAAGCATGGGAAGCGCTGAAGTGGTCAAGTGCTGCCCTCTGCTGGCAGTTTCCTTTTGAGCAGTCAGCTGCTACAGTACAAATAGATCTAAAGCAGCATCAGACCACTAGGCCTCTGCCAATGGAGAACCACCGTGGCTGGAGGCCAAGGGCCCCTTAAGGCAGATTGTGCAACGGCGGGACCAAGCTCCAGCTGTGCAGGAAACAAAGTGTACTGAGTTACATGCGCGTGAGATAGGGTGTGATTCGCGCATTATTCTGCATGACTTTCGTTATGCTCCTCGGCAAGACAGGTTGAATATGGCTGAATATTGCTTGTGGACAACTCGCTTCGCAAACTTCTTATTTACATGGTCAATCTCCTAGAGAGTCAGAGGCCAGCAGCCGCTGGTTTGCGTTTGACTCCCGTGGTTTTGGATTTGCCGCCAACCACTCTGAGGCTCTCCTCGACCAAGGGGAGCAAGGGCAAGGGCAGGACTAACCAGTGAACCTGCGCGATTGGAAAAGCCTTGCTGGTATATCTCAGGCTGTTCGTGCCTGGCCGCCCTTGTGTGATCCTGAAGCCTTGCTCACATGTCTTGCCCCGGATGTAGTTGAAGCCATGCTGTTGCCAGCTCGCCAGCTCGCTGCGGCGCAGAAGACCTGCTGTGGCGGGAGCTTGTCCACCAAGGCCTTGAGGTGCCAACACAAGTCCGACTTCTGAAGCTCCACCTCTGGTCTGGCACACGCACCTCCTTCATGTGCTCGAGGTTGCACTGCCAGCTTTCCTTTCTCGCAGCCTTGAGCGCGGTCGTGTCCATGGCCGGGACAACCTCCAAGAACCGCAACGCCAGTGGATGGGCATGAGCATCCTCATTCGCCAAGGGCTCCCGCTTCGGAGGGTTCGGGCTCTTGGACGGCGTTCTCCACTTGGTCGGAGCCTCAGGATTCTGGTTCTCCTGGCTGCTGTCTGTCCCTTGGCGCTCCACCCCTAAGACTTCCACGCTGTAGGCATTTCCGGGATGAAGCCGTCCCTGAGAGCAAGGCGGTGCCGCATTTCAAAGGTGCTCAGTAGTGCTGCTAGCTCTCGCTCTTTCTCTTCTTGTGTGGCATCGCCTGCTGAGCGAAACACTGGATCTGAAGATCATCTAGCTACAGCCTGTTCTCAAAGCTATAACCTATTTTCCGAAACGGGTTGTAGCAAACTCCGGTGACCTAAGATGTTCAGACGCCAGTGTGCACCTTCTGTGCTGTCAAAATATTGCCAAACCCGTTGAATCTTCTGGTCACATGCCAGGCATTTTCCAGCTGAGCGAGCACAGTGCGGCACATGAGCAATAACTTCTTAGGAAGCTGGACCTGGAAATTCCGTTGCAGGGCGACGCATCCTCAGGCTGCCGGCTGAGCACCACGCATTGCTGGCCCCCGTCGGCGAGCTGAGTACTCGAGGGCCCTTGTCAATTGACTTCAATATCTTCAATGCAGATGCGGTGGTGCCAAAGCCATCTTTGTTCAATGTATTTGCCAACGTTTAGCCCGTGAATGACTGCGCAACCGCAACTTGTCAAGGCTCGAAATGTGAGCAGCGGCCTCAGCACCTCGCCAAACCGGCGCGGGGGGCCGGCGGGGCCTTGCTGGGCAGGACGGCCATCGCAAAACATCACATGAGCAGCGGCTGGGGTTACAGGGGAGGCTGAAGCATGGCAGAAGCAAAAGGCAGCAAACACCTTTCAGCGAAGCTGCGTTGAGGCTCTGGTCGCAGACCTCTCCACGGGCATCTCACGGACCGCAGCCGTAGATGAAGCTGTGCTTTCATGGGGCCTCAAGGTCTCATGGAACAGATCTCCTCACATTCCTCACATCTGCAATTGTTATAGTTGCTGAGCAAACGTGAAGTGAGCATACAGACTGCGACTGCATGCAACTGCTGTTCTCGCTCAGCTTCGTAGGTTTTGGCACTTTGGCAGGTTGCACGGATTACAAATTACAAACGATCGAACCTCTGAATGAAACTCGGGCTGCTGCTGGTGCGAGGGAACCAAATTCGACTTGGACAGCAGCGGCATCTGTAGACGAAGCATTAAAGCATAAAGGCATATGCAGCTCAGGTACAGTCTAGCAGCGGTTTGTGGCTTAGCTTCTCATCTGCGCCCCTTAGCTATGCCACCCAGAACGGTTCGCTTGGGGGGCTTCAAAGTCCGAACGAACTGGTTCGTGATCTCATTGATCAGTAAGCACGCCAACAAGCACACCGCACATGGCACAAATCACGCAATGCTCGGACCACATATGCTAGTGATTGCATTGCCCACTTCAGCCGCGACTGTCCAAGAGGTCTCTGACATTCTCTAAATGCTATCTATGTCTATGGTATCACCTGTGCAGAACAATTTGCGTGACAGGATACTACAAAATATTGAAAATTCAAGCGTCTGCAGGTCAGTGGAGCACCCATATGAAGTGCTATGAAGTTACGACATTTACGAAATATCAGCGACACACCGCCACATGAGGGGTCGAGCATTGCAGTTTTCTCATGAAGAGCCCGGGCCACTGCCTCCTCACCTCGCAGAGGTGAAAGTGTGCCTCGAACCAGGAACCGGGCCACTGCCCGCACCGGGCAAATGAAGAATTCGTTCCAGCTACGATTAGACATCGATTGTTCTGTCTGATGCCCCGAGGTATTTTCGGAGGCGTCGCCTGAACTCCTCGAGGGATCACCGGGCCTCCGAGCCGGAGACCTTGGCTGGTTGGGCTCGATCTGGCAAAGCGTGCCTCTCTTAATGGGCTCGATCGGGCAAAGCACGCCTGCTACAACAACGTAACATTCGTGGAGTCTACCTGTGCCGCCTCAGCCTAGTCAAGCCTGAAGCCGACATCTCCCTGTCAGGGCATGACGGGGTTGCCTTGGCCAGATTCAGACGCAAGTCCTCGGCAAAAAAGCGCTGGACGGTGCTGTTCAATCACCAGCCGTATTCCGAACTCGCCCATGTACAGCGCAGTGCAGGACACCGCTGTCTCAACGCTACGCACCGCCCTCCACGTCACCGTCAACTCAACCCGGCCTCGATCTCACGTCGCACGGAGACAAGCTCAGAGGCCTGGACGCCCTGTATTTCATAAGCCTCGCACAGAAGGAACAGCCATGAACAACTCGTTCTCATGGCTATAGGATCTTTTCATATCTTTTCCGTATAATCCATGAAGTCGCACTATGAGATACTAGCTGTCGAATTCCATGCCAGGCCTTGGCCAACTCTGCATGCAGCTGCGGCAACTGCTGCAGAATTGCAGCCTTGAAGGCCCAGAAGCTCCCACTTTAGACACACACACACACACACAGAGACACTTGTGCGCACAACGGCCATCACTGATCACTGATGAGGCCGGATCACGTTGAATAAGACTGAGCTGATGGGAAAAATGAGTCTGAGTGAAGGCCTGCCAGGCGCTGCTAGCCAAGCAGCTAGGTCCATCCGCGGCTCATCGCTCTCTGTCCCTGCCAAGGTGAACTTTGGACAACAATATCAGCATGCAAGGTCCGTCCACGTGATTGCCCAAAGATATAGATGACGCTACCATTACGAGATGTTACAGGCAAGACACATCAAGATGTTAAACCTGCACCTAGCGGAACTTCTTGGAGCAGCGCACAACATGTGGAAAGCAATTGTATCAAACTTGGCATGGGGGGCCAGTGCTTGCTGATGTGGCAGAGGTAAGCTGCTTCCTCAATGGAACAAGACCATGCTGCATCCCAGAATGATCCTGCAAGTGCCACACTGCTCTGCCAAGCTCAAGTCGAAAAGTCAAGCAGGCGGTGTTGACATCAATATCAGGATCTAAGGTTGGCGCGATACTTGACGAGACGCGACCTCGGTTTCTGCAACGTGGAAACATCACTTGCAGCTCCACCCTGACATCAAGTCGGCTTGCCACTCCGCACCGTTTTTGAGAATTTCACAGTGTCGAAGTTGCAGGGTTCGGGCTTTAGGCTTGTCGGGCTTGGTGTATATAGACAGAGGTTGCCACTCGCCGACCCTTCCGGAGTTTTGGGAGAAAAGGGTTGCTGAACAATTCCACCCAACACGTGAATGAAGGATTTCAGCAAGTTGCTGTGCCAAGGGCGAAAACCGGAGCCAAAATGGGGTCCGAGTTGCGAAGATTTGGGGAAGGTTTTGAACAACAGTTTACCATGCAAGCGCAGCATACATATGCTTCAAACTATGTCCTTAGGTCGAGAAGGCCAAACACTGCACCTGCTTGGTGTTTAGATGCTTCCACGAAAATAAACCAGCAAGGAACCGGTTTGCATGAAAACCCTTGCACTTACTAGGCGTTTAGGAATGTGGGCACGACTTTCGGAAAGAGTTCATAGCGTTCCCCGAGCGATTGATATGCATACACAAGCATTGGGTACGACTTTCACCACTGCCTCGAGCTCACGGGTTCTGGTTTTTTGTTCGGGGTGGGTGTGTAGCTGTATAGCGGTGTTGTAGAGCCTATAGGGTTGCCAGTTGCAACTCATCCATAGCTTGAGGTTGCTGGTGGCAGCGATCGCAAGCTTTGCACGGTACAATGCATTATAAATGTCACAAGCACGAAGATGTCAACGAAGACGAAGAGATCTGGGTCAGAAAAGCGAACATGCATCACTTGGAGCCACAAGCGAGCACGGGGACGGAAGCCCAAAGCGCAGATCCGGGACTTCCGATCAGATTGGCCCCTGATGGCCACGTGGCTCCGCATGGCCCTGTGACTCAATGACTCTGCTCCGCACCTCTTGCACGGTGCGGGCCGCGGTTTCGGGGTGAGGGCCTCACACGCGGCGCAAGGCATCTGCTTCTCAAGCATTGCCAGCCAGTCCTAGCCAGTTCATATTTGCCAATCTTTCCTCGCCTTCGGGCTCCTTGGCTCCGAAAACGGGGATGGAGCTCTGGGCCTGTCCATGGGTGTCCAGTGTGGAAAGTAGTGGCACAACCAAAAGGTACACTCCCAAAATCAATGCATGTGCTGGGACAAGGGAAGGCTACGTAAGTGCAATACACAGCAAGATCAGCTGTCGTACCAACGCTTTCGACAGTGGCTTGGTCAATCCTCCTGCGAACTCTTGAAGCATCTACAGGTAGAAACCTCGTCTAAGTGCATCTGTCCGACCTGCCAGGGGTCTAAGTCGCCTGGTTCTCCCCACGGCTCATCACGCAGCGACACCTGCTCGGTGCCAGCAACTCTGGCCCGAGTGCCAGGAAACTAGCTGCGAATTGATTCCAGCCAAATTAGTTTCAAATGCGCCAAGAAAGCCTGCGTGGTCTGCAATTCATGGCTAAAAAAATCTTGTTTCAAGCCACAGTGTTGCAAGATACGGGCTGCAAGATCGCTATGTCGGGCAACAGCTCCTTTGCAGAGGAATCTCTGCAAAGAGTCGAAACATCGAAGCTTTGCAATGCCCGAGAGGCCCTGTGCCCTGGTGGTTAAGTGCCGCGTTGCGCGTTGGTCCTATTGGATGGAGTGTCGCACAACACCAACCACGCACGTTCAGAGCGGCCTCGTCGTAGATTTCCCTCATGACCTGCGCATGCTCGATTCAGACTTGCAATGACTTGCAGCATTCGGGACGTGTAGGGCACCAAAAATACAAAGTCATGCTGCGGGCATCTGTAGAAAACATCGGGACGATGCCCACCTCCAGTCGATGCTGGAAGTCGGGAAGCGTCCAAGTTGCAACCACTTCGCCCCTGCATCGAGGGCCAATCCCGCCAAGGCGATGCCACAGCATGGTACTATCCACATAGCTTCAATCAGCCCTGATGGTTCTGACTGCGTCAAGCTGTCGTAGGATGGCCTGACTTCACCATTGGAGCCCACGCTGTCCTTGCCGAAGTGTGGCTGACCTTCTGTCGTGCCGTCATGCTTTGATTTCGTCCACATTACTCGCGATCACACCAAGCCGCCGACGCTCTGCACGTCGGAGGGAGACAACCACCGTCGCCGCCTTCAGGGCAAGCACTTAAGTACACCGTACACAGGTAAAGGCGACAAAAAGCATGGGGTTCATGAGTCCATGAGCACACATGTTGACCTCGGTGCTGTCCAAGGGGTCGGTCAGAAGGTGCCCCTGTTCAGGATGTTTCTCGACCCATTCTCTACTCACCCTGGATATTCCTCTATGAAGATCCAGATCCATCCCCGCTCTCCTGTGCTGGCAACATCCGTGGAAAAGGTGTCACATGTTCAATGGATGCGACCCCTGCATTTCAGCGGGCACGAAGCTTACTACTGCTAGAGTCGTCGTCAAAGCTGATTAGCACAGATGCACCATAACTGCTTCGCAAGCATGTCCGGCCTTGAACACAAGCTCCTCGTGGTCACCGCCTCGAAGCTCCTGCGTGAGCTCATTGGCCTGGCAACCCGAGGTCATCCAAGGATGATAGCAAAATTGACGTCTCCATTGGCCAAGAGCCTCATCCACCGCGAGCTTCAAGTCCTTCAACCCACCAAGGACCTGCCAATTGCAACTGCAGACTGCAGAATTCTGATCGTGATTGGGCCGGGCTCCAGCTGCCAGGGCTTGTGGTGTCTATTGAGTCACTGCTCTGCACTAGCTGAGGTCTCACTGCTTAGAATACTGCCTGTACCGCTTCGTTGCACGGTTACGAGCAGCCTGCGCAGCTCTGTCAGCGCCGAGGCGTTCCGTGAGTTGCTCGGCATCCTGACATGGAAGTTTGGTAAAGGCAAATGAGAGGTACTTTGCAAACATGGGCCTTCGAGAAAGCGAAGCCATACGTCGTCTCGATTGCGAGGGTGTCCTACCGAAGGGCAGCACACGTGGTCCTAACACCATGAACCATCTCCCGGCCCAAACCACGGACCTCTGGGCGTGGCCCTAGTCGGCGGTCGTTCTCCGAGGCGCACTTAGTTCCCGAGCTTGTGAGGTGTGAAGACAAGCTGGCAAGCCCAAGAGCCCGGCCATGGGGATGAGCACCCTGAAAAAGTGTGCCCAGCCGACCTACGATCTGCTGTACTTCAGGAGTGCTTAAAGGTGGTTAAAAACTTATTTCTTACACAAGTTGCGGCACGAAGACCGCTGAGAGACTGAGGCTTGGGCTCGCAAAACGTCCCCACTTCGAAGTGCCAACGCAGCCTTCCGTCATGAACCAGAGGACAAGACGCAGGTGCGTCTGGCCAAATGACAGGCACTTTGTGTTTGATGTCCAGAGTCCAGGTGTCCATTTTCGTTGAGACCGTCAGCGGTCGCCCAAGATACGACTCCACGCCCGATTCAGGTGAAAGGGTCATTTTTTTTGAATCTACTGCGACAGCCAACCCGCCCCCCCCCCCCCTCCCCCCACAAGCGCTCCATGGTAAGTGTGGACGATACTTCCAGAGCACGTGTCCCTGCACTCCCTTCGAAGAGAGAAAGGGATCACAAGCGAATCAACAACAAATCTACTCGAGCATGGGGGGGGGGCATATAATGGGGCAGTGGCTGGCTCTAGGGATTAGGCGGCCTCCACTGCCTGGCCGTTGACCAACACTGGCCCCGCGCGCTTGAAGAGGCTCCTGGCAAAATTGCATGGACCCGAGCTCTGCAAGCATGAGTCGAGTAATCCCATGGCAAAGCGGACATCCGCCTGTCGCCAAATCTGGCCTACAGTGACTGACTTTCGCATTGACTACTCCAAGACGCGTCAATCCGTCCTTCTCACGCTCATGCCATCCTGGGACACAGAGACATTGTGCTTTCAAGAACACATCGAGGCATGAAGGCTCATACAAAAATACTGAACGTGCCTGGGTCTTGGCCGTGTGATTCACAAGCTGCGGAACCACCTCGAATCGTGCGCATGCAAACTGGACTTCCGAGCGCTGACGGCAAAACGATGCACGATGATGCACAGTTAGTGCTTGTCGATCGCTATAGCTGCTAGCTCTCGTAGTATTGCTAGCTCTCGTAGTATTGCTAAGCCCGCAGCTTCCAATCGACTAGCATGAGCGCCTTGCCATGAGAGGGGCAAAAGTGCAGATGCGAGGCGTGGCGAAGACCGTGTCGAGGCCCACGCATCGCAAAGAGCAGACCTCCGCCTGAACTCCCAGCCCGTCCACGCAGATTTCGCAGCTTGGATCGCTGCCAATGCGCAGCTGCTCCTTCTATGGGCTCAGGCGTTAGGTGGCTCGTGCTTGTCATGTCTACCTGAGTCTATGTGCCTTACGTTCATGCCGATTTCACACACCGCGGTCCCCTGGAGTCATCGTCCACGTGAGGCAGCCAGACAGAAGAGGGTCCAGTGACACATTGACGACGTAGATGAAGCCGTCGCTCACCTGCACGGGAGCCCAAGTGACGGCACACATGACCAAGGCAACGGAGGAGGCATCTGCCAGCAAGTCGTCGGCCTTCTGCTCCCCGAGCTTCTCACCAACTTGCAGCCCAAGCTGTCGCAACGTTCGACGGCCTGGGAATCTGCGAATCGAGGAGGCCGAGACAACGAAGCGGGTACAATTGGACACGGACGTTGTTCGTCTGCCGCGCTTGCCCTCACCTGACCAGGAGCCATGAAAATTACCATATCTGTTATGCTTGCGGCCCCTTTAAGCAGACTGAGAAATGATTTGGATTTCGGGCAGAAAGTGTGTGCAAGGCGCCTTGTTGTTCATGAACACCCCCCCCCCCACCTCCCCACAACCGCCCCGCGCTCCACTTTTGCATAGCTTGGCCAGCAAGCTGGCTGCGTCATAGCTACCAGTAGCCCTGCTTGTGCAGTTGGTTCATCCCTGATCCCTGGAAATAGGAGCCAACTTTTGGGAGACTTCCGAGACTGATTTGGTGAAATATGGTGCGATGGCGAATGCTGGTGCATGCAGCGTGGCCTGCAGCTCTTCGAAAGAAGCCGAGAACTCGTCCTGGCCAGAAGTGCTGGGCATGACTTACTAACAATGAGAGACGGCTTCTTCTATCACGAAGAAGTGCAGGCTCGTGACCCAGACTCACCTCCAAATACTGCGCGGCATGCAGCTGCTCTTCCAAGTCCCTGCAGCGTTCTGCTGCAATCCGGCACTCGTGCTGAAAACTGGGAAATTTGCTTTCTCTCCCCTGGCCCCCGCCTTATCTGCTCAGGGCTGCACTGGTCTAGCCTGCGAAGGGCCGGGCGCATGAGAAACTTAAGCTACTGGTGTCTGGTGTCCACCTCATGGCATTTTTGCAAAGGGCAAAAGGCCTGTGCCGCAGTAAGCAGATCTCACCACGCAGCGTCTGAACCTACGAGGTGCCACAGTCAGAATACAGACGAGTCAGGGCGAAGGCTCATGCGAGCATCGTTGCGTCATTGAAGCATTCCAAAGCAAACTGTGCACGTCATCTCTGCTCAACTAGACTCGGAGATTAACCCCGGAGGCACCAAGTCCCCGTGGACTTCTTCATTGCGGGTGGGTCGCGTGTGGATTTTCTGCACCTGTCAAGTTTCAAGGCGTTTTGCGAGCCAATGTGAGCCAATCGCCACAGCATTCCACACCGATGATCGTCTCAGCGTCTAATTTTTACGGGCCCCTGGCCATCTCTGCGAAGCGCAGCGACGAACTGGTGAGGTCCACACGTCGAGAGGCGGGCCTCGCAAACATGGAATTGCTTCCGCATGCGAAGGACCTCTCAGCCACATGCTTTTAGGTGGATGAAATTTACCACGAGGTCTCCTTGGTTTGACTTCAAGGTAAGTTCTCACGACCAACTGGTTATGCGTCTTTCACATGAGACAATAGACTTCAGTAGCCCGTGTTAGCTGGAGGCAGAGCACAGTGAAGCATGGATGTGACAGCTGCAAGTTCTGCTGAGTTTGGGACGAAACGCACGTGACCATGGCAGTTCGACAACTCCTCAGATCCCGGACATGGGCGAACTCTGTGCCCGTGGGATCTACTGGGCTGAGGTCTGAAACATCGGTATGGTGCAGCATTTACCTTTGCACCTCCCGATGGTCTCCGATCGCGGCACCCTTCTCTTGGGCTCCAGCCCCATCAAAGACTCTGAGAGGAGCCAGCTGAGCTTGCCTGGGATCATGACACACACGAAGGCGGTCCCCTAGGCGCAGCACTTCGTCTCTCGCTCTCGCACGCTTCTGCTTGCTTTCCTTCTGCGCCTCAGCCTCATCTTTCTCGTCTGACAGGCATGCATGAGAAGGGAGGTCGACCTTTTTCCCCAGCCCTCCGCCCCCGCGCATCCATCGCGCCTGTGTTCACGGCACACGAAGCTTTGCACAGGGATGTTGGTTCTCCGCCACGGAAAAACTTGTGCGGATGTTTGTTCCGCAACACACAGATGTTCGTCCTCTGTCTTTTGTTCTTTGTCTTTTGCTTTCTTTCTTGCTTTCTTTTGCTAAGGCTCTCTTTCTTTCTTTCTTTTTTCTTGGGGCTAGGGCTCAAGCCCCGGGCAAGTTCGCGCGCCCCTGTTTTCAGGGTACGTTAAGGCTCCCTCTCCCTCTCTCTGTTTGTCTGTCGCTCGATCGGCCATCGCAAAGCCTGCTGCTGGCAAGTCTCTGTCGCGGTAATGTCTCTGAGAGGGACCGTCACGTTCGCCTACGCATTGCCAGACCAGCCGAGAAAGCAGTGGTATGTCCCGACGTCCATGAAGCAGCTAGGCAGCTAGGCACAACCAAGAGCACATCTGTAATGATTCAACGAGGCCATGGAGGCCTGGCTTGCCCACCCCGTGCCTTTTGCAAGTGTCTCAATCATGTCGGCCAACCTTGGGGTGGGGTTTCTGCAGTAGCTGATCCGTTGTGATCAGGAGCGGCCAAGTCAGAATCAGCGAATTGGCAACAGCACGACGTAGCAAAGTAGCCATGGCCACAAGATGTCCGGGGTGAGTACGCAGAAAGATCGTGGTTGATCGGTGCAGGGCCTCGTTGTCGAAGCGCGTCGCCTGAAATTAACAACATCTTGGCGCGGATGTGATAGCTGAATTGGGGCGTCCAGGCGATCCTGCACCACTTCTGAGTTTGGATGTTCTCAGCAGCAGCAGCAGCAGCAGCAGCAGCAGCAGCAGCAGCAATAGCAATAGGCAACTGCAATAGGCAACAGCAACCGCAACGGTAAGCACAATAACCAGAAACAATACCGACGCAGCACAGTCTTCATCATTGCCAGAAAGGATTTCGATGTGATGACCGCTCATCTGGCCCGTCTGTACAGCATGTTCACAGAGAAGACGCAGCGAAACAAGATGTCAGAAGATAAATTCGCATTATGCCCAGGATCATGCTCGGTAAACAGCAGAGTCAGTTTCGAAGAGTTACGTGTCCCAGCCTTTGTGGTACAGCAGTCAACAGTGTTTAGAAACGCTTTAGTGCCTAACTTAGAACAGGCTATCATGCCCCACTCGGCCTGACAGCATATGCTCAGCGCCAGCCAGGTCGACAACCTGGCGCCGCAGTGTCACTTTCAGTGTCCCTTTGTCCCTTGAGTGGCAACTGAAAGACACTGAAATGGTTTCGAACGATCACACATAGGATCTGAAAAGCCTGCAGCTTGGAATGCCGCCATCTCGGTTGGGACGAGGTCGCGCCGCTTTCTCCCGGCAGCACCTGCCCGTGCGCGCCCCAGAGTTTGGAAAGAATCCAGGATGGTTTGCAAGAAAGCACGGGCACAGATGTGATCATGTGGATGCGAAGCCAACTCTGACAAAAACCCACTCTCTTGGAGACTCTACACGTATTCACGGAACTCATGCTCAGTCTTGCTTTGTGCGATGCCCCACCTGCTCCACATGCAGCACCACCATGGCATGGGATCGAGAAGAATTCGCACTCCGAGTTGACCCAATGACCTTGCCAAATACTCCTGCACTTTGCTGATTCGGACCCATTGAAGAATGCTGGGGCTTGAAGAATCTGCCCGGGTCGCCTGACATCCTATGTTGGGCCTGGCTTTCAAGGAGAAAAGGCCATAAAATATAAGGCCGTAATAATGTTTCCGAAATTCTGCAAGCTCTTCTCAATGAGCATGGCAGAGAGTGTTTTGCTTCGGCAAACCTGGCTGAGAGCGCCTGATTAGAGGAAGTCTTAAAGGAGCCTCAACCGGAGGAAGCTTATGTGGCAACGTCTAGACCATCACCGGCCGTCAGGTGACTGAACTCTGCTTGCTGCTTGCGCATCTTGAACCGCAACGTAAGGTTCTTAAGTTGACAGGCCAAGGAGGCCAAGGAGACAACGCCCTAGCACTAGCATTTGGACTGTGAAGCCAAACAAGCCGACGCATGAATAGAGAACAGAGTGAAGAGATAAAGGGAAGTGAATGTAGAACGAACACCATGAACAAGACACAAGAACCAGCCGATGATTGGTGCCTGTCATGAGTGAACTTATGAGCCGAGGGTGGACACAAAGCCCCAGTTCTAGCTCCTATAATCTCATGACACCTTAACTGCCCGGGGGACGCTCTTGATAATGGTTGGTTTTCTGGTACGATTTCTGGGTCTCAAGGTGTGATGGGTGCTGCGGTTGATTTGTGGTGGATTTCGGACGGTTAACAGATGTGGGAAAGGGACTCAATGGATGATTGGTGCCTGTCATGAGTGAACTTAATGCCTCAATGGATGGGTGATGAGTCTTGTACTGTGGTTCACTGGTTCTAAGCAGGCTTTGCATGAAAGAACCCCCCCAAATGCTAAATGATCTCTCGGGTGCCCTGCTGGGTGCCTTAAAGTGAGGTGCCCATAGGTGCCCCACTCTGATCTTGTGTCCGTAGTCAATGAGCTTGAGGATGTCATCCTGTCACTTCCATGCTCAGGGCTTCAGCGAACGGATGCTCGTTGTGTGCAGCACCGCTTTGCTTCGAGCTTTCTAAGGCAGTCACCACATCAGACACCACGCTGCGTGTGAGGCCCGCGACGAAAACACCGGCCTCTGAAGGTAAGGCATCCAAGCTAGCCCTAAGGCTCCAAGGTTGATGGCAGCTCTTTAAAGGTTTCCATCAATATATTCCTGTTCTGAGTATGGTTCCAAACTTACGCTGCATGTAATCTTAGAACCAGGTCCCCAATCCCAAGGGCACAACCTTCCACCCTTAAAGCTTCAAGGTAGAATCCCTCGGCTGCGAGGGTCGGTGTGCCAGCTCTTCACCGGTCTGCCCAGCGCTGCCTTTGGATGCTCGCACACCTCAAGCGCAGCTGGCGCCTTCAAGTCAGCAACTTTTGAAACGACGTGGGCCTATGCTTCTTGAGACATCTTCCTGCAGCTAATGCTGTCATGGGAAGCTCATGAGCAACCTGCCTCTTGCTTCTGGGCACCGTAAGGGTGCAATAAATCTCGGACCTGGCGACATCAAAGGAGACTTGATGCCCAGGTAGCCGAGGTGCAGGTCTCAAAGCACATAAGCTATGAATACTCTAGGTGCAAGAACAGTTTAATCGAGCAGGGGATTGATTGGAACAGAACCATTCTTTGAAGCGCGGAACTCGGGCATGCCATCACGAACCATGCAACGAAAAAGGCGCAAATGCTCTCGCACAAGCACCATGCTCACAGCTTCTGGCACACATGCGTGCACAGCAGCACGCGTGCTCCCTCAGGAGCCATGCTTCTGATGTACATCTCGGTAGACTGCTGCGTCTCCATCTAGCAGCATGCCATGGGTTGCCGGTGAGGGTGACAGACAACTCCCCGATGTCATGTCAGTGACGCCTGGTCATTGCACAGCTCCAGAAACGAGAGCGTGGCACTGGTCTTGCCTTCCACCTGACGTGCACATGCCCTTCTGTGGTATCTGTCGATCACACTACTAACTGTGATTCGACTCCCAAAGCTCCCTTATGCTCCTCTCGGCTTGATGAAGCAACTGCTTGCACGCAATGTCTGGGCACTGTGACCGCGCCCATGGCCGCAAAGAGCTTCTCCGACAGCCGTGGGAGGAGCCCTCGCGCCTGCAAGAACTGTAGAAAGCTATCACAATTAGACTTGCGCCCACGAAGGGGGGACGAAAGCTCAGTGCTTAAATGATGGGTTTCCAGTTGAGGATTTTGGGGCTTCACGCTCGGGGGGGGACGTGTTGCCATACGCATCTTTGTCTGCAGAAGGGCTGCCTGAGCAAGTGCCCATGATGGGTTTCGGGTTGAGGAGGATTGAGGGCTTCACGTTCGGGGAGACTGTTGTCACACGCAGTAATTATACGCATCTTTGAGGCAAGCCGCACTTTTTGCCAAGCAAGTGACCCCCGTACGTCGCCCCCGTACTTGACTTGTGGTGCGCCACCACCCGCGCATCAGCAGCATCAGCGGGCTCTCGTTTCTCCAAAAGTTGGCTGCCGGGCCACCGTGAACTGCTCGAAACAAGGCTCCAGCGGACCCAGCCCCCAAAACCAGCACCAGCCCAGGATTAGCCGCGAAACAAGGCCGATTTTTACCGGGGTTCCCCTAGTGAAGATCAGCTTACGCTGGGACGAACGGGCTCCCCTCAGGTTTGAGGGGGGAGCTTACCCATCAAACCTTGGCAACACGGACGTTACTGTTGTTGTACATGGAGAAATTCCCACCATCGGCCGCGTTGGCCTTTTTACACCGTAGTACTGGCCTGGGGGACTGGCAAGCGCTTAGGTGCTGTCAGGTTTGCCTTATGTGGCTGTGCCTCTGTCCAGAAGACTTGTATCGAGCTGACATGGACGAAACGTTTATCGATGTTGATGCCGGGAACTCGGGATCCGATTGTTATGGTGGTGGCGATCCGACGTTGAGGACTTTGAGCGGGCCGACCGCTGCGGCTGTGAAGTGATGGAAGTGCAGCATTCCACTGGAGATTGCATGTGGCGTTCCGACCGTCGCTCTGACCGTTTTTGGGCGGGAAGACGCTGCCTCTCCAGGGCCACCAAAGAGGGTGTGGCTCTTGCCACTGCCCGTTGAGCCGAAGGCCAGGATGCAACCATGAAACCTGAAGCAAAGCGATCCTAAAGGACATTCAACATGCATTTCGCAGCGACGTATTCGTATACTCGATTGTTCAATTTTCCTGACGATTATTGGACTAGCAACGTTTGAGGCGAGGACCCACCAGCCAGCGATGCGACCAGGGGACTGCCTACCAGATCACCACGGCACTCTTGCCATCCAGCAGGACAGCAAAAATGGAGGAGAAGTCACTTGGCATCTAAATGCAGGGCAAACCGCGCAATCCCCCCTGGGGAAGAATACTCTTGAAGAAGAGCAGCCCAAAATTGCAGCGACAACCGCCTATCAAGTTATAGACCGCTGCTTGGCCAGCCTCAGGGCAGCAGTAGCACTGCGAGACTGGGACTGCAAATCAAGGACCGGACACCTGCCGTACAACCTTCTTAGAGATTCTTTGAAGACAATACTATGCCTTACAGAGACTTTTCAAGTACATACGCTTTTCATCGCAACGATGTTCCCCCCCAAGGAGCAACTTCTTGGGGGAAGACTGTCGAAGACCCCATCCTTTCCTACTTCCAGTCTTGTGGGAAGAGCCAGGGGGGGTCGATTTGCCTTGTCTTCACACTGTTTTAAGCGCTTGGCTTGCTTGGATTCTCCGCTTGGGTTCGGGCGCTGGTCGGCAAGACGGTGTCGAATGTGAATGTCTCTTGCTTCCTTCGCAGTGAGCGTGTGCAGGGCAGCATAGAACATAGAAGGAAGGGGTTAACAAGATTGACACCTCGACGTGAAAACATATGAGAAGAAGCAGAAGGATGCAGATTTTCCGAAGTTGCTCAAAGCCTCGAACCACTGCTGCAAATTGCTTGCTCTGAGTGTCCTGTTCGGCTCTACGAGTCCACCGGACGGCCTTCCAGGATTGCAGTTAGACTCACAGGACAAGGATCACGCGTCCAGCAGAGTCGAGCAGTCTAGCACCACACGGCGCCATACCGGCAGCTTGCAACTCAGCTGGATGGATCGCTCTGATACATAGCGCAGGTGGGAGCACGTCCAGACCCAGCGCCCAAATGCAGGAAGAGCTCGAAAGCTACTGGATCTGTCACCTTGTAAGGTGAACCTTGCCCGGGGCGTCCAAGTCGCAAGCAACAACCTGCCAAATGCGGCCAACATGATGGGAAGGTACTCTAGGTGCGAAAGCCAGAACGATCCAGAACGCTACAAAAGCGCCTGCGTCTGCCCATCAGTGATTTCTGAGTCGGCCATGGGTCTTACCTCAGAACATCTTCGTGCAGGTCCACAATGAAAGCCCGAAGCCATTTCCCAAGGTCTGGACGCGCACGCAGACCGTCACTGAGCGTTCCTCACTCCGGTCCCGCATGCAAAGGCACGACTCGACTGCAGATACACACACACACACATGCAACACGGAAAGTGCTGTCACTCGACAAGTGAACAAAACAAGCACGTCTCAGTAATCTGCAATGATTTTGGCGGGCTCGTCCCGCTTCGGTGCCGGCGCCGGCACACGCACATTGCCTGCCACACATGCGTCCGCACTTGTCTTTTGCACCTCAGTGCACCTCCGTGCAGCCTGAAACTCACTTTCCCGGCCAGCGCTCAGAACTTGTAAGCTTCCGACTGGGATTGCTGCCAGCTCGGTTGCTGGAGGGCCTTCTGCACACCAGGCCAAAGCAGTGAAAGTGACCTCCCTCAGAAACTCCCAAAGCTGATTCTTGAAAAGCTACGCTCACAGCATCTCACAGCAAGACATCTCATGCCGTCGCTTCTGAGGCCATCTGACTCGCCTCTCTGCAGGGCGAGGGCGCCTTCAGATTCACATGGGAGCACTCCATGCTCTCCGAATCTGTGGCGGATGGCCCTGGTGTTCAGTCCTTAGGCTCGAACTCAGACCTTGGGGTCGAGGCCCTTTTCGTGGCACCGGCAGACGGCTGCCTGCGAAAATTGAGAACAAAAAGAAGAACAACAACGAAAACCAACTCACCAAGGTCTGGATCTCCCCGGGTAGCTACACAGCAACTGTCAAGCAGAAGGCCAGGTGGTGAACCTCTCTCCTCACTCTGCACCGGTCCCGGTTGCACTTGCTCCGTCCTCGTCTGGGGCCCCTGAGGCCCGTGAACGGAGCCAGTCCTCAGCGCTTTGCATTTTTTTTGCAAAACTATAGGTCCACAATGCACAATGTGCAACTACAGATTTAAGCCACCTCATCCACAAAACTGAACTGTCCAAACGTGTCTTGGATTGCGACACACATCGAGGACCCTCTGAGGCTTCGGCCTCGGGATGGACGAGCGCCGGAGTGGCTTCACCTTTCTCTGGGCGAGTCTGCTTTGCAAGTGCACGATGTGCACGATCCCTTTAGACCCATGGGCTGAACCAGACTCAACTGTGAGCTGCGAGCCTGAACAGGAGGCCGCATCATGGTTGCGCATTGTTGCAGGTACCCAAACTTTGGGGTATTCTGTTCGTTGAATGTTGGTTGAAGCTCGGTCAAGGTCGTTCAGGAAATAGATTAAATATATTTTGCGCCGAAGGAGTCAGAGGCACTTCGGGCGCATGGAAAGTCAAACGAACTTCATGCTGCAAGAGAACTTTCTGTAAGCCTTGCTGGTGCAGCAGTGCTGTTAATGTCTTGATATCCAAGCTGCTTCTTCATCTCTCTTGAGGTGTTGTACTTACGACTTACGAGACTTCGGAGCCGGATGACAAGTTGCAGCGCGGGCGAGCGCATCTGCATGTGGAAGCGACTCATATCGGTTGAGGCTATTTGGGCCCGGTCTCTGTCACATGCTTCCGTCTGGCTTGCAGAATGGGCCATGCTGCAAAGCAATGAGTGCCATGTAGTGCCACGCAGAGCCTGTAGCGCCTCCAGCAATGTCCGCAAGCCAAACCTGAAGGCCCAACACCGTCCAGTAATATTAAGACAAGCCCGCAGACGGAAGTGGCAGTTGCCCCGGTACAGTTGGATTCTTTCAGCCCGGGCAGCGTCCGTTCAGGTTCGGCAAGCTCTTCGGGTTGTGGTTCTTCCTTTCGCTGCTCCTGGCGGGCTCTGCCAATTATTGCCTAACTAAGCCTGTGGGAACGCGCCTTGCGACGAGTTGACAATGTGCAGCAGGCAGCAGAATGCAGTAAATGTGAGAGATGTGACAACAGTAGCTTGAGACATGTGCCTCGTCTGCAGCTTGCGTGACTTGAGCATGACCCTCTTCATGGTCATGGGGAAGCTCACCTGAACCGGAGCCATGCCGCACGGTTGCCGAAAAAGCTGCTCGATGCTCTCCAACCAAGCCTCTACACTACATGCCTCTACTTCCTTCAATGCAAGTTATCCAAGTTTGTGATGAGGTTCAGCAGCTGTCAACTTGAGTGCAATTTGAGTACAACCTTCGGCAATTCCAGGTCGAGCCATACTCTCCGTCAGAGGCCTGGCAGCTCGCTTGCTTCTGGCTCATGCTCCTCGGCAGGTGGAGACGCCTGGCCAGGAGAAACAAGCACTCTAGATGTGTCCGAGCGTGTCCCTAACATGCGAAGCTCTCTCCTTAACGATTCGTTATCCTTGTCTGGTGAATGGACTCCTTGCATTCTTCGCCTTGCCCGGTTCTCGAGTCTCTCCGCGTCGCATCCACCAGTGTAGGGCCTTACTGGGGCTTAAACTTCTGACAATGTTCCAGCAGAGAGCTCACACAGCGATCGAACAGAAAAGGATGGACGAACCTTGGGTGGCACTTCAAGATACCTTTTCAGGGCTACAAATAAAGATCAACGAAGGCACTTCGCAGGCCAGGAAACCGCCCACTGCCGCGAGCAATGTCGCCTCAGCGTCCGACCAAAGTTTCTGGTGCTTTTGCTACTGTTCAAGATATTCAGAAACTACTGTAAGCAAGTACGGATACCGTTTGCACCAGTCTGGGGGTCAGTGCCACACTGGATAGCGGTGGCGAGAAAGAAGACATCGCGGCAGGAGCAACCGGATCCAAACTTTGGGAGTTGTAAAGGGGTTGCGAGTTGCGTCGCGTAGTTTCTTGGTCGGCTGCCGACGTCGCTCAGCTCTGAGTCTTCCAGTACTTTGGGCGACCATGGCAGTCCCGCATGAACTTGCATGGGTGGATTTATGCTGTTCGCTGATGTATCTTTGTTGAGCATCCGGTGCGATGCCAGCGACAGCAGGTGCTTATCAGCGCATGGGAGCATGCCAACCACCCACCCATACACACGGCTTCTATCGAGCTACACTTGACATCATGACGGGTGCCAGAAATGTGGAGGCGGATTATGTTTGACCTTACCAGTGTAGCAAACCACAAGACGGCCATGTCCTTGTCCTTTGCAAGAGTGGGCCCTCTGGCGTCCTGGCGACGCATCAACAACTTGCCGTACGGTTGTGGGATTCACTCTATCAAACTATAGAGGCTGGTCCAGGTACCTTGGTCTACAAGCGTTGTTTATGACAGCACGAGCCCCATGATCTAACTGGACCGCAAGTATCCGTTCAATGGGGCTTTTCTTCACAACACCAGGGTCGTACCTTCAACAGCTGCTACACCACAAGACCTGCATACCTGGAGTAACAAGAAGCAGTTTAAGTGCGATGGGCATATCTCGACTGTAGAAGAGGTACGATTGAGGCCTGCATGGGTGCGGCACTCATTGCCTACCACTGTCTGTGATTCATGCAGTTTGAGGGTGCAGAAATAGAAAACATTGGAGGCATATAACGATCGCGTGACTCTTAGCCATCGACATAAACATGCCTCAGATCCCATGTTGAGCCATCAGCTTAGCGGCACCTGCCTGTTTCGGAACGGCGTACGCCGGCATCCGCTTCTGTCCAGCAACAGGACGCAGAGTTATGCCAAACTGCAAGTGAGCAGCACGACACCTAGTAACTTATTAAGTGCATATCATGCCACGACCATCGCAAAGCGAGCTGATCACCCTGCATCCGCCATTGACTCGTTGATTCTCCGCAAGCCCAAGCTGTGAGGAAACTGCGTGCAAAATTATGGCAGACATGCAGCTCACCGAATATACTATCCACTGATGCTATATGCTATAGATCATGGATATATGTATATATACATATATGTATATATGTGTGTATGCATACATATCTATAGTTTAGTACTACTGATTATTGATATCCTGACCGCACCTGAAGCAGAACGAGCAGCGGATGCCTCCATTACGTCGAAGTTGGGGCTGTAGTACCCTGGTCCAAGCGGGGTGCCCTGGCACACATGGGTTCCCTAAGTGTGCTGGGCAATGGAAAGAGACCGATCCCAAGCAGCTGTGAGAGCTATGCAGCTATGACATGCAAAGTGCAACTAACGAAAACACAAACTGCGCCTTCTTCGACAATTTCGCTTGCCTTATCTGCAAAGCCAGCGCATGGAAGCGCAAAGCACCATCAGCACAACCTGAGCCTGCAGCTCCTTGTTTTCAGGACTCATCTGCAGGCCTGTTCCGGGCGGTGAGGCTGCAAACATGGAAACCAACAACTGCACACACTTCTTTGAGCATCTACCCTCCACTTGAATTACGTAGGGTGTGGCACTCTGAGGGGGCAGCAGTCAACGTGCTTCTCAGGCTTCTGTGGGTCGTACCTCAGAAATGTGCGAGGGCAAGGCTTAGCAAGTGAAGGGGGCGTGGGCGGTATTGACTGCGACACATTAGGCATGCCAAAGCATGCCTTCTTAAGTCATTCCAAGGCAGGAGCTTGCCAGGAGCTGGCTTCCATTTACCCTCAGTAACTGCCTGCACATTCCAAATTAAATCTCCATTGAAGTCTCCTAGATGCGGCTATGTGCGACGTCCAGCTCGAAGCAGCATAGTTTCTCCCATCAGAAGACGTCAGCGTCGCTCACATGCAGAACGGATTGCTGTACTGTACAATAGCCCCCCAAGATACAGCAGGGCCACATAAAGCTTCAAGCGTCCAGGTATCCAAGGTTGACACAAAAAATTGCTGCAGGTGGTGTCTGGGCATCCCTGGGGACCTGGACCCTCGACAAATCCAAACATGCAGACTCAAGGCATCTATTCGACGCTGGTTGGACGCCCTGCACTGTTCCTTTTGTTGTGACCCAAAGGCCGACAAAAGTTGCAAAAGACCCGCTCCGCAAACGATCCCTCCACAGACGGATTGCCCTTGTGGTAGCAAAACGAACGCGAAGGAATGATGTCTGTCAGAGGCCATTCCGTGCGAAGCAACCCCTGTTATCACCATCCGACTTCTCAAAGCTGAGACTTGCCTGGTAAGACAACTGCATGATACTGCATGTAGATGATCAAAGGAGGTGGTGCTCGCACAACTTTGGCAGTTCTGTGCACCCCCTCCACCGGTGATGTATGTACTGGTGCTATCGCACACCTCTGGAAACTTCATTCGCAGGAGCTGTAATTCAAATCTATGCAAGCAGCTCACTCTGTACATGCAAACCTCAGTGGGCAGCACACACCATCATAAACCAGTTGTTCAGTTGCGGGCTTGCGCGACATGCCAGACAGAACTGAGAAATGGCAAGAACATGGCAGCAGACAGCACAACCTCATCAGACTGATATTCTTTGACAAGGCGCTGCTACAGCTTTACATCAAGCGCTGGAGCTTGCGCGAGGTCGATCATGATCGAAACTCTCGGTTCTGCTCAGGTGCTCACTCCATCTCCACCTCAACTGGCGCTTCCTGACCTACCTTCCCAGGTTCCCCATTCTCATCGAGTCCCAATGCTGCTGTGCAGCCGTAACGGCAAACGATGTGTCCGCCTTGTCCACCAACCTGCAAGATGGCAACGCTATGCAACACTAGAGATTAGACAGCAAGCTACCCGGGCAGAATCGTCAGATATCAGGATGCGGAACTGTTTGTACATGCTCACACCTACGCCAGTCCACAGGCAGCTCGCAAAGCTCTGACGTGCTTCGCTCGGGAGTCGTACCTCGTGCGGAACGAAACCCAGATTCTTGGTCCAAAGGCCAGCTTGGTCAATAACTCTTGCTTTGCATGCCACGGTGCGGAAAGGGCCAAGTCGCATAGAGCCGATCGTGAAGAACAGCTTGAGATCCCGGATCTTAGTACCACGTGGTTCAATGGTGCCATTGGGTGATCTTCTTCAAACGTGATATGTTTGCCGAGAAGGCTTCTGCAGCTAATGTCCAGATCTGACGGATTCCCATAGTCATGCATGCAGCAGACGAGCCCGTGGTCTCCCGCAATACAGAACTTGAGCAACGAAAACGACCATGTTGCACAGAATGTTTAGATTTGGCCAAGACGCAACAGGATCATCCGAAAGGAACTTGATCTGCAGTGAGCCGTACAAAGGCGCTGCCTGCACGTGAACCCAAGTTGACCAAAACACACTTCAGCCTCTTCAGCCTTTTGGCCCTTTGAACTCCAAAAGCCGAGTGCGACCATTTGACATGACCTGATGCCAAACCTTGTTGCACGCCATCTCCTTCTTCTTGGCTCCTTTGGATTGTGTCGCCCATGCTGACCCTGGCGCAAAGATCCTTAGCTCGACAGAGTTCAAGATCGTTCGAGGTCGTTCAATGAGATAGCTCTGCGCAGTTCAAGATTCTGAATGACTGTCAGCGACAGTCCTGAACTGAAGGCGTTCCAAAGGCCCGCCGGGGATTGCTGAAGAGGTGAGCAGCTTGCGAGGAGCTTGCACAACCAGCAGGTTACACGGTTACCCAAGGCACGCTACAAACAACGGTGCCAACACAATTAAGACCTGGTCAAGTTTCACTCGGAAGTCGTCCAGCAGCGGTGTGCTGAGCTGAGGCGACACGAGCGGGAAGCCGCAGCTGGCCTTGAACTTTGCACTTGGGTTGATGACACGCCAGGACACGGCACTGGTCTCCGTGGCAGAGGCGCTGGGCGGCAGCAGTTCCGACAGGGTCAATGGTACTGGGGACCGTGGCATTGCAGGCATCGGATGGGGGCTGGATCGGCAGCTGGCAGGCGGAGAAGTCGATCGAAGAGATCGTGGAGAAAGGGTGGCCGAGGCTGCTGATGGCGATCGAGTCTCCTCCTCCATGGGACATTTGCCTGGAATCAAGAGATGAGACCTGGGCACTGAAGCATCTGAAGCTGAATACTTGGAAGAGCAGCAAGCCCCCTTGAGCTTGAGCTCTTGCAAAATGCACTGGAGCAAAGCCTGGTTCTGGCACTCGAGCTCAGTTCCCACCAAGGAAGCCATTGCAAAAACACTGCGAAACTGCGAACAAGACGTTTGACAAACACTGGAATTCCTCGAAGGCTTCGGCTTGAGGGACGCAAACGGCAGCAATCGAACAGCGAAAGTCAGGAGTCAGGAGCAGGGCGCAACTTGTGCAAACTTGACGATTGAGAATATATTATAATATATGTGCACAGAGCGTCACAGAGCGAAGCACAGAAGACACGGAACGGCCTGGTCGTAGATGAGGCACCCGCGCGTGGCTCAGTGCAACAGCAAACGTTACATTTTGGAACGGATGCTGGCCACGCCTATGACCCGCTACGGACTACACGTTGTCTGAATGAATTATACCGGAGAATTTTTCCAGTACTTCTGGAAGCATTGGGCCACTAAGCCGCAGGCATTTGGCCATGATGCCGCCGCGCGTGCGAGGTGTCGTCACATCGCTAACGGTTTGATACCTCAAGCAACGCAACATCTGCAACAAGCTGTGGCACTGACTTGTTAGGCCCATTAGGCACCATGCTCAAGTCCGGGGCCTTCATACATCTTGAGCCATGAATGCGTGATTCGGCGAAAGTGATGCCTCCAAGTCTGTCGTGCCCAAGCCAAAGCCCAAACGACTCAGAACGATCGACCCTCCCCGTCGCAGGCCAAGCAGGAGATCAGTTTCCTCCCCGTGTTGGCCCATCTACCACTGCTCCCCCGCAGGACCTCTGCGCTTCAAGCATGTCCCCAAAGCCAACGTGCGCCAATCTTCCCGAATTGGGAGTCCAACATCAAAAACAACGATTGCATGTCCCTTTCAAAAAAAGTACCAAAACGATGAGTGCCAACAACAAACCTCAAGCAAGCCCGCAGCAAAAACGTCTGCACAAAGCAACGCGCAAAAAGATAAACGGGCCCAAGGCCCAGGCTGGCCCACGGCAGGCCAGTGCTTCTTGGCGTCCTTCTCATCGCGGCTCAGCCGGCTGAACCTTCCGCCAAGACGAAGACGATCACTTGTGTTCTCAGGGGGGATTCCCAGAACAGCATCGTCACCTTCGAGTGTGGAGATATTGAAATCAGGCCGACACGGAAACCGAGGGCCAAGCATTCCCAACTTTGCCTTTTGTCCGAAGGGCCTTGGCTGCAAGGGGCCTGAACTAAACTCCATGCCTTGAAAAACTCTACTCACCAGTTTTAATCATCCCTACATGCCCTAGACTTTTGTGCCATCTTGAGATGGCACAGTACAGGCACAACACGTTGAAGGACTGCGGGTTGCACCTTTTCCCATCCTTGCAACCAGCATTCATGAGGCAGAGGCTTCCCCTCCTTCTTGTACTGATCTGGACCCGGATACTTGGCATTCTTCTTAACCTGCGGCGCGGTTACATTCAAGTACATATATATATATATATATATATATATATATATGCGTGTATATACGTAGCGTATGTATGTATGTATGTATGTATGTATGTATGTGTGTATGTATGTATGTATGTATGTGGTATCACCATCATACAATATGATTGCGGTGTCTTTGTTTTGGAGGGGGTCAAGCATATAAGAAACCCAAATCAGGAATTGCCTCTGCAAAGTTAGTCTGTTGGCTTTGTTTTATCGATCTTTATGTTCTGGTAGTTTTGTTCTTTGTTGGTTTTGGCTTCGAAGGAATTGTTTCTGTGATATTGCTGTTTTTTGTCTTGTTTGTCTTTGTTGTTCCTTTTAGCGTTCGTTTTGCTTGCTTTTAAGACTTGATTTGGAGGAAGTCTGCATGCATTTGTGTGGTGTCTTTGCTCTGTTTTTTAAACTTCGGGTTTTTTTCGTTGTCGTGCCTCTGCTTCAGTGCATTAGCTTGCGCCTGCACAGATGTCTGTCTAGAAATGCAAGCGAGACTATAAAGCATGTCGGCACCGTTTTGCCAGGGGCTGCATGTAGAAGCTATTTTTGGCACACCGGGATGCCCAAGCCCCACTGAGTGGGACTCCGAAATTGGATACCTCCCCAAGGGCATCCTTTTTAGAATAGCTTTTTTGTTGTTGCGGTCAGGCTAGGCTACTTCACAAAGCTTGAGTAGGGCTTCACGACACCACATTATGAAAATGAACAAAATGAGAGGATGCTGCGCATCGCTTCTCGGATCTCATCTACAAGTTAACTGCGGAAGGCGGCAAGCACTTCACAAATGACGACAAGCCCGCACATATTCCGGACGGATTTCCTGAAGGGTTGTCAGGCTGAATGTAAGTACAAGCTTGTTCCTTGAAGGCAATCCCGTGTCTGTTTGACAAGGAACACTCACACAAAGACAACGGTTTGGCATTGAATACTTTGCCTTGTTGCCTTCATTTACCGACTCACTCGCAACTCTGGTTCTTCCATCGTCTGTCTCTTTGTGCTGTTCGGTCTCCGTTTGATTACCGCTTAAGTTTGAAACGCACGAAACGTGGACAACGAAACGTGGATGCATGAGGGTGGTAGCAAATCTGGCACTGTATGTGTAGATACTGTATATATGTATGTATGGATGTATGTATGTATGTATGTATGCAATGACATATATAAAGCACACAGCACATGAAACATATATGATATTATATATATATATATGTATAGATATGATAACTTTTTACATTGTACATACAGATTGTCCTCATGGCGCAGGGGGGCGGGAACAGCAGCTTGTGACAGTCCCCCGTGGCTATGGCGCACGTTCGAAGCCCGAGCCGGAGGCAGCACATCAACCCATGAATGATCTTCAATACGACCTCCCCAAGTTCAAGGTCACTGCCTCAGTGAAGAGGCTGCCAGCTTCGTTGGGCGCCTTCGGGCAACTAGTGAGCAAAGAGCAATTGGGATGAAGATCGCCAACCCTGGGTCAGCTACATCAACTAAATACATTGGATAGCTCGCTCCTTCGGGATTGTCCCACCAGGCACGACTGGTTGGAAGCCGTTCTTCGGGACCACATACCTGGCCGATGAACTGCAGTTCATGTATGCCCCCACTCTCACCAAGAGCAAGATGGGACCTTATAACTAAAGCAACTGTGGCTTAGCCTCATTCGTCGAAAAATGGGGTCACGGTGACTCAGTCAAAAGGATGCAAGAGGGGATGGGAAGGAACAGCCTACCTTCGAAATGCAGGCTTCTGGGGTGCTGTGTGGAGTCACCTTTCTTGTTGCTGCAAGGGCACGCTTCCAGTGCAAACCCGTCCATGGCCAAATGCTAAGCAACCTCAAGAGCGGAAGAGACAACAACGCAAGGATCCATGTCTGTGAGAAATCGCACCCGACAAGAAGAAGCTCGCACCGTTCCCCGCAAACTCATGCTGACCATGGCCCAGGTGCACGGATGTAAGCGCAGTTTTCACATTTGCACGTGTTCTCTCATGCTAACTTGCGCGAAGTGCCAGGTGCAGAGCATAACCCAACGAGTAAAAACGAGATGTGAAGAAACCAGAAGAAACGAGCCATTATCCCTATGAATGGACTAGAAAAGCTCCAACTTTGCCCACAAACCCTGAAATCCCAAAACCCTTGACCCCTAAATCCCACAGCCCCAAGACCCAGCAGCCCATAACCCTTGGGTTTCCCCACAAGTCCCGAACCTAATTGGTCTTATTGTACATATGTATAATATGTACATATATATATATATATGTGTACATGCTGTGCATACATGCACATACAAAACAAAACCAACTTGGGCTTTCCAGCTCATGTTCGCACATGTCCTGTCCCGCATTTAGCCTGATGAAACAAGAAGGCCGGCAGCAAACTTCTACATACATACTCACTGTGGTTTTTCATCATCGACATGATAGTGAAAGTTAAGAGGAATCTGGCCATTCTCATCAGAGCAACTTCCAGCAAAGCCGTGGCAAAAGTAGAAGACTGGTTGAAGATTGCCATCGGTTGGCTCCCTTGAAGCTGTCATCTGTTCGCGCTCCCGACTCGGAGTTGCAAGCTTTGTGGAGTGGCGCAATGCCGAAGAGGTATCTAAATCTGATAAGCCAACCACCATACCATTGCCGAAACTGAACCAAGCGGCACTTCTTTGGGCCGTTCGACTGGAACCGCTGGTCTTCAGCAAAGCGCCAGTCCTGTGGGCACGCATCAGATGAATCAGGGAAGTGTTTCACGGAGCACATCAGTCTCTCTGGGCTTTTCTGCGAGCTCTATCGGCAATACGTGCTGTTTCCACAGTTGCGATCGAGCCCAGAAAACTTGACCGGCCTCCGAGCAACGTGACGGAATGCGTTCAACTAACTACAAACGGCCGCAGTCGATGAGATCATGCAAGCCATGTCATGTGCAACCCAGGTGCATGCGTGCGAGTCGTTTCCTTGGATCGCAAATCACGAACTACTAGCTATGCCACGAACTCCTTTACATCATGTCACCAAAGTAGCCCTTGTGTCTGTGCCCGAAAACCTCCGGCTACAAGATGCTTTCGGTCTTTTTCTTTTGCTGAGAACGCCTCTCAGAGACCTGGGCCTGCGCAAGAGACATCATCCTCTCAAGGGCTGCCATGCGCTCGGTGCGGCCTGTGCACCCAGATGGAGATTGCAAGGACGCCCCCCAAACCCAATTAGGAGCCCGCTGAACCTTTTTTTAATACTCCTTTGGAGCCAAGCATAACTGCACAAGACCAAACATCCCTGACCCGTGACCTGACCAAGGCTGAATCTCAAGACCTCGTGTCCCAATCAATCCCCAAAGTCCAAGGAAGGTCCTCTGCATTTCAATATCCTGTCAGCCCAGAATTAGGGGAGCGGTTTGAAAGGCTCGGGATCGTGCCTGAGTACCGCCACTCCTGCAGCTCGTCTGCCATCTCTTCGGCACTTGCGAAGAACTTGGAGGCCGTGTCAGCCTTGGCTTTGGCCTCGCGGTAGCTCTGCTGGGCATCCAGGAGTTGGCCCGTCACAGCGGTGGATTCGGCTTCCAAGCCTCGGTTCTGAGAAGTTAACTGGAGTCTCGTTCCGACTTTAGTAGACAGCGACCACCAGAACCACTAAAGAAGGGAGGGACTACTCTGCCTCGTGCCGAGAGACGCGCTCGGTCCTGCTGAACGCGTGCCAGTTCCGCCTGCAGATGTTCAAAGGCCTCCGGGGCAGTAATCTTTGTTTGGATGTCCTGAAACATGGGGTGATCAGTCTGATCACCCGCAGAATCCTCACATTCCAAAAGCCGGCTTAGCTCTGAAAGTTCAGCCTCCGTGCTTTGACGGAGGCGTGCCTCCTCCTCCTCAAGCTCTCGTAACCTCTCTGCTTCAATAGCCTCCTCTTTGGCAAGCCGTTCGCGCTCATTCGCAAGCGCACTCCACCTCCGGTGGCCGCCAACGCTAGGGTTAGCATAGCCCATGCCAGCCAACTCTTCTAGCGAAGACATGATAGCTGTAAGGACAACGGAAGTCTCTCCGACCGCTCCTTCAAAAAGAGGTCTTCGAGGAGCCTTCTCTGATGCGGAAGATGAGCTGCTGGAATCAGGAGTGGCCTTGCCGGTCTGTAAGGTGTCGGCCATGCCTGCACCCATCACCATCTCGTAAAGCGCCAGCATGCGCTGCATCTCCGCTATCAGCTCATTTTGCCTCTCCAGCTGGTGAGGGTCCTCGTCCAGTGCTTGCTTTTCAAGTGACTCGACAGGCCTCGCCTTGCTCTCGAGAGCGACTTGAGAGGTCGGGGAGGCCGAGCCCTCCATGTGACGGAACTCTGCAACACTTGCAGTTCCGTTAAGCCGTTCTGTGGCCGCAGCAAGAGCTGCTGCAACCTGGTGGGCCTCCTCAGTCTGCTCCTGGTGCTCACTTAAGAAGCTCTTGTGCTTGTCATCCTTCACATCCCTCGCATCTTCTGGATGACTTGCTCTTTGACAAACCTCTAGATTGGCATCAGCCAAGCGGGAGATGCTTTCCTCAAGCTTCCAAAGCCTCTGCAAGAGGAGGTCCTGCTTCTGAAGCATCTCCGATTCAGGGGCGAAGTGTGGGTAAGCTGGCCGCTCCGCGGGCTCCAAAGGCTCAGGCTGGCGAGGCTGAGGCGGCTGTGGGTACGGCGTGGGAGGCTGGGGCGGAAACTGTGACGCGTACATTTGCATTGGCTGCATGGGCTGCATGGGCTGCATTGGCCCCGGCTGCATGAAGGGAAACGGAACAGGCAAGAAGTTGACACACGGACTCGCAGCGTTCGGCTGTGCCTGTTCGCTTGGATGGCTTGGCTTCTCCTTGCCTTCACCAGCTTCGCCAGCTTCTTTCGACTTCATAGCGGAGCGGGGAGGAGTCTCGACAGGCTCCGCAGCTTGTTTGGGTGGTTTGGGGGTTTTGGGGCTTTTTGCTTCCGGCACTTCTGGTGACAACTCGAAGCTATATGTACATCGTGCCTGCGCGAAACGTACCACATCACCATGCTTCAAGTCATACGGAATGTTGGGCCGCAGTCGCAGACCGTTCACGAAAGTGCCGTTACTCGAGCCCAGATCCAGAAGCTGTGGCCGCCTGCCGTGGAACGTCAGCCGCGCGTGAAGTCGCGAGATTCCTTTGCCATCCAGCTGCAAACTGCACTCCTCTCCACGCCCGATGGAAGTCTCCAGGTCTTCAAGCTGATAGACCACACCCTGTGTCCGCAAGTAGCCGTAGATATGGACACCTTCCAATTGGGAAGGAGGGACTGCCATGCTTCAGAGACCACCAGACCATGCCAGCGAGATTAAAAAACAACAGGATGGCACTGGATTTGACCGCCGGCCTATTCCGAAATGTTGTGGGTCACCTGCCTTTCGGGTCATGCCTCTGCTGATCTGTTGCTTCTGACTTGTACTTGCCCTAGGAAACCCTTAGCGTGGCTTTGCCGTCAACCTGTCACAGGCTGTTTGAACAGTTCGCCAAGGCCGTCACGTTCAGCAAAGAGATTGTCTGCCTTCTACATGATGCTGCACATGGGCAAACAACCGATTTCGTGAGGGTGTCAATCAAATCGGTATGTGGGAATCAAGTCACCAAGTCCGAAACATCAACTCTTGCAGACTGTGTTGCTTGAATGCTACAATTCGGCTAGAACTGCGGAATGTGGATCGTGTCAAAGCAATGGTATACACCATGCAATAGAACGGGCGAACAGCTTTTCATGCACCGGATGGGCCACTGAATTTTAGGCACGCCGCTGCCTTTCACTATGAGTGAAACGGCGATGTCTTGGGCGTGCATGCCGTACCTGTGGGCATGCAGGCGAGCCATTCATTTACGAGCCAGGACTGCGAGGAGCCATTGAAGCAAGCAGGCCAAACCAAACCACCCAGACGTTCTGTTAACAACCAGGTAACAACCGGGGCGCAACAAAGGTGAGGGGGGACAGCTACTTTCCCACAATCGGCTTCAATACCTGCCTCGCAGTCCACGCACTTTTGTGAGACAGGTTCGAATTCGCTTGACCGCGCAGTTGTCTGTGCTTACACCGGTGTTGATCTGATTCGGCTGCATTGCGAGTCCTTTTTCTCGGGCAGGCCCACTTCATGACTGACCCCTGTTGGCTACAGGCGTATCGATACTTGACTTCTTCGCTTCGATGAGAGTTGACTTCTGAAAGTTTTCACCAGTTCGCTGCCCCTCAGCCTGTGATCTGCAGCCCAGAGTACGCTTAGAGAGTGGCCTGGCCATGGCTGCCAAAAGGCCGCCAAGGTTGCCATGAGCTGGAGCACAGCCAAAAGGTCAGGTGTATACAGGTGCCTTCCGGAAGAGATCCCAGAGAAGTAGGCCAAGTAGCCAAAGAAAGGCGGGGACCTGCCCAAACAGCACGTAGCCAATATCGATTGGGCAACCCGTGAAACCGTCACGCGTGCGTCATGTCAGTACAATGGCACACGGCTTCAAGAGTGCAACGGCTCCGACGGACGTTTTCTCCGCTATGTGGTTGCAATCTGGACAAGGCTGTCCGCTTCAAGGGCACCAATGCTGAGACTTGGCACAGTGTGAACATAGCCTCAGCTTGCACAAGCCACAAGCGTGGGAGAGGAAGTAGCTGAGCGACACAGAAGAAGCAAATTCCGAGAAGCAACAGTAAGCTCACTTCCCGTCCGAGTTGATGAAACATGGCCCGATTCTGGGTGGGTTGCGGACATGCCCGAAGTATTTTTGGCATCCGAAAACACAAGCATCACTGCACTCATGTTTACCGGATGTATGGGTCGCAGGCATGCGAACGTATACATCGACAGCTGCTACGCATTTCAACTTGCAGTCTCAGCAACTCATATTGAGTGCATGGGCCCACTCCCAGTAATCAGCATACAGCCCAAGGGGGTTGAACTCCTTTGCTGTACCGCACAAGAAGTCTGTCGTTCTCAAGCAACAAAAACAGCTGCATCCGCTTAGCTTTCACAGTCGATTTTCTGACATGCTTACCATGACAAACTTTGAAATAGCGACATGCCAGCTTCAGATGTGATTCCACGAGTTTCGCTCCATCTGGAAGGAATACCAGATTCCTTGCGAAGGTGGATGCGATAGACTCGCCACAAGAAGCACACCAACTTACGTGTGCCCCACTCTCTTTGTGCATCTGGCCAAGATCTTCACCCGTAGCTTCACCGTTTCGCTCAAGAACCCTGACCTTTCAACCGCCCCAACGTACTTGCTTTTCCGCTTTCAAGCATCAACAGTGCCGTGCCGGCAAAGCCAGCCAAACGGCAAGTCGACGTATACAGCTTCCTGAGCACGCTTTGCGAGGTAATCCAGGTTGTAAACGTGCGGCCCTACTCCGTGCCTGGCCAGTTCATGTACCGGCATGCTTCCAGGATCGTCAAGAATGTGAAAACCTCAGGCTGCTACCGATCTGCAGAGAGGACTGTTTCCTTTTTGTGCGAGACAGTGCAAACTTGATTGCTGTGCGCGGTGTGCAACACGATGCAACACGTGAGCCCACGAAACCAAGCTTGGATGTGATGTAGGTCATGCTTTTGATTGCTCTGAGGCTCTGGCCATTCTTCTGCCTTGCGGTGGCATGTTTTACAAACTTACTTGGTGAATCCTTGCTCGTTGTGGAGCTTGTGACAGAGCCATGTGGCGTGCATGCTGCTAGTTGGACGTGCAAGAGCCCTTGAAAACTCCAACTCAGAAGCTGCCCTCATGGCTGGCTAGATTTCGCCAAGCAGCAGCCTCTCTTCCAAAAGGTCCTCACTTAAGCCGAGGAGAAAGTGAGAGAGAGCGAACGAAAGGGAGGAGAAGGTGAAAGAGTGAGAGTGCATACGTTCACGAGTGCGTGGGTGAGCGCATGAGCAAGTGAACGAAAAGCTAGAATGAGCAATTATGTCGTCCTCTCCCTCGACTGAGCGACCATTCCGAGTGCCACTACGTCGAGACAGGAAGACCTTGGACCAGTCACCTGATCCGAGGAGAGTAGCAACATGTAGCAACACAAACCTGGATTTCATGCAAAGCTGTCAGGATTCGGCTGTTGTCGCCTGCTGCTGCGATGCCGCCGCCCGACTTGCAGGCAGCCGGAGTCAAGCCTCGAAAGAGCTCCTCACGGATAACGTTCCGCACATTGTGCCGCATGAGTCCTCAAGCAGCATGGCAACTGACGTGGAGCATGGCGGGGCTTCATCTCATGACCGCGAGAAGGCATGTCTGGAAGTTCGAACATTATCATGGCTAGGTGGGGACTTCAACATATCTTATCCCAAAATTGCCAACAAGAATGCGGGGCGGGACAGCCTGCAGACAACTTTCATGAGTACGGCATGGGGTACACAATGGTACGTTCATCAAGGCTTACTTACTGTAAAATTAAACGCATCGCATGCTGATGATCACGACATTCAACTGGAAGACCGGAGCGCAAAGGTCAAAGCACTGCGGCAAGAACTGTACTTCTAGGGTCGGAATGGTTGATCTTGTCAAGTGCACAGTGAGTTGTTCGGGGATGATTGCCTTGTACATCTGGCACATAGGTCCCTTCTTCCATCAGTTCATGCGGCATGTTCTTTCCAGTCTTCGAATATGCGACCAGACTTTATAATGAATTCAACATATTTCGCGCTCGCCACCGTTTCAAGAAGAACTATAAGAACTATAAGCAGGCGCGAACAGGATTGGAAAAGAAATCAAAAGTGAATGGCAAACTTAAGCTTTACAATTACATGTAGTTTAATGGTATGCCTTTTTGGTATGCCGGTTCCATGGCGTGTTTATTGTTTTAACTTGCTTCTTTCTGTTCATCTGAAGGGTTGAACAGGAAACCGTCGTAAAACCAAGTAGCAGAAATCTGAAACAATAACAAAGAATACATTCATGTATAGTGTATATTAGATCTGTACATACATATATATACATGTATACATGTACGTATATCTTCGTAACCTCATTCCAAAAGAAAAGCAGGTCAAGACAGGCGTCTATCCCAGGACGCAACATTGGTCACACCAGCCATGCGGTGCGGGGTCTGCGGAATGCTCTCCAGAACTTCCACACCCATCTGCTCAAAGAGGGCTTGGGTGTTGTGACCTTAAAAACGCTTTGAGTGCAAAGATCTCTTGCAGCGGCTACGACAACGATGTATGTGTGTGGCATGTTGCGAAAGAAAAAGCAGCCTAGTTGCTGAAAAACTCGCGCGAGATCTGCGGAACAACAACAGAGACTTTGTAGCCAGCACTTTTGGCACCGGGGAGGATGCTCAGAACTCTTGGGAAAACGTTATCAATGGCCTCAGCCGGAATGCACACATGCACAAACACAAAGTCTCAACAAGTCTCAAGATCTCCATACCGCCATGCTGCATGTCCGAAGTACCCGGGGCCACCAGGATAACTTGCTTGAACAACGAGGTGCTTGGCAGCAGTGTTATCCTGCATTTCTGGGACGAGACTCATACTCAGACGATGCAGCCATCTGGTCTTACACACAAAGTCCTGTATTTCTGGCGAGGACGCCCTGGTGCCAGCTCCAAAACCCAGTGCTGCATGCTCATCCGAACCATCCGTCTGCTCCAGCGTCCGAACATTATCCATAAACTTCCCACTGTTCGACGACAAGTAGATGCCTTGGCTTGCATGTTGCTGCTGAGAGATCTGTCGAGCTGTTGCAGCTGGGAGGCTGTTGCGTGTTGCTCCATACTGCGCAAAGCTGGAGTTGAGCCGGGTGAAGGCATCTGGGTATGGCGGCTCCTCACAAAGTTTCAAGATGGCGCTTCCCATTTTTGTCTTTTAAATTTCAAGATTCGAGGCAAAAAATGGGGCTAGGCTTTGGCCTTGGTGTCGCACATGTTTGCATCAAGCCATACTCATACTCAACAAGCAGAACACCGCAATCGGAATTGAACGTTCCATTTGATCATCTGGCACCCGTGAGACTGCAATCCATTGCGGGAACTCGGTGACGGACAAGGAGCACTCTTCAACAAGGCTCTGTTTCTTTCAGTTGTCGCAGGTGTTGCTTGCGCAACCCAAAGCTACTCCACACGACCGTAACTAAGCCAGAAGTATACGAAGGACACAGGCTTCTAAGGGCCACGCGAGCTCCGTACAATCGGGAGAACGTGTGTTGGATTCAACCAGAATCCCCCGAAAACCAGCAAGGTGTTGGCTAACCAACACAGTTCAAAGTAAGAGTCAGAACTCTCTGAAGAGAGCTGATGTGGCGTGCCTCCGACATGTCCATTGGTATTTGCCACGCTGGTGTTGAGAAGCTCACGATGGCATACGGACTGCCTGCAACGAAGCATCTTGCCGACTTGTGGCAGTTGCTGAACTTTAGAAACTGCATCGCTGACAAGCAACGGCTTGCAACGAAAGATTGGTCACAACGCTGATGAGAGGCTGAGGGCAGCTGTCACCGCGGCGTGCAACTTCTTCAGGTCTTCCACTCCTGTGCAGAGGAAGACTGTGTTTTAAGCTGCAGCAGCTCATTTTCTGGGCCTAGCAAGGACACTGAGACGCTGAGAGCTTCGATCATCCTTCTAAGGTCCCGAGATCGCGAGTTTCGGTGTCAAGGTCTCCTGAGTTCACCACACAACGCCAGAAACCCCCGGCAGGTGGTATCATGTGGCCTTGACTCGTCTATTTTTTCAGAGGATCCTGATCCTGTGCGAAGGCCAGTAATCGGCAGCACCCCAAGGGTCAAGCGAAGAATCCACATGGCTGTCCTGTCTACGAGTCGGGAGCCACATCCCGCATCGAGAGGCCTAATGTTAAGAGAAATGAATGACTGCGAGCCAAGAAAATGAGGAGCCCACAGCGAGAAGCACATGGCAAATGTTGCGCACTTGGCACTTTCCAACTTGCAACTTGGGACCACAGGCAGCCACCTTGAGAGAATGCTGAGATTTTTTGGGGAGCGTTGGCCTCCGCCCGGTGGCTGCAGCCTGTCGTGGCGCGGAACACCTGCGCAGGAGGGGTACAGATGGTACAGATTCACACCGGTTCGCAAGTTCCCGGAATCACCGGCTGCAAGCCGGAGCTCAGAGAAGAACTATTTGATCATGATCTAGTCAAGTTCCGACGGATTCTACCGTGAGTCACTGGCGCAGAGAGTTGATGCGGCATGCAAGAGAAGCAGCTTTCAGTACAGCACTGGAAGGCGGGCTCAGACACACAGCATCATGCCCATCCTGAACGTTGCTAGGCTCGTAGGGGTCGAAACCGCCCGAAGCAAAGACCTGAGTTAGGCAGCAGATGCGGCAGCCGAGGAATGACGTGGATCCATAGACCTAGTAACAGCCAACTCGTGCTGCTACGAGCACCGAGGTTTCAAAGAGATGGGGCTCCTGAGCTCCTTTTGGATATGCCCTTTCAAACAATCTCAGAGGCTTCGTTTCCTTGGCTTCTCTTCGATTTCGCTTCGTCCGACAGGAAACTGGCTCTTGCAGCTTTAGTTGGAGATTCTCAATTACACTATGCAACTCAAGAATGTTTAGGATGTTTAGGGGCTTGGGTCTCGCGACCATGTGACCAAGGTGAGCATCGGCTGTAACCTGGAGTGGTAACTCTAGTCACTCTAGTCCACGGTTGCTGCCAACATTTGCATCTTGACAGTCAGACAGAATGCTTAGACATACTGAGCTTCTCGAGGCTTCTCGCGGTGTCTCGCTCCCACTTTGGCCCGCATCTGGGCACCCGGCAGAGATCACGGCAGATCCCCTGTCCTGGCGGTCCTCACCCAAGGAGCAGCCTTCACCATTGGCACCCATTTCTCGACCTGAAAGCCACGAGCTCGCGCCCAGTCACTGCAATACTTCATGTTACTGAGCTCGTAACCACAAAGTGCAACACGCCAGAAGTTGAACAGTGGCAGGCTTGACCTCAACATCTGACCAGCAGAATGCAGTGGCTCGGGCAAGAATGTTGAGTCAAGCTTTCTTCTTTAGTCGACCGGCGAGGCGATACAATGCCATGCAATGCCCAGGTAGAGAAGAGCTTGTTGCGAGACACTGCGGCGCTGCATCCCAAGCCATCCAACAACCGAGGCTTCGTAGGCTTCGTGCGGTCGACTTACCGGAAACTTGATGAGAGTCATGCCTGGCTTGCGATTACAGAAGCAATTAAATTATACCGCTACTGAAGAGATGCAGGACTGGTACGGTCAACAGGTCAGACATTTGCTGGCCGGGGCAAGTTTCCAAAAATGTAGTAGCGCAAGTCTTACAGGCGCCTGTCCGTGGCTTGCGTACACGGTCCAAGAGAACAAGGAGTTGATTGCCGCCTGCCGCCAGCACTGCAAAGCAACCCCAAAGCGGCTTGCCCTCGAAAGGACCACAGAAAACAATCTGCTCGTAGGCTGGCGGGGATGATTTGGGTGCCGTGCCTGCTTGTCCAACAAAGGGTGAACCCTGAGGCATGTACGCGCCCTCGCCAAAGGCCGTCGAGACCTGCACAGCCGAACAAGCCCGCAGGCTGAAAGCCATCACTGTTGCTCTGCCCCTGCCTGAACATCAAGAGCATGAAGCTGGAAGTCTGGATCTTTCGGAAAGTCGATCAGGATTCCCCAAATATCGATGTCCACATCGTCCAGGATCTGGCACCAAGCTGTAGCAGGTTGGCATGGCCGAAACAAGTACAATATGGAACATGCAGGCTTCCTCAACCGGGACTGTGACGTCGAAGAAATCATCATCTAAGTTGCAACGGTGCATGTGAGATTCCACGAGCAAGAACAGCACACTTCCAAAGTTCTGAAGGCATCTTCGGCGTCCACAGCTCAGGCTCAGGCACAGCTTCAGCTCGGTCCACCAGAAGGGCAGAACCTGGACTTGCGCAAGACTTGCACATCCGAGGAATCTGAGAGGCTCCACTAAGGCCCCTGCACTGATCCGGACACCTTTCCACACATGTGCACGCTGAGGCCAGTAGTCAACCATCAGCACCCGCACACCACAAGCCGCTAGCATCTATACAGGATCCATGCTGCGGATACTTTGGTGAGTAGCTCTTATGAGCACACTTTGAGTTGCATTGTTCATCTTAAAGCAAGGAATTCTTGCAGAATATCAGCTTGACTTGCGCGCCTTGTACAATTGGCTCGCCAGGAACTAGCAATGATACGTCCTTCCGGGCAGAGATGGCTATTGCTGTGGAACTGTGGCTAACTGGCTGGGTGAAAATCGAACAAGGATCCCGGAATCTCATGTCCATATTTCGGCCATCTGGAGCTCGGAGATAGACATTGAAGACGTTGCGCGAAGGCTGCGGGTCCTGACCTGAGCACTTCCCCGCACTTCTCCCTCTAACGTTCTTGGCATTCAGACAAACGCGAAACTTCTCACTAGACCCTAAGAAACCTTGAGTAGAAGCATTCAGAAACCATCAGAAAGGACAGGTCAATTCTTCGAGGCATCGGCGAGAGGTCTCTGCAGGCACAATGACCACGTGGAGGCTGCTTGGTAAGCTCTGGTTCAAGGTGAGGGTTACCTGTGCCAACGTCAGCAGAGATTACCAGACATCTGCTCGGTGAGCGGAATGCTCAGCTCGAGGCGGTGGGCGGGTTCACTGATGTCTGGCATCTTGCCAAAGGCCCCAGAGACACAGGCAAGACCTGGCAAGACCACGCCAACATGGCCTCGAGCTGCCAATCAAGTGCTCCTCCGACCTGCTTCACTTTGCATGGCCGTGATCTTGCGGCTTGATTATGAACTGAGCAAGTACGTCGGAACGACCCGCCCGCGTTTGTTCTCGCAGCCAAATTGCTGCAAGTCCCGAGGCCCTTCAATGACCACCTGCATGAGAAGCGAGAGCGAACATAAACACATGCGAAGACAAGAAGGAACTGGTAACCATACTTATAGGAACCTACTTAGTTCTTGAATATCTATTTAGAACGACTTTTTCTTCGAGACTGAGGAGAGTCAATAACAATGCGAGCAGAGAAGAGATACTCGTCTCGTGTTGGTGCCTGGCCAAGCCGTGGGAGGTCCACGCGGCTCTGGAAGGCCAGGCCAACGTCCACAGGCACCGAGGCCAGGGCTCCGTAGACCACCTGCCAAAAGGCAAAAATCCATAAAAACCCTGTTTCACATGGCTTGGAGAGACCGAGAGAGCCAGAGAGAGAGGGAGGGCAGAGGGAGGGCAGAGGGAGGGGGGAGAGTGAGAGAGAAAGCAAGCGACATAGAGAGAGCGAGAGCGAGAGATTTTCACGGAGAGAAACATAAGGTCAAAAACAAGGAGAAGCAAAAGTTCAGGGTGCGAAACGTTCGGGGAAGTATGAAGCCCCACACGGCCTGGACGTCCATGTCCACCACCTCAAAGCCAGTAAAGGTCCCCTGCAATCAGGGCAAGCTGATAAGAGCTGCGGCTCTGGTGATGCTGTCCCGAGACACAGCGCAGCACTTCAGTTACTTCAGTTGCCGAGGCAACCGATTGTAAAACTTCGCCAGCCGGACTCTGCCCAGCCGGTCACCCACGGACGTGTAGTTGGTTCCTGTGGAGTGCAGAATATCGCCAGGCACACTACTCAGAGGTGACCCCAGGCCATAGGCCTGAGCCTGCAAATGCCGACTCAGCTGCCATGAATCTCGGTACTTGGGAGTCGGTCTCAGACAGAGGCCATGTAACTTCAGAAACCCTGAATTTAAGTCATCCAAAAGCCCATAATGATGTAGCTGCTACAAAGCGAGTCCGGAAAAGCTTAACCAACCCTCAAAGCCCGAACGTGAAACTTCGCATGAACTCTGTACAGTACTTTGCGGACTAGCTGGTAGTACTGTCCCTGCCTACGAGGGCGACAGCTTCGATGAACCACACCTGGTATCTTTTAGTGGCGGGGGGGAGAAAAAAACACCACTTTTTGCTGTAGAAAGATAGACTCTCTACGAGATCTGAGATGAGGACGTTCTGGGCATCGGGCACAGTGGACTCCGGCCTGGTTTCTGGCGTCACATGGCGTCACAAGCACAAGCAATTCCGCAGGATATCGCATCACTGGTTGGTGACTCCTTTTAAGGGCCTGACGACTCCACGTACACCACGGTGGCTGCCTGATTACGCTGACGGCCGAGTCAATCTGTGGGAAACTGGATCCCAGAATTCCTTTGTATTGCTGCTGCTCAGCCAGCGACGTCACGAAGGCACTCAGTGCCCAGGCCTACAACCATGCGAACTGCTGGATCGACCTGGCAGGTCTGTTTGGCAGCAACGAAATGCCGTAAAGACTCGCATCGCCCACAGCCCGCACTTGCTTGTCCTGCAAGTTGTGCTGAAGCCTCGCAGTCCACACGCGCGCGGCTGAGGCCGTTCACTGCTGGCAGCGGCAGGCAACCTCACTTGTCAGTGGAAGAGACACCCGCCAGCGAACCCTTAGCCACACGCAAAGTCCTGACTGGGGGGTTGGCGCATTTCATCCACGTTGTTGCTACGGTTCTCCTAGCAAAGTGGCTTGCAAAGGATCATTTCGGCCACTTGCACTGCGCGCAATGCCGTTCTGCAGACTAATTACGCGGCGACGATGTGACGTGTGCGACATGCACATTGAGAATCCTGATACGGCACGCGGCAAGGGTGCCAAAAGGTGTAGCCAAGCCTCTGCGACACGGACATCGGTGATCATGCGCACGCATCATGCACAACGAACTGAGCGGACAACTCCAAGCACTGCTTGCTTGCAAAATTTGCAGTGGCGTTGCCGCCATCAGCCGGACATGTGCTGACGATCTTTTCGTTTGCTTCGTTTGCCAGGGATCTTGTGCAAAAATGCAGGGGCTGCAACCCTCAAGTGCTGCGACGGACCCTCCCAGTCGCACATGGACCCTGTAGACAGATTCAGGCTGGTGCCTGCACTACTTTGAGTGAAACGACTCGGTGACCACATGCTGCAGTTTTGCAGTTGTGTTCACCACAACAACGACGACGCAGAGTTGTCCACTGCGCTTAGACTCCCTGACTGTCAGGGGCCCCTTGCCTGGTGTAGCTGGGCAGCTTGCAACTTCCAGTTACCCATGTGTATTCAGCCAGAATAGCATACGGCATAAGGCATCATAAAGCAATGCAACCAACCAGCAGCCTCGAGAGAAAGAAAGATAGGAGGTCGATAGAACAGGAGGACAGGATAGGAAGTGCAGCTGCGGCAAAGGGCAATGCAGGCTCGATGCGATTTTGCAGTCAAAGGCCTCAAGTTCTGAAGAAACCTGGTATAACGGTATAACTCTGGTTCAACACTCATGGGCATGATTCCTGAAAGCCCGTGCCTCAGAACTACGTCATCCTCAGATGGGACAACGGACAAAGGCCGAAACATTTCTCTGCTCAGGACAGCGACAGCGGCAGACGGAGAGAGGCAGTCCTTCCAAAAAGTCTGCACCGCACGTGTTCACAAGTGTGAACTGCTGTCAGGTGAGGAGCTCTGTCTCAATCGACTTGTCGTGCTGCTTTGCTCGCATTTGTGGATAGAGAGGAAATCTGCCGAGCAAGCAGTCCTCGCGGCTCGACCGCTCAATTTGTCAATTCCTGCAGGGCATGTTGCTGCACAGGCGAGCTTGTTCGAGCGTTCAGCTTACTGACACCTCTTTCCGATGGAGAACGAATCCGTGCCTCTGCAGCAACATCCGCTCCAGTGCAGTGACCTTGCTCTCCACCCGTTCCAGGCCTTTAGAGCTCAGCTGCCTGGAGCACCAAAGGGGCAGTCACAGGAGTCCAAGTCCATTCTGCAGCTCCGATCAAGCTTCTATGAGCGCACCGGAGAAACGGGTTACAGGGCATACGAGTACCGAGCCAAGCTGCAGAAGCTTGAACGTCTTCATTTGGTGGATAGGCACGTCATTCCTGCCACAAACGAACAAGTGCGTCATCCTACCCTCCAAATCGACATGGTCGTGAGTGAATGACCGACTGGTCCCCGAGCGCTGTTGATTCTGATTTCGCCGCACGACCGTTCAACCAAGCAGCGTGAGCAGATTGAGAAGGCCGTCCGCAAACTCTATCTGCGAGATCTCGCCCTTTCCGTCAACATCCAGCATGTCGAACAGGTCCTCTTTAGCCACACTGCTGAGCGGGTGTACCAGGTAAGGACCCGCTGATCCCACCACAGCTCTAAGTTCGGCAAACAAGGAGATCGAGGGTGCGCAGTGTGCTTCCTGCACAGTGCATTTGTGCAGTGCCATGCGACTCTCTTTTGTAGCACACCCTCATGCAAATACATACGGTGTTCGTCGACAGTGGCTCTATGGCTTAGGCTTAGGACAAGTGTAGATTTCAGGGTCTTAAGCTTTTGTGTTCATAGCTTCTGGGTATACTGGCTTCAGGCTTCAGGAGCAGCTTTTCGACTTCCTGTGTTTAATCAGCTCATCGGCTTGGGAAACGCTAGGCCTTGAGGTTCCGAGGTTCTTAGAGCTTGGGCTTTGTTTAGTGTGTTTTAGTTGCCGGGTTTGGGCTTCAGAGTCTGGGTTTCAGAGTAAAGCATGGTTTGGAAGTGCAAAGGGCTTTGGCTTTGGGGCTGAAGTAGAGTTCCGGGCTTAGGGTTCGGGGTTAATTTCGATTATAGACCGTTCAGGGTTACGAGTTCAGGGTTTGGGGCTTAGAGTTTTATGGTTTTGGAGTGCGGAGTTAAAAGCCGTTAGACCCGAAAAGCACACGCTGGACTACACGCCAAATTTTGCGAAGCGCGCATTTCCCGCACCCACGGCGCAGAACCGGCTAGGGAACACAGTGCACACTCGACCGGAAAGTGCACTCGACTCGACCCCGGCCCCCACCCGGAGCACGCAGATAAGCCCAGAAGGAGAGCACCGGTGTCTTGCGTGCCCGCATAGGATTGGGAGAAGGGCAGCCACGATTCCATGTTGCTGCTTGCGGGTTGGGCTTTTCACAACGAGGTGATCCCCCTGTGCCCTTGTGCCCTTGTGCCCTGGTGCCCTGGTGCCCTTGTGCCCTTGTGCCCTTGTGCCCTTGTGTCCTTGTGCCCTTGTGCCCTTGTGCCCGAGCCTCCAAGTTGTCCACCTGCTCCGTGCTTACTTCAAATGGGAGGTCACCCAGCTGTATCTGGGACAGCCTTAGCGGGGATGATGAGACCCAACAGGGCTCTTCACACACTTGGCCTCCTACAGCCTACTAAACATGACTGGTTCTCTGAGCCATTTGCTGCCTTGCCGCTCGTGCCTCTCCAAGGTGCCATTTCCGTCCGTATCAATCGAAGAAAACACCTGAAGTTACAACGTCAATGAAACTGGCTAAGCAATGCCCAGAGCGCTGCCGTGACGTGTGCCATCTGCGGCCGAAGCACTTCCATAATTTTCGGTGCCCATTTCTTTACCTGAGATAACAAGCTGACACCCAGCGACCGCATTGAGTGAAAGTGCCGTGCCATGTGGTGCCTCATGCAGTGCCGTGCGTATAACATTCCGACATGGCTGCTGTCTGCTTCATGTCGTGCCGACTCAACTCCTTGTCATTGGCCGCGTTCGCGAGCGCTCCCTCCACCAGCACAGCCGTGACCTTGAGGAAACTTCATGCGCACTGATGTCAGCGACGTCATCGTGTCAAAAATCACCGAAGCGAACTAGCAGACTGCATGACCGAACACATGTTCCAAGGACAAGGCCAAATTCATCAGGGCCACCTGGGATGCACGCAATGTGCTAAAACTGCAGAAGGTATCTACACCAAGCTATCGGGTAGCCAAGATGCCGAAACCATGAGGATGATCGGCACGAAATACAAGATGAGGAAAGGATTTTGTTGGATGAGAGGATAGTACCTCAGTCGCACCAGGCAATCTGCCGTTCACGCACTATAATGAATGAATACTGTAGAGTGCTCTCTTCATCAGCTGGCCACGTCAGGAATCCTTTTGAACAGGGGCCAACACATCCTAGATAAATGACCCCAAAAGAAAACTGCAAAGCTCACCATGCTCATCGTCAAACTGGCACGAGATGCTGGCGAAAATCTGATCCTTCCTACTTTGACACATGCACGTGAAACGGCTCCCTTGTTGGGTCACCCATCCTGCCCTGGCGTAAGGTCCAGACACAGCTGAAATGGAATCCATCCCGACCCAGGCAATCAGCGTGAGCAACGTACTGGCGAGCGGGGAGCACATGCCAATTGAGCATGAGGTAGCTCCATGTTAGACCGGTGTATCGAGAGCTGTTGCAGCCAACTGGTCCTGGGAAGATTCTTGAAGTTATACTCGACAATGATCCTAGTCTCGCTGTTATCCATGAGAGTCTTGTCCTTCGTGATCAGCTCCACACCTGCTGCACATCGCACTCGGCCAAGGCAGGTGCTGTGAGTTTACTTGAAGCGGCCTTTTCTTGCTGGCCATTGTTTAGCTATCAACATGCTCGACCAGGTGCTGGCCTAGACATGCGAAGATGTAGAGAGTGAGGAACAGGATGAAGAAAGTCGACATGATGGCATTGCCGGAGGTGATTAGTCCGTACACTAGCCGCCACACTGTTCTGAACATGTGCAGCATCCTGACAGCCTCAGTGACGTGCCGTGACCATCGTGACCCAACAGCACATCGTGTCAGCTCGGCAAACGCAGGCAAAGTGTGCCCGACGTGTTCGGGCGCCCGGCTCTTACCAGCCGCAGAAGCCGCAAGGACCGCACCACCAAGATCTTGGTGAAGATGCTATCCTCACCTTGCGAAGAAAGTACGAGAAAGAACGCCCATACCAAGGACTACAGGCAGGCGAAAAAATGCATGACATGGTGTCACCCAGTGCACCCTGGCCGATGTTTGAGCACGCTTGAGCACAGTTGCATCTAGGTTCTTTGCATGCCTCTGAAAACGCGGTAAAGCTTAGCCTTCGGGCTGCTCTACCAGTACTAGTATCTTCAGGTGGCGTGACACTTACCAGCCGCCCCAGAAACACTTCAGTCGCAGGAATGGCCTTGGCTTTCTGACATGCTCTGGATGATTGGATCAATGATGATGAAGAAAACGCCCATGCAGACCAAGGAGAAGTCAAAAAGAAACCTCGGGACAAAATGCCACAGCTCCGGCTGCGATGGCCAAAGGATGCTGTTCAAATGCCGGCACGAGCATCAGTATTGATAGGACCAGACGAGACGGGAACAACGGGCCAAGGAGAGACATGCAACCACAGCTAACCGCAAACTGAGCAGGTTCAGTGCAGGCGCTGAGTCAAGCAGAATTTCTGTCTGTATTCACATGCAAAGCTATGTCGGGTCCAAGCAGCCAGCCATCCTTGAAGCAGCTTCTCCCGTAAGCCGTGATGCGGATGGAAATCTCCACCATGTAGATCACTATAAACACATAATCGAGCTCCTGGCCAGTCTGTTGGAAGCACACAATGCGAAATGGGACTTGAGGCGTGTCTGAGGCTACCTGGCCCCAGTGCAAGGAATTCCCAGCACTCGGGGGGCCTTTCAACATGCAGTGATTCGTTTGGACAATTCCTTGCATTAGGCATTGCTCCGCACGGCTTAGTAGGCTACGACCTATGAACATTCCGCTGGCACATCGAATCTCGGCAACACTTCCTGAGCCCCCCATGCCTGGCCTTCCGAGGCCATTCGGGAAGCCACTCGTCGCGGATAGAATTCTCCGTCTCGATGCCGATGGCCAGGGAGTTCAAGAAGATGATGAGGCCTAGTGGGCTCGGTCTCAAGGAGCGCAAAAAGACTGCATGTGGCCATGGGATGTATTCTCCTAAACCCCCACCCCCGATCGCAGGGATATGCGGCTGCAATGCAAACCTACAACAACACTGACAGGCATGTAAGTGGTTTGGCAAGTTCGGCACCCATCGTCCAATCGAACTGCGGCTGGTTGAGGATCCATTTGCACCACGCGCGCGCCGCGTTGCTGTCCTCCTCCGCTTCAACGTCGTCGCCGCTGATCAGGCTTGAAAACTTGGAGCCTCCACGCAGAAACGAAGAGCATTGAGCCCTCTTTCATGAACCCTCCTCTGAGCTTGCGAAGATCACATTGAAGGGAATACGACAGGAGTCTTTAAGAGGAGGGCTCCACGAACAATCCCGCTAACCCTCTAACCCGCTAAGCCCTATATGGCTCACTCTGAACACCTTTACCCCCTCGAACCCTGAGACTTGAGGTGTGTCTGCGTCTCGTTTAACACCCACCACCGCGATGCTCGTCACAGGCACACCCTTTCATTTTCTTGCCGATTTCTTTCCCCCCCTTTCCCTTTACGGAGCTGCACATATGAAAACCACCTATGAGAGCCCTGTCATTACAAGGTCCTATAGACCGGTTATAAACCCCCCCATGTTCCAAGGAACGCATGGCGATGAAGTATTGAAACAAATGCCTCCCGCGCTTCTTTCCGGCCTGTATTGGTCTACTTACAACGTTTCGGTCCTTAGTCTGTTAAAGTCAACTGAAGATATAGCTGCCTTGAGAAGCTCTTGGAGTCAGAAGGGTGATGAAGGGTGCATCATGGTGCATCGCACCCCGCTACCGCGCCAACGCGACATGTTGGAGTGTTCTGGCAAGCCGGCGGAAGAAGCAATCTACGCGACAACTTGGGTGCCCGACCCTTTTCTGTCAGTCGTGAGATGCCATCGTTCTTTTGGTCCATTTTCCTGAGGCACGAGGTCCCAGAGCGTTAGCGGAATGACGAAGCAATCCAGTACATTGTGGTCCCCAAAACTCATCAGACTCAGCAAATACTATACAAGCGCTTGCAGTTCGCCCCAGCTACACTCTGCACACCCTCGCAGCAAGTAACCCTGAATCTGCACACCGTGAGCCTGTGACGGCCTGGGTCCCGGACAAGATGACACAGGTCCAACTACAGTGATTTAAGGTTCTTTCAACGTCGAAGACATGTAAAAGATCCTTGCGCTGCATCGCAATCCCAGGTTCTTCTTGGAATCCGCCGACTGGATTGGCGCTGGCAGTTGCACCCTCTCTTGCGGCTCATTGATCTCCACAAGCTCAGCCTTGACAACCATGGCATCAGCCGTAGGCTTGTTGGGCTCTGCCGTGTCCTCTACGATCTCTACGGATCGCAGCAGCGCATCGATGGCTGCCAGCGACTGTTCCTGCTCAGCTTACCACTTGGCATGCTCTCTCAGATGAGGCTTTAACAAATGCTTTCAACAGGTCAAGCGTCCCCTTGCAGATTTTCGTGGATGCTATCAGCCCACTTTAGATTTAGCCTTCCGGCCGAGCAATTCCTCTAAGGCCCCGCTTTGCATGTCGTGAATGTAGTGATACTGGATCATGGGGATCATGTGATATCATGTGCCAAGCACTGTGACGGGTGTGGCACTCTCCTGGTTCACTTTCAGGGACTCCAGCGCCGTGCGGACATCGCCCATGGACAGCTTGCCATCTCGAACAGGCCGCGGCATGCCAAGGCAGGCAAGCGCCCTTCAAGGACCAGAAGCTCTGGAGCAGCTGAAAAAAAAACGGCGCGGACATGCAAAAGAGTTGAAGGGGCATCTCTGACATCATGCCTCCAATGGGGCAACAACTCTACTTGTCTTGTTGACTCTGTGCTCCTTCTGCACGCTGCCACGCTTCCCTTGAAACTCTCATCAGACGTGTGATGAGGCCGCGGCGGAGCTGTGACAACAAAAGCCTCAGCTCCCGTGTCCAGTGGGTCCAGCTGAAGGACAACCTGACACATGTCGACATGATCTCCGTATGAGTACTAGCGAACAAGAGGTGTGCAACGTGCAAAATGCAAGCATAGCTTCGCCTCAACCCTCGCCACCGGGGAAAGGTGCGAGGGCTCTGGTGGTGGCTCGGTGGGCAACTGCGTCACCACAGAAAGAGGCACCGGCGCCTCGGATTGCGACTTGGGAGAAGGATCGAGCATGGACCCGTGCACTCCGTTCGCTTTACAGCTTACAGCGCAGCTTGATGCATTTTGCTGCAGCGTCTCTAGACAATGGTAGCGGTCTGCCTAGGCTCCTGGCCCCGTCGTTGGTAGTGATGACTTCCAGAACCGACGTGCTTGGATCGTACAGCTGCACTGTGATGTGCCAGCCTTGCCATGGGCAAGGGCTTCTTCAGAACTGCCTCGAAAATGATGTGCCCTTTCCATTGAAGGGTTGGGCAGGAGGGGGGGGGGGGGTGTTTGGACCGACCTTGCTGTTGCAATCCCTTGTCCCTTGTCGCGCCAAGGATCCCAGAACCCTGATACAAGGCAAAAATCAACAAGATGCTGACCCACAGCCACCTCACACACCTCTCACCACCTGGCAAGCTGAGCCCGCCACGCTCTTGAAGGAAGTTCGTTCTGTCCTCGGGGGTCTGCACCTCACATCCAGCAAGCACCCCACCGAAGATGCACCCTGCAATTGCATCTGGCATCCCACAGCAGATGCACAGAAGGTTCCGCTGCCTGGAATTTGAGTCGGAGCTTGCTGGTGACGGGCGCCGCCTCGTTGATTCGAAGCACCAACCTCGAAGACAACAAAGCGAAGCTGCAGTGAGACATGGTGATAGACACATCGATATTGGGACGGGACGTGTCTGCCACTCGGGCAGCGCTCGGATCACCTTCACACAGAGCAAATGTTTCTGAGGGGGTATTGTGTTCCAATTCGCGCTGTCTCATGGAACATGAAAATGGTATTCCCGAGTGTTCAACTTGCGGGAAAGAACCACAGCTGCAGCTGCTGCAGAATTTAACTGCTTTTTCCTCACTCCCAGCATTCCAACATTCCCAAGTGCCTTGGAACTTTCAATTGCTGTGGATTGACTTCTAGATGTTCGCAAAGCTCTGGTCCAAGTGCAGCCGCAACATGTCCAATTCAGCATTTCTAGGTGATTTAGACAAGCGCTACAGGACATTCGCGCCAAATGCGTTTTCCACATGAGACTAAAGGAGCAACTCTTTTGGAGCAACAGTGCTAGTCCGATCATAGCATGTTGACGCAAGCGTGTTTGACCTGTTCCAATGGCTTGGCATTGGTTGTACTGATTTAGCTATCTTTCTCACTGTAGTGGGGTTGGGCGAGGGACTGTGGAAATGTGTGTCTCTTCTCGACTTTGTGCGTTTTGTCTTGTGTGCTTTGTGGTTTCGACGCTGGCTCCTTCGACGCTTGCTTGCTCGCTCGTTTGGTCTCCTGCGTTTCTTTGCGGGCTTTCGCGTCTGTCTCAAAACGGAAAGCGATCCACAAAAGTGGCAAACATGCAGAAATACCGCTCCTCCACATCATATCCAGCCCTCGGGAACGCAAGACAAGCACACGACTGGGCAGCTGGCTTCGATCAAAGTTGCGGATCATGTCTTCGCGCGTCGTGTCCCACTCGCAGGCTGAAGGATGCGGCAGGTACATGTCCTGAGAACAGGGCAAGACAGCGAAGGAGGTTTCTTTTAAGAATTTCTGAGAAGTGCAGAGTCTTTCCTTGGTGATGTTCAAGGCAGTTTCATTGTCTGGGTCGAACAGGCTCCGCCTTCAAAACAGCGCAGCATGGCTCTGTCCAGCAACATCCAAACCACTTGGAGCACAACAGGAAGCACCTGAATGTCACTTGCACGTGAGCAGCTCAGCGCAGGACATATTTGCACAGTACCACTGCCCCAGCTGTCTTTCCGGATTGACCTTGCAAGCCAAGAATATGCAGTGAGCGACAGTCCCTGCATCCGGATCGACGTTGAGGTTGCGGAGAGTCGGCGCAGGCACGTCAACTGGACGGTTGAGCCATGCACAGGCCGCATCCCCGAAGTTATCAGAACAAGGCTTTGGCCCCATCGCTGTCCAGGACCCACAGCTCTGCGTTCTCACTGAGCCTCAGCAGCTCGCGGGCACTTTTGGGACTAGCGTTGGATTTCCTTGGGAGGAATCTCCTGTCTTAGTTGGGGAGTCGCGTTGGATTGCACTGGGATTGAATCTCCTGGTGTGTCCACTGGGTGCCCCCGGCAGCTTGAAGCCATCAGGCCCGGCTCCTGGAAGGCCACTGGAAGGCCAATGAGGGCTCGAGTTCATATCGGTGAGGCCATCGGAATCTCTTCTCGGTGTGCTAAGAGCGCTCATCTCCTCTCCGATCCCGGTGGCTTTGGCTAGGCAATGGAATGACTCTTACCTGCTTGTGACTCCCTTCTCTTGTTTCTTCCGTTGAGACCTACTCAAGGTCTTTTGAAAGCTCCGCGGGGGCTGCTGACTTTTGCTGGCTCTGACGAGAAACGACTCTTTTTCAAGGCCTTCGAGGGCACAGCGGCAAGGCTTGCTAGTATATGCCTCAGCAACCATAACATGTGCCTTGCAGGCGTTGATGCACTCACCCTCGGGGTTTTGTGTGTTTGGCCTGACTTGAGCCAAAAAAGGTCTACAGGCTCACTTCCTTCCTTCCGGCTCTCTTCCTTCCTTCTTGCGCACTTCACCGCACCGGCTCTCTTCTTCTTCTTTGTTATGTTCTGAATGTTCGACGGGCCCATGCTTACAGTAAAGGCCGGGAGCAATGGGAGAAGCAAGCGGTCCTCGTGCTTGTAAAACCAGATCAGAGCCAGCTTGAATGGGAGCACTGGACGTCATGTCGAAAAACAAGTCCTAAGTCCGTATTCAAGTTCGCTGCCACACCGCAGCCATGAGTCCGAGATGTCAGCTGCACTCCAATTAGCACAGAGATTGTGCCGTTGAGCCACTGAGTTTCTCCCAAGAATAGCAGCATTCTCCCGCCCAGTCTGGCCGAAGGCGTTGTAAACCTGTCAAGTTGCTTGCAGATTCAGAGACAAAGCAGCGCGCCTTCGTAGCCCGCACAGCAGATAGCTGCGACGTGGCCCTGTGTGTGCGTGTCAAAGGACAGAAAGCGACTGCTGGGTGCCAGTACATCCACTCGACCGGGCACGAGGAACCCCTGCAGGACTTTCAACAAGACAGCTGAAAGGACAAGGAGCGCAACTGTCAAGAGGTTCATGCATTAGCTGCTTCAGTCTTGCTATACATGATCAAAGAGGTTACGCACCTGTAAGTTCACCTCATCCCGCTTGTACGGAGTGCCTTCCCTGAGCAACAAGTCTCAAGTCTCCCATCTTCCCACGATGCACTAAGTCGCCGAAGCCGTCTGAGTCAGAGTTTGTGCAGCATGTGAGGAGGTAAGCAGAGGTGCGGATCATCCTCTGGCAGCTCCCAAGTGGACAGCAGCCAATTCGAGGGCCCCGGCACCTGAGTTCAAGAGCGCCTCCAAAACTTCAAATCTGAAGGCACCTGCGCTACCTCGGTTACCTCGGGCCCCTACCTCCGAAATCTTCACTTCGCTGATGGTCAAGGATATTTCGTCAAAGCCTCGGAGAATCAAATCTCTTGTGCCATGCGGTGCTCATGGCATCTCTCGACGGCGCAATGCGGCGCATATCGAGCAGCATCACATGTTCAGCATCAAGAGTCAAGAATTCCAACAACCTTTCTAACCTTCTTTCTTCATGAAAAGGGCTGGGTGCGGTGGGTGCGGCCATTGAAAAGCTAGGCCCCGGACTGTCTGCCAGGATCACAAGACGCATCTCGTCCCAGGAAGCCACCAGGATCTCGGATGCGGTTGGGAGAAGATAGCTGATGTGGTCCAGGAAACATTGACTACACCAAAGACACGTCCTTGCCAACCAATAGAAGTAGCGTGAAGTTCGGCCACACTAGCCAGCGAACTACAACCAGCTCCGGGGCCTGCGGAATGCTTCTTCGTCCACTGATGTTCGCCACCGCATAGGCGTTTTGGAACTCGAAACCCAAGGGATCCTCTCAAGGAGGTCATGCTCGCAATGTGCTCGCAATGCGAGGGCACTTGTTCAAGTTCTCTAGCCGGCTCTACCCCCTCTAACCCTGTCGCGCTCCAGCGCATCGATTTGGAGCTCCGAGGCGCTCTGCACCACCGTGAAGTCTTGGTAGTGACTCTCTCAAGAAATTTGAAACAGAACTTGCAAATGGCGAAACGGTTTGTTACCTAGTACTGTTGCGAGCATCTAACGCGGCGGTCTGAAGGCAGTGCTGAATTGGATGGTTGTTGTTGTTCCAGGCCCCTTGAGCTCACCTGGGCAGAAGAGTTTCAAGGAGAACTTCGACACCTCCGCGCACAGCTCAACTCGAGGTTGCTGCCAGTGATGCCGGAAGCTGTGTCAAAGATCACCGGGATGACCTCAACGGACGCGGTCTCACAAGCCAAAGGTAACAGACCGCAACTGGCAAGCAATCGTTCAGACATCGTTTCTTGCGTGCCGCTTCACGCAACCCGGGAGCCCTCCTGCACGTCCGGGCAATGTCAAGGAAGTGCATCGAAGCAAGACCGTACAAAGCGACAAAGGGACTCAAATGAAGCACTGTGATCGCTTCTGTCCATGCCGGACTCGAGTTCCAGACGGTTTGACACTCTCTGCTGGCATCCTATATTGACATTAAAGTCGTGCGTGTGACTTCGGCCAGGGGTGTTGCACCTGACTGGAGCACATCTTCGTGTGGAAGAGCCGAAGAGCCCTGTCTCAAAATGGCTTGGGGGGCAAAGGAATCCTGGTCGTGGACACATTGTGCAGCAAGAGGGCGAGGGTATGCAAGGGTGGAGCTCGGCTCAAGGGCGATGAAAATGTAACCCAAGCTTTTCCATGGCATCCGGAAGGCCAGGTAGATCCACACTGTCTGCCAACTGGTGCTGGCCACCATTTGAAAGGATGAGCATCGTGAGCAACGCCTCAAACGTCTCGGCTGCAAACCGACCCATCGGCTCGAACTCAAGGGCATAGCGCTTGCGAGAGGAAAGAAGCAGATAAGTCAGGGTCAGCGCCTCCCCTGGTGCAGAGTCTATCCCAGCAATTGAGCCCTTTTTCGCCCGCTGAAAGTGGAACTCCCCTTCTGACACCTGCAGGAGGATGGGGTCCCAGTCGCCCTCGGTTGCCAGCATGAAGGGCAAGGCTTGCAAAAAAACCGTTTGAAGAATCAAAACTCTACAAACCCGATATACTGTGGCTTCTCAGAATGCTTTTGCTACTAAGGCGAAGTTCTCCGGAGGTTGGCAAGAGCCGCAGCCTGTAGCGAGACGGTTGCTCGAGCCACACTTGGCAGAAGCCAAGCTCCTACGCACAGAAAGGTAACCTCTGAAACAAACGGACAAACAGTCGGTAAGGCTTTTGCTACTTTTGTTAGCTACCTAGTTTGCTACTTTTGCCAGCTACCTTTGCTAGTTTGGCTGCCCTTAGAAAGGTCTATGCCTATGCAGAACACTTACGAGTTTACTTCGAATGGATCGTCGCATCATGTCGGAGTATGTCCGATCCTGCCACACAGGGTTGTCTTGGGCGGCGCAATGGAGGCGTCCGACGGCCAGGCCTCTTCCCTCTCCTAGGCGACCAAATTCGAACTCTTGCAGAAGTCTGTAGGCATCTTCTGCAGCAGCCTCCAAGTAGATAAAAGGCGATGAACCAAGCCCTGGACTGCGTAACTGTACCGTTGTGAGGGCTGTCTGGAGTGCACTCAATGCCATGGATACCTTTGGCTGGAGTTGCAGAATCCGCTGCTTGCGAGTGAGGCCATCTGTCTTGCTCAGGAGCCAGGCCGTCCAGCCAGCTTTGTCCTCGGGCCTTCCCTGCTCATCATCATCACGTTCAAGAACACGCTCGACTGCGGCCAGAGTGAATCGAGTCAATGCAATAGCTGGCTCCACTACACTGCAGGCCTCATAGCGCGCAGACAGCTGCACAGCTGTCTCAAGCGGCGCAGTGACGGAATCTACCAGCTTCCACAGAAAATAGCCGTCCTCCTCGATCTTTGCAACCTCTTGCAGAAAACTGACAGCTTTCCGTGTCGTCACCGCCGCGTTGACAACGATGGATGCGCCCACCAACATCACACCACTTTGCCGAAAAACAGGCGCTGCTCATGTCTGTCTTGCACGTGCAAAGAAAACGAGCACTCGTGTACATGTAATGCAAACCGTGTCATGTTGAAAGCTGCACTCGTCTGCCGGTCTGCGGATGTTCTTGCAGAGCTTCTGTAAGAGCGGCATGTATGCCGTGTGCATCCGCATACCTTGTTACTTCAAGATGCAAGCAAGACCATGTAGCCAACAAGACATTCACAAACAGCCCTTCTGATTATGCGGTGCAAGTACCACACATGCTTGTCCCCAACTATCATGCCGACGCAGTTGTGCTGAAACCAGATTGGGCCAAACGGCTGTGAGCAGCCACTCAGCACACACCGTACTGAAATTAGACCCAACACCATCTGCAACAATGAGCACACCCAACTAGCCCTAAACATTGTACAGCCATGAAATTTTCCTAACCCACACTACACTTGCCAAGCCGATACGGCCGCAGCAACTCCGAGCTCAGGACGTCCCAAGATCGGGCAATGGCAGAGGTCTGCAACTCTTTGGACCCACTTCCGGCGTAGTGCTCCAACCTGAGGCGCGGCTCTTGGCGATGTCTTGACGTTCGACCAATCTCACTGAGAATGTGTATGTGTGGGACAGCAAGGTTGCGCCTGCCTACCCACATAACTGAGATGACAATGCGCTTCTCGAACGAATGGTGCGCGGACCTTTTGACATGCCTGCTCAGGAAACAATCGCCCTGCGTCAGGTTCACTCGCCATCGTTGGGCGTGGCACCTCTTAAAACAGGAGCGGCCCACTCTGTCAAGCATGCAGATGGCGCACTACTGGTGGATTCGGCAAGCGTCGAAATGCGTCAATGAATGCAGACCCCCGAGCCAACAGCCTGTCTTGGAGCCCTTCTCCGCAGCTCGCCAAACTTCCAAGGTTCGCTTTTCCTGAAACTCCTCAAGAAAGCTGCCCCGACAAACCCCCGCGAACCCCACTGAATTTCGAAACGGCCGTGTCCTTGGCATTGAGCTTCAGTGCGGCCTTGACCGCTGCCTTTTCTTTGTGTGTTGCTATGCGTGCACACTTGTACGGCTTGTACATGTTGTGCACTCTGCTCCAATGAGGCCCCAGGATGTCACCCAAAGCGATCACTGAGCCTCTGAAGCGAAGCTAACGAACGCGATGCCCTTCGGGTTGCCACCCTGAGCGCGAACGTGGTTCTCCATCAAATCAGACTCACTACCAGGCACTTAAGGCACTTAAGTTTTCCCCGGCGTCACGCAAAATGCAAATCGCATCGAGTGGTCGAACCCTAGTGGATTCCCATGGCCTACACAGCCACAAGCATTGTGCCTTCTGGGGCAGCGAAATGGTCCGGATCTGTCCGCAGGATCCGAAGTGCTCCTCGAGCTCCGGCCTCGTCGTGGACTTGGGAAAGCCCTTCACCACCACGCGGAACCTGTGATATCACATCCACAATCTGAGCTGAACTGCTCCGCGCTGAACTGAAATTTCGGAAACTCAGACTCATTGCCCTCGCAATGGGCACACCACATGTACCTCGACTCGAACATGGACCAAGATACTCTCTCTTTGCTTTTTCCTTCTCTGACTGCTGTTTCTTTTGCAGAGCGTTCTTCTGCATCTGCTTCTCATCTGCTTGGCTCTTTTCATACTTTTTGACCTGCCGGCTCACACATGGTCTTGACTCGGATCTTTCGGTGCCAACGTGCCATGCGGAGATGCACTAATGACTGCGACCAGGCTGCGACTAGCGTGTTTCCAGCAAAGTCCACACCATTCAGTTTGAGCGCACGGCTGGCAGATTTCATCTCCGCAAACTCGGCGATGGCAAAGCCGCGGGCAGCTCCTTTGACTGCTTTAGGGTATCGGATAGGGCTTGTCGAGTTCTCCTAGCAGGAACCTTTCTTTCGAATCAGGAGCGAAAGCAAAAACTGAGACACTGCGAATGCTCGCGAGATCTCGTGAACATGAATGCGCATTCAATGGATTGAGTGGAGCTTCTCCCGAGTAAAATCTCAGTCCCCACATGTTCACTGATGACAATTCCCAGCACTAGGACTCGCAACGCTGTTGAGTCTTGTCTGATGTTCCCTCGTATGAAGCCTCACGTGCTGGTCTAAAAGCTCTAAGCATCTCTAAGCCTCTCTAAGTGCCAGCGAAGCAGCCCTTGGATTTGGCTGATTTCGAGCTGGGCACCGAAAAGCTCGCAACTTCTCCACACCTATCCGGCTGAGCTTCAGAATCTTTGGAGCCATGGGAACTTGAATGAAGGCCTTTTTTGGAGCAGAAAGGGAGCTTTTGAGAACTGTAAACTCATTGGTGGAACTTCGCGTTGGTTTCCTGACAAGTCTCTTCGCAACACGTCCATGATATCACAGGGATCACAGCAAGTCGCTTCAGTTTTTGTTCAACGATTCTCTGCTGGCCGTGTTCGTCATTGAAGGCTTGATTGCAACTCCGAGCGGGAGTCAAAACCCTACAGCCTGCAACCCTGCTGGATGAGGCGCTTCAGGAGAGCACAATCATTGTAGAGTCGCAGGAATTCAATACATAGAGTCATGAGCACACTGCTGCGTTGCCGTTGCTTCCTGCTTCCCTTTTTTTGCCTTTCTGGCCTCGATTCCTTCCTTCGTCTCTCTCTTCCTGATTCTTCTAAAGCCTCCGTGTATTTGTGTGTACTAGCGACTCTCCTTTTCTCTTAGCTCGAAGGATCCCTTCAGCAAGCCTATTCGCACACAGAGAATGGCAAACCTGGCCCCTCGCAGGAAGGTCGTGAAGAACAGCAATCTGCCGTTGCAAATCTTGGCCGAAGTGCGTTTTTGAAAGATGCTGCTTCAGCGCATCCGCAGCATCAGCATCTGAGCCAAAACCTTTCAGGGTCGGGAACTTGAATAACTTGTACCGCGCTCGCCGCTTGCAACTTTCGGCTCATGCCTGCAACAAAGACCTTCGCCTTGTTGGAGGCCTAACAAGACGGCCACATGAAATCTCGTCAGGGAGATGGGATTCCCTCGAGCTTCCCTCAAGCTTCCAGTGCACCGCAAAGCACCGCAAACACCACAGCTTTTGCCTCAGAGCTGCCATGCTCTGGCTTTGAAGCGGCCGCTTTGGCGCCTACAAGCCGGACCTCATTGCACAATTTGCACACAAAGGGCAAAAAAGAAGATTCCGGGCCCGTTTCAACATATCCATGCGCAGCCTTCCTTGACGATTCCTTTGCCAAGAACTGGAAACTTTTACGGACTTCTGTCCGGCAAAGTGTAGCAAGGCTGTCCAACACCCCAAAAGCCTCCTCACCTGCAACAAGCAAATGAGCAAGTTCTCAAGTCCTTCTTGGTCCAAGGCACGCTGAGCTTGCAGTCGACGAGCAAGGTGCCATCCTCACTCAGAGCTGCCTGCGCCACATGTAGGCCGAAATTAGACAAGAGTCCGAAGAACAGCAAGAAACAACAACTAAGATACGAAGAACGAATCAGGAGTATGGGGTAAGGAAGAAGGAGAAGGAATGAGACCAAGAAAAGGTGTAGTTTTACATGCAAGACATGTGCTGCAGCGCATCACGTCTTGGAAAGATCCAAGATGCGAGCTCTCTGTCTCTCTTCTTCTTCTTCTTCTTCTTCTTCTTCTTCTTCTTCTTCTTCTTCTTCTTCTTCTTCTTCTTCTTCTTCTTCTTCTTCTTCTTCTTCTTCTTCTCCTCGCTTGTGCGTTTTTGTGCAGTACACGGCTCTTCCCAGAAATGTGACTCCCTGTTGCTTGTGATTGCTTCGTTCTGCCTTGCAACCTATGATACTCCAAATCCTCCTACTCCAAATTCTCCTGCATGCTGAAGTGCCAAGAAAGATGACGGGATGGATGCGGCCCCATATGTTGTTGGCCTTCGCTGCGTCTGGCTCTGCAAAGCCGATGAAGGCGATGCGCGTTTTCTTGTTGCGCCGGTCCGGGGCCGGAGGGATCTGAACTTCCTGTCGAAGAACCGAAGATTTGAAAAGTTGAGAACGAAGGCACACTTGGAAAATCATGATGGGTGCCCCGATTTGTCCAGTTGGCGACAAGTGGGCAACATGCAGTTTGCATCATCTGCTCATGCCCGCTCGGTCCACGATCGTGCCATACTTGGCAAACTTCTCCCGGACGCTTCTTTCTGGGCAGTCGCGAGGAACACCTGCGCAACAAACCAGCAAGCACAACACAAGAGAACACAAGCTGCAACTATCTGAATCTTGCCTGAAACGTATATCTTGGTGACAGGCTGTGCGTCCTCCTTCAAGGCCTACAAGGGCACTCATAATGACTTAACGCATAGGCGCTTCAGTTCACAGCAACATCAACGATAAGAATGGGTCCAGAAACTTGCCTTCTTCTTGTCTTTCTTGAGCTTGCCTGCTTTGGCAGGCTTAGCTTCTGGAGACTCCGGAGCCTCTGGCTCCTGCAGATTTCGGCCATTTCTCCGTCTTATGTAGCTGGCCCTGGCACCCTAGAGTGCTGGGGCCGAGTACTCGATCCATCTATCTCACACCCAGTCGGTGGGTTTGGGAGTTTCGGCCATTGTCCTCCAAGATGTCATGCGACCGCTTCGCACCTTTCTTGACCTGAACAAGCATGAGGGATTGGCTCTTGGCCCAAAAAGTGCCCATCGTTTCGATTAACATGAAAAACATCAAAGCACGCCTGCATCTAGACTCCAAGCACACGTGGAGAGCTGGCCCCCTCAAAGAGCCCTAAATATGCTGAACACTGCTGAACCCTAGTGCCTCAACCTATTGCTCAGCATTTGGACGGCTGAGGCTCGTTGGAGGGGACTCTCGGATTGTCGAACTGGGGCTCTGACTCTTGCTTGAAACTTAGGTGTCCCGATGACTCTCGCGGAGTACTAGTGCCAACAAGTGCCAAGGACGCACAGAAATGGGCATGTTATGTCTTTGGTCAAGTGCGGCTGCCTGCCCATCATCGCCTTGCAGCTTTGCTGCCTTCTTCGGCATGGCATTGAGTGTTGGTCTCTCTCAGACCGACACGGCTAGGGTTAAGTGCTTCAAGTACACTGTTCGCCGGTCGCAAAGTCATGGTCTGGATGGACACTTTGCAGGCAGTTGTCGACAAGTCTTTGAGTGGGAAGTTTGTGAAGGGTGCACCAAGGCTTGAGCAACATGGGCGGATGAACGTCAAACAGGCCCCGTGCGGGACCGCTTGCTTTGCCCGAGCGATGTGAAGTGATAGAGACTAAACTAAACTTTGACTAAACAGATGCAATAACATGCCAGCAAATGCCATGATATCATATGCCTGCATGACAGACAAGCTGGCCCTGAGGCACTGAGGCACTGGCTTCCAGTAGTTGTACTCTTCAGGGGGAGGCGACTGTGGGTTCCGCAAATGCAACCTGGTCTAGCAGACCAGACGCGTCAACTGCGCATCTTGGGTTCACGGCTCCATAACCCGAGAGCAAACCACCGGAGTACGGAGCACCGAGAAGCCAAGCTGCAACTGAAGCTCAAAATTTTCTTCCCTTGGGGAGCTTGTTAAGTTGTCCTCCATGGCAGCATCTTTCGCCGCGCATTGAGGGTGCGGTTGAACTTCTTCTCTAGAGACTCTAGAGGTGGAAGAGTCAGAGGACAGAGCGGATCAAACTCCTCGATCTGCTCGGCTTGTCTGACTACTTGCCGAGGACGAAACTTGGCCTTTGACCAGGTTTCGGCCATGTATTTGGGAAGCTGCGTACGGTCTGCTCCCTTTGGCTGAATGGCTACGGAGGGCATTGTCAGCACAGTGTGGCTTGGGGAGCTTATGCGAGACTGTTCCTGCGATGTCAGAAGGGTGCGTTGAAGCTGAGGATCTGCATGCCAAGCCAGCAAGAGCTCACAAGTTTTCTGGCTGTCCGGGCCACAGAGGGCCGCCCGCAGCGCACTGCAGCCAGCAAGGTTGCGGCCATTGGGATTGGCTTGGGCCTCAAGCAACAGCTCCACAGCAGGAGACTGGGCCAAGATAGCCAAGCGCAGGGGAGTCTCGCCACCAGCACTTTGCCATGTCGTTATGTTCGGATCCCCGCGCGCATGCAGTATAGCAAGAATCGTTTCCTTGGAGAGGTTTTGGGAAATTGCCAAGTGCAGGACTGTCCTGCCAAAGCTTTCGGTCGCATTTGGCTCCGCGGTGGCATCTAGCAAGCACTTCAGCAACGTCTCATTGCTTGCCCGTGCTGCCACATGCAAGAGGCGTGCCTGCGCATCAGTGTCAGGGGTCGCAACCGCATCCGGATCGGCCCGGCACGACAGAAGCAGCGCATGAATTCCGGGTTCTGGAATGCTGGCCGTGTGCAGGAGTGGTTGGACCCCGGCAACATCTGGCTGAGAAGCATCACACTGCGCCGCCAGGAGCTGTTGGGCCAGCATGAACGGTGGACGGCATGTGCGCAGAGCAGACACCAGAGCAGTTCGTCCGTAGGCATTGGTGCCATTCACGTCGCAGCCAGGGGCACTTAGAAGAACTGCGAGGATGTCTTCACAACCCCGTTCAACTGCAATCTGTAAGAGCGTCTTACCGTCGGCTGCTTTTGCATTGACATCGGCTTGGTGCCAAAGCACTCGCTTGATGAGGGCCAGATCGGCACGGCGCACACAAGAGACGACTGGCGGCTCTCTTCTCTCCCCTTGACTGGCCCGAGGCGAAAGCGGTGAGATGCTGAGCGGCGCGCTGCCGGGTCCGTTGATATCAGCACGCCTTTTGAGGAGCTCGTCCACAACACCCCCAGTGTATCGGTTGGAGTATTTCACAGCGGCATACAAGAGGCTCTGACCCGTAAGGGGGTTATGTCCATTGAGCACTGCAATGAGAGTTGCATCGAGATGGTCAGGCACATGTCTGAGGAGCATGTTCGTGACCGGGTAGTTGCAGTCTTGAATAGACATGTCCAGGGCACTGGGACTAGATCCTTCGGAATGCAGATTACGGGAGAGGATGGCTAAGCAAGCCTTGCTCGGCTCTGTGCCTTCTGTGCCTGGCCGGTCCGATCCCCATCGGCCCCATCGCTGAAGCAGTGTTTCGACTTGCTCCACTTGACTGGTCTGATTTTCAGAGAATCGCTCGACAAGCCCCCGCAGACGGACCGCCAACTGCTCCAGAGACGGCCGAAACTCCAGCACAGCGGCCACGACTGCCTCTGTCTGGGCCTGTGAACAACGATGGGCCTGCGGGCTGCCCTCCCCTTCCCCTTCTGCCACTTCGTAATCGCCTAAGGGTCCTTCAGGGTCTTTAGGCGTCTTGCTCGGAGCCGAGTCTGGATCGGCCTCCGCTGCTCCAGCCGATTCGTCACCACCCTCACCATCCTCTGCTAAGACGTCCTCCTGCCGTGGCACCCGCTTCATCGGGATCTGCCATTCTTCATCTGAGACAGCTTTTGCACCTTGAGGCGTTTCTCCAACTGCCACCACCGCCGCGGCCTCCGGCGTCTCAGACATAGGCGGATCGCCATCACGAGCCTCACGAGCGCCCGCCGGAGACACGAAAGCAGTACCTCTTCGGCGACATGTTGCAACTGCCGCCCCCGTGCGCCCACGACTGCTGCTACTGCTACTGCTGTTACTGCTACTGCTACTGCTACTGCTACTGCTACTGCTACTGCTACTGCTACTGCTACTGCTACTGCTACTGCTACTGCTACTGCTACTGCTACTGCTCCGCTACCGCTACCGCTACCGCTACCGCTACCACAACCACTACCGTACCGCTACTGCTACCGCTACTGCTACCGCTACTGCTACCGCTACTGCTACCGCTACTGCTACCGCTACTGCTACCGCGACCGCGACGGCGACGGCGACGACGACCACGACAACGACAACGACGAGTACTAGTACTACTAGTACTACACTGATACTACACTGATACTACACTGATACTACACTGATACTACACTAGTACCACACTCGTACTACAAGTACTACAAGTTCGTTTTCGCATGGGCTTTAATGCCCAAGGGTTTTTCGGGTTCTGCTCAAGGTTCGGTTTTCCAGGCAACCTTTCTCGAGCCAGCGTCTCCGTCCTTGCCAAGACTATCGTTCCCCAGGGAGGCCCCCATTTTCTCCACCTCCACGAGCTCTTACGTCAGGGGGGCCATTGGTTGCTCCGGTCCGTTTGAGGATGCGTTTCTGCTGCGGCTCCTGCTCCTCCTCCTCCTGCTGCTCCTATGACGACGACGACGACAACGACGTCGACGTCGACTACTACTACTACTGCTGCTTGGCACTCTGACACACAATGCACCCCAAAACTTTGGTATAGATTTTGCCTGCTGAGGGCTGGTCCTCGTGGTCTAGAGTTCTAGAATCTTGTCAAAAGCACAAGGCAGTTAGATCCGAGACCGTTGATTCATGGACGAAACGGATTCGACAGCTGCCTGCAAGGGCAAGCTTCAGCTCTGTCATGATGCCGGCGGCCCCGGCCCCGAACCCCATGCGTCACCACAGTGGACCCAATGCCCGCAACAGCGCTTCTAGACCCAGACCAGATCATAGCTCAGATATGCTCAGATCACATGCTTTAGACTTTAGAGCCCCGTGTCACATTGAAATGTTGACATGCCCGCCTTCCCCGTCTGGGTCATCATCCAACGCATCCAACTGAGACTCCTCGGTCTGCAGTCGAGCCGGTTCACGTTGAGAATTTTGTGAGGTCTCCCACGAAGAGGTGGAGGAATTTTGAGGCTCCTGACTGCGCTGCTCCTTTGAGCCTTCTCGAGGCTCCAACTTTGCTAATTCTGCCGCTTCGTAGGCAGTCGGCCTCACCAGTTCGGTCATGCGCCTCCGATTCAAGTCAGGCTGTAGATCCGCTAAGTCGGGGTGCAAAAGCTCCACCACGGTGGCCCGGCGTTCCCTTGCAGAGCTGCGCCGCCTTGCACTCTCCTTCTTCTCACTCGGCCTGAAGTCCGGCCGAAATGGGGCTGCAGGCCCTGCAGGCGACTTCAAGTCGCGATCTCGGACATGGTTCAGCAGCGCATTGACTTCATCATGCATCATGAAGAGCTGTTTGCTTGCGGGTCTCTCGTAAATTTCACAAGCCGCGAATTCATGATGGCTCCTCATCAGGAAAAGGCTGCATGGCAAGATCACACGCTTGAGGTCACTGACAAGAAGCAGCGGAGCGGCGGTGTCTTGTTCTCCTTTTGTCCAAGTCTTCCGCTCTTGCTGGGTTTCGGCCATCTTCCGCAGCTCTTTCTGAAGATTCTGGTACCATGCTAGCGGCATGATGGGATCCACCTCCTCCACCTCCTCTGCCTCCTTCGCCTCATGCTTACCCGCAAAGAAGAGTGCAGGATGCAACAGCACAAAGTTCACCAGAATATTCGGACTTTCAGCCTCAGCAGCTGTGCCCAGGATTTTCAAGGATCTGGAGCGGCAGCCAATCAAGAGCTGCAACTGTTTGTGAAGCTCCGTCTCTAGACTTACTGGCCAGCCCTTCTTCGGCGGTCTTAAGGACAGCATGCCACCCACCACCAGCACGACAGCATCATTGGCAACAGTGCCTTCTGGCCACATGTAGTTCCCCGAGAATGCAGGATCTTCAGGCTCTGTGGATCCAAGCGTATCATCTAAGCCCGAGTCAAAGGAGCCAATCAACTTGTGCTCTGGGAGGGATGTGTGTTGAGCCAGTGCCTGCTTCGCTGAGAAGGCTTGCGATCCGGGTACGAAGACTGCACACTCGGAGCATACAGCGAGATTGGCGCCTTCTCGAGAAACTTCTGAGCCAACTGACGGCAATCCACACACATCACATTGTTCCTTTGCTTTCCATGTGACGAAGCTCCCGGACCCTGGCACAGGTCCCAATGCAGATTCCAAGTAGCAGCAACGTTCAGCATGGGCATCCAACCGCGCCCAGCTATGCGGCATGGCGATAAGGCTACTAACCCAGTCAGTGGTGAGATAAGCGCAGATGTCTTGCAGCGAGGCCCCAGTGATGCGTCTGGCATCCAACATGGGGCCTCCTGACCGCCGAATGCAGAGAAGGGCTTTTTGGTTCAACACCGAAAAGAGCTGGGCCCCCAATTGCTCTTTCAGCACCTGTGCGTCCACTGAATCTGCATCCCCGGTGCGAGTTTTCAACGGTGGAACCATGGAAAGCTCCAACCTGGCGCCCATGTCAAAGGCTTTGATGTAGAATGGACATCTTCTTGCCGCACATCGACCAAACTGCGCAGTGCTCGGAGGATCATTGAATCCCAGCTTGGCTGCTGGAAGCACAAGTTGAAGGGAATGGGATGACTGTATGGTATGCAGAAGATCCGACAAAGAGAGCTTCTGTGGCTCTACGTCAGCCGCTAGCTTTGTTAATCCAGGACAAAGCCAGGAGGTTGCTTGGCGTCCATGATTGGTCTCCACGTACACAGACAGCTCAGGCTCTTCCACGCGACAGAAGCTCGGAAGAAGCAGGGCCTCGCCACGGTGGCCATACCGATCGAGCCGATACACGCTCCCACGTCCCTTCGTCCATGACGTAGCCCATCGATGCCCCTCCAGGCGGACGAACTCTTCGAGGGGCGCGAGTTTTGTGCCATTCATGCCTCCAGCAACGTCGACCACTTGCGGAACCGGCGTTGGATCGTGGCACATCATCAGTGGAAGCGGCACGGGCGCTGTCTCCGCAGAAACCTCGGCATCCAGATGCGCCCCCCGAGCGCACCCAAACCCATGGGGGTTCACGAAAACAAGGGACCCCGAAAATACTAGGATCCCCTTCTAATAAGGACCCAAAGAGGGTAGCCCTAATATCGTAAGCCCCCACATTCTGGCGGGCCGCAAAGTCTTGTACCTGTTGACCCCACCATTCTGACCATTTGGCCTGGGAGGTGATGGAACACAGCGGATCTAGCAGGATTCTTCTTTGCGATTCATAAAGGTACCTACATGACTTCATGTATACCACAACCAAAAAAAAGGTCTTTGGAGTCTACATTTAAACATTTCCCTGGGCTGCTTCCTGCCTTCCAGTGCCCTCCAGGACCTTCGAGCCGAGCCCCACGACCCAGCAGCAGGACAGTCCCAAGGTCGATCCTCTGTAGGCCGATCGCCAGCTCCCCCTGCGAAGAAGCTCGTTGTAAAAGTGTTTCAAAAAAAGGGCTTCCAAAACACTTCAAGAGTGTTGGAGAAGTCTTTGCGGGCTCAAGCTTGAGGCTCTTGGCAACTTGAACTTCTTTTGGGACTGCGCTCTGCCTCCAAGGCCTCCGCCGCCTGCTCCAGCGACACCTGGTCACCACAGTTCAGCGGGACGCTGGCTTCACGCTTCATGGGGCAGAGGCCATGTTGGCAACTTTGCTACGCAAGCCCGAACATGTGGGCTCTGCCCCGGAACCGCAAGAATTTAGGAGTATGGCCAGCTTACTGTACAGTAGATCATCACTGAGTCATGAACCCACAAACATCATGGAACATTCCATGAAACACCCAGGAACACCCCGGAACACCCAGGAACACTCAGGGAACGGATCTGGAAAGCGCGTGCGCCTGGCGGAGCCGGGCGACGCGGCCCTCGGCAGCGCCGCCGGGGCCGAGGCGCCGCGCCATGGCATCATGTGAATGTGGCACAAGTAACCACGTAAGCGAATGAGTTGTGCAAAGTCTTTGAGCACATCTTGTGTACACAATGTACATCTTATGTACACAATGTACACATTGTATACCTTCCCCTCTTGCACACTTCAACCTTCTCCATATGCGCTCGGAATTGCAGCTTGCCCAGCGCCTGCACCCTGTATGTTGAAACCAACAGAAGCTGGGCAGCAGTGAGCAAAAATTGAGCAGCGTTGAGCAGCATTGAGCAGCTGCATGCGGCCAAAGTACCAGGGAGCGTATGGAAACGTTGCATCCGCAACTGTGCCGGCTGGGGCTTCCACAACAAGCGGCACAGCTCACCAGACCTTTGCGATGGATTTGCGACGGGTCCGGTTTGGGGCGGGAAATTCGGTGGGTTGTGATTCGGGTTGTCTCGGGGTCCTGAGGCTGCATCTGCAAGGCTCGGCCAAAGTTCATGACCGGAAGGGTCATCACCTGCTTTTCAACTTGGAAAGTATCTTCGCTTTCCACAGATCTCACATTGACAGATTCATCCGCCGAGGCCGGAGGCCTGACACGTTTAGATCCAGGTCTAGGGAACCTTAGATGAGTGGCCCACCCCCTAGCCCCCTTCTAGGGGCATTTCCATCTGCCCAGCAAGTGCTCTCCCCACCCCCCCCCACCCTCCCTCTGTCGGTAGGGCGAGATGTGACAGCTGCGGCAGCTCGGCTGTCCCTCGCGAGTCCTTAACTCGCCTCGGTACCCTCACCAAAACAGCTTCGCGTTAGCGTGTGAAATACAAAATTCCAAACCTTTAGCCCTAAACTCCCTAAACCTGTAACCCTACAGGGCAACCCTGCAGAATTCGGTAGCGGCATCCTACAGATAACAGGTGTACAGATATATTATATATATATACACACACATACAGAAAAATGAATCGAGAAAAAAAGGCGGGTTCAAATTTGCCAGTGCCTCTGCTCCGCAGTATGCCGGCCGCGTCGCCTCCGGCTCCAAGTCCGCCACCTGGGCAGAGCTCGGTGGACGTGTGGCTTGTTGGCCTATGAGGGCCCTAGTGTGGCCTTTTTGGAGGCCTTACAAGAGCTTATAAAGGCTCCTCTCCAGGACATCTGCATCCAAGTTGTCGAGTGCCGGGTTATATATGTAAAAACACAGAGGCGTTACTAGAAGGCATGAGCATATATGAGGGCTTGTTTCGAAGCACAGAGCCTGAAAATGCTGACAATGTCAAGGTCCTTCTGATTCACACAGCGAGGCCCTGGCCACCAGAGGGAGCAAGATCCGTCGTTCGATGCAGCTGCCCGGCCTTCGCGATCGGACGTGAAACCCGAAGAATGCAATACGATGGAATACAATGCAATAACTCTAAGCCTCTTGTTGTGCAAATGAACGCATTCATATATGCATTCATGTATGCAGTGGAATGACTTAAGTGTATGGCTCACAGGTGTGCTCGCTTTGTGCGCTCCGCGTGTGACGCCGCTTCTGCATCGGCTTCCGTGCGCGAACTTGGCTGTGCTTTCGCAGGATCGCAGCATCCTATCATGATCGCTTGGCGTTCGCAGACCATGCTCGCCACGACCTCACAACCACAAACGCCCCGCATCGCCGTCCCACGAGATGTGCAGGCATTGGACGCTGTTCACAGTTCACACACTACGATACTTGCAACACTCTTAGGGCTTGAGTTTGGCGAAGCATGCCACTCTCCACAACATCACCAGCTTACGGAATACGGGGTGGGTGTTTTGTGAGGAGCCTACCACACGTTGTCTCGTTTTCTTTGTAGTGGACTGCTTTGGTCCTCTGTTTCATCTTTTGTTCCTATGTCTCTTGGTCGGCTGCCTTTACACTCAGTGCACAGGGCGGACAGGATAGGGATAGGGTTCAGCTCCGCAAGACTTCGCAGCAAGTCATAAGATGGCTTCATGAATGACATTCTGGTGCTTCACGGAAACAGAGCATCGCAGACTTGTGGCTTCTTTTCCATGCTGCGTGACGAAGGGTCTCGATAGGTCTCAATTGAGGTGACACATCGTTGATCTGGCTCCCAGTTTCTTCAGGATTCCAGACTCATCCTTGTTGGGAAGCACCTTGATTACTGCTACTGGTAGCTGCACTGTCGCCTTAGCTGTGACGCCAGGTGCCCCCCCATACTCTCTACATGAAACAATAGCTTCGCGAACCTGATGTTCTCAGAGCGTCGATGCAAGATCTTGCCCGAAAAGACTGATTCCGAGTCACGATGTACAAACGCATGCTGTCATTCGTTCATTGCCTTGGAACGATTGTGGTCGTGCTAGTTTCCTGTGAGCAAGACCCGCATGGCCAAGTCGATACATAGAGGCCACATGGCCGCGCATACTGTAAGTGATACGTAGGTGCACTGGAGCTGCGCAAGGCACGAATTTTTGTGTTTATAGTCATAGCATGTCTTTTTTCGCTTGTTGCCTTCGCCTTTTCATCTACAGCTGGTTGAACTTGAACGCCCTGGATGTTTGGTTGGCTAGAGTCTGGCTGAGTCAGCGAACAGCTGCCCCAGGATGCATTTGACAAAGACGGACAATGAAGCTCGATATCCTGATGCGACTAGCTTAGTAGATAATCAGGTGTGAAAGCATGGCAGCTCACACGTCACTCCTCCGGTTGCTTGCAGACGCACTCCACACCTGGCTTCAGTCCCGACATTGACCCCAGCTGCCGCACTGAAAAGAATGCATACAATGAAGACCTGGTGCAGCTATGAACTCGATGAACTCTGCCTGTGTTGGGCTTCACCTCCGGAGTGCTCAGCAGCGGCCGTACCAGGCGCCCTGGTGACAAGCGCGATGGAGCCGGAGCCTGCGCATTCCCGACTCGCCAGACTCACCGCCAGACACCCCAGCGAAGCCTCCACTCCTGGATTCCATCTCTCTGTGCACGAACCGTGGTCCATGGTCATGGTGGTCAGTGATGAGCAAAGCTGAAACGTGACGCGAACAAATCGTGGCCTGAACACGCATAGGCCCATCCAGAGGATTGCCCTCTCGCGTCTCCTGTCGCGAAGCGCATCTCAAACACATAAAGACATGTTGCAACGACACCGTTGTAGACACCGTTGTAGACTCTAGTCTCGAGACCGGAGGAGCTAGATTCGCTAGATAGCTGTGTGTCCTGAGCCCGTCTGATAAGAAGCTCGATGCATATCAAGAAGCGCTGGGCTTCTGCCACTTCCACGAACACAAAAGCGAGCCTGCTTCAGGCAATGGCAAGGGTGCCACGCAGCGAAACGAGTCATCCGTCATGAGTCATGAGTCACATAGACGCGGAATGACAGAAGAGTGTTGCCAATTCTGTGGTACACCACATGTCTGGAGTCACCACCGAGCGACTTCCGACGCATGAACTCCACAACCACAATGTGTTCCTCGCAGAGCATATTCTACGAGCAAAACGTTTGGCAGCTGCAATGCAAGGTTCAAAAGGGCTGCTGGCTTTGAGCGAGGCGCAACATTCACCGATGTTGCAGTTGAAGTCGTGCTGAGCAAACGCTCATCTGTCTTCCTTCAGCAGAGCTGCATACCGTTCCAGGTGCATGTTGGTGGAACATGCTAGCACCAGGCAGTTCAGCAAAGTTGCTGTTAAAGCACAAGGTGCCCAACTACTGTAAGGTTCCGATTAGGGAAGGCATAGTATGCCATCTAGCGAAAGGCGCACAAGGCAAACACAAGCACTAGGGCACTGGATCTGAGAAGTACGCAACGATGCTCACTGGCAACTGGCCTTAAGGCCCTACTGGCCCTAACTTCGGCAAAGCATCACAATGCGGTAGACCTTGGAGACGCCCGTCAGGGGAAACTCGATAATACATCCGTTCCTCGGTTTTCAGCTGGGAAGACTGAAGAGCAACAGGGCAGCAAAGCGGCAAGAGGGAGTTTGGGAAAGCCCGTTGCAGCTGTCGAAGAGAGCTGAGACTCCCTTGATCCACTTTCAGTGTCTGGAGGTCATCCATCACTTGGCCTCAGAGACCCAAAACCAAACTCACCCAGACATCTCTCTGACCTGTGCCTAAAGTCTCACGTAAGGCAGCTCAACTCTCTGATCAATACATCCGGGGTGCAATGTATAACCGAATAGTCTTGGTTCGAGCCCAGCTGAGTCAAATATCTGCCCCTGTGCATGTCCAGGGCAAAGTCCTGGAACATCTTGAGAAGAAGTTCCCGTTCCTGCTGTTCCCCAATGCCATCTTCAATGAAGAAGTCTTTGGGCAAAGACGGATATCTGAGTAGCTTGGGGAGCTGGACGGAGTCTTTGAAGCAGTGCTGCCGCGGAGTCATGACATTCGGCTGGGCTCCTCGCTTGTTGCGGCTAGGCCCCAGCGTAGTGTCAATTGTATCATTCTCGGCAAGGTCATGCGATGGCTTTGGCAGATGACCTTCCGGCACATCACTGCGGAGGTGGACGACCTTCGTCTCGCCAATTGTGGAAGCGCTATGGCTCTGCACGTAGCAAAACGGAAAGAGCGCAAGGAGTCTCCAAAGGCCAGACTCTTCGTCTGGGCTCTGCTGTGACCTCTCGCCACTGCCAAAGTTTGCCATGCCAACAGCAAGGCTCCCTACATTGACATTGCGAATATCTCGTGGAGCACTGTCGCGAATTACGGTAAAGCAGTAGGTCCATTAGGTTAACTGTTGGAGCACATAGAGCACATGTCATCCAATCGTGACAGACGAATGAGGACAATCCTACTCTCGACGTTGGCCTGAGCCAGCACGGGTGGTCACACGTTTAGACGCTTCGGGCAGCTTCGGTGTCACTGGCGACGCTAGCTACTTAATCGAGCTCTGCATCTCATCATTTTGGATGGTGCGCATGACGCTGCAGTTCCCGGTACGAGAAGCAGTGTTCTTAGGCCCCATGCGAATTGGCGTCCATAAACCCGAGCTGCAGCTGGAAGTTCTTCGGAGCCGTTAAAACCTTCAGGCTGTGGACAAGCGCAAAGGCAAGCAGCACCGCTTTGGCACTGCGCTGGCACCACGCCCGCCAACATGTATCGCACAAGCCCAATTGCACGAGTCTACTTGAGTTACTTGAGGCCATGGGCCAGTTTGTCCTGGAGCCAAGCGTTGGCCGGCAAGACGAAGTCAATGACCTTGGCTGAGAGTTTTCCTCGTAGCATATTGAAGCTTGCGAGGCCGATTCGTAGGATCCATGCAAAATCGGGTATCAGCCTGTTGCCAGCCGTCACCTTGGTCATACTGCATGATCGGGCCCAGAAGAGAGTTTGCCCGAAATAATTTGGAGACAAGTTGGTTGACGATGTCGAAGGCTCGAAGTGCTGTCCGGGCACAGCAGGAGCAATGGTCTGCGTAAACCTTCAGCTTGCACCGGGCTCAGAGGCATTGGGAACTGAAATCCGTGCACAGACATTGTAAACCAGGGTGCTGGTTGATGCCACCGGTGTTGCTATGCTCGAACAAGTTCATCACCCGTCTCACCTGCAAGCTTTTTTTCGTCAGATCCCTCCGCGCATCTGTTAACGCAGTTCCGAGAACGGTCTGGTCTATAGGCGCACCTCCCAACCCATCGCGCTGCCAATGTCTAACTCCTCCCCGGTCGGACTGAAGCTTTCAAGCATCCATGCCTGGAGCAAAGGATGCTACGAGAAATTTCGAATGGCTGCACAGGGCCACAAGGCCTCGAAAGAAAGTAAAGAAAGTGAGAGAGGTTGGTTGTGCAGAGTGGGCCGTTGCTGGTAAACACTCTGAGATGGCCTGTGTCTGTTGCCGGCTACGTGGCTCGCTCGGCGTTAAATACAGATCGCCCTACATGATGATCCACAGAACTTTTACAGAAGGCCTTACGCTATGATGCCAGCTCTGCTTTTGCTGCCTGCCTGTCTGCTGTAAGCTTGCACAGTTGCCCACTTGCCCCGGGAGAAGCGCAACGCGCCTCTGCTGGGCGAAAGGTCATCGGAGGATGGATCCAGAAGAAAAGCATGAAGGTGGCGTTCGGGCGAAATGCCTGGCACAAGCGCAGACTGAAATTCCGATGCCCTCTCAGCCTGCCGGGAATGTCTGCACGTCCGTGGGACCCTCACGCATCTGTGAAACTTTCACCCTCGATCCTGCAACATCATTGTATCAAGCATGGTGGCAGTCAAATATGGTTGCATATTCGTACAAGTACGATGTATTCACATTGCATTCATCACACTGCTGCTCATGCTCTGCTCCGGCTGCCCATTCTACTCCGCATGTGGCAACCTGCCTTGGGGGGTCTGAGATCAGCCGGATTGAACTGATAGCGCACAATGATGCGGACCTTAGCGGGAGCAGCGACAAGGTTTCCGGCATGGGGCAGCATGCACACTTTGAAAAAAGTAGGACAAGATAAGGCAAGTCACGGTACGGGTATCGCCAGTCCCAGTCCCATCAAGTGGATTGCCTCGATCCACAATTACGCAGTCCCGCTCCTTGGTTCATTGGTTAAGAGAGGCGTACTGAGGGTCTTTTGGAGCATGCTCAAAGGAAAGATGATGCAAATATTGCAAATTGCTTCAGCCACAGGCTCTGCCATGCGCCAAGTGTATGGGAGGGCCGACATGTTGTGGTTGTCGTACTCTCGAATCAGGCAGGGTGTTTGCTTGTCTCCTTCAATAAGGGGTGCATTTGGGATTGGGTCAAACCCAAACTCCAGGGGAGCTGTGATGTAGAGCTGCCCGCTGGTTGAGACAACATTCTGCGTCCGGAGGGTCACTGAGACCGGGATGGCCACTCCGGCCCCAGCCCCGACGCAGTCCCCCAAGTAGCAGCTGGGAGCGGAATTTCGAGCGAAGGTGGAGATGGAGATCTCAGGAAAGGCCCAGAGATTGAACGATGGAATGGGCTGCGCGAAATGGTCCAGGAGTGTCATGGTCCAGAAGTTGGAAGCCGTCTGCACGCCAGGGTTCACGATGTCAATGCGGAACCTCAGAGCTCGGCAAGCCCTCGCACTCTCCGTCCCATGGACGGCCGCGTCGGCACAGCTCAGGCCACCACGCATATGCATAGGATGCAATAAGGCCAGGCGACTGCAGCAGTGTGAGCGAGGCATGCCACAGAAAGGAATCAGCACATCACAACCAAAGATCTGGGCTCTGGGATGCTGGCCAACGAGATCAGAGCCGTCTCACCATTGCCTTCACAGCCGGTGACCTGTCACTCACCCAGCCACCCCGCCCGCTCCTACAAAGCCGTCATGAGTGGGAGTCAAACATGCCGAGAGCACTGGAGAGTTGGGATCCCACTCGTTAACCTGGCAAGGTGCTGGCAACTTTCGCAACTTCTCAATAAACCCTGTCAGCGAGAAGCAAGTGCATGCCAGAAGGTCCCCTAGCTGGGTCGCATTGAAGACGCTCCCAAAAAGGTTCACAACCCGAGTCCTCAGCCACAAGGTAGCGGAAAAGTTGAGTTCAGCCGTATCGCAACTAACTAAGCTTCATGTTGGATGCAGCTTCTACACGAACAGCAGGTCCATCATAGCCAATGGAGTTGGATAAACGCCGTCCATGCCGTGAGAGATGCAGCTGCAGCAAGCTGTACATCAGATTTCTGCTTCGGATTTCGCGCGATCGCTGTACGAGTCGATGACGTTCAATATAGCTCAATTCAGCGCGTTCGATCCTTCTGGGCTGAGGCCATTCCTGGCCACTTGGAGAACTTTTCACCAAGGCCGCGGCTCAACCAGATGGTAACAGCGCGTTGGAATTATCTGAAGTGGACCATGCTCAGACGCGCAGCACTCAACAGCCTGTGAAAGCACTAAATACAAAATTGCAGGTCTCAATTCGTCGTCAAGATCTCAGTTCTGCACCGTACCAGGTGGTCCAACAAGCTCAATCTCGCCGGCAGGCATCATGTCCTGCTGCTGATTGGAGTGGCACGCCCAGTGCTACAAGGATGTACGAGGGAGGCAACATGAGGGTGCGGATGGACGAGCCAAATGCGAAAGCACTTGAAAAATAAAAGTTCACACCTCAAGCAGTCCCTAGCTAAACGGCTGCCACAGCAAAGTAGATGAATTCCAAGTAACAAAACAACATCATACAACATCCAGTCCCCGGGGCGGTAGGGACCGTTGGTGCCGAGGCTGAAGTGGAAGATCAGCCTCGGAATCTCGGAACGGGAAAGTATCAGAGAGGAGCAACACGAGTGCGCTTGGAGAACACAGAAGCTCCCAGGCCTGCTGTTCTTGTTTGGGCGATCATTCCGTCCGGGCGGCCATATCTGCATGATCCTGAGGATGGCAATATGCCTGGCTTCCACGCACTTGCGTCTCAGGCCGCGGCTGTCCCAGAGCCATCTCCTGAGCAGCTTCCAACAAAGTCAGCCGGTTCAGAACTCCGAACATGCTTGACCATGAACCTGAGCAGTCTGCATCGTACGTTAAGGCACACGTCTACTTGTAAACATGGGGACCCAGCGAAGGGTGGAGGCTCTGAGGCCACGGTCTGCGGTGCATCGATCATGTTTCCTGCTGACCTCAACTGAGCAGAAGTCGAGTTGCGGCGCGGCCAGGAAATGAAAGTTCTCATCAGGCCCAGCTCACAAGCTCCAACGATGTAGACCACAAGAAGGTGTTCTGCTGGGACTTCGGGATGCGAGACCTTCCTCCACGCATCCCCCCGACTGGCTAACTATGCCTCAACCGCTTCCTGTCACTACATACACCTGAAAGCAGCAAGGAAGCAGAGGAAGCTTTAAGGAAGCTCAAAGGCTCTGGCGTCTGAGTCTGGAAGCTCCAGCATGCCGGGCCGCAGATTCGATCCCTTCACCAATCCGACTTTGGGAGATTTAGGATGAGTGTTGAGCTCTGCTGGGGTTATGCTGGGGTATGCTACATTCAAGGTGAACAGGGAAACTAGACCTAGGGAAGTGTGCGCCATCAGCTGTCAAGGGAACTTTGCGACCCATAGCCATCAGCAGCGCAGGCATCGATCTCAAGATCTCCATCAATTCAAAAACAATTCGGGCCCGAGAGTAGTCCCAGCATGCCACAATTCTGTCGATGGACTGAACAGAGAGGAAAACTCTGAGCTGCATGCCCCGGTGCTGGCTCGTTCTCAAGGTAGAAGGACGACAGCTCTGCAGGAGGATTGATGATCTGAGCAGGGTCGCATAAACCGACCGGCATAAACTAGGGACAAGCTGCGGCAAGATTCATGGTGTCTAGCCGAAAGCAGGGCCAGTCGCAGGTAAACTCACAGCGCAGCTTGGCCGCTGCATAGATTTAGGTGGCTATCGACTGGTGCCCGGCACTTGACTTACTGGTCCAGTGCTGTTGCAATTACATTCCCAGAGTTGCAGACATCTGTTGCGTCACGTCTGATTGGGTCCCGGCATCAACACGGAATTGCACGAGCCTAAGGTCAAATGTCCAGCAGGGTCAACAAGGACCATGCTGGAGCTTGTTATTGCTACTATTGTTATTACTATTATTGTTATTATTGTTATTACTATTTTTGTTCTTGTTATTGTTACTACCATTGCTACTATTATTGTCATTACTATTGTGTTGTGCCGCATGGTAGGGTGCTCTCAGGACCCTGCCCAGGCATCAAGGGGTACGAGTCCATCGGAGTGATGCGGAGGCGGAAGACGTCGTACTCAGTTCATCACACATTTATGCCCAGAACAAGAAGGGAGACGGTACAGCCTTTCTGACATTATGTATTAGGCCTTCCGCTCTGTCTGAGACTCTAAAGAATAAGCCGAAGCTCGCACTCCGAACTGCATGCACTGCAGGCCTGCTTGTTCTTGTAAGTGATGGCTGCAACATCGCGCTGGAAGCTGCAGGTCGACAAGCCCACCGGGCTTGTCTCACTGGCAACAGGGCAACAGACTCAGAACTCGGTATAAGAACACGGCGGCTGGCAGGTGCTCTCATGCGCCTGAACGCCAGTTGGCCAGGCCATGGCCTCTTCTGGGAAACTTCTGGGAATTCGGGACAAGTCAGGCAAAGAAAGTTCTGGGGCAGAGAGTTGATCGCAGAGTTCCTGCCTCTTGCCGCACTGCCCACCTGGTCATGCCCAAAAATCCAATCTGCACTCTGAAGTCAAGCAAACTGGGAGGGTATAGACATGTTCATGACTCATCGAAGATGGTCAGTGCCTTCAGGCCTATGCCGTTACACCACACTACGTCACATTACCTCACATTACGTCACATTACGACACATTACGTCATATTACGCCACAGTACACATTAGTGCAGACCAGCTCCCGGATCTCACCGACACACTTGTGTTGAATCTAATCACGGCGTTGTTGTATGTTGTTCCTCCTGTAGGCTGCTGACTGGCCTGGAAGAGGCGAGTATCCAGGAGGCATGGTGATCTCCAGCAACGAAGGCAACTCCACCCGCGTGGCGATGCGAAGCTGGCACGGGGCAAAGGGAGCTGGAGGCTTCAAGCTGCGATGCTTGCGGAAATTCGCCTCGGCTTCCTGCCGAGAAGCGTCTGGAACAAGCTCGGGCCTTCGCTAACCCAACCCCCGTCCAAAATCCCCCCGCCCTGTGGGACCCGCCCCAATCGCTTGGAGGAGCTGCAAACCGATGCCGTGGAGGGTCCCGCCTGTCGGTGGCTCCTACAGGGGGAGTGCCTCAAAACCCCCCCTCCCCCCCCCCACCCCCCCCCACCCCACAGCCCACCCCCCCGCACCCCCCCCCACCCCCACCCCCCCCCCCACCCCACCCCTCCCCCACCCCCCCCCCCCCCCCCCCCCCCACCCCCCCGCCCCACCCCCCCCCTTTAACCTCTCTGCCCTTACAAAACCCTCTTTCCTCCTTTCCTGTCCTGGGACCGGCCCGGCTGCCGAGGCGGCGCGCGCAAGCGTTTACAATTACAGCCCACGCTGTGCTGCTACGAACAAAACTGCGCCACGATTCAGGAGTAATCACCTACAGTCTACCGGAGGAAAGAGATTGCGCACAAAGCAGAAAGGAAGCCTCCAGTCTATCACCCCATCCATAAGCAACTTGCGACACAGCGTGTGCTGCACATCCGGCTCGGCTTACACCGCTACACCATGCTACACCTTCGCCATCCCTTTAAAGTACAAGTGTGTGTAGCTTACCTTCAGCATCAGCTCGGCGGTCGTTCCAGGCAACTTGTTGGAGGACTCGGGATCGCAGTCGCACATGCGCTTCCGATGCTGCTTGAGCGTATCGCTGCGTTGCTGTGGAACTGACAAAGAAAGCGGATATGCCATGATGTGCAACCTTGGCTGCTGGCCCTTGCCATCGAATCCACGATTGCCCTGACGGGATCGGCAAAAACCTGCAGAATGACACAGAGGCCATGGGTGTGTCGCCAGACATGCTGACCTGCGCACTGTTTCTGCGTTCTCTCTACCTGAGGTATGCGCTACCGAGCTGATGCCTTCCGGGATCGCAGGGCCTCAAAGCGATGCGCAAGCTGTGGCCCAGAGCAGACGTTTAGGGTGCTGCACGGAGCTCCTGGCCGAGTGGATCTGCAACCAACAGGCTGATGTAAAACCTGAGCCATTTGGACACAACTACAAAGTCGACCTCCGTGAACCTCTGTGACTCTGTGACCCTCCAATAGCCCAAGTGGCGCCGACAAGCTGGTGACTGGGCCCACGTCAGGCACGTAAATCGGAGCCTCACAATCAACTCGGAGAAGCCCCTTGCGATTCATTCTCAGGGTGTCAACGGCCACTAGCAAGCACCGAGTACTGTAAGCAGTCGAGCTGATACCAACGTTTCTCAAAAACGGCCACGAAGTGCGCCGTCCTGGAAGCCGTAGCGGATGCCCTTGAGGAAGGAGGTTTCCAAGAAGCGGAGCATTGCACCTCAGATGCGCAGGTCCCTTTGGAAAGCAGAGGCTTGTGCAAAGGGCCCTTTGCACTGACCCTAAAAACTTCCCCCCAAAATTCTGAGCTTCGCTCCTTGTGAGCTGGAGCTGACCTGGAAAATACCGATTAAGACACTGAAAGCAACTTCTCCTGATCTCTCCGACCTCTGGCAGGTCCTGGAAGACGTGCGTCTCCTGATAAACTCGACTGAGAGACTTTTGCTTCGAAATGAAGTATCTTGGAGCCACCTTTTGAGACATTTTGAGACTGAGTCAAGTGCGTTGTAAGGTGCTCCAGGTTGCTTCTGCACCAATGAAGACAGCCATTCAAATCCTGAACAGAAGTCATGGGGTGCTTGGATTTTGTTCCTGCGTTGGTCAGCCACTGGTCAGTGGATCTCAGGCTCCCGCCCACAGGCGCAGATATTTCCAAGGAACCGATGAAATCGACGTCCAGCAGGAATACCATCTGAGAGTGCAGGTGCACGGGTTTCAGGTCATGAGCTAGACGTTCCAGACTTGGTATCGCCATCGCCATAAATCAATTTTCCGGACATCTTCGAAGCTTCTTATCCGGTGCTTATCCGGCAAACCCCTCGACGTCCAAAGGCTCAGCCCCAGCTCGGCGAAGCATGGCATCCTCTGGTGTGGAACCCCTACCATACTCCCAGTCCCTCCGAATAGATTCATAGAATGATACAGCATGCCTATACAGAGTAGTCGAGTTGCTTCCGAGATTAAGCCTGGGACTAGGCCTTTAGATTCAACTCGTCCGAAACTGCAACCTGCTTGTCCACTGAGGCTCCTGCAGTAGCTGACGTTGCCACCTGCCTGACAGCGAAGGGTAGCCACGACGAAAGTGTTACCTCAGCTCAGAGATCGCAACTTGGCTGCTCTTAGCAGGGTAGCTATAAATTAAATTTTTAGCTGCCTTCTTAAGAAACCCAATGAACCCAAAAAGGCTAAAGATGTAAAGTTACAGTAAAGCACCGCAAAGGCAAGCTTAACATCTCAGACTCGTCTAGGACGTGGGACTTCAGTGAAGTGATGGCGCAAAGTCGACTCGAAGAGCAAGAACACGTTGCAGGTCACGGCGGAGCTCTTTCTTTTCCGTTTAGCTCACGGATCGCTCTATCTTCGAAGCAGCTCCTTTAAGAACACCGAGCCGGCCTCAGCAATCAAGCTGCCAGCTGGCATGTTCTTGAGTCTTTGGTTCTCTTGGCTCTCATCTTAGCTCTCATAAAATCTCTCTCTCTCTCTCTCTCTCATCTCTCTGGGTGTGCCGGCGTTACCGGTCATTGTAGTCCAACCGACGGCACTATCCGAGGTTGCTCGAACCAGGAGCCGGAGGATCTTCAACTGACCACACGGGATGGGACCTCACATGGCTTAAAGGCTGAAAAACGATGACATCCAACTTCAAAAAATAGCAGCTGAAAAGCTTCGCTTTGCAACTTGCAACCTTGCAAATTTCGTACACTTCGTAGACTCAGGATGCCAAGAAGAGGCCCTGAAGCACTTCCAGGATCTCGCCGATCTTCACCTCCCTCACCACCTCGTGAAGACTCTGATGCAATGATGCTGACGGCTCCCGTGACCAAGGTTGTGGGTTCAGATGACCACGCGCATTTATACTCAGGAGTAGCTTCAGCTGCAAATGCCTTTCATGAGGATGGCTTCATTCAGGGGCTCGCAGGAGCCTCACCCATCACAATTTCGCTGTTGTGGGTCATTGTGGTGGGTCGTATCACCTGGGGCAGCGCTGTAGCTTTGGAGAATAAGCGCTTCAGATTTCAAGCCTTGTCAAGATCGAGCCTGCACGTAGCGGATCAGGAGCCGCTCAACAACGCCCAGCGAGAGGCCTGTCTCGCCTGCAGGCAGACTGCTGTCGTACAGCTCGTCAAGCTCCTTCATGGCAGATTCAGGTCTTATATTCAATGAATTCCCCACGTTTCCGTCCTCCAAGGAAGGGAACGTTTTTCTCGCGGTGTCCTTTGTTGGCTTTGTTGGCATTGAGGCTAGTGGCTCGACTCGCAACCATCTCGTGACACCGTGTCTTGGCCAGGCTCGTCGGCAAGGTCCATGACTTCCGTGAAAAAGCTCCGGAAGTCATCTTTTCCAACCAGGCCATCCTGGAAGGCGGGCTTTCAATGAAACCTACACCCTTATATCAATCGAGCCATGTCGAATGCACAATGAACTCGATGCCACCAGATCATCTTGAAAGCGTCCTTGTCGGCATCCATGATTGCGAAGACGTCCTGCCCCCCCAGCAAGAAAGGTTGCCACTGCCAGTGCATATACATCAGACACAAAACCAACCGACAGTGCCAGTTGGCTGGGGAAATCTGACGAAAGAGAGTCCTGCGAGATAAGGCCTTCCAGGCCTTTACCACTCTGGTCCTGGGAGGAGACTCATGTCGCGTGGCAGTGTCTGGCTTCAGCACCGGAAACTAAACTGACACCGCAAGGTCCTCGCGAAAAAGGTCCATGACCTTCAACGCTTTGACGTGTATACCGTGGGTTCGGTTGAGCTCTTTCTTCTTCATCCTCAGCGCTATCATTGGGGGACCGCCCCGAGATGTCGAGCTGCCCTACAAGATGAAAGGACTCCAAGCTGTTGATCTCTTGTGGAAAAAGTGGGGAAGACCAGGAGGACAGAGTCGGACAGAGCCAAAAACCATGGAAAGAAGGGCAAGGGATGCTTCAGGGCAGCTTCTGGAGCTCCTCCCACATCCACCCCACCGCAACAAGGCGTCATCAGCCGATCATCTAGCGCGACTTTAGACCAAACATCGAAATTGAACTGGCCCTCTCGGCTCCCCCAACGCCTTTATTGCGACATATTGCAACACACTGAGACGCGGCCCACCCAACAAATGCCGGTGAATCTGCCAAGGTGCACAAGGCGGCCCTTCTCCATCACGCCCTGCAACCTCTTCAGTCGCTGCTCAAGGAACAGCAGCTTTGTCTTGAGGCCTTTGCCAGGCTGTCAGGCATATTTGCGAGTTCGACATGCATCCAAACCTCGAATAAGGCTTGCACGTCTTCATCGGTGGCGAACAAAGTAATTGCATCCGTGCATCCGAGAGTCTGCTTTTTTGGGACAGGACGTGCTTGCAGAGGGTTACCCTCACATCGTCATCAACATCCTTCTGATTCTCAGCTTGCTGACTACGACTCAACGACTGGTACTACGACTGTCTAAGGCCCGTGGCCCGTGGGTCCTTTACGGGGCAAAGCATCTCTGTAACCTGGTCCAGCTTCTCTCTGGCTGCCTGGTACTTGTCCTGGCGCCGCTTGCGAAACATGCGCGAGGAATCGAAGTTAGACCGCACATGGCATAGAGACTGGAGGACGGCCTCGAGCTGTTGCAGCCCTTCCTTGCAGAGATTGCAGAGACAAAGAAGTGTGAAGCTATGAGCAACAGGTCTTCGTTCTGTCTTCGTTGCCCAGAACCCCGCCTTCATCTCGGGTTCTGGCATGCTGTCCATTGCTCGAATTTTCTCAGACTGGCCTTCAGCATCCTTGACAGCCGCACTAGCCTCTCGGCGGAAGAGTGCAACCACGGCAAAGGCCAGGTAAAGCAGGGTGCATTCACATGCAGCTGGTTGCAGCAGTTCGAGGATTCGCGCTCCTTCGCTGTGTGCGGTTCTTTGCGGTTCTTTGCTCGCACGATCATATTATGATCACATCAACAACCCTCCACGCTAGGATATGCAGAAGCGGCATAAACATATCTGCAATAGGCATGATGACAGTCAACTCCAAGCATGTACCTCGACGCGACGACCAGGTGACCATGTCATGCGACATGCGCAAAGAATGATGAGCAGCCCACATGGTGCCTCTTCGACTCTCTCCTCCAGCTTGGATTCCTGTGCAAGGAGCACATGCGAGCACAGGGTTCCTGGACTCCAGGAACTGCATCTCTTGTGCAATCTTGTGCACCTCGATCAAGTCAAGAGCTTTGGCTTTCAGATCGCGGATTATTTCGGCATTCTTGTCGTTTTGAAGATCTTTCCTTGGGCAAAAAAATCAAGAGCTCAAGTTGAGAAACTGTACTTGAGGTGAAGGCGAAGGATCAGCAAACCAAGAGTCTGGTAGTTGGACACCAGGTTTCGCACCCTGGATATCCTGCGGTCGAGCTGACCCAAGCGAATCCTCAGTGTTTTGTAACCAAGAGGTCAAGGGATCCCAAGGAGCACCAAGGCTAACCGAGCTGGGTGGAGCTCCACACATGGAAAATCAGGGAAACATGACTGACAGAGCGAGTTGCTTCAGTCGCTTGGTCTGATCCTGGACGTATTGTTCGACATCCTGGGGGAATGAACTTTACAATTTGTCCCGCTTTCTTGGCAGAAGCTTTACTTTTTTGTGCATGATAACTGTTCATCCGTCCTGCTTGATCGCGTCCTCCACTTCTATCTTTGCCGTCTGCGAGCTAAGTGTTGACCTCGCAGAGCTCACCCCATCGCAGGCGGAGCCAACCATCTCATCAAGCTCCTGAGATGGTGTTGGGGGGGGGCGGGGGCTTGAGTGTGACAGCGCAGGCATCCGAATGCTCCGACTCGCAGGGGGGCCTGCGCTAAGGACAGCATCTCGTTCTCATCCTTGCCCTTGGGAACCTTGAGCTTGGGGATCCCGATGAAGGGCTCTGCCTGTACAGAGAGGTGGCAAAGGGCAGCCCCGACGCTCGCATCGCTCGTACGACTGTTGCAGCTCTCTCTCTCCTGTCGCGCTCGCCCTGGCACCTTCTTCTCGCACACGGCCACAAGCTGCTGTGCCTGTTCCACGACAGGGCACAAGATCACGGCTTGCAATGGTCAATGCTTTTCCCTCCTACACGAGTCTGCTAGTCCCACGCACCTTGCTCCAAACTCTCCGACCGTTGTCGCCTGCCCTCAAGCGTTCTGCCCCGCCCCAATTGCCCCCGCGCGCTGTCGCCAAGAAAGGCCCAGCAAGCAAGCTTAGTTTCTAAATTCAGGCCAAGCCATTCCTGAGGCCCAGCAGTCTCTAGTACTTAACCTCTTCAGCCCCTTCGACCGGGCCCGCCCTTACTCCACTGATGGCTGTGGCCCACATGCAAACATTGCATCAAGGCGGGCTGGGGGCCTGGCGGGGGAAGAGAGAGGGCCCTCCCTCTACCGAACACTTGTTCCTGCACACCACGCACAAGCCATCACCCTGTTGGGAGTGCCTTGGCCAAGGCCGCAGGCCCTCCTTGGAGCTCTGCATCGAGTTGAGTCTTGGCTGCGCTGAAGAGCTCCTGACATCGGTTTGGACGGCATGCCTGTGGAAACGCACCTTCTGCCTGCAAATGCAACACGAAAGAGCGATGCCTAAGCCCTAAGGCCCTAAATCCAAATGAACACATGCACATGCCATGCTAAAGGAAGCATTATGCCCTCCTTCTCTTAGTCTTATCAGGCCACACTCGATGGCCAGTTGCGGCCTATCGAAGATACGGCCTTGGCTTTGGCCCGATGAGCGACTTTTGCACGCGAACGATGTCCTTCTTGGCCAATGTCTTGGCTTCCGTCAGCGCCGTACGACTCTTCTCGAGAAGTTCCTCAGCCTCGACGGAACCCAACACATGCACCCCAGACCCCAGACAAAACCCGGGACGGACTCTGCCACGGCCACGGCCTCCTTGCTGGCCTGTGCCCCTGCGCGGACACTCTCCAGCCAGCCTCAAGCGAGCGCAAAGGGCAAGGGATCAGATGCAAGCTTGTGGAAGAGCCGGTTGTGCTTGTGCGGAAGGCCTTGCCGCAGTTGAAGTGGCAGCGTCTGGTTTTGGAATTCTTTCGAATGCTGCTGCACGAACTCCTGTCGCAACTAGCCGCTCCAAGACTTCTGAATAATGTTCTGAGTCTGAAGCGAATCTTAAGTTGAAGTGAATGAAGATACAAAACTTGGCGCAAGCGGCGGCATCCTTGAGGTCATCGCGGAACTTCTTGGCCTTCGAACTGAACTCCTCGAAAACGCCCTCTGCACTGCTCACCTGCGGTCTTCTCAACAGAGTCTGCGAAAAGGACCTCTCTGTGGGAACATTCGCAGAGCAAGTCCGAATGTCGACAGCGCTACCTGCTCGGGAGGCACTGTGCCTTCTGCGCTGAGTTCCTGGTAGCGGAACTAGTGGGACCGATGTTCTGCCACACACGAAAGCACGAAATCACGAGCACGTAGTGCCTCGAACTCCAAGCACTTCTGGCGAAAACCTGCCATCAGCTCTTCTAGCTCCTCAAGAATCGGCATTGCTTTTGTACTCCAAACATGCAGCGCCGGTTGGTGTAGAGACAAGGGAGATAGGGAGAAAGAAAGAACAGCAACTCAGGACTTAGGAGGCTTAGGGTCTTCTCAGATTTCTCAGTTGCTCACTTCCGGAGCACTCTTCATGTGCTATGCCAGAGGCAGTCAATCTGGCAGTCTCCTTCAACGTTTCTTTTGGCTTCCGGATTTTCTCTTCCTCATGCACACGAACGATGCTGCTGGCGAAGCTTGCAGTCTCCAGCGCAACCTATCCTACCGTGCTGATAACAGTATAGCTGCTCGACTCTGTATCCAACTGGTGATTATCGATTTGTATGTGCCAGATTCAATCTCGCTTGCGATTAGAATTCCTGCGGCCACGTCGCCTCCTCTTGCCGCTGCTGGTGTACGTACGCAACACGCTTATCTGCAAGTTCCAGTGCCCGGTCGCACTCGATGCGAACCTCCGACAATTGTCAGCACTTAAGCATCAACTTGTGTCGTCACCATAGCATGGCCGCATGGCTCTAGCTATAAGTCACCTGGCAGGTGCAACCCTTGCCTGCTCAAGCAAGCTTCCCAGCTCAGCCTCCTGTGAATTCACGATCCGGATCATCTCAGCCTCCAACTCATCCTTGGTAAGGTCTTTCAGCGTGCAGTGAAGGTGGTGAGATAGACGCTGGACCTACACGCTCGATGATTCGTCAAGGCTGCTGGCTGATCTGCTCGAGCTGTGCGGCCAAGAGGCTCGGGTCTCCGGAGAGCAGACACGGATCTGACGGAGCAGCGCTCAAATCTTCAAGGGCTACTCGCGGACACGAATGGCAACAAGACGCAGGTTCACTGGCGCGCGGGGCACGGGGCACGGGCGCAAGCCTTCTGGATCGCTCGGCGCACTGGGTAAGCTGCCCTGGCCTAGCCCATTGTTTCGGGTATTCATCGCAACCTATCGCAACATCGCATATAAGACAACTGCTTGAGATAGAGATGCTCCTCATTCCACTTCGTCTCTGCGTCAATCATTGGAGGCAGCTCGAAGGTTCAGCATAAACAGGCGCAGCGCTCACGCCATATGGTAGCACATGGTTCTATCCGTGGTGTCGATGCTGTAAAGATGACAGACGTCTCGTGCTCTGGGCATTTTGCACGTCACTGCTGACAAGCATGCGCCGATTGCTTGAACTTCTGCTCACATGCTCCTGCTCTGCACTACCATGCTAGTGCTGCTGCTTCGCAGGGGGGCGGCATGCTGCGGTACTTGTTGTCAGCACTTGTGGTGCCCTACATTGGCTCATGACTCCAGCCAAGCTTGAAAGCAACCCCCCAAGAAATCGAATGGGAAGTACACATGCACAGATCGACTGCAGCATAATCAGCTCGGTCCAGGTCCATGAGATCTGATGCCACGGTAATGTGAAGGGATGCCGAGTCCCTGACTGCAATGGCAGGGCCTGGTGTTGCCAAAGCTTCACCTGAAGTGCTCGTAGACCTTCTTAAGTTTATCAGCAAGAGCTCGAAGCCCTTTCTGGTTTTGCAATCACTTCTACGTTCTACAAGTTAAGACCTCTGTCAGGGAAGCTAACGACAGCTTCTAGGCTTGGCCACGCTTCCGTATCCACCCGGATTGGGGCTTTAGGGGCTTGTTGCAATGCTGGGTTTTTGGTTTGATGAAAGCTCGTTTGGGGCGCTGGCTGACAGAAGCCTTCGGCGGAATCGACTTGTTCACAAGCCGCCTCAGCGACCAAACACCATCCGACGACTTTGCACAAGAGCTGTAACTTGGGTGTGGACCAGGAGCCACTGCCATCTGCAGCACCAGGTGCACCCCCATAAGTCGCACAAACTGGAGATCCCTCCTAGGCATAGTCAGTGTGGTAGGGAACATGCAGTACATAACACGACTCCCGGAAAACAAGGAGAGAGAATGCTCTTGGCAGCGCACCGGCCCACGCGTTGTAATGTTCCAGTCCTGGATCAAGCTCAGGTGGGGCAAGCTGGCAGGCTGTGAGCTTCTGCCCAGCATGCTGACGCAGTATGACAAAAACACATTGAACTATCTCAACAGATCATGCCACGCAAGCACTCCCTTGGATGAAGCGCACCACGATCTGCTCACTGAGAAGCCAGCCACATCAGACCACGGATCATTCAGCGAGAGAATCTGGCAAAAAAAGCATGTCGCAACAGGGTCATGGCGGTCTGAACATGGCCACAGCTCCAAAGGGGCCCTTCAGGTGGCGCCTGCGAAACTTCATTCAGCGTCGGATTTCTTGCAGTGATTGAGAAGCCGTAGATATTCACGCCCTTCAGCCTCATCAGGTAAAAGCAAGGGAGCAAGGGATTCTTGCAACACTTCTCACCCATTACTCGGACAGAGAATGTATCACGGCGCATGAGGATCCGGGCGGGCCCTCCATGTAGATTCGCGCCACATTGTACGGACCTGCACGCAAAGGCCATCTGGCCATCTCAGCTCTTCTACAGATTCTACAGGTTTTGGCCACAGCTTTGCCTGTCGCGGTATCGCCACTCCGGAGACTTTCGCAGCCTCGTCGAGTTAACGTACCGACTCAGCACTTACACCCATCTCCTGGCAAAAGCTGAGCTCTCCAACGAACAATCTCGGGAAGACGATGTACTGAAGGCACTGGACCCGTCACATAGTACCTAACAGATCTAACAGTTGCAACGAACATCGCGGGATGGAGAAGGCGAGATAGGGAAGCAGATTCAGGCTCTGGCGCGTCGGTCAAGTCGACGGCTTGACAGGCTGCACCGAAGTCGAAGACGCGAGGTGCCTGCCAAATGGTGCAGGGCAAGACGGGTGTCTAATTGAAGCAACCGGCAAACAACCACTCGATGCAACCAAGGATTCGAGAACACCTGTTTTCGGACGGGATACTTCTTTGTCTGCGATCTTGAGAGATGAGTTGCAGCGCTAATCAGATGAGGACTGTGAGACATGCCAGCAGCAGGCGAAACAGCACAGAGGACTTCATCCTGGCCATACTGCCAAGTACAGCCAAGTACACTGAAGGATTCCTACATGCTCCTACCTCTGTTTAACAGTGTGTAACCACCTGCAATCTGGCTCAAGGACACAATGCTTGGATAAAGCACGCAGAGAAGCAATCCGAGACCCCACCACCATACAGCGTGGCCCAAACGAGCAAAGCCCCAGCAAAACTCGTCCGCGTAGTCTGCATAGCACCATGCAACATTGTGGCCAAATATGTAGCAGATTACCAGTCCCTGTACAAGCTCTAGCGTCCAGATGTTCAAGGGAAAGAGGAGCACGTACCAAAATGGGTAGTCTCCGAGAATGTGCCCATATACGTCCACCAAAACAGGCATGTAAATCAGATTTGCCCCGAACTGCGCTGCACTCGTATACGCCCGACCACGCTCGAAGTGCGTGAAGCAGGACTCCATGAAACTGTACGACAGGGCCAAAAGCCCGCAGCGCAGCTTCATTGCTGTTGGGTAGATCAACCAGAGTAAGAGAAGCAAGGCAACTAAGAGTCTAGCAGCCGGCTTCTTAATTGGATGGAACGTCACGTGTAAGATCTGCCACGTGTCAGTGTCAGGCCTGCCGTAGACTCGATTGACTTGGCGCCTGCCTTCTTCGAGACGCAGCCCGGACTTCTTGGGAAATAGCAGCGGTGATTGAAAAACAGCATGAGCGAGGTCATGAGCGAGTGTTAGCCAGCCTGTGCTCATATCTCATAGTGCTCAGAGAGCAACAACATTCTTGAGGCGAGAGCCGCGCTGCAGCATAGCAATGCACAAGAATGCACAACAAATCGCCAAATGCCCGGAGCTGAACGAGCTTGGCGGGGAGCTTACACTACATGCAGGCAGACATACAACTGGAGATGGACGATTTTTTCGGGGGGGTTCCTCGACTTGGTTCTTCACATGTTGACTCTCCTGTGCCCCGCTTCGTTTCTCAGATGCACACGTGCCATCAAGGGCCTCGACGTCGATGGATCCACCGGCGTTAACATCCTCCACCGCTCGGAAGAAGACACTTAGCCTCATGCAAGGCCAATCTCACCGAATTCCCTGGGCAAATGAAGCCACGCCGCGGGTCTCTCAAGCGAGCCGGTGCGGCCACTGTACCGTCGGCTGGCTTGCGCTTGGGGAAACCATGGGATCCAATGGTTGGATCAAGGCCTGCAAACGGATAAAGAGGGAGCATGTGTGCAGAAACCTTAAGGAGACGATTCAGGTCGGGTCTGCAAGCTGGGGCAGCTGGGGCTGGGGCATTCTCCAGTCTTCCGAGCACTGGCACACCACCGAGGCCTGTGCGATAGAACTTCGCCTCAGTCTTGCCACACTCTCTACACACAGCAGGAAAGACATCGTCCGAGTGTGTGACGCTAAAGTTCACCACCGTAAGATTGTGGTCTCCGGGAGAGAAGACCTGTCGCTGAGGCCAGGCAACATTTCTCTGGGTTGCTGAGAAAACCTGAGAAAACCTGACGTCAAGAGAAAGGTTGCTGTCTGTTGCTGCAAATCGGGCCGGTAGCCTGCACGGACCACAGGTTCAGCGTGTTGGTGATGGGCATGCTGGTGTTGCCGGGGTACACGCGCAAGCCTTGGCAGAGGCAAAGTCGGCACATGAGGATCGCGCTGCCTTTTTTGGAAGCTCTGAGTTCTGAGGGCGGCGTGCCCACCACCAGTGAGGACATGGAAGGGATCAGCGACCGGTCCTGAGAAGCCATAGCGCCAAACATATCTCTCACAATCACGGAGTATCACTCACATCATCACTTGAATCACTTGTCTTCAAGTCTTCAACAGAAGGGACAAGTGAGACTCTTTCTCTCAGCGTATTCTCTGGTCTCTTGGCTTCCCTGCGAGCAGCGAGTAGGTGGCCTCCTCGCCGAGCATCGACCAACCCCGAAGGTCCGGCCTTTGCTTTTGCCAGCTTTTGCTGCTTCGCTCAGCTTTAATTAGCTTTCAAGCTTCAGCAGTCTCCGCGACGTGCTTCCGAGATCTTCGAGCATCCATGCTGGAGTTAAGTTTGCCTGTGGGATCCTGTGAGCATGAGTTCCTGCAACTGCCGCATGAGGCCGGCACGTGCCGAAGCCCGTTGGTGCAGGTTGCGGCATCGTGTTGTTCAGGCGAGATGCCTCAGAACAAACAAGTCCACGGCGGGGTTCCCTCGACTGGACAGATCTCATCCCAGGTGCCGCATCTCCATCCGGTGTCAAAGTCACCATCCCAAGGTCCCCACCTGATCAAGCGCAGCAATGCAACATCCGGTGTTGTCGCAGGATGTGACTGTGCCTGTATGATTCACCTCCACCGCTTGCAGCATCCGAAAGCCCTGGCAATATCAGGGCGATACGATGCTGGCGACTGCACTCATGGCATAGCCTCAAGCACAGCCTCAAAGCCCCGCTTGTCACTTATGTTAGCTTCCTAATGTCCTAACGGTCCTAAACAAGACGACCCTTTCATTCTCCAAGGCCCGCTCAGGTGGGGCCCTTATGACGAAGGAGGAGCCGGGGCGAGCATTCGGTGCTGGCCTGAGCTACTTGAACCCTCAGCACACGACCTTCGGAGCTGCGCAAACGACTCGGCATCTTGAGCTGTCCACCTGGTCCTGTCCTGCCCACGTAGCGGCACTGCCAGTTGAAGCATCACCTGCTGCCCGCGTTGCGGATCTTGAGTGTGTTGCAACATGTCACAAGATCTGTGGCAACTCGTCATGACCTTTGAGTCTTGACGTAAGGTCAGAGCATACAGAATGTGACTTTGCACTCCTTCGAACGGCTCGAGGCCCATCTGGCACGGTCAGCCGTGTCTATACAACCATGGCACAGACTACCGTGACTACAGACAGTCACACAACGTGAAGACAGCAACCGATCCCCTGGCGTTGCTTCTACCGCATTCCCAGGCTTGCTGTCATGTGCGAGTGGTCCCAGGGCCTGTGGTGCGCTGAGCACACGCCCGATGGTCGCAAAGTCGCGTGTCGGCCTGATCAAAACAGACAATGCCAGGGAACTCAACAAGCACCAAATCAGTCTTGCTCCACGTGGCTTCAGCATGCATGTATTCTCTTGACAGCCATTATGCTTGCCGCTGCGCTTCAGTGCCCTAGGCCACGGCGCAGTGTAGAAACGGCCCGTTGCCACCCTGCAGAAAGCGGGTCAAAACGGCTTGATGTTTGGCTCTGCTGAGGGCCTGCTGAAGCTAGACCGTGCCTGAAATGCGGTTTCGTGCCATCCTCCTTCATCAGTTGCACCATCAGCTTGTGGGGGAGTGCCTGGCAGCCAGCAACAAGCAGCGTAGTTCTTTGCCAGCCTTGTAGGATGAGGAAGCGACGCCAGAAGCAGGCAGCTTGAGGCTGTAAACGTCCATCTCATAGATCTGGGCCAATGCTTTTAGCTCGACAACGCCTTTTCCTTTACAGTTGCGGAAGATCTCCCAGGACCCCCCAATTTGGCGAATTTGGCACAACCCCCTTCCCCCAAAAATGCAGCTTTCAAGACCAGGGCTGCCACCAGCGAGCCGAAGAGGTCGTTCATGTTCGGTGGCATTTGGATACGAAGCATGGGAACCTGCGCAAGACTGCTTCGAGCGGGGCAAGGAATGGCAAGAAGGCACCTATGCATCAGTCACAGTACAGTGAATGATCTGAAGCTACTCCCACCTGCTCCGCGAATGGAACAACCTGGCCCCAGAACACATAGGCACTCCCGCCACGCATCAAACACTGGGCATGAAAGAGAGTAGACAGATACCTTGATCCCAGCGCAGCTGGCCACTTCACCACACCGGCGAAAATTGCCGATGATCTGGCCGGTGCAGAGAGCTGCTTTTCAAATTGGCAATGTCACACAGAAGACATGCGAAGGCTCTGACAACTGAACATGTTTAGTCTCAAAGAGCGGGTTTGGCAGCTTGAGTTCAAGCAGTGCACTCACAAGAAGCTTAGAACCTCTGACACTCAAAACCGGCCAGCATGACGACGAAACAATGGATGCGGATGCTGCCAGTTTCCAAACTGCGTCGCCAGGGAATCGCACGGGCAGAGGAGTTCGCTCATGCTAAAATTCCTGCTCTCTCTATCGTTCTCGCAATCTGAACTCGCGATCTCGGATTCCTGCTCATGCGGCAGTACTAAGAAGATCAGGATCTGAACTGCGGGTGAGTTGCTTTGCAGTTGTTCGATCTCCACACGTCTCAGGCAGTTGCCACGCCTGTGTCGTGCCGGAGCTCGCTTGCCAACAGCAATATGTTCGGACCCTTCTGAGTCTCAAGCTGTTAAAGGCTCCAGCCACATAGTGAGGTAGTTGCCACCTGTAAGCAACAGACTCTCAAAGAAATCGCAGCAGATTGGAGCAGAAAGATTGCTTGCTACTGTACCGCAAAGAAGTTTTGGCCGTAACCACTGAGGTACAAGCGGGAGATTTTGGCTGTAGAGTACTCGCCACCTCTCATCTGCAAGCGCAGCCTACTGGAGCCGTCTTGCAACCTGAGTCCAGGATCGCCGGTTCCCAGCCGAGAGCTTGGTACCTTTGACACCACTGCTCGAATGTAGATCCCAAGTGTTGAGAGCACAGCGTGACCAGATTCGTTTCTGCATCACCCCCAATAATCTCCTCAGCGTGCACACACACACACACAGACTGCAAAGCACGAGTCCTCTTGCGCCACACAAAACGGCTAAAGCTGCTCCAGGGCTTCTTCGTTCGAATCTGGTCCGAGTCACGATGCCACCGTCTGGAGCGAACTGGGGATCGTTGTTGCCAGCGCCTCAGTGGTTAAGTGCACACAAGTACACAAGTACACAAGTACGCAAGTACACACACCGTATCGCGCCTAGCTGGTACATCGTCTCCTCAGTCGTGAAAACATGGCCAACCTGCCGGCTTAAAGTCGCGCAAGTGACGTTCCGAACATGACCACAATCATCGTCGTCATCATCGTCGTCATCATCATCATCATAATGCTGCGGGTTTTCCATCGGGTAAGTGCACAAGCTGCACAAGTGCATTCCCCCGGTTGCCTCCAACGGGGAATACCTGTAGCCCTCGTGGTCGTCGTTGGAGCTGATGAAGAACAACTGGCCACAAACCCCCACGAATCCAGCTGCTTCGTAATCCGTGATACATGTGGCCATCTGTGAAGTGAACTAGTGCGTGGCGGGCATCACTCTGTCCCGCGTGGTTTTCTACTGCCTGTGTCCGCAGATGACGACTGTACCAGACTCCAAGACTCCAAGACTTGGAGTCATGTCAGGCATCAGGCAGCCGAACGTATGAAAGTGGGCTTGAAAGGCCAGATACAAGGAGCCTGCTCCAGGCATCTCGACTGGTTTCGACGCCAGCCGCTCCGTCTAAAGACTTAAGGCCCATTGATCTGGACTTGTCACTTGCTACATGCCGCACCTTTGGCGCGCAAGAGCTCAGGGATCCTCCGCTGGACCAGCCTCCCTAGCCTCCGTCGTAGACTCCGTGTGCTGCTGGGATGCCAACTTCTCTTGCTCAGCTTTCAGCTCGTCTTCAGACAGCACCAACGCCGGGAGTACAACATCGAGTTGCTCCTTGTCAGGCACACGCTGACCACCGCAGTTTTCAGAAAGTGCTGCCCGAGCTTTGAGCACAAGACAAACCCTTCATACAAGCCCATCCTTGATAGTGCCATCGATCTCTTGGGCCTGCCAGGCACGCAAGACCTGTGCAAAGGATGGCAAAACCCGACATTTGGATGAGACCGCCGACACCGCAACTGTCAGATTCGGACGGAAATACTATGATTGGAGTAGTAGTACGTCTTGGGATCTCAGGACTTGCAACTCAGCTAAGTCACCAAAGCGAACGCAGCAAGGGCAAGAAAGTAGTTGCAGGGCAATTCTACAGCCATGGCATTTATGCACTTACCGATGGACAAGGGTCGCTGTGATTGAGCCACAACATGCTTGAAGCACAACTCAGCACAGGCCATCACTCCGACCTGCTCGCATCCAGAGGCACGGAGATAGTCTCGGCCAGCAAGTGAGCGGCAAAGGCCCATGAAACTCACAGCAGCGGCCGATCGAACAGCAACGTCACCTTCGGGTCGGGGGTCGGGGACGGTCGCGGGAGGCATATTGCAAAAAAAGAAGGCCGCGGAGAGCACTTTTTTGGTCACTTTTTGGTGGTTTGGGCCCACGGAGAGACGCAGCCTGCAGTCCGTTGTGTTTGCAAGCGTGCAAGTGGGCAAGCGCTCAAGTGTGCAAATGTGCAAGTGTGCAGCAAGTGTGCAGCAAGTGAGCAGCAAGTGAGCAGCATGTGTGCAAGTGTATAGGTGTGCGTGCAACTATGCGTGCAACTATGCGTGCAACTATGCGTGCAAGCGGGCGGTGCGGGCAGTTTGGGCGGTGCGGGCGGTGCGTGTGCGCGTGTGTGCTCCTTTCCTTGTATGTCCCCGATCACTCCCGTTCTGCGCCTGTGAGCGATGCGCCCTCCTTCTCCAGGCACTCCTTCAGCGCCCCCGGCAGCGCGGACTTCGCTTCCGCATCGAGGCTGTCCCACGGGCAGAGGAACCTCTGACAGCATTCAGTGCATCTCCAGAAAAAAACCAGCAAATCCAGCCCCAAAGGGCCACAAGAAATGTGAGGGACTACTCTCAGCATCTCTCAGCCTTGCCATCTGCGAGATCAGATCTGTTGTAATGATGGTCTGGTGGCACTCCTGAGCTTCAAAACTTCAACTCCCCATCACAAGCCTCACCCGAGCACCAGCGCCGCAGCATGGCACCATTCTGCACAGCATTACCCCTAGCTAGTGGCTGGACAAAACTCATTTTAAACAGTGCCATCCTCTTAGTTGCGTTCAGAGAGTCCGAGTCCAAGCAAATGTTCTTCACGGCATTGATCATGTCCTGTCTTCGGCCGCGATCTGCCAGCTCGCCGAAGATGGTGGGCAGCGCGTGATGCTCACCCAGAGCAAAGAGCTTGCGCCCTTCAGGCACGACCAACACATTGACAAGCAAACTCCCAAGCCAAAGCAGCGGATCTTCGTAGCCATCTCTTGGAGGAGGCCGTGGTTTAGTCACATAGGCTGCAACCAGAAATTTGAGCATGCCTTCATCGCTACATAGCGCTTGCTGACCTTTCACGCTAGTGGAGACGTTTGCCAGCAGCATTGCATACCAATGGGCCATCGTAGCTCGACCCTCCAGCCAACCCGATCGCAAGGATTCGGTGATGCGCTTTGGCGCATTCAGGGCAACTAGCTCTTCCTGAACGGTGGGGATGGTGGACAGGTTCACCAGAGCCTTCAAAGCCGAAACGCAGGCAGCCATGCTGCTTGCGGCCTGAATGGCCGCAGTCTTCTCGGCCTGAGAGCTCCCGCCCTTGCTGCCGATCTGTGCTGCCTCTGCTGCCTCGGCTTCGGCCTTCTCCGCCAAGCGCAGGAGGGGCCTCGCTGCAGTGCGCGGAGTCCGTCGGCAAAAATCCAAAAAGCTGGTGTCCTCCGTCTGCCCAAGAACACCCTCCGCAGCAAAGCGCCTCACTTCAGGCTTCTGGTCTTGCAGGAACCCCAGCAACTCAGAAAACTCTTGATCCTGCGAGCCATCGTCTGCCATGGCGCCTGTTTTCCCAGCGCCGGCACGCTTCTTGAATTACTTCAAACCTCAAACCTCGTCCACCTCGTAATACGAATCTACACTCCTACAGTAGTCATGTCGGAGCTACCGTGTGAGATCAAACCAGATCCTAAGAAACCTCGAGCAATCATAAGAATCATAAGGAATCACAGTGCTTAGCCTAGACGTGCAGTTGCCATGTCTGCATTGTGGAACTTGGGCCAGGCAATGGATTTAAAACTTGGAGTGAGGTACTCGAGTTGAGAGGAAGTGGTCCCAAATCCTGATATGAAAGGCTCAATCAGAAAGACCACACAGAACCGCACAAAAACAGAGAGTCGGCCTCCTGGTCTGTGACCATCTCATTTGTGGCTTGGGCGTTCATCACGATCTGATACGACCTTTTGCGAAGGTACCGCAATCTTTCTGTGATTCACCTGTAGTCACTCCACCTCATTTTTTGTTGAAGGTGTCCAGTTGGAACATCTCCCGAAAAAACAAAAAAACAAACGAGGCTGAGAGCGTCGCGCATCGGGCGATAGTCCGTTCCGCTTCTCGAAGATGATAACAATCTCACGCCTGAGACATGGCAAAACCATGACATGAACTACCCTTCTTCTTCAGCGATGTTCCGCTATAGGCTCCAGGATCCGCGCATGTCAACTGTCAAGCCACGGTAGAAGCAACCCTTCGGCAAGGGGAAGCCCTTCGCCTCCGAAAGTGTGGCTTCACAGGCACAGCGAGGCGTTTGCTCGACTTTACTGAGGCACTTAAATTTAATTAGGGCAGCTTCCAGGCATGATGGCCTGGTCGCTGCTCCACAGTTCGCGGAAGACGATACCGCACACTGTCTGCGTTGCCTCACATATAGAGCGGGGGACGACTGCAGCTACAGAGCAGAGTTGTCTCTCAAACATGTTTATAACACTCAAGGGGCGCAGCCTCCTCCCACTCATCGCTGCCGATATTGAAGGAACTGACGAAGGGGCCCTGTGCACTGCTCCCCATGTGCCGGAGAGCTGCCTGCAAAACGCCGCAGTGCACTTCTTGAACTGCCTTCTCGGTACCCAGAAATGAGCTGCTTGAAGGGCTGCAACCCCAAACAACAAAGCACATTGGCACAAGCCTGGCCTGGTTCAGGAATGTAATCGAGAGGCTCATATGCCCGTCAGCCTCCGAGCGGGGGATGGAGGGCGCGACACGAAACGACAACCTGACGCCGAAGGCGTTTGCCAGAACTGATGGCTGCCGCAAGCCGGCTCCTATGTATTACCCGCGCGATGCAGTTGCTGCGGGACATAAAGGGTGCTTCTGTTCCTCCCCAAGAACAGCCTGGAGCGACAGGCAAAACAAAAAGGAGCCGTACCTCGACGTAGCGCCTCCCGGCTGCGTCTGCGCGCCCCGTCCGGAAGGTCAGAATGAAGGGAGATGACTGCCCCCACTCCTGCACCGCACTCTGCACCGCACTCTGCACTGACATGGACCCAGCAACATGTCGAGTCCCGCTGCGTCGGCCAAATTCCAAGCTCTGTCAAACTGCCTAAGCCGGACTGTGACCAAGTGCAGCAACTGCAGCTCTTGACGTGCTGTCGTGCTGTGCTCAGGAATGAAAGGCAAGATTGTTTGCTCTACGCCTCTATACATGCTTGTGCCTTCGAATGCAGCCAAGATGCTCTGCGATTCAAACTCCAGGATGCCGGCTTCAGCTGCTCGGCCATCCCGCTCCCAGCAGACTCTCCTAATTCTCAGAGCTTTTTCAAAGCCACACGCTCTTTTATGCGGAATGCAGGAAGCCGACAGCAACCAGACACGCTCAAGATCACTCAAGCATAAGAGCCCGAGTCGCAACATCCTCGCAGAGCTGGACATCAGTTCGCCGCGCGTGACGCCTGAACAGCAGTGCAGGAGCAAGTGCGTTCAATGTGAAGTAGACATGCCACAGCCAGCGGAGGATAGCGGAGGCGTTGTTAGAATTGAAGGAGAGCGCAAGGAAAGCGGAAGCTCCTCGATTGGTTCGGCGCCACTGCCCCCCATCAATATAGAATCTGGGCGGAATTGGAGCTGTTGCGAAGCTGCCCTGCTCCACAGTGAAGACCGCTGGATTGGAGGTTTCAGCGATGGCAATGCCAATGGGTGCACCTGGGTCCTGATTCTGGTCTCCGACCCCGCCATCTGAAGCGTTGGCCAGAGCCAAGACATCTTCAGAGCTGAGAGGCACGTTGTAGAAGCGCAACTCGTCGAGGTCCAAGAACCCATCAGAGGCATTGTTGCCTCCCGGATATTCCGAGCACACCTGTCCAGCGAACTGCAGCGGCAATGTCGACGTATTCATGATGACACCCAGGCGCTCGTACGCCAGTGCTCCATCAATGTAGAAGCGCAGGATGCCGCTCATCCTCTACACGAAGCGGGCTCGCGCATGTTCAAGCATGTTCAAGCATGTTCACGCAACACGTAAGAAAGGAACACAGGTTTGGCATCAGGTCGAGAGAAACAAAGACAGGGGGTCTGCAGCGTGACAAAGAGCTCGAACGCGCTAGGCAGAGAAGAGAGCGGGAGAGAGGGAGAGAGAGAGCGAACAAGCAAAGTGGGAAGGAAGACTTGGTCACGGTGTGCATCAATACTGGAGACATAGGCCATAGGTCAAAAATCTGTGCGATAGCAGGTACTAGCTGCTGGCTGCCCGTGTCCTCCCAGCATATACAACTGCAACATGTGCCCACTGCGCTATTGGGAGCACAGCATCGCCCATTGCCTGCAGAGTCAACGACTGCGAGGCCCATGGAACAAGACGCGGACAGCCACAGCGCGCAATCTGCGAGGGACGAAGCTGCGCCTGATCGTCGCCCGAAACGCCCGCAGCCTGCCGCAAGTAGAGGCTGCCAGACGCCCAAGGGGCTGAGGCCACACCTGTAAGAGCCACCCTCAGAGTTTTTGTGCACTCAGGGTTTGCGGCGCTAAGGTGTGCAGATGTTAGCGGCCCGAATGACTCTGCATCATCTCAACCCAGGGCCTATTTCAACTTCTCCATCCTCGAAGAGGCCATTGTTGTTTGCCATCCCACAGAGAGTATACCATCCATCCTTCCTATGGCAAGCGGGAGGATTCGAGGATGTGCCACTTGCCACAGAGGACTCACAGGACTGTGTTCTTTTGCACCAAGTCTCTCAAGTTGCACCCAGAAAGCGATGCTCCAGGCTTCGGTCGCTTCAACTGGACTTCCAGCAGGGAGACCTTAAGGAGTCATATCCCTCTCTGTTTTGAAGCCGGAGTGCAGCCCCTGAGACACCATCTTTCAATGACGCTGCCTCTACTAGCACATGGTCAAATGCTTGAGCTGCCACTAGCTTCGTGCGATCGAGGAGCTCAAAGACGAGCCATTCCCAAAACGAAGCGCATAGGCACCCCACTTGCCTGGCGTGCGCTGCACGCCGACACCTGCGTTACTGAGCATCTGATATCATCTGATCACAGCAGTGGAATGCACGAGCTCCGCTTCTGTTGCAGAGCTTTCTGCTATCATTTGCTATCAATTATCTGCTGTCTGTCTTTTGGGTCAGTTGGTGTCTGCTTCATGGGGTGGGCCACCGGCATTTAATCTCTGAAGTTGAGGGAGGAATGCAGAATGGGCAGCGGCAACCTGCCTTGAAACGTACCATGCCTCTCGCCAACGGCATCTGCAGCCACGTCGCCCTCCGCCTCATTCAACGGCAGGTAGTTTTGCAAGCCTTGGAACACGAGAAAGCCCTTTGCCATGTCCAGCATTGGCTGCGAACAGTTCTCACCGCACTGCACTCCAGCTCCAAGAACAATCGTGTCGCCGTCTTTAAGCCCAAGGTTGCCCAATCCGCCACCCGAGTAGGTGGTCCCGGCAAAGGTCAGTTGCAAACCGGTCTCGGTGGTCACCAGGTGTGTCAAGGGAACCGTCTCACAGTTTTCGTTTAGCTCGTTGCAGCGCACGCGATCGGAGGCGAGGGTCGTCGTACGCATGTAGCCTGTGTTCTCGGTCAGAAAGTTGCTGGTGCAAAGGGAATGGCCATTTATGGGGTCTTCATTTGGACGCAAGCACATCCGCTCGGCAGGAGCAAAAGCAGAGCAAGTGGAGGATTCCAGAACGAGTCGCAGCATGTCGCCGTCCTGCAAGTTGACACCAAGATACTCGAAGCGGAAGGTCTTCATGGTTGGCAACAGCCAGTATTGGTTTGCAACGGGGCCTGCCACCACAAGTGCGCCAACAGGCACCCAGTATGGGCTGCCAAGGCAAACCTGCTCGCCGAATTCATCCAGCCCACCCATGTCTGGGCAGTAACACACGACAGCCGTTGCGACATCAGGAAAGTAGATGCTCTTGCCAACCTCACCACCGTCAAAAACAATGCGGTCGCCGCGTACCGTTGCGGAGTATTCTGATGCGTTTGCGCGAGTCAGTCCAACAACGTCAACCGTGCGACCCTTCTGACAGGCTTCTCTGGTAGAGCTATCCTCCGTGATGATCATGGCAGCAAGGCGGATGCCCCCACCAGCAGTTAGCCCAACTACATTCTCCGGATTGCGGTAGGGCAACAAGGATCTGGACATCGAAACCTGTCCAATCTGGCCAACCTGTTTCGGAGGGGTCGTACTGCCCGTGCCAGGAACAGTGGATGAAGCTGCGAGAGATGCCTCCAACACAGCAACCTCCCCAACCTTGAACCACTCAGTGTTGTTTTCGCTGTAATCCGGCGTGAAGCATATGTCAAGCCAGTTCCCTTTTGGGACAAAAGTTGGCCAGTTGGGTAGAGTGTAGCCCTCCGCCGGCCGAAACCGTTTTAAGTCCGATCGGGGTCCACCATCGACTTGCAAAGCCACATCTGCCGTTGGCAGGAGGAAGGTCTCGTGAACCGCATGCCGGCAGCGATGCTCCGGGTGCCATGCTGGGAAAACCTGTGCTTTCCATGGCTCAGGCTGCCGTGCAAAAAGGATGCGTGATGCAGCCTGGAAAGGGCAGCCGCCGTAGGGACAGAACACACAAGCCACGAAAGGGATGGAGGCCAAAACCCCAGACGAAGAGGTCGCACAGGAGAACTCACCAACTGGCATCACAGATGCAGTGAACAGCTGGACGATTCCGACTTGCTGAACAAAACCCGAAGTACCGGCCACAAGGTCACAGCCGCTCAATCCTGTGCAGTAGCACACTGCAGTTGCCCTTGCAATCTGAGAAATGGCCAGTGGCTCGCTCGGCGGCATCGTCACCAGAGAGGCAGAGTCAAGAGGAAAAGATCGGTTTCCGGCTTGACACGTGGCATCTGCGCAGAAAGCGGCCGGATCTGCTGCTGACGCTCCACAGACCGGAGTTTGTAGTGGCAATGGAGCTCCATCACCTCCATACACTCCATCGATGCCTCTGGACCAGGACAGCACTCCAAGGTCCCCCTGCACACCACCGATAGGCACGGCACAGGTGCCGTAGGCTGAGGGTATGCCCAGGAGAGCGTGGCAGCGGAAAGCGCGAGCAGCCAAACAACCAGCTGTTTCACAGCTACTTATCAAACCATCTGCAATGAGCTCAACATTCACCAAGTCGACGTGGCCAGAAGAAAAGCTTCCATCATCTGAATAGCACAGTAGCGCATGGCCTGCAGAATTGAAAGGTATGGGGTCCGAAAATGATGTGTTGATCTGCCTACTTCCGCGAGAGTCCAGCGTCGTCACGCCCGTGGCAGACGACAGCGGAGCGCCCACGAGCTCTGTGTTGAGCTCCATGCTTGAGCCGGCAGCACATGCTCCGGCTAGCACGTCCTGGCGCGTGACCGTCGCATTTATTGCCTTCAGCCGCACGGAGCCAGAATCAATTACTGAAAGCAAAGGCAGCTGCAACGAGATCTTGCTGATGGGCTGGGCGGCGCTAAACTTGATGCTTTCGCCATCAGTGGCTGCTTTCTCCTCGCCGTTTGCGAAGACCATGAACAATCCCGTTCCAGCAGGGAGCAGTGTCGTGACATATGCCTGTACGTTTATGAGCACGTTCAATAAGTCAGCATGACCTGAGGCGAATGAGCCATCATCACTGAAGCATAAGCGATACGCCCCACCTTGCAAGAACGTGGCACCGGCAGCAATGTCCGCAGTAAGCGTCGTGACTCCCTGTGCCGCATTTGTTTGCGAGCCCCAACGGGCTGAAAGTGGAGCCTGCACGTACTGATCACTTACGGGTCCAAGCTGATCAGGTGCGCACTCCCCATTTCTTGCCTCCTCCTCTGTTAAGTATCCAAAGACTATACGTAAGCGGCCTGCTGCCACGTTGAAAAAGAATCCTTCAGGAAGGCCTATACTAATACCATAGAGTACCTCACCGGCCAGTAAATGAAGCTCCTGACCATCAGCTGCTGAAGTAGTCTTGCTGCCAAACAGTTGCACGGTCAAGCTTGTGCCTGAAGGCAGTGTGGATGTAACAAACGGACTAGTCTGAAGCCGCCTTTCCGCGGAGGCATGGTCCAAAGTGGCATTCGGTGACTGTGACGAGGTCGATCCAGTTGCGGATGACTCTGCAGCCAAAGTTGCCACAAGGGCCCACACCAGCACCCCCATTCGGAGGGTCTTTGACCGTCTTTCCATACTGCACGCCACTGAGGCTGCACTGCAGCATCAAACATTGATTCCCACACCGCGCATGTGGAGGTGAGAAATAGAGCTACTTCCCAAGCGGAGGAGTCTAAGCTGGTGCTGTGGGTAGTGAGTAGTGCGTATCCGGAGAATGACATCTGCTCAACTTTGTCAGTCTCCTGCTTGGCCGCTTAGCATGTCTTGCTGCCTACTTGCATTGCATGTAACTCGCGTGGACGGTGTGTAAGGGCAGAGCACTAAACGTCATGCTTGCTTCTTGAAAGCAGGCCTCTGCCTCAGCACTCTTGCGATCATGTGAAACGAAGAGTCAGAAGTTGTTTGCCCATCTTCCTTTTGCTGTGTTTTAGTCTGTTGTAGACCGTAGAATTTCTTGCTGCAGCCAGGAGCAGCGGGCATGGCACTTGCATGTTACATGTTCAGCGTGAGGGGCATCGCCGCGGCAAGATCTCCTCCGAATGCTCTTTTGGGCCCTTGCGCTGACACACGTCATGGGCTGAGACATGTTAAAACGGTCCAGTGCGCTTCACGAAGCGGAAGCATGCCATCCAGCTGCTACTTGCTCGGCATCTTGTTGTGACTTCTAGGTTGTCGATGTTAGGCTGCTGGACAGCTCGTTTGGAAAACGCCAAACACCTGCAATGCCTGAATTATTGCTTTGACTGCGCCCCGTGATAGTCGTTAACAGGATGTTGGAACGGAATGTTGGGAAGGATTAATAGATGAGATTTGAAGGGCCTCAAGATAAGGTTAATACACTATGAACAAGGTTAACCGTGGTGAAGACAATAATATAGTTACGAAGAGAACTCAACATTAAAATATCACAAATGAATGCAATGAGTGCGTGAATCCAGATGTTGAGTGAACGAAGCAAGCCCCAGTAGTGAAAAGAACAAATAAGAAGGGCCATTTTTGTGGTATTATTGATAGCCCCTTTTTTGGTGATATATGGCAATGGATCGCTGTTCGCCTGTGGGTTGGGGGCGCAGGCTCTTTATTCTGGTGAGAGCGGCGGTACATTTACACTGCATGTTCTGACCCCTGGCAGGGATGGGAAGATCCGTATTGCAATTGTAGCGGAGAGCTCCCATCTGCCACGTTTGGAACATTCGGTCCCAGCGTGCCCTTCCTTGGGTCCGTGAAATTACGCGAAATCTGAAAGGCTGTGAGGCCTAAGGCGTATTGGTAGCGTCAGCATTCCTTCCAGCAGGCCCCAGTGTTTTCCACTTCTTGCCAGAACTGGGTACCACCCATAGCCGTGCGTTGGGGGTAGAGGAGAACAGCAAAAAATGTTCAAAAACATGTTTTTTGGGGAGCCCGAGCCCCTAACGAACAAGGGATGGCGTTAAGGACCGTTTAGAGACTGCTTAGACTCTGCAACGCTATCCCCCCTATGGCTTTAGGTTTCTAGGGTGCCTAGTGCGTCCCTGAAGGGGGTCCCCAAAGAAACTCCTCGCTAGAATGCGACAATTCTGGAATCTCGGAAGGTTCTTAGCAGGCGACTAAAGAAACAGGCGGATGTCAACCGGATTTCTAGGCAGCTTTCAGGGACTCTGTGGCGATCTTGGAGGTTGAGGGCCTTGGGGCCCACACTCGGTGCCTTTGAGGACCCACTAGCTCTGACCGTTTGCCTCGTAGGCACGAGCCTTGATTGGGGGGCCCAGGCCGAGGCGGGCTGCATAGCGATAAATAATGCTCGATTCCTACAGTGGAATGGCACACTGCTGTTGCCATGCCATGTTCCAGAAATCGGGAGGCACATCTTCTCTCAGAGAGGGAGAGAGATCGTGTGCTTTTCTGCACTTGTTGGGCATTCACTTCTGCTGTCTATTGCATGCATCAGTTTCCTCACACATGCCCACGTTGAGCTGCATGCCATTGCTACCTGGGGTACGCGCATTTACCCTGCAGATTCTTTGGCCACGGATACCAAAGAGCAACTGAGAAGCGGCCACAGCCTCAAGTCTGGGCGATTTGCGGTGAAGAGCTCAGTCCAAACCTGGTCGTTGCTTGGGAAGCTTTCCCGGCCCTGGAGCCTACGGAGCCCGTACCCCTGAGCCAAAAGTCACTCAACGCTCAAGGCCCATTCGCTCCATCTCGGGTGTCGAGGCCTTCCGCGTAAGCCAGCACATCAGCGTTGGACACCTGGCTGCGGAACCTGAGTCGAACAAGCATGGCCCTCTTACAGCATGACTCGTCGTGCGGTTCAAATTCCCAGGCGTTTACGGAAAGGGCCACACGTGTTCCCATGGAATCGATGCTTATGGACAGATCGCCACACAACAAAGAAACAACACCACTGGTAATTCTACCAGCAACGGGCTTCTCTGCGGATGGCACTCCCAGGGATACTCTGCGGGACTCTCTCTGGGCTTTCTCGGGGTGGGCATTCCTCTTGTTTCAGTATCTTGGCACCTTGCAATCCAGGGTTGGCTGCGATCGTGAACACATCCAACATACACATCATTCGCTCGCCATATGGGGCTGAGAGCCCTGCGGAGTGGAATGCCTGATTTGGAGATAGTGCTCCTGCCGGCAAGCCATCTGCCACCCGAGCTTCTGAATACTTCAGCAGCCTCGTGGCCGGGAAAGTTAGAAGTTGCTTAGGGGGTCTCCACTGTCAAGAAAGGCGGTCCCGGTCAGTGTCTCCGTGCCGTATCGGTGTCTTGGCCGGTGTTTCAGTGCTCCGCGGATGGCGTCCCGGACGGTGTCCCGGTCGGTCGGTGTCCCAGTCAGCTTGCGGTTTCTTCATCCATGGCACTGCAGCATGATGCAATATCATGCAGCATGATGTAGCATGATGTAGCATGATGCAGCATGATGAAGCATGATGCAGCATGAAGCCTCCCAACCCCCGCTACTCCTGCCTAGACACTTACATACAGGTTCATGAAACCCGCTCCTGGGGCAGCGGTCGGCCCCGAAAGCTAACCTGCAAGGGACCCGTTGTAGGAAGAGCACTCATGTGCCATCCTTGTGCCGTTCTCATGTGCCATCAGCGAGTCTCAGGCTACGCCACGACCAAAGTTCGGATTCTCCGCTTGGCGGAGAGCCTGCAGGCATCTATTGCACTTGCCTATGCCAGTAGGGCCGATTGTGCAGTGCAATGTGCAGTGCAATGTGAACAGGAAGAGAAGAAGATGCAGCCTCTTCTCGAGCGGCAGCCTGAGATGGTACTGTCTCCTACTTCCGTCTTCAGGACAGCCGAAAAAAGGACGGGTAGACTCGGACAGGATCGGGCATCTTCCAGAGCGTCCAAGTTGCAGAACTGCGCGCACAAAGGTCGGCGACTTGCATTGCTGCCTGGCGGGCTGGAGCCATTGCGCAGATACCTCAAAACTCTTAAACAACCCAACCCAAGTGTGAACAGGAACCCTTGGGTCACCTTTCAACGCATCCTGACGGGACTCACTTTGCTTGCCCTCCGTGCCTCCCAGGCCATCTCGTCCATATCACAATCTGCCAGGGACAATTGCAGCTTCAAGACCATGTAGAGCGCAAGATACTGCAATAGTAAGCGTTCTTTTGTCGCGATCGTCTGAATTCACATCTCACTGCACCCAAGCTGCCTTCGATGGCCCCAGTGGCCCGTCTCCTGAATGCACGTGCCAGATCTCACCAAACACAGATATCCCACGATGCCATCATGATATGCCACAAGAATGACATGTGTATAAAAGTGCTCATGAAATGCCCGGAATCTAGTTGCTACCTTAGAAGCCGAACTACACCTCTTTTAGAGCGCCCATTGGGTATGCCAAACGGACGAAGGGTGGCTGTGTGTGTGTGTGTGACGAAACTCTTCAATTTCCAGGGCTGCTCCTGGAGAGCTTGTTCGTGCCCTGCACCTCCTGAGCAACCTGAGCAAGATCGGTTTTGAGCCAGAACTGTAAGTTACATTGCAAGTCGTCGGCAAAGCGCAGCTTGGAGCTCGGGTGCCCAATCTGAGAGCAGAGCCAACGGGAGAAAGGCGGCACTGCACCTGTTCACAGGCAGTCTACCCACGGCTGCATTTCCGATTCGGCTCTTATGTCGATCTGCTAAGAACCGTCTTTAGTGCGCCATGGCAGTAGCAGTAGCAGTAGCAGTAGGAGCAGTAGGAGCAGTAGGAGTAGTAGGGGTAGGAGGAGTAGCAGTAGCAGTAGCAGTAGCAGTAGCAGTAGCAGTAGCAGTAGCAGTAGCAGTAGCAGTAGCAGTAGCAGTAGCAGTAGCAGTAGCAGTAGCAGTAGCAGTTAGCAGTAGCAGTAGCAGTAGTAGTAGCAGTAGCAGCAGTAGCAGTATCAGTAGCAGTAGCAGTAGCAGTAGCAGTAGCAGTAGCAGTAGTAGTAGTAGTAGTAGTAGTAGTAGTAGTAGTAGTAGTAGTAGTAGTAGTAGTAGTAGTAGTAGTAGTAGTAGGAGTAGGAGTAGGAGTAGGAGTAGGAGTAGTAGGAGTTCTAGTAGTAAAAGTAATAGCAGTAGTAGTAGCAGCAACAGAAGTAGTAGCGGTAGGAGGAGTAGGAGTAGGAGTAGGAGTAGGAGCAGAAGCAGGAGCAGGAGCAGGAGCAGGAGTAGAATAAGGAGGAGTAGGAGTAGGATCAGGAATAGTAGGAGTAGGAGTACTACAGTAGCAGTAAAATTAACAAGATACCACACGCGTGGCCGTGGTCATTTTGCCAGATTTCCTGTTTCGCTCACATTTCGGTTAAGGGGGTTCTTTCTTGTCCGCAAGATTGGCTGCGCAGTCGCTGAGGCAGGAGAGGGCCTGTGAGGCGGAAGCCCATCGTGAGACTTTCGCAGACATATTGTTTCTTTCTTACGACCGCTCTTCTCTATAGAGCCAAAGACACGGACCTTCAGATCAGCCCTTATGTGAACACATCTCTACACATCTCTTGGAAGCCTACAACGAACGAACTGCCACGAAGGTGCTGTGCCAAGGCACAAGAACCTGGCTGCGCATACCATCAACGCGGCCACCAGTACAGTGGCGGTCTCCTTGGATTTCAGCAACTTGAAGAGCCTCATGGAGTTTGGCCTGACCGCTTCAAAGTTTGAAGATGGTTACCGACACAGCAGCTCGCTGCCCTAAAACCTAAACCCTAAACCCTAAACACCCTAAACCCTAAACCCTAAACCCTAACAAGAATTTCTCCGAGCGGCCCCATACAGCTCGGTCGGAATCGCCATGGCACCGGGCATCAGGACGAGGCCATGTCTGCCAATCGTCCAATTGTGCTCTCCAGCGCTGCAGCACCCGAGCCGCGGTTTAGGGTTGAGGGTTTAGGGTTTGGGGTTTAGGGTTTGGGGTTTGGGGTTTAGGGTTTAGGGTTTAGGGTTTAGGGTTTAGGGTTTAGGGTTTAGGGTTTAGGGACAGATCGTTCACTAAACCTGCAAGCACTTCCGACTCCCGCAGCGCTTCTTTCGGTCAGCTCCGAAAGCCAAACAATACAACGGTCTTTTTTTAAAGGATATGTAGAGTGCACACTAGGGCACACAACAATTTTCAAGCACACGCACCCGCAGAGTATTACCACCGCGTACTCAATAACAACAAGCATAGCATCAGTGGCCGTACTCATCAAGATACTCAAAAAACAGCAATCATTGCAAGGACAGCAAAATATAGCACTCATGATACCAACAAAATGCCACCATTCCCGTGATCGCAAAGATAACAAGGATGCCTGCGCTTTATGGTAAGCAGAAGGAACATGATACAAGCGAGTCAAAACCAGCATATTGTAAAGTGGCACAAAGAGGCATAGTTAATGGCAAAAGCTTGCGACAATAATGTGATACTGTACGGTTGCATGGCCAGGCTGTAAAACGGCGGCCCCGCTCACTTCTCAATGGCCAGGCGCTGCCATTTCCCTTCGTCGGGCCTCAACAGTTCGGGTTGAAGTCTTCTGTGTTTAAGGCTTGGGGTGGCGAATTGCTCGTTTTTGCTTGCCTTAAATCCCATTGAGACCGGGACCAACGACACTTCACGTTCTCCTTCTCGACCTTCAAAGATTGTCGAAACACTGGCCGCGTGAACGACATGCCCTCCGTTCAGAAGACAGGCTGAACCCAACTTTCTGTTGATACGTGGCATGTCGTAGCAGTTCACTTGCGGGCGATGTCTTGAACAGCGCTCCGATACACACGCATGGGTAGCTGACATCCAGCACGTTGTCTTGATGCCCTCTCAGGAATACAATGTCACCTGCCGCTGGCGTCTTGGATAAAGACTTTACACGTCGGCGAGATGAGAGACTGCAATGAAAAAAAGCGAGTGATCATCTGATGCCTGTGCGGATCGGCCCTTCACCCTTTTCATTGGTAATCCTGACAGGTGGAACAAGAACCAGCAGGAACAAAGCGGGCTTGCTCTACCGCCGCTCTTGCTCTGTATGACAGGAAAAGGTATTCTGAGCTGCAATATGCTGAAGTCCTGATCCTCTGCCAGTCTCCGACTTCGGTGTACCGTCCCTGTACAAGAGCCGCATAATGATGCAACAACAGGACGCAGATGACATCAGCGTGGCTAGCTGGGCGTCTCTCCCGCACGGCAGTGCCCACGAAATCCAGATAGACCTCCACAGAAAGGGATACTAATCCTTTGTGCTCGTACGATGCCAGAATGGATTCTGAGACTCCTGGCGCCAAGGTGACATCTCAGCGTCACGGTGTCCCCTGCACAACAAGATGCAAGTCAATGTCCCGATCGATAACACAGCACAACCAGATCAGCCGTCCAGCGCCACAAGTGTCATATATAATCAAGCTTCCTCCCGTGCTTCCCGGACTTGCGATCCGTGCTTCACCCCACACCCGATTGCAGTAGTTCCAAGACTTGTTCCAGACATGTGGAGCAGTAAGCAAAGGAGCTTCACCGCCTGACTGTATGGCACCGCCTGTCAGGTCATGAGCAACCTCAAACACGCACATCAAAAGCGCTTCGCGCCACTTTCCACCACTCCGTGACTGCTGGCCTGCGCTCTTCTGAATGATGAGTGCCTGCGTTTGGAGATGGAGCTGTTGGGTGTCTCTTCGTATTTGCTTCTGTTCTTCTCCTTCTTCTTGTTTCGGGGAGAGGGAGGGGGAGCATCCTGTCTTCTTTTCTGCTTCGGCTGCGCGGCTAAGTTAATCAGAGCCCCTATAACAACCTCATAAAGCCTTACCATCTTCATCTTGGTGGTCACCTGGTATATTCTTAGGATTTACAATTTCATGTCTTCAATTCGAACTTTGCTCTCATACTTTTTTGTTTTTTGTGCATTTTCTGGATTTGTGGTTTCACTGTATTTTCGTAAATGCATTAGCGAATGTACGAAGTTAATAATGAAAGCATCTTTTTCTCCGCTCCTTTGGGAGTTTATGGGGAAACCTCCAATTCCGCCAAGGGGCAAACAAACCTCTATTGTGTCTACATTCTTGTGTATTCCCTTACATTTGCCTCAGTGCGCAAAGTGTGAGATGGGTTGAACTTGGACCTGAAGCTGAGGGGTGTGCTTGTGGGGGGGGCAGGGTGCCTTGGACGCTTAACGTCTATCCTGCGCGTGCTCTTTGTTTTCTTGGATTCTTCCCGCAAGCCTCTCTGGGATTGGGGTCTCGTTTGGCGCTTCAACGCGGAAGGCACTCCATCGGATCGCTTTGAGAGGGGCGTGGCGTGGGGAAGCGTGGACCATGCATGGATGTCAGGTTGACGGACGGGTTCGGAGGGTCGAGGACAAGGAGGGGGGAGCGCGGACGGGGAGCGTGACATTCGGTTGATGGGCAGGGGAGTGGGGGACACGCGGACAAGACAAGGGGTTCAGCGATGCGGAAGTCACCTTCCGCACCTCCGCGAACGCCCTCCGCGCGCGCCCTCCGCGCCCTCCGCGCGCTCCGCGCCCTCCGCGCCCTCCACGTCCTCCGCGCCCTCTCCGCGGTCCGAGACCCTCCGCGCCCTCCGCATCCCTCCGCGCCCTCCGCGCCCTCCGCCCCTCCGCCCGCCACGCCCTCCGCGCCCACCACGCCCTGCGCGCCCTCCGCGCCCTCCGCGCCCCCGCCCAGGACACTGTGTGCTGATGCCAAGGGTGCATTGCATCTATTCTGCGGGTGCATTGCGTCTGTTCTGCGGGTGTTTCCTTTGTAAAATATTTGTTTACAAGGCACGCACGTGCAGCATAGCCTTTGAGTGTCCATCTTACGGGGGCGAGGCGGGGGGGGAAAAGGGGAGGGCAGGGGGGAGGGGGGGGAGGGGGGAGGGCGGGGGGGAGGGGGGGGAGGGGGGGGGGGGGGGGGGGGGGGGGCACGTGCCGTCGTGGCGGGGACGCATTTGTTTGCTTCTTCCTGTCGTGGTGGCGGCGCGTTTTTTGCTTTGCTGTCATGGCGTGGACGGAGGCTCACTCACTTTCCGGTCGCGGGGGGCTGCTGCGAGGGCTACGCAACAAGGACACGACGGTGTAACAACAAAAAGTCTCGGTTTGGGGTTCATGAGGCTTCATAAGGTAAATCATGGCCAATCAAAAACAACAATGATTCCCGACCTTTCTTGACCGAAATGTACTTCCGAGCATTTTTTATTTCAAAATTCAGCGCATGGCATAAGATTGTGTAGGGTTAGCGAATGGCTTCATAGGGTGCTACTTCAAAAGAAACGGCGTTTGGATTTGGGGTCTCACGCGGTTGAGAGCAACAAAGGCAAGTTGCATTCTTTCCCCTGCTTCATTCTGTCCTTCGAGGCCTTCCTTCGTTCTGTGCAGTACGTGTTTGCTTCCGGTCGATGCCGGCTTCCTTTCCTTCCGGCTTGCCTTTCCTCCTTCCTTCCTCCACTCGTAGCTGTTCCATTGAATCCAGAGTTTCATAAGTGGTGTGTTTCGCCAGTGCCGTCGACTGCGCGTGAGCACACCCAAGGCACGAGAAGGCCTCCTTGGTATAGATGAAATGGAAGTTTTCTTCTAGAATCTAGAAGATATAAACTGATATACACAAAAACATTCCGACGAAATACAGAAGAACTAGAAGTTTTCCTAGGAAAATGATAGTAAACCGGTACGCTAATGCCCAACAAAGAAGTACTCGACAAAACAGGTCCTCCGTATGAGTGAATGTACATCTATATATATCTATGTCCAAGGGTGGCTGCCGTGCCGATCTTGCGTTTGTTGTTGGAAAGGTTTTTCAACTGACCGACAGAACATGACGAAGAAACAAAGCATGTCGGGCAAGTACTAAACTGCTTCATCGGCCTGTCGCGGGCCCTTGATCTCCGCTCGTGCCCTTGGATCCTGGAAGATGTACCGTAGATCTGGAAGTACGCGCAGCAGTTTGTCAAAACAGGCAATCAGTCAATCGAAGCCTCACCCCCCGGCCTCACGGTGCTCCGGATATTCCAAGTACTTGCCGGTTCTGGCCAAGAAGTAAATGGTGTCACCTGCTGACTGCAAGGTGGAATGGAGAAGGCCGCGTGCAAGCAGCAGCGTTGTTATTTGGTCACGAGAAGTAACTCCTGACCCAACACATAGGACTCATCATCACAAGACCTTTCCTCTGCTCTGGCCTGAGATGATTGGCTTTCCCGGGGGGCCAGAGATTTCCGTCGACTCGATATAATCACTTGGCGCACCTCGATGCGTCTACATGGGCCAGCCAGTGGCCTGAATACCCTAGAATGCCCACTGTCATACGAAATGGACTTGCTTCCATGTTTATGCTGGATCTTCATTTTCTGTTGTGAAGATCCCTGTTTTGGACAGCCAATAGCTCGAAGCTTTGAGAACTGGGCGAACCTGCATTTATCTGCGCACTCTGCCTTCCATTTATCCGAGGTCGTGACTACGCCTTGCTTTCCTGGCAATGAGAACTGAACATGACATTGCTGCGCTTGGTGCTGCTTCGTGAAGCAGGGCTCTTCATGCTCTTCCAACTGAGACTATCAAGCTGCTCTCTTGGCCCAAGACTGAAACCGAAGCATTAGCAAACAGGACATGTCCACACTGGCGTTGAAGACTTCGCTGCTGTCTCAACTTCCTCCTCCTCCTCCTCCTCTTCCTCGTCCTCCTCCTCCGCCGCCTCCTCCGCTTGCTCCTGCCAAAGAGGCTATAGCACACTAATTTCAGCAAATCCTACAGCTACCCGATGTGGGAGCCCTCCTGCTGTTTTTCGGCCGAGTAATTGTGGATACTTCGTCGCAAGCTTCTGTCGCCCTCCGTGGAAGTCTCTAGGGGTCTGGGATACTCGACCGCGGACACTCCAAGGCTAATTGACAGGACTCTCTTTTCTCTGGGGTTGGGTGCTCCAGGAATACTCGGGCCTTTCTGCTACTGGGAGGGGCTCTGTGTAATTCCTGGGGACCGAGCCGACTTTAAAATACAACAATCCCACACCCTCGGGGGAAGAAAGAAGCAAGTGCGGTCTTGAAACTGTGTGAACGGATTTTCTTGGCAACAGGGGTCCTCTTCGTCCGCATCCTGTCCAGAGTCCTAAGAAAAATTCGCTGAGCATATCCGTGGACGCAGCACAAACTTACATGGGTAGGAGCTCAATGCTCAGGGGGCCTCCTCCAGGATGCGTGCGACCAGGTCGGCCTGCAGATTGTTCAGCATAGCCCAGCATTCTGCCGCAAGGCCCGCTGTGACAGCTACAAATTTGATCTGCGCAGGTTAGAGCTACACTTGAGCTCGCCTATGCAACCGACAACCAGGGAGACAGCAACAGTCTCGGCCTTGTTGCCACTGACTGGTAAGGACTTGGACCTGCAAATGTCCTTCAGCTCGACGAGCTTCAACGCATTCAGCTCGCCTGGCTCATGTCCAAAAGTAGGAAGTCTCTCACGTGTTGATTATTTTGTGCTTTGTGTGCAGAATTTCCTTGAAGTGCAACATCCCTCTACTCACGGCAGATGCCAAAAAAATTACCAAGCTGCCTTCAGTCGCTGCCATCGCCGCGCTGGACCTGACACCTGTGCCGTTATGGCCCGGCTGGACTCGGTGCCAAGATCTGCCGAAGGCTGGAGGAATCTCAAATAGGGCCAAACTAAGAGAGCGACACTTGTAGTTCCTCAGCCTTACAGGACACGTGCTATCACGTGCTACCACATGCTACCATGCCACGTTCACTGAAGGTCGCCCATGGGGAACGACACATGCGGCAGCAACAACAATGATGGCTTCCCCTACTACCCCTCTGTATAGTACCCCCCCCCTAGGTTCCCCGCATATCTAAGGCCACTTAGGGCTAGTTACGCCTAATTAAGGAAATTTAAGGGTGGCCTAGGGGGGCTAGTAGAGAGGGGGGTAGTAGGGGAACCCATGAAACAACCCTCAGAAGTTTGCAAACAAACGAAACGACACGCTCTTGAGGCCAAGGGCAGTAATAGCTCGTCGCCTCTGCCCCGCGCGAACACAAAGCAAGCGCCCTGCAAGTCGAGCGCTCCAGTGGCCGACATTCTGATTCCAGATCATGCTCTACGTCAAGCTCTGCAACTGCAGAAGCTCAGAGCCTGGCATATTTCGCAGCGTGGCTCACCGCCCCTGAGAGGCCGGCCAAACACACCACAGAGGCCACGAGTGCCAAGGCCTTGGGACAAGAAGCCAAGGCTCCAGACGATTCCCTGTTTCTGTGACATGGCACTGAGCATGGTCCGGGCCCAGCGCTTTTGCAAATTTTATTGCTGCCGCTGCAGGCCTCAAGGTGCCGGAGCTCGCAGCGCGGCACGATTCCCGAAAGCAACTCCGGAGAATTTGGCTAGGCCTTGCAAAAGGTCTCCGAAGCATCTGCGGCACTACCTTAGAAATTGCACAACAATACTGCTACAAAATGTGCTGCTCATGATGACGGGCAGTTCCGGGCTGCAGGGAGGGATGGCAGCGGTCTGACAGGACTCTGATACGACACAGTTACTTCATTTCAGAAGAGCTTCTGGCATGGCGACATGAAAGCCACAACATCACAAATCAACGTGCTGCTGAAACGAGTTGCAGCATGCCCAGACATGGCCGCGCAGGCAGCGTCGATTCTGGAAGAACTTACTGTCTGACAATGTTAGGTCTGGTTTGTTTTGGTTGTTGAAAAGGCATGGATCCGGCTACTTGTGTGATGGTATGTCAGGTCTTCTGAAGGCTGCTGCCTGAGTATCTACGTCTTTTGACAGGCTCAAGGAGACTCAGGCCGTCACAAGAAAAATCGAAATATCAGACTTTCACAAAAACACTCGCACACGTTGAGACGCCTTGCCCACGACGTGCATGCCCCAGCACACCAAACGCAATCTTGCACTCCCTCCGTCCTTTTTGATCTGCGAATTCCATGCAAACAAGCGAGAAAGACCCATAACGGGTCAGCGCAGGCTGTCGCGGAAGTCAATAGCAACGGCAGGTGCCCATCCGCAGCAGGCGCATCAATTACAACATGGCCAAAGCTAAGAGGAGCTGGTTCTGATGCTTGCCTGTCAACAGTACTCTAAAGTTGCTTGCTGAAGAGCCCCACCACTGCAAGAAACAGATCTTTGTTCCAGCAACGGCTTCAACTGCTGAGTACACATTAACCTAGAATCGAATTCCAGAGCAACGGCTCAAGGATGACAAGCAGTAGGCAGCAAACCGTACACCGACCCGTTAGCCTTAACCGCCTGAACCCTGGACCGTCAGCTACTGCTGCTTGTCAGCTCGTGCAAGCAACTGGAGAAAAAACAAGCGCTTCGAACTTCAGGTAAACCTTGGCCTCGCGGCGCACTCATCTGCACTGCTCTGCACACATACGCGGGCTGATCTACCGCGACAACAGATGCTCGAGGTTAAGGCAAAGCCCTTGCAAACGCAACAAAGTTTTTCCAACTGCTTCCGCAACGATGGCACACAGTCTGCCATCGTTCGTCTCGGATGAAATATACAATCGCAGATATCGGTGCATTGATACCCCATTCGGGAGGACTGACCGGTTCCCGTCGACGGTGGTCGAGTCCTCCCGTCCAAGACGAACGCCATCGCTCAACCGGGAAGCTGCAAGTGAATAGCAATGCTCGAGCAAATGTGTTCGAAGCCAGTATGAGAAGCAAACAAATCATATCTTCAATTCGTGGAGGTTGAACACTCCGATCGACACCCAGTCGACGTGCAGGGGTTCAGGACACCCTTTAATCGACTGCAGGCGCCGGAGATGCTAGCTTTAGTTACGACGTGTTCCAATCTGCGTGAAAGACGTCGTCTGTTCTGCCATGTCCAAATGAGCTGAAACCAGGCAGCTCAGGGGTTGGTGTCTACCAAGACCTCATAGTAGTGCATATCGAGAGATCTGGCTGTCACAACATTGAATGCAAAAGGTGCTTAACCAAGCCCCACAGATGGCCGGTGCCAAGGTTGGAAAACATGGGTGGATGTTCTAGCATCGATCGTCGGCATAGTCGCACTCGCCCTGGATGCTTAGCACTAGGTCGGACGCTTGCAGCAACGATTCCGCACCAGATAGGGGAAAACGATCTCATTGCATGCAGTATTGCCACGACATCACTCGAGGTACTCGTCGTATTCAATCTCAAGCCCGTGCCGGCGTGGCACATTTATAAAGCTCCACATCGAAGCAAAACCAACGGGTGCACAGTGAGCACTCTCACAAGTCCATTGCAGAGCTTTGCATTCCCAGACGATGGGGCAACTCTCCTTGTCTTCGGCAACCAAAGCATTCGTGGTTCGCATCCTCAGAAGATAAACTCGAATGCTTGAGCCCAAATTGCCACGGAGATGTATATATATATATATGTGTACATATGTCCATATCTACATATATCAAATGTGAGAGACAACATGGAGAACTCCACTCGCCAGAGTCGTCACTTCGAACACAAGTGTTCTCGACATCTACCATTGCTACTGAACAGCTCAGCGCTTCCCTGCCTCGAACCAGGCCTTGCACAGCATCGCAGCCCACGCATAAAAAAGGTGACATTCTCATCTCTCTCTTCTTCTCGCATCTCTCACCACCGTCACCACCTCTCTCAGCTCACCTCACCCTCTCATCTCGCTCCTTGCAACATCGACTGCCGGAAATGTTCGATCCCAAGGATGCGGCGCTGGCGGTGCGGCGCTCGTGCCTAAGTCGCAGCTCACAGAGAGACTTGCAGACTTCAAGTGCCAGTTTGAGTTCAACATGGATGCATCCCAAGGAGCTGCTGAAGCGGCTCCCTGTCGTGAGTGCCGAAGGGCGGCCAGCAAGCCCTCAGAGGAAGATGCGAGCTGGAAGCTGGAAGCTACGGGAGTGGCGCCGCTTCGTGGCCTCCCAGGCCCTCAAACATGCAACGTTCCGAAGTTCCAAAGCCTGATGGTGTGTAGCTGGCTGGAGGTGCTGGTGCCGCCGGCCTTCACGACAACAGGAAAGCAAGAATGATTTGTCACGGATGCAAGGAATCTGCTGGGCAGGTGCATTGAAGGCGCGCCTTTTTTTCTGCTAAGTTTCAAGGATGGTCACGTCTTGGCCAGAGGTCTGTGTTAAGCACGGCTCTCTTTCGCACAGATTTACACTGTTGCTGAGCTATGCGAGTGGTCAAGCTTCGGATCTTAGCGAAGCGGCGTGGCGGACAACTGCTGCATGCCTCGTTCAGCACGGCACATTTACGATCAGCGGACTAAAAGCAAGGTTCTACTGTAGCTCCACTTCAATTATGGAAGAACAATATCTTTCAAGGCAGCCAGCCCCAGTCCCAGTCGGTTCCATTGTCGACAACTGTGACTGGTGTCCAGAGCCCCCTGCGTGCAGGAGGCTCTCTGTTTTGCCAAAGTTGACCCATTTGCTCTGATAATCTGCGGTAATTGCGGTGTTTCCATGCTTGCAGTTCAAAGCAGCCTTGCAATGCCACACCTAAACTCATTTGGAGGAGACAAGCCTTGAGGCTCCGGAAAGACAGCTGCAAGAATGTGGACAGCGACCAGCGCGTACTAGTCGCGTACTCTTCTACTCTTGGCAGCTAAACACCACTTGACTTTGTCTCCGAACGTCACAGTCTCACAAGTTTGAGACCAAGGACACCACGGGCTTTTCGCATACGGTCTACAAACTAAGGCAAGGAATAAGAAAAAAAAGTTGCGTCAACACATCCTCCAGTGTCACATGCGCCCCACAAGCAATTCGCACAGCGGATACGTTACAAGTATGATGTAGTCACGTAGTCTTTCCTGTGCATTATACACCTTGCTCCTCTAGGTTTGCAGTGCTCTGGAGGCCTGCGCCAACGGAACTTGGCGAATTTCTGCATAATCAAAAGGACCCTAGCGCAATGCCATGCGTTGTGGCTCAGATGCGCAGTCTGTGCAGGACCTGATGTTTCTGTAAGGTCGTCGACAGACAAGCTGCCTGCAACTCGAGAGTATGTAGAAAAGAAAGAACCAAGCAACAAGAAAAACGTACATGAATAGCACATATGCATGAAGACACCGTCCAGGGCGCTATGCGCGACATCCTGAGCAAAGGCCTGCGCTGCTTAAATCGCACTTCTGGTCGAACAAACCAGGAGCACTCATAATATAAATGGACGGGATAGATCCGGTCAGTTCTGCCCAACTGTACGGAGGCACCGGCACCATCCAACCCCATCCAACCCCCCATTCCCCGATCATTGATGCCGCACTCCACCTGAATTGCCAGCGGTTACCGCTGCCAGGCGCCTTGTGATGCCGTGTCACTTGTCAACACCTGCATCGATGACCGGCTCAGGAATGGTCAACTTCATGACGCTTCCCATCTCAACACCTGCGTCCTTCAAACTCTTGTTGCCGACAAGGACCCTGCCGCGAAAAGAGAGTGTTGGCAAAGGACCTTCCAATCCACAGAGCTTCGCAGCTTCCGCTGCCACCTCTGCGGCTTGCGTGGTGAGGTGCACATCAAAGGGCTTGGTCTCTCCAGATGCTGTCCGGAGAAACACCCGAGCCTTCCTTGGAATTTGAGCGGCTTTGGACACAACCACCATCTCAATTTTGCTGCCTTCAGTCACGCCGCACTCGCTCATTGTGGCCTTCCCCTCGTGAAGCTGCACTCCGGCATGATGAAGCCGCATGTCCTCGGTGTTTGCATTGCCAAGGCGACAATCCTTGATGTATTCCTTCAGATCCTTCACCGTGTCGGAACCCTTGACCGACAGCACCTCATGATGGCCATCCATTGTTGAAACCGTGACATGGATGGAGTCACACACCGACGTCGCCGCTGTGGAGGGTTCAGTGCCAGTCTGGATTGGTTGGCAAAACGCTTGCTGGTTCACGTACACACATGTCGGCGCCATCGGTGCATATGGCGGGTAGTAGGTCATGGACGGCATGATAACGCAGATGCTCATGACGGAAGCAGACGCCTCTCCGAGTCTCCTTCGAATCTTGAAGCACGGAAGCGTGGAGAGGAGCGAGTTCTTGCTTACCCCCTTGCTTGACTCGTAGTGCAAGTGTCTGCGGTTGACGGCACGAATCTCGAATGGCCCACGGGAGCACAACGCAGACCTAGGATGGCCTAGGTATGTAGACAAAAGACATGTGTATGACATGCGTGACAACCAGGCGAGGCCATCCATACGTCTGGCGGCAAAACTGCTACACAGGATGTGCCTTGCCGGTGCAGCCGGTGTCGGACGAAACTCGGACGGTCGAGATGTGGCTGTGGACCGGGTGGTGGCCTCAGACAGCCCCTGCATCTGAAAGCATGTGAAAACATGTACTTAAAGTGTTCATGTCAACATGCAAGCATCTTGTATGGATTGTATGGAGCTGGTTCTCTGAGTCTGGAAAGCAATGAGCAAACGTGAGTAAGGACCAAACCACTCCCGGACCTCGGCTGCGAGCCATGCTTAAAGGGATGGTCGTGCAGAAAGAATTGTTTAACGCTTATTGCAGTCTCCAGTTTGAGGCAGGGGCTTGCAACTCGCGGCCTCTCTTATGATTGACTTGAGGCAACTGTTCAGCCCTCAGGGCCTCAAGGTGCACGCCCTGAATGATACGTCCAGAGAGGCCTCGTCGGCGAAACCGCCGGTGAGGCCCCAACTCCTAGCATGTGAGCATGATGCTCATGCCAATGTGCACGCAAGTGCTTCTCTTCCATGACAGGATTAAAGCCACTGTGTGAGGGCACGAAATAATTACCCAGCCTCCTGGCCCCGAGCCAGAGCGGGCCGAAGAGCCCCTGAAAACAGGCCAAAGCCATAGCAGCTTTAGCACAAAGGAGTGCGCAAAGCCAAGGCTCAGCTAAGGCCAGCACAACAGCGAAGGCCCAGCTCCCAAGCCCTCGGGACTGCGACCATGGCTACCCCCAGCTGACGCTGTTTTTGCCAACGCAGTACCACTCAGAACGCAGAGCAACAGAGCTCGAGGCCGATCTACCCAATGCACTTGGAGGGGCCTCGGCTTCTTGGGCGGGTTGACAAGCTAACGTGGTAAGCCCAGCCGGGTCTGGGTGCAGGGCAGGGGGTGGTCCCACTGGCCCTCCCGTCCCGGCAGACACGCTGGTCCTAGACGAAGGTCTGCAATTGCACTTGCGAGAGCACTCGTCTATGGAAGAAGCTCCCACCAAGCTGCCCAAGAAACGGACCAAAGCACAACTGTCTTGGTCCTCATGGAAGGTGATGGTGGCGGAGGCCCAACCTGAGCGAACATAGACCCCTGCGGCAGGACCAGGTTCAGGTTCCCACATAGAACTTGTGAAACGAGTGCTCCGATCCGCAACTGGATGCCACACCCCAGGAGCAGGCGGCGCCGCAGGACCTTTTCTCGAGGAGCTCTGAAACAAAACTGGACAGGACCGAAGACCCACTAGGAGAGTCTGCCTGGCGGTGGAGGACCTCGTCCCAATAGCCTTTCGCCCGAAGTGAAGGATTCTGACTCTCAACTCTTTTTTAAGCTGCAAGTAGCGTTGTCACGTTCTGGGGCTTGCACGACCCACCAGGTGCAGGCGGGGCTGGCTGCGAAACCTTCACAGGCGCAACGCGGGGAAGTTGCCCGTGCAGTGTGTCATGTTTTCTGCTTTGCGCTGCTTGGGACATCTGGGCCAATCTTGGCACCAGGCTACGGTGCGAGGGGCAGCTGGGCTGGCCGGTGGGAGAGGAGCTCCTGGCCCAGTGCCACTTGCCCCTTGCATCCTCCAAATGGCCCATCTCCCGAGCCTGGTGCTGCAGGCACCATGGGCGACCGCAGAGCCGGCTCCGTCCTGGAAAAAGCAGAGACGGATTCAAAAAGAGTTGGAAAGAGTTGAAAAACGAACAACTTCTCTAAAGCAAAGAGATGCTTTCCCTGCTACGGCGAGCTGGCTCTTCAGTCTGCCTGTGAAACACAAAAAGCGCTCTCTCTTCTTCATACTCTTGCCGGGTGCCGTAGTACTAGTATTACACAGTGACACCCAACAGTCTCCTTACGCTGTTCTGTCCTTCTTTTCTTCGGCATGTCCTGAGTTCTTTCTGTCGTCGTGTCCTCTGGTGTCCGGTTGTTCTTTATGTCCGTATTGATTGGTGAATTCCGCTCGCTTGTTCTGAATTTTGGTTCGTTGGCCACTTACGTATCTGTACAGTTTCTGAATTCGTTCTCTTTCTACGCCTTCCCTCCTTCCTTCCAAGCACTTCACGCCAGGCCACCCAAATGGCGTGCCGTCACCGAGTCTGTTGGGTCCACTCTGTGAGCATAGCCCCAAGGGGGCCGCACCGAAGTGCGCGCTGCGGGTGAGATGTTTTGCCTGCAGTGCTTGCGGGTGGGTGGATGGGTAGCATCAACTATTGAGTGATAAGTGCCAACAGGATGCCAATGCCCCATCGTTTGAGTCATCTTGAATATGGAGCACCACTTTGCTCTCCGTGCGAGTTGTTTTGTTGCTTAGGACCAAGCAAAAGGAACACGACTGCCGGGTCCTCTCTCTCTCCCTCTCTCTGTCCGTAACTCCGTTCGTCGTCTCTCTGTATGCACCCAAAACTTTTTTTGTGAGATGCTCCTCATTGCAGGACCTGGTGGAGGTGGTCCTGGCGCCGGTGGGGCAGGCATGGTGGCCTCGATGCCATTTAGTGGACTGGATGACGAAACAAAAAGATCCCATGGCACGCTGTGAAGCCAGAGTCCAGAGAGCAAGATAGAGTATGCTTTTACCCGTTCTACCCTCTGCCTGCAAGGCTTAAGGTTCCTGCCGACATGCGGGGTGCAGCCGGTGCCAAAGGGGCACTAGGGGCCCCAGGGGCCCTAGGGGCACCAGGCGCAGCTGGAGCTCTCGGCGCAATTGGTGCCGGCACGCCAACAGGTGTCGGCCTCATTGGGGGCGTAGGGGCTGCAGGTGCAACTGGAGCTCCGGGAGCCGGCCGAGGTGGGGTGGGTGCGCCTGGCGGGCCCGGGAAACCTGGAACTGGGGGAGTCGGAGCACCTGGTGCTGGTGGACCTGGTGCGCCTGGTGCCTTGGGGGCACCTGTCAGCATAGGGGCTGCAGGCGCACGTGGTGCACCTGGAGCACTGGGCAGTGCAGGTGCAAGTGGTGCCCCAGGCGGCTGTGGTCCTGGAGAATCAACACTTGCAGCTTCTGATACTGAGCGCTTGGAAAGCAGCTAGCCCTTCTAGCATCGCAAGTACTTGCTTTCGTGCCGCAAACAGTTTCCAACAGCTTGGTCCTGGAGCTGCAGGTGGAACAGGAGCTGCCGGTGACGGCACAGACGCGCCAGGCGGCGCACGTGGCGCAGCCGGTCCAGCTGGCACGGGCGGGGCCGGAAGCGAAGGTGCCACTGCACCAGGTGCAGCAGGAGGTACTGCAGGAGGTACCGCAGGAGGTATCGCAGGAGGTACAACTGGAGCTGCAGGCGCAGAGGGAGGCAACGTCGGCCTGGGTGCCATCATGAAAACAAAGACAGACAGACAGACAGACAGACAGAAAGACATGCAGACACACGCACACACATACATTCCAGGTAAGTCATTCTGAGTTCTGGGCTGGTGGATCGTCGGTGCTGCTGGCGGGATTGGTGCAGCAGGTCCCAATGCAGCAGGTCCCAAAGGCCTTGAAAATTGGAGCTGATTGATCCACTGCGAGAATCTGTAAGGAAGCGACCATGTGCCAAGCAAGTTCAACTAGTGATTCATCCAGCGGGTAATTTTTGGTTTGGTCGAGCAAGCCTGCTTCGCTTGCTCTCGCCACATCACCCTGGCTCCAGAGGCCTATGCACGGAGCCCATGAAGTGCCTGGACTGTCTCCTCTTGCTGTGGCGCATGTTGGCCGTGAGCCCTTGACATTGTAGATGAAGCTTGGCTTGCTTGTGACTCTTGACAGTCGTCTAATGGAAGCCCTGTTGAAAGATGGCACAAGCTCCAAACTCCAACAGCACGCCCCCATATACGCCGATCCCACGCCACCGGTCGGGTTCCCGGCTGTGCTGCCAAGGGAGCAGCCGGAGCCGCAGGCGGCGCTGCTGGCGGAACTGCCGGCGCGACGGTGGGCCTCAAAAGAACAAGCTACTGCAAAGCGTTGCAGCTGTGTAGACCGTGTAGACGCCAGAAGTGCCAGAGCACGACCCACTTGCAAGTTCGGAGGAATGTTACATGCACCTGCGTCTCTCTTGAAATCTCTCTGGGTGCTACGTGTTGCGTGGCCACTAGCCGCCAGGATAAGCATCCGTCCCTCTCTGAGACCCATTATCTGTGAGGGCTTCGCGGAGGTGCTGCTGGGACTGCCGGAGCAGTCTGCAGCAGTGAGCCCAGCCTCGGAGTTTTTCAGTGAAGGTCCAGGCATCCCACTTCTCGAATTCCCCGGCTTCATTACAGAATATTTCGGGATACGGAGGGCGGAAATGCTGCATGCCAACCAAAGCAAGCTCAGTCGGATTCTAGAGCTTTGTCAAGTGCTTCCTGGCTACTACACTCAGGGCTGCGCGGTTCCGGTGCCGTCGGCAGGAGGGCCGCAGGCAGTGCCGGTGCGGTGGCATTCAGCGTGGGCCGCTGTGGTAGTCGGCTCGGGCCTTTCACCGAGACAGCTTTCACAAAGCAAGGCCGTCACAAAATGTGACGTTCTAGCGATACACCGGATGGAACACATTCTGCCTGCTCTGCAGAAGAGACATACAGACTTGCACAAAAGCTGGTTTCTGTGAGTAGACGCTGAGCGACGCATGAAAAAACAAACCTGCTGAGATAAACCTGGCCCTTGTACATATGAGGGTACCTGCAAACCCTGGCAGTGCAAGGCATGGCATGTTGACGAGTCCACAGCCTCGTGCTGAGCGGTCTAGCAGGGAGTTCAGCGCTGCCCGATCCTCGCAGAGACATTCGTCGCTGCCGCTGGTCTCTTGAGGAGTATGTGCAATGCACTCTGCTGGGAAGCAGGCACTCTGCGGCGACGGAGTTAACCCTCGCCTTGGTACTATAGCCCTGGAACTGCCATGGACACACACACGTGTGGAGCGCTTGCTTCTTACCAACTGCACGGCACAGGCAGCAATGCAGATCAATGCAGCACACAAGAAAACCTTGTTTCGCACTTGCACACACGATGCCCACGCGTTAGGGGTTTGCATGTCAATGCCTCAGCACACCGTCTGAGCTGAGACTGTCGAGAAGCAGCTGCAAGCAAACGCAAACGCACGAAGGAGCCAGGTCGGCGTGGCCACCGGTTGAAAGTGATCACTGCCAGGGGCTCCCAAGGACGGTCCGGCCCGGCATGGTGACGGCGCAGTATCGGCATGGTTGGCATGGTTGGCATGGTTGCACGCGTTGTTCTTCTTCACATCCACAATGACTATCTTGCATCCAGGCACGCAGCTCCAGGGGCGTCTTGCTACACAGGTTGCTGGCCAATTCTAGGTCGTAGGTGGCACTGCAGGGCTGGAGTCTGCGAGGCTGCCAAGTCGTTTGTTCAGCCAGGCGATGTCCGCAGTCAACTCCTGCGATAGCCAGACGTGAAACAGGCAGTAGATGAATGGCAAGCGGCACTAAGACTCCGCGGAAATGCGTTGTGGTTACTTTGGCATGCAGAGATGATGGGATACTTTACCTCTTCCCGGTCAACGGTGAATTGCTGTCATTGAAGCGCCCAGCATGGCTTAGCTCGTCTCAGATCTGACTGTTTAAGGTCTGGCAGAACAGGGCGCGGCGCATGACCTCATGCAACTGGGGAAGCCATCATGCTTAAGTCCTGGATCTCTTCGCTGTCTTCCTGACTTCCGAAGTCCTCAAGCACCCGGCCCATGGCTTGCAGGATGGCCTTGACGGCAAGCGGAGAGCAGGCGGAGGCGCCCCAAATCTCGCTGAGGAATCACTCACCGCTGACATCTACTTAGTTGTTCCGGGAGTTGGCCTGGTATCGCGGGATCGCTCCGGTCGCAGCAGGGGAGTAGGACAGCGCCAGCAGCAGCTTTCGCAGGCAAACAGGGCACATGAAACTGCTTCTGCCAGCAGTGTCTTGCGGCCCGTTCGATCCGTTCATCAGGCAGTGGAAGTAGACACAATGCAAGATTCCAAACCTGTGGCCCGGCGCCAATCAGCATGATGACAATGAGAAAAAATGGATTCTCGGATGTGTCAGCCCCTACTTTGCTCAGCTCAGGAGAGGACATGTGACACGTCTCATGCACCATTGTCCTCATGCCTGAGCACTGCGGTGTCCACCATCAAGGCTTCGCAGAGATTCGCAGACTTGCAGACGCTTTGGCTTCACAGAGGCATGCGAGCAGCAGGCACGAAGCCAGATAGCTTGCTGGTCATGCGAGGCGGAGCCGCTCACCTGCACAGCAGACAGCGGAGCAGACAGCGGAGCATAGCGGAGCATGAGATGGGGATTCTGGCACGCCCAACCAGGCCTGTGAAGCATGCAGACCATGGTAGAAGAAGGGCGAGTGCCGAGCAAATGAGAAGACGCCTGGTCAAGGAATTAGGAACTCGACGGAAGCTCAACGACGTGGCTTTGGGCAGTTTGGGGTCTCGCCGCTCTGGGTTCGAGTTTTGTTTTTGCTTCAAGCTTTTGAGAGATGTTGACCAGGGCTTCGGCGGGACTTTCGACTACTGCGCAGAAGTGTGCCTTGTTCAGTCTTCTCCGCGGGGCGGGAGGGCAGAGGGGGGTGGGGGGGAAGGATCAATAACAAAAAAAGTTCAGCTTCTCTTAACTTACCCCTTCTGTATATCCTGTCGGAAGAAATGTTGGGAAAGATGTTAGGGCACAATGTCTGAGCAATGTCTCTTCGATTTTCGTCGTTTTCTGGCCCGATTCGATTCGCGCAGCAGCGTGCTTCTTGAGGCAGAAGTGTAAAGTTGATCTGATGTGCTGCCAGGTTGCCAACCCGTTCCATGGGCTTGGCCTGTCCAAAGACATAGTTCCATTCCTCGCCCGGATAGATGTCTTCCATTGTGATGCCCAAGCGGCAATATGCCTTTCGATGGGATCTTGTTTCACTGTGGAGAGCTTCGAACAAGTCGGCGATCAGGTATTGCTCATGGTTGAAATCGTTCATCCTCTTGCGTGCTTTTGCCAGCGACCTCTGGCAAGAATGCTGCAAAGATGTCTACTGAGTCTACTGGAAAGCTCACTTGCATGTACGGATGTACCCGACACTTTCATCAACGTCTCCATGCTTCTCAGATACAATGGCTTGTCAAGAATATCCAGCGTCATGCCACTGAAGAAGGCTGCGCAGTAATCAACCAAGTAGCTTAAAAACTTTACGGCGATGCCTTCACTGAAACTGCTCCCCATCGGAACCAGAAGTATCGTGTCAGTGTGCTTCGTTGGCGTCATTGGTGGCTTCATGCGGCGGCTGTAAGTCGTGTAGGTCTGCCCCGTCTCCTTCTTCTCGGCCAACCAATCCCCACGTCGCGGCTGCCCCAGGGGCTTGAAGAACTCCAAATTGAGGGTGCCTGAGGTCTGCAAAAGATTGCAAAAGCAAAGGCTGTGGTGCATGCTTTGGCCGCTTTGGCGTGCTATCTGAAAGATGGCCCTCACAAGGCAAAGGCGCAAGCGGCTCGTGTGACCGGATCCGGCTCTTCCTCTACTTTACCAGCTGCGGAGATGCATTCCTTCAGGACACATGACCTAACATGACTTACCGGTTGTATGCAACTCTCTCTGTCCCTCTCTCTCTCTCTCTCTCTCTCTCGGACTGCTGCGACTTGCCCCGATCCTCGATGGACTTGAAAGTTGCGCTTCTTGATGACTTTGGGGCCATGCAGCCGCGACTACGTTCGGTACTAAATATCCCTTCTGTTGCCTGAAGTAAACGTAAGCTCGGGGAGAAATCATTTGACCGTTGCTATGCAGCGGCTGAGGCACAGGCACAGCGACAGAGCAGATTTACCATGAACAAATGCCAAGGCCCACACACACTTGCTGCAGGGGATGCTGCTTGACCACGTCTCAGCAGGTTCTGGCAGCGCGAGCAGAACAGGCAATAGTAGGCCGTAGGCGTCTTGGTACTTTTGAAAGGGCCAACTTCTGCGTGACGTAATGAAACATGGCCAATCAATTGGACCTCCTACCTTGGAAGTCCTTCGAGCTCGAGCCTGCCTCCAACTAGCGATGGGGCACAAAAACAAGCCAGCAGCTGGCCATCAGTGGCTCTTTGCCGCTACGAGGAGGCGGAAGTGACCGAGCCTTGCAGCACGAATAGAGTGGCAAAGAGCGAGAGAGCAAGACTTTCAGGGATCAGGAGCAGAAAAGGTGTGCCATCTTGTTGTCTCCTGGCGCCCGGCTCGAGCAGAGGAGTCGGTGGCAGCCATGCCGGCGCCCTCTTGCACGTTCACGATTCACGACGGCACCGCACGGCACTACGAAGAGCATCACAAGCAAAAGCGCGGAAGGTGACGGGAGCAAATGCCGGGGCCGCAGCCGCGGCCAGCGCGGCCCCTGGGAGCGTGACCGCCGGATATGCCGGATAGGGCCTTCCCAAACCAACTTTATAGGGCCACGTATCACACTAGTTTCATGTTTCCTGTTCAGCGACTTGCAACCGCTGCGTGCACGGCACAGATGCATCACACACAGAACATGTGAACTCAACCTCTGCAACTGTCTGCAACTGTCTGGCTGAGAAACTTGCAGAGTTTGTGCAAACCCGAATGCACCAGGGCCAGGCTGACTAACCTTGCGTTCAGTGCCATGGACTCGCAGCTGAGTACTCGCAACAAAACATCAAAGACCCGAAGGCATGGCCAGAAGAGAAAGCGAAAGAGTGAGAGAGAGAGAGGGGGAGAGTACTGGAAGAGAGAGAGGGAGAGAGAGAGAGAGTGAAGTGAGGGAGTGAGCGAGAGAGAGCGAGCCAGCGAGAGAGAGAGAGAGAGAGAGAGATTTAAAAAGAGAGGCGGTGAGCAGTGGCTGCGCCTACACGCAACTGCCTAGTGGACGAGCTCCAGACTACACTCGGCATTGTTGACTCAGCGGACCTTTCATGTTGGGACAGAAGTGCACGCGCTTGGATGTACCAGCATGGAGCAAGACGGCCGCCTCACCCTGGCAGGCAGCGACAAAGCAGCTCAACACGGTTCGATTTCGACATACATCAGGTCCATAGGGCATAGAGAGGATATTGGCCAAGGCCGAGCTTTTCGTGTGCGCTTCGCCGAAATGACTGTCTCACATCGTAGCATATCATATCGTTGATCGCACGCAAGACTTTGCTTTTACGGCATTGCGCACATCACTCCTGGACGAGCTTCCAAACCTTCACACTGCCAAGCTCCCGGCACGAAAGGGTTCATGGCACGTGCGACCTCCACATAGCCGCGGGTACCTGCCACCTTCCAAAGATCCCAGTACATTTGCATGCAAGCCAACAGAACTTGCAAAGCCCCGCCTGAAATGGAGTCTCATTGCGCTGGTTCTGCACATTAGGCGAAGCCTTGCGAAGAGCTAAGAGGACGTTGACAAGCAAAGAAGCCAGTTTGGTTCGAGACGAAACGTCTCGAAGTGCCGCGTGCCTGTCGCATCAGCAGCGAATGAACCACAGAAAGGTGGCCACCTCCGGCAGCAAAGTGAATTGCCTCAGCATTCCATGCAGGTGAACGCCCGGTGGCATCATTTTTGTGCAGGCACTGGGGCGCGAACTGTATTCCCAGCACCGTCCACAGCTTGCATCCTCAGGGCGAACAAATGCGCCTACCGAAGGTCGATTGAGTCTGCACATGTCTGCACCCAAGTATTTACAGCTCTGCAGCTCCAGCTGCTCCACAAGCTCCCGACTGTGCTTTCGCTCTGAGAAGACACTCGACAGTCCGGGCTTTTCCTGCCGATTGCAGCAGCAGCAGCAGCAGCAGCAGCAGCAGCAGCAGCAGCATCAGCAGCATCAGCAGCAAGAGGGCACTTATGCACACTGTTGCGAGGGGCTCCTTGCATCGCTGCAACGAGCAGTGGTACCAAACCGTCTGCTCGCCGAGCCTGACAAGCTCAGCGGTCAACGCTGACAAGGCCTCTGCAGTCTTTCTGCTGCTTGTAGTGTTACTTGACAACTGTAAACACTTAGAGTTTGGATCTTGTCAAAGATCATGGGGCGCTTTGTCACAAAGTCTTTGACTCAAGCTACAGCTCACAAGAGTCGTCACCTCAAGGGACGTGCCCGGATTCTGAGCCAAAGTCTCCACCACCTGGCACAGCAGTCGGGGTTCACGATGCTTCACCCATCTTTGCACTGCTCAGTGAAAAGGACTTCCGCCCTTTCGCCTCGTGGCCATCCCCGAGGCCAGCGGCCAGGTGCAACGGCGTCTCCTGGGGAGAACTGTGGCAGGAGGTGCGAGGGGGTGACAGAAAGTCAGAGCCAAGGCCGCGGCACCCTGATTGTCTGGCGTGTCCGATTGCAGCCTTGGAAGTCTCAGAAATTGGTGGAGGCACTGGCGCCACTCCTCTTGGATTCGGTCAGGTCACGAGGGCCTTCCGCCCACTCCACCAACCAAAAGCTTTAGTGCTGCAACACGGCCTGTGTCAGATCAAGGTGCTCAAAGCCGCTCCAAGTTATCTCACATCCGCACCTCCCTGCACAGCTCTGTGCACAGGCGAGCGGCCTGAGCTCTGCACGAGGCCCAGAAACTACGGCCCAGAAAATGATGCGCTTTGCAGGTCTAAAGAGCGAGCCCTCTTTGTTCAGCGTCAACGCGATGACCTGCTGTGCTGGTCATGCAGAGGTTCAGCATCCCAGCAGAAAGTGCACGTTCAATCTGAGGGCGGCACACGCAACTGCATCATTACATCCAGCCTTGGCTCATGGCACAAAACATACCTAAGGCCCACTCTCAGCTTCTCACAGGTAGGCACTTCGAGGAATTTCGGCTTTGCCCCCACCATCCGCCCTACTGGGCTCTTCACACTCCCGTACGCCCATAGAATGCAGCCAGATGCACTGGAGAGTCCTCGCAACCAGAATCATCAGAATATGCCACAGCACGTGCGCTGCTGAGTCCAAGTAATTGCCAAGGCTGCTGCACCATCTTTGTCAGGAGCATCAGCACTGGCTCCGTACTGCATCAGGGTTCCGGCAAAGTCCTTGGCCACATGGCAACATGGGGCAACAAATGCAGACGCCACACTGACGTTTGAAATAGCCTTGTCAGATGCTGCCAGACTGCCATGTGACGATGGCACATCTCTACGATGCGCTGCAGACGAGGTCGCTGTGAGGTCCCCACGTAATTCCCAGTCGCAGCGGAGGCATGGAGCGGTCTGGCAACGTGCTTTTGAGGGATGTGGGAATGTGAGAGCGGGGGGATGTGATACGGCATTTTAAAAAATTTCACGAGCTTTGATTGGATTCCATGAAACTTCACCGACTCTCTGGCTTTATGCAACACTGTGTGATGCCAAGGGGGTGGCTTACAGCGTCTGCTTCCGGCAACCTGGCAAGCCTAAAGTAGATTAAAGTAGGCCAAGGGAGCGTCCGCTGGTCTCGGTTGCGGGCTTCGAGCGGTGCCTGGAAGGCTAAAACCAGGTCTAAGCTCACCCGCCTTCTCTTCAACTCCAGGGTGCCGGGCTCGGCAGGACACGAGGCGCTCACACAGAAACCGCTTTCCACATCTCGCGGCCTCCAGGTTGCGGCTTGCTGCATTTTTTCCACATCGAGCGTGTCGCAAATCCTTGTTGACAAGATATTCCTGATCGAAACCTTGTGCGCAAGCGCTGAAAAACGGAGGGTATGCATTCTGGCTTCTGGAACGCATTGAAGCTAAGGCTCGGTCAATGGTACACCAGTACGTCCCACAGCCGTATGAACCCTTCCTGCCTCATGCAGGGGGGAGTTGCCACCTGAACGGGAGGCACTACCTGCCACTGTCACCCTGTCGTATCATGGTGTCACAATTTATGTGGATTCAAGTCTAAAGCCTAAGGGTGCCGTGCGCAAAAGCTCTTGGGCCCTGTTCGGTTCTGACATGTCAACACAGCAAAACAATTGAGCTCATCTCTCACCTCCCAGGACGGCTTGTCAGGTAATTGCAGCAAATTGCTCGGCAACTGCCATTCCGGGATGTTCCGTGCGCCGGCGCTCATCGCCCCACGCTTGTGTAAAGTCGCGGTGGCTTCTTGTTTTCGTGCTAGGAAGGCGCCGCCGAGATCTGCGATGATGCCTGGCGGCCCCTTCTGTCTGACCCCCTCCCATCGCCGATGTTTCTCCTGGTTGCCTGCTATCAACTATGCGCAGTCTTGGAAACGGCTCTGCCGGCGCCCCGCGAGTGCACCCTCCGGAGTCACGCAGCACGCGTGACTTGTAACTGTGTGGTGCCAAGTACTTAATATTCATGCGCAAGCAATGCCAAAAGCGAATTGTCAAAAATCAACTTGGCCCTGTGCAGAGGTCGGCTGCATGCACCGACGCTGCGTTCTGCAACAAAGCCTTCGAGGTTCGCCATACTACTGAGCTACGCCAATCATTGCAGGAACGAGGCGAAGGCAACACTGACATTTGAGCTGTCTTCTCTGCTTCGAACATGTTCTAGCCGGAAGTTGACTGGTCGACAACGTGCCTCGACCACGGCCTCCTGACCCCAGGTGCAGGCAACATGGAGCGCCGTCTTCCCGCAGCGGCTTGCTGCTTCCACTGGCACACGCGCCCTCCCAAACAACACACATTGGTCTGTTGGCTGAAAGGGACTCGCAATCTCGCTGCCTTATCAGCTCCTGCACCACGGCCACCTGGGCGCTTTGCGATGCTTTGAGCCTAGACTGCATAGGTTGGAGCGAGTTTCACTGCATCCCTGCACGACATTCGCGTCCGTCGGTCATGCCGGTTCTGTCTCCAGATGCTCCAGCCATCTTCAGAGCACACCAAGGGGTGAGCGTGGCCGTTGCGCGCAGCTTCGTGCAGTGGCAGGTCACCTTCCTGGCAGTGACTCGGAGAGCATCCGGGAACTCCGAGCACCATGAATGATGTCGGATGGTTGTCTCACTGAGGTTGCTGTCACTGCCATTGACATCTCACCCATGCTAATGATAGGAGGGAGACTGGATCGTGCTCCCGCTCAGTCCTTGTCCACGGCAACAATCTGCGCACCTGCAAACTCTGGTCTCATCTCGTGAACATCTAGCTTTCAATCCGCCGAGGCCTCGGGCCGAAGGTGTATTGGTAGTCAGAACAGGCACCCCCCTCCAAATCCTCCCCCAGGCCCAAAGCCCTTTTTCGGACCCCTTTTTTTGCCTCAAATGGGTACCCCCCCTAGGTGAGCAGGGTCCGCAAGCGGATGGTTCGCCAGGACCAGAGGCAGTTGCAGCCCTTCCCAGCAGGGCCCCCGCCTCCCCACCCCTCCCCCCCCCCACGACCCCGCCCCCCCTACCCCCCCTACCCCCCCCCCCTACCCCCCCCCCTAACCCCCCCCCCTACCCGACCCCCCACCCCCCCCCCCCCCCGCTACCCCCCACATAGTCCCTCCCCCAAAAGCCACATGAGCGGCTGGGCTAATGGACGCAACAAGAGGGGCTTGATGTTTGTAGGTGTCGCTATAGCACACCCAATGGTTCATAACCTAGGGGTGTCGCTTTTCAAGTGTTCCCATCGTTTTACAGGGTTTTCCCCTTGCTTAATTGAATGGCTGGGGGTTTTGGCGCTTGCTCACATAAGGTGTTTGTGAAAGGCTGCTCCGACGCGCTGGCTTGAGGGCCGGAGGCTCACTGGTGTGAGCACGGCCGCAAATCCGCCGAGGCCTCGCCCCCTTTCCCCCCCCCACCCCCCCCCCACCTCGCCCCCCGGTTTTCGAGGCTCAACTCCGGGGACGAAGAGTAACCGAAACCCGAAACCTTCAATCTTAGCTCCCCCCCCCCTTTCCCCTCTGCCCCCCTTCCCCCTCCACCCCTATCCCCCCTGAGGGGCCTGGCTCAACCCTACGATCAATCCAAGCCGAACCGTCTCTTGAACCCTAAACCCAAAGCCCTCAATCCTAAACTAACCCTCAACCCTAAACCCCAGACCATAAACCATAAACCCGGAACCCTAAACCCGACTTGGGCGCTGCGGAATCACCATGCTCACGCGGATGCGCTGGGCCGGGCCGAGGCGGGTCGCGTAGCGTTAAAATTAACTGGCTATTTAATACCTGCAAAGTCGGCCAGTCGGCCTTGGCCCATCAGCTGCTGCACAGCCTTGGCCCATCAAAACACCGAAGCTGGGATCACTGGGATGCTTCCGCAAGTCTTCCTCCCTCGGCAGCCTCGAGCTGCCCTCGTCGCGCTGCCAAGTGAAGTGCCTAGAACCGCATCAACGCAGCCAGCACCGCGCAACTGCTTTTTTGAAACAGTCCCTGCAGCAGCTCGAATAAAGCTCGTTCCCGGCAGCATCCTTATTCTGCCGGCAGGAGCTCTCAGCTGCTCACAGTCTTGTCACCGGAACCTTTCTCGTCCACAGCGGCCCTGGCAGCCGGCTGGCATGTAAACATCACTTTGGCCCCAACTAGAGGCCGTACAATCAAGACAAGAACCCAGCCCATCTACAGGATGCTGCAGGCATGGGGGGCCGATTGGATCACCACGTCGACTAAACTGTAAACATCTGCAAACCAGCAAGAAGAGATTGTGGGATGGCCCCCCCGTACACTCCAGGCCTCTTGGAAAGAAGCAGCTGTACTATGCGAGTCTGTGCAACCTGGCCCATGTACCTGACTCATTCAAGGGCAAGCCCTGGGCTGACTCAGGGGGATCCCTTTTGTGGCTGCTTGTGTAAGCCGTGTAAGCGCAGGCGCAAAGTAATATGGGGGACCTTGTATTGGATTAAACACCCCTCGGGCCAAAATGAGGAGCTAACAGGTTGACGTGCTGCAACGTCGCACGCGGCCAGGTGCAAAGGGGTGTCCTTGCTGTCGTCTTTGCTCCCAAGCACGGCCTGCAACAAGCCCAGAGACGGCATCAGCGTGTCCGGGAATTTGTGCAATCCAGTCTGGTCAGGACGGTCAGGAGCATGCACCCCACCTTGGAGTCAAGAAGAAGCTGGGCGACCCCCACGCTGCCTCATGAGCTTGGGGACGGGTGATTTGCTTGCAGCCGCTCTGATTGCTGGCGGACAGTGCCATGCGATACAACATAGGACAAAGAGTACACAGAACTGCCGGCCTTCATAGGCAGCGATGTGCAGCGCGGTGTGCAATCCGGCCAGGTCCTCGAGGAAACAAGCGTACCAAAGGACATCATGGAGCCGCGCAGCAATCTCCTTGCTGTTGAGGCTACTTCTCTTCTTTGCCAACGCGCCCTGTCATGCACAATCGAACACAGGATGCCACAACAGGTGACCCACAGAAGCGGCCTCGGATACTGTGCAGATTCAGTGTGGTTAAGGCGGTTAAGGGTGGAAGGGCGTTCCCACCATGGCCTTGGCCAAGTTGACCTCATCATTTCGGGCCGCTTGGTGCAGCTGCCTGCAGTTCAACTCGGCGAATGGCATCAGACAGCAAGACGTCCTTTGGATGTTGCTTTCGGCTAGGCTCTTCTAAACTGGCACGAGCTGGCACTGGGCAGTATCCGTTCGTTCGGCGTGTCCTGTCGAAGTTGCCAGCAGCTGCACCGCATGCGCTTCCCATACTTCAGCAACTACGCAACTTACAACAGCATCAAGCAGCGTCCCTCCTTTCCACTTAGTTTTTCTGTGACTCTCTGCGTGCCAGCATCATGCGGAGCTACAGTGTCAAAGTAGTATTGCCAATCTTGTGCAGGGCTGGTTAGTGTGGATGCTCTCCTCTTGAGGGCGTGGGCGACAATTGGGGTCAGGAGATGGACGAAAGAGATGTTGGGACGGGGTCAGAGCACACACCGAAGCATGCAGAAGTGCTGAACCCCAAGCGTACGGCCACAATCTGAAGTCCAGAAGCTGCAGCGTCGTGTCTTTTGCAAGCGCTTAACGGGCAGCGGAATGCGCTAAGGCCTTGAGCATCCCCTCGCCAAAGCCAGAATTTGATGGTCCAGCAGTAGACATTGGACAGCTGGCAAAGAGTGAGTGGCTCCATTCCAGGCGACAAAAGCAACTGAAGCTCAGAATCTCACAGCAGTGAAACACCTTGGTATGTGCTTCGCAAGCCCCCCCTTGCCAAGAACATGCATTCCCAGGGCCCCAGGACTCTGCTGTCAGGTGCCCCGCTCGGAGGCATCAACTTTGACGGATGCCCTGCCGAGGCCTGACATTGTCGAGAGCCCTGCACATCCTTACGCACACTTCTCTGGCAGTGAGTTTCTGCTGGTGTGTCCGAGCCATCCCCAATGACGAGGCAGGGCGGCGGTGCTGGGCCGGACGCCCACGGGCCTGGACCTAACAGCAGTCCCACATCTTCCACATCTTTGGCTGATGGAGCATGCTGAAATTTGGTGGCATCTTTAAAGCATCAGAATCACAGAAACACAAGACATCGCAAGGGCTATGCAGTGTGTGATCGCCCGAACGTACACAGTAGTTTCTCAGGCAGGGGCTGAGTTGGAACTGATGTGGGCGCATTTCCTGTCCCAATGTTCGGTTGCATTGTGCCGCTACACGCATGGAAGGGATCACACACCCTTTTGATTCATGGGCGAGCTTTTCGCAAAGGGCGATACAAACACTATCAAACACTCCATTTAGGACTGTAGCCAAGGCGGGGCGCACCGATGCGTTTGTGAAGCGCTCAATTCCTCCACCTTGCACAAGAAGCTTGCAGCATGTTTAAGCATCCAAGCATGTGAAAGGAGTTACACCTTCGTCACGACGGATGTCCCTTTGATTCAGGAGCGCAGAAGAGAGAATACACCAGAGATGGAGCGAGCTAGCAGCATTCGCCGCAGGGTCACATCTTTGCATATGAGCGAACAGCGAGATGAAACCCGTAATTGCGCCTACACCAGTCTCTTGGCCTTTTTCTTGAGTCTGATAGTTCGCTGCAAGCTTTGAACCGAAAGATGCTCGACTCCGAAGGAAGTTGCTTGTCGCAACAGCATTGATGCCGAGAGGCCTGTTCTGGTCCCGCCGGAGACGATGATCTGACATCGGCCGGACAACAAACTGTGGGACGTGAGAACTTGGGACATCCTACAGAGCTTCTCCTTCTCGCAGGCCTTCGGTGGAGGCGCCAAAGGGGGAATAGGGCCCAGCAGCTGCGATCTCTGACCCTCTATCTCCTGGCGCCACTGCTTTGTATCAGAGATCTGGCGTCGAGAACAAGCCGGGGCAGAGGTCCTTCAACAAGTTGTTGAAGGCAGAGTTGCCTGTCTCACATTGGAGGACTCCGGTAAAGCTTGGGTGGAAAAAAACACTAGCAGGTTGCTGCCAGAAACTGTTGTAAACTCGTCTGCAGCTTCCGATGCATCCTGCTGTCAAGAGGCTCATTGGATGCTGTCCCTGGTAGTGGCGTTCCGCGAGGTTCCGGTCTCGAAAATACCTCACAGCCTTGTCGAGCAATGCGGCCCGCGCAGAACGATTGGACGTCTAGATTGCAGGAGAAACAAGCAGACTCACGATCAAGATTCACGGAGCGCCCGTTTCTCCGGAAAGGCACGTGCCGGGTTTAGCCTCAAGAATCCGAATATCTGTCCAGAAACGAACCTTCCCCACACTCCAGGTAACGAGGCTCTGTGTGATAACGACAATCCTCCACTATCCCTGTCACAGCTCCCTCCCATAGCCGCAACTCATTCTCAGAGGACCCCCCGCACGACAGTCTTATGGTGCAGGCAGATGGCTTTGCGCCTCCATTAAAATGGCCTCTCGAGTCAGGGCTCGCTATCGGCAAAATTCGTGTTCTTCTTTGTTTGCGTCACTTTGCCCCTTTTCCTGTCTTGCCGAAGAGGCGAAGCTAAAGCCACATCACAAGAAGCCGAGGGGCCAAACACACTCGAAGGAAGAAGCGAGAAAAGCACACAAGAAGCCACGAAAAGAGCTCTCCGAAGTAGCTGGCTCGTACAGAAGAAGACCACTGGGCTTCCCGCATCTTCCGCAGACCAGCCCAGGTACAAGACCTGACTTCAGGCGACGCCCAACGGCTCAGCTCGGCATCCAATCTATTGGCACCAAGAGACAGCAAAGGCGCAGCAAATCGTGCCCGAGCGGTTCTGGCCCCACTCACCTGAGCTTGCCAGCCCTAGTAACCCGAAACCATCAGGCAGAGGTGACAACCCAGAGTCGCAAGAAATTTCGAGCCATTTCCAGGCAAGCGTCAATGAACTAATGTCCTCTGCTCAGCCGCAACAGCCTTCAGGCCAAGAACGTTTTCCATTCATATGACAAGGGTTGTATTTCTGCCGCCGGACAGCCTAGCAAAGCTTCCGAGGACCACATCTTGTTACGACTATCTACTCCCCTTGACTCTGAACATTCTGAAAGAATCTCATAGCGGGGGCCTCTGGAAAACACAAAGCTTTGAAAGGCAAAGGAAGGCGACCTGTCGGACCAGCGCCGCTCCCTCCAGAATCTGCTTCTTGGCATGTACCAAAGCCTGAAAAACATGAACTCAATGGAACTTGATGACTTCAATCGGCTCGAAGAAGGGGTCTTCACATGAACCTGCTGGCTTATGATGCAGCATGCCAGCATGGTTGCTTTTGAAATGGGTACAGAAGTTTGCCCCGAGCTGATATCGTGGCGAGTACAGCGAAGGTCGATTGCAGCATCCAAGAAAGACGAGGAGCAGCAGCAGCAGCAGCAGCACCAGCACCCTCAAACATAGGAGAGCTTCGAGATACAACAAAACTCACCAATGCCGGCAAGAAGCCGACTCTGACTCGCGACCGTGCTGGTCATCCTAGGCCGAGCGCAGGAGCGTTGGCAGGTGATGCTGCGAGGTAGATAAGTCAGAGCTTCAACAGGGACTCAGCTTGACCTCGCTGTCTTCATAGCCTTGAGTGCCGAGCAAACAATAACGTATGCGTTGACAGCTGCGGATTGCAGGTGCCGTCCGCATTCCTGGGGACCACCTCAGAATCTGTGCATGCCTTGCATGGTCACTTGAGTAACAGATTGAAGACGAGAAGGTGCAATCGGCTTGCTGAGCTGCATTTGGACTTGGCAAGGCTGACGGCACCATTGGCTTCACAAATTTTGATCCAAGCCCGGCCCAAGCTCCGCGCAGTCGAGATCACCTGCGCAAAATTGCCATGCGCGGCGCTGTACCTCCCAGACCCAGTGCACGTTCCAAGATTCGTTAAGCTTCGTTCAACGTCCGACTCGAGTTCGATGAAAACATGGACAATGCTGACAGTGCTTTTTCTTATGCTGCATGCCCTACTACTTTCATGACAGGAAGCCGCCCGAAAGACTCTCTTCCCAAGCACCAAAGACCTTCTCACAGACTGCATTGGTGTGGTTTGGGGAACGTGGGCGGAGCGAATGGAATGGCATGGTGCGGATGTCGTGGAGGTGGTGGTGAGGTAATGTGGATGGAAGTGTAGGTGTGGCTATGCGTCTAAGCGCATGCAGTGGCGCGTAAGTGTTGTGGGTGGTGCTATTGGTGTGCTTGGTGCGGGCTTTGGGCGGTGCGGGTGATGTAGTGGGTGGAAGGGGGGGAAGCTGGCATGAAGAAAAGCGCAGGAGAATACCAGGAGGTCCGGGAGCAGAAAGAAACGCCAGGTCCATTAACAAACAGATGAAATAACACTCGAATACACAGGAAGACTGCGTGCACAGAAGAAGAAATAGCCGAGAGCAAGGGCCTAGAACAAGGAGCCAGAGGAGGGGGAGATTCCGAAGCACAGCACGCAACATTATGAAACACATCCAGTCCAGTGAAGATGACGACTACAACCAGCGCAATTCGAGAAGCGAATGCATATTCTTGCGGGCACATAGATATATGCGTATATATAGATATGTATACATACAGATATATTTTTTCGTTGATACAATGCATTGCTCCATCACTGCAACCACTCTCGCTCAGAGAATGCCAATGCAGCAGAAACACTGGTTCCCACAAGACCTCAGAACAGCGGACACTTCATGCCATGTGGTTCTCAAAGGCGGCTGCCATCTGGTGATGCTTGGTGCTTAAAGATGATCCGTCAAGGCCCAGTGGCAGAAAAGGGCTCATCCTCGGAAGCGGAGCGTAGCCTGGAACATCCTGCGCCATCGGAAAGAGCACGTGAACGCTGTTGCAAGGGATTGTGGCAAAAGCACAGCAAGAGCACAGCAAAAGCACAGCAAAAGCACAGCAAGATGTTCCGCTCTGTCTCCTCGCAGCCTGGTAACTCCTCCTGGCCGCTGGAGTCCTGAGTCACTGAAAACTGAAGGGAGGGCAGACTCGCAGACCGCTGTGACTGCAGAGCCATGCAAGGAGCATGTCCTCGGACAGCTCACATCCGCAGGTTTTCAAGAACGCCATTGCCGAAGGCAGCTCGTGGCTTAAGCTCCGGCGCTAAGTGCGCGTGGGTTGTGCTTCGGCCGTCCTGGCATGCAGGATCCACACCACCTCAATGCAGATGGTGCTGGAAAACTCGTCGCTTTCATCTTTTCTTGATGATGCTACTCACTGGGGCTTGGATCCAACATATCTGGCCGCAACAAGGCTCAGAGGTGCAAGCAGCCAAAACCAAGAGCATGTCTTGCAGAGACACGCAGAGACTCTGAGTGGCTGCTTTCTGCAACGTCTGCCAGATTGACATCAGCCGCCACCAGAACCTCTAAGCGTACATTTCGCGCCTTGAGACTGGTGGCCGAGGTGGCAAATGACGTGGCATGACTATGCCAACATTATGCCGACTATGCACAAAGAGTGGGCCTGTTTGGCCACTCATGGATTCATTGCCTCTTTCCGAAGCAGAGCAGACACTAAGCAGAGGTGGCCTTTTGAGCAGAAAAATCCTGGCTTACGAGCTTTGCTCCAGCGCATGGACACCCCAACTATGTCAAAAGTCTAGTCGGGCGCAGCACTCGAACCCTTCAGGGAGGCAGCCTGCAACGAACACATGCACATGTGGTATTGATCCGGCATGGTGGTCGCTTCAGGATTGATTACGAGCAAGTGAATAAGCCTCTGGTGTCCATCCCTGCGCGTCCCCTCTGATGTCAAACTAATGTAATTCGTAAGTACCTCAGTCGCAAACTACGCATCAGTTTCACGAGCCTCCTCTTGGCACTTCCGCAGAGCTTTCCACAGCTCCACAACCTGCTCGGTATTGCTTTGTGCAGTGCTCTGTGCCTTGCTTTGCGGCAAAGCGTAGTCATGTCCAGGTGCAAAGCAGGCGCCTCGTGCTGCAGGCGCAAGCTGACTCGACGTCTCTGTTCCCCGCTGCCCCGCAAACTTGTTTCGTTCCTCCAGCATTCTACAACTGTCCACTGAGGTGTACAACAGACCGTAATCAGAGACAAGCACATTGTGCCAAAGTGATCTCAGGACCAGGCTCGGGCACCTGCAAGGCCTGGCTGCCAAAACATTGACAAAGGACAAACGTGCTGACGAGGTTGACAGACGCGGCGAGATGAGCAAGATGCAGCACGCTTTCCGGCTAGTGCCGACCGCTCACTCACACACACACAACCTCTCAGCTTGGGCGACCTCTTGGGCATCTTGGACCTCCTGCTCTGTAGAGATCTCGCTACCACCCTGGCGGCCAAATACGCCCAACGACGTGGTCACATGCAGCAAGACTGAAGGTGTGCTGCTCAGGGCGGGCCCAGATGCGTCGCACGAGTGTGCTTTGTAAACTTATCTCCCATGCCATGCCTTGCTGGGCGTGCATCCGGCAGGCTCGCAAGCCTCAGCAGGACACAGACCAGACAAGCGAAAGATTGCTACGCCGCTGGGAAAACCGTAGTCCTGTAGAGTGCAGAGATCGAGTCGGAGAGCGGGAAGGTGACATTGTGCGACGATGGGCGACGATGCGCGACTCTTGGGCTCGAACTGTGTGACGCAGCGCACGACCCTTTCTTTCCCTCTGCCCATCAGAGCAGATCAGCCAGAGAGGGGCACTGCCCACCAACACAGTGCTGTCTGGCTGGTCTGACATTTCCACGCGTGCATAGCTGTACAAATGCGAGTGAAGCAAGCATGGTCTTGCAGCTTGATCTAGCTATCCGAGCTCGGCATGTGCAGTAGCCTAGCTCGGCACATAAACAGCCTTTCCAGGCTATCCATAAAGCTTGGCATCAGCGCTGCACAGCCACCTGCCTCACATCCCTCGGCTGCGGAGGGCTCAACGGATCACGCACGACATATGATATGAAGAAATCCAGAAGCTTTTACGCGTAAGCAAAGCCTCGAGGCTGGCTTTGAAAACGCTGGTGAAGTGGATTCCTTCCAGGGCCTTTCTCCGAATGTAAGCGGCCCGAAACTTCTTAAGGCTGATCTGCGCCCGTTGGTAATTGAAGAGTGAGCGGGATGTTTGGCTGTTTGGGGTTCCTTTCGGGTGCTGCTGCTCTGCCCTATGGCACCGTGCTGCTCGGAGTTGTCAGACCCTGTTGCAGGACCTCCGTAATGAAGGGAAGCATGTGTCCAGGCACACAGCACACCCGTCTGTGATTGGTCTTGATGGCTCGTAAACTCCAGACATAAGCAAGGTTACGGGCTTTGGAGTGAGACCTCCGTCCGTGCACACAAGCCTGGGTGACAATGCCGGCTTTGAAAGTCTTACCCGCTGCAGGTGGCCGTGACCCCTCCGGAGTGTCCGACATCAAACCGCTTGGGCCAAGTTTGTCCGGAAGTCTTGCAGTCCAGGCTCATCTATGACCAGGCTGCAGCCGATCACTGTGTCTGGAACAAGATGCAAAAGGAGAAGTGCAGCTTGCCATCGGTACACCTGGCATGCTAGCTCTGTGCCGTCAATCTGCGTGAGATTCCCGAAGGCTCAAGGTGCGCCTTGACACAGGCCCTCAAGGCTGCATCCCGTGCCACTGCGTCGCAGCGCACGGCCCGCTGCTGCAGTGCTGAAAGCAGCGTGAGAGCATCCCTCCAGCGGCCGCTGCGTGAGCAAGCACCTGAGCCACTTCAGCCATCTCTCGTCTAAGCATCTACAGTTACAGGAACGCATGCGTGTGGTGGAAGATGAAGGTCACGGAATCTTCGCCCAACTCTAGATACGATATGGAAGTTGCGAAACAGAGACGTCCTTCAGAGGTATCTTGGCCTCTGCACAGACCGGGGGATTTGGGGGGGGGAGGGGGGATATTCCCTTTGTATCTTTCGGCTCGCTTGAAGGGCCACTTCTTAGAAGCGTTGAAATGTCTTGACAAAGCTCTGAACATCTTTCCTCAGAGTCGCTGATGGCAGCGCTGAAGCTGAGCTCGTCCTGGAAAGGAATCGCTGAGATCTTCATTCAATATGGCACAAGGAATCAAGCGGTGTCAAGTCAGAGATGTCACCAAGCACCCCTCCCCCTGCGGGCCTGAGGTATAGCTACGTCGCGCATGCGGTTTAGGAGAAAAGTGGCCAGGCGCCATTGGCAACCCATCTCACAAGCGCTGATGGCCTCGAAAAGGCTGGCTGCACGTATGAGATGTATCGCACATCTTCACTCAGCACCAGCCCAACAGAAAAAACGCCTGTAAAAGAAGGAAGCAACGCTTGAGGGTGTCAGTGCTAGCTGAGGCGCGCTGTTGTAGGTTATCTGGTTAGCTGCCACCTTCGCTGTCAACATCATGTTTCCAATGGAACATGCGGACAGCAACAGGATATCCAACGAAAGATTAAGACCGGCTGCTTTTGCTGCAGGCATCTGGCTCATCAACTCCAGTGCTGCTTCCCACTCCAGTGATTTCTCACAGGCACTGATGGCTGAACTGTAAGTAACCACAGACGGAGGAACCTTCCCAATTCAGCGGGAAAAAAGTCACGGCTGAGTCTGATCGGGTTGGCAGAGCCTCTGTTCGTCGCATCACTCTCATCAGCTCTAGTGCCAGCAGCCAGTCCTGCAAAGGTTCACGACCTCACCTCACCGCCCATGTAGCTCGACGACGCCTTCAAGCTACACAGAATGCCAGACAAACGCGCTGCTCCTGCACCTTCTCCGCTGCGCTGACCGCAGCATTGAAGCCTAGGAAGGGGCACAGTCTTGGCTCCACTTTGGCTCCACTTGGCTTCAGGACCTCCACTTCCATCAAGAGGCTGACAGTATTCGGGGCCACCTTCTTTTGCCCCATGTACATCCTAGGCATGCCCGAATCAAGCGCTTTTGGTAACGTAGGGAGGTGCCAAGCCTCTCAGTTAGGCAAAGAGTCAGCAAAGAAAGGGCATGCTGCCATTCGCCTGTCTTCGCACAGGCTGAAATCGCAGCGCTGTAGCTCACCACATCTGGGGATGCAAATGCCTGACAGCGTGAATCGACGACAAGAAGTTCATGAATAAGCTCGGTTCCCTCTCGCCTCGGACATCGACTGCAGCAAGCGCAACGCGAACTTCCACTCAAGGCCCTTCTCGCAAGCGCTGATGGCACTGTTGTAGCTCACAACATTTGGAGTAATCCTTAATGCTGCAGGCGGCATGTTGCTTAAGCAATTGGCTGCGTTGCATTTACAGTCAAAACAACGAGCATCTTTGTGCTTGGCATCTGATCGTTCACCATATCACTGAGCAAGTGGAACGCCAAGCGCCACTGCCCTCCTTGCGCCAATGCGCTAATCATGGAGCCATAGCTCACCACATCCTGGGTAACCTTGCAATCGGTGGAAATCAGCTATCCCGTTCTGTCCTGTGCTGCCACACATGTCGCAGAGTCCTGCCTTCTTCGTGGCCATTGTTCCAAAGAGCTGTAGAGCTCGCTGCCACTCACCGCCCTTCTCATAAGCACTGATGGCTGAGCTGAAAGCAATCACATTCGGGTAGACCTGCCTCGACACAGGCACTGTGCACAGAGTCTTGGGGCGATTTGCCCATGCACTGCAGGCAGCGGGGTCGCCGTTACACGGCCTCTGCTGCATCTCTGCAAGAAGGTCAAGGGCCGCCGGCCACTGGGAGGCTTTCTCACAGGCACCTTGCAGGCAATACAGGCAAGTGGCTCCACTTTGTTTCACTCGTGCTCTCTGAGCACGGTGTTCCGCAAATGCCTTGCATGAAAGAACTGCTCCAGGATGACTGCGAGCAAACACGGACAAGAAAGCTCTCTTGAGAGGAGAGGCGCTCACACTGGAGCAGTAGCTGATCAAGTTGGGAAGCACCTGCAACAAAATGATGTACCTCGATCATCCCACCCTACGAGCTATCCTGCCGTGTTCGGACAGGCTATTGCGGACACTTCGCCACAGGCTGTCGTGGCACTCTCCGAGATCTCTGGGAGGGGGGTGCAGGGACACTCGGCGGGACTTTCTGCCTTTTCCGGGTGTGGGCACTCCATGCTCGGCTGGTCTCTCTGCAGTGGGCACTCCAGGGGCCAGGAGACACCGGGCGAGGAGGCAAGGAGAACGTTGACCCAAAATCTAACAACCCCACACCCTACAAAAAATCGTCCAAAACCGAAAGTTCCAGGACGCATACTTACATTTGCAGCCGGGGATAGTCTGAGTAGCACTGGCGCATGGACAGTGAGATGCTTGTACTTAGCGCCGCAGCTGGTTTGCTGAGTGCTCCCTGACTTCGCTTGCCTCATGCTGAACCATGGAGTGCAGCGTGTCCAGTGCCAGCCGCCAGTTTGCTGCCTTTTCGCAAGCATTGATAGCACTGCTGAAGTGGAAGATGTTGGTTTCAACCTGCCAGCAAGAGAACAATGATTCATAAAGTCATAGACAACTTCAAGCCTCCTTGCATTTTCAAGTCTGCACGATGCCAGCGCTCCATGAAGAAACAAGGCCCCGCGGCCCCGCAGGGATTTCCGAGCTCCGAGAGACTTTTGGGTTCTCCTGGTCGGCACCTCGTCCCGCCGCATTCGTCGTAAGAGCTCGCGACACTCCTCCAAGAATTGTGATGTTGAAAGCACTGTCAGCACTGTCCGCGCTTCTCTGAGACTCCTATTCTACATGTGCAGCACTTGCTCTTGCTCATGTCGTCCCTTGCGCTGGGACTTCATGGCACTTCCCTCTTTCTCCTCGTCCTTTCCTTGGCGCGCCAGGGAAGCCAGAGCCTTCGTGGCAGCTCGTGGCTGGGCCCGCCAATGCTTGGGAACGCGGCCTGTCTGCGAAACTCTGCAAGGCCTTTTGCAAACCCTTTCGAAAACCCTTTTGCAAAGCTCTCGAGCAAACCTTCGGATGGAACCATCAGAACATAAGGGAACTGCCGCATCGGTGGTCAAGATGCAAAGGATGACAGCGAAGTCTTCGCTGTCATCCTTTGCATCTTGACCACCGATGCGGCAGTTCCGCATGGCAGCGAAGACACCGTTAAACCCCTCAGCTAGCCCTAGCCCCTCAGGTCTGCTTCAGCAAGCCGAGCCATCTCTGTGCTTGCCTGCTTCTGGAAGGATGTGCTGCCCCCCGCTTTGGCGCAGGGACATGGGTGGAAATGGGCGTGAGCAAGGCCTCAAAGTTGCGAGCTGCTTCTTTGAGCCGTAAGCTTCAGGGCAACGCGCAGGTGCCATAAGCCTGCCATCAACGATCGAAAAACCAGCAACACGAAGATTGATCACAAACCGGAGCTTCAACCATTCACATCTGGTGACCCCTTGCAAAGGAGCGGGCGGCCAAGCGAGCTTTCAAACCCCGCACCTGCTTCAGAAGGAATCTTAGCGCAACATTGGAATGCAGCTCTGATTCGAGCTGGAGGTCACTACACGAAAGCTGCAAGCATATGCAGGAATGAACGGGAAAGGAACCAGAATGCCTCCCCGCGCATCCTCACACCATGCCGCTGCAGCTCTTGACACCGTCGAGACGTCGTTGTCAGCTCCTTCCATGCCAGTTCAATTGCTAGCCATATGTTCGTTGCTCTTGAGAGCTCAAAGGTGCTGTGTGCACTAGGCTTGTGCTTCTACACAGTTTCCCACACTGTCCACTGGAGCACGTTGCATGTTAATTATTCCTTCCGCGCCAGGGACATGTTGTTTCCTGAGTCCTGAGCCCCACCCTACCGTGCATCCAAAGCACAACCCAACCTGCGGTACTACATGCAAGCTGCTCTTACATGTTCCTACGATGGACCACGGACCGCGGACCTCTTCCTTGAGCTTAAGCTGTGCTTCGGCAGTACGGAGGGTCCCTCTTGCCTGAAGTGGCATGGCACAGCACAGGCACAGGCACAGCACCGCATTTCGACACAGATGCTATTTGCTGTCATTTGCACCTTTTGCTGCAGCACTTTCTGCTCGTCGCGATCTCGCACAAGACCCTGGGTTGCAGTCGGACTCTGAAGTTGCCAGAACCCGCTATGAGGCTATGACTGCATCTGCCCCCCCATGCCCCCCCGCCCCCCCCCCCCCGGCTCGCCTCCACTTGCACCTCGAGAGCCCGCCGCTCATCGAGGCGCTGGGCGAGGAGCCGCTGCTGCGACTGGACCTCCCAAAAAACGAACACGTGACTCGCATGACGCTTGCGGAGAGCAGATTCAACATGCAACCATCGTTCGTCACCACGTGAGGGCGTCTTTTTGCCTGCTCCTCCAATCTGTCAGTCTGCTTCGCCAGGACGGACACCCTGACAAGGTACGCACCATGCAAGATAGCATTGCATCCACATCATATTTCGAGCCTCTCGTCTGCCAGTACAGACTGCCTGGGTGGCTCCTTTCGACAGAGCTTGTGCGAATTTTTTACTTCTAACAGGTCCGGCGGTCCTTGTCCTTCTCCAGCTCTGAACTAGGCCGCACGGCCTCTTCCACCTGTAAACATGCGAATCGAAGAGCTGCCGGCCTTCCCGGGCTTCTCGGACCAGTGCGGGTTTGCATCCATCGTCCGGAGTTCTGGGGAGGATCGTGTCCGCGCGCAATCGTGGCGCCATTGGCACACCTTCTGTCCCTCTGAGCCCTGCACTGGTAGGACTGCTAGTAGCTCCTGCACCCAGTGGCACACATCTCTAAGGATCTGTCCCGGAGCCATTGACGCAGCTCCTTCAGTCGCTGCTCCCGATCCCGGAGCTCACGGCGGCTCTCCTCTGCTGCCTGCATACGACAGGGGAGCTTCGGCCGCCAGTTTGTGTTGACTGCTGCTTCCTTGGCCCAGCTGTCGGCAGCGCACCGCAGCTGCTGCAGCTCAGCCCCCGATGACCTGAAGCAAGCCGGCTCCCTTTAATAAACAAACGGAGGGGCAGTAGAAGGGCTGCGACTCGAGGTCATCTTTTGAGACCTCCAACTTCAGGCGCAAGGCGTCCACCTGTTGCACGCGTTGCACAGTTGAAGCGTACAATATGCTGAATGCAGACATCTCACTGAACTCTGAGGATAGAAGAATGGCTGTGTGGCTAAGGGCCACACAGCTGCATCAAGAGCCTCCAGCTGGTTCAAAGCCTGTGCCATCGAACTGGCCACTTGCAGATTCGCACTTTTAACCTTCTCGCCTCTTCGCATTCCTGCTCGAGCCGCCGCTCCTCGGACACCCGGAGCAGTTGAAACGGCACGGGGGCAGTCTCTCTGAGTCTATCCGGCCTCGGCAGTGAACTCGTCGTCCTCCTCAGATTTTGATTTTGGGAGAGCTCAGAGCTTCCATCATGAGTGGCCAGCTGCGTCACTTGATGCTGCACTGCAAACACGGCCCCTGACCAGCACGGATTCGTCCGGAGGTTCCTGACACCCGTCCCAGAAGAGAGATAAACAAACGAAATAAACGAAACATAAGCGAAACCAAAGCGAAACCGTGAATCGGAGTTGTTTTGCCTTCGAGTTCCGGGGCTCCGGGGGCTCCGGGGGCTCCGGAGGCTCTGGAGGCAGAGGAGGCAGAGGTGGCGGTGGACCTTAAGGCACTGCCACAAAAGAGCAAGAAGAGCAAAGGGCCGCGTGCTTTGTGTGGCCAAGCCGCCAAAGCGGCCTTGAATTGCCGCCAGCAGATCCCTGCCGCGTAGCATGGAAAGACCACAGATGCCCATTTCATCAAAGTCAGCTGTTCAAAAACTCGAAAGCTGAATCATGCCGGTGGCACGGCCCCTGGTTGGGCAACTGTTCCATCAGGGTTGCAGCACCACCTGGCAGCAGCTACACTTCCCCGGCCATCTCAATTCAGCGTCCATCCTCCCACTAACCTCACACCTATAGCACCGCGAAAGGCCAAGGAAGGCAAAACAGAGGGCGAGGCGATGTGGGTGCGCAACGTTTAGAAAAAACAGACAGTAGAAGGTTTGAGGTAGCTGCGAGGCGGCCTTAAAGACTTAAAGCAGAGGCGGGGTTGGAGCCTAGACACCGAAACCGGAAGCCAGCAAAATGACCGTGGCTTGTGGTGAGGGCATTGAACAGCATGGAAGAGCCCAGCCTGACGAAGGCCGACGCAACCTCACAAAGAATGGAAAGCGTAGCAGCGAGGGCCCGCTAAGAGGAATCGGCTTCGAGTGCTAGAATCACAGACTCACAAAACACAGGAGTGGCTTTGCTTTCAAGAGCAACATAACCTCACATGAATGGCTTCAGACCTGCAAAGACAAGCGCCTGCTGCTCTACATGGCCTACCTGAAAGGTATGACCGCGGGACTCCACAGAATCGCACTACTGCATGTTGCACTGTGTTGCACTGTGTTGCACTGTGTTGCACTCTGTTGCACTGTGTTGCACTGTGTTGCACTGTGTTGCACTGGTGGGGAGGAGAAGTCTGACAGAAGCTGCAGCTGCGCAACGCAGCGGCATCGTTACACTGACCAGGCATGGCCTCGCTGGCCTGCGCAGAGCACAAACATGCACAAGCATGTCCAAGCATGTCCAAGCATGTCCAAGCATGTCCAAGCATGTCAAAGCATGTCAAAGCGAGTCATCCTGAAATTCCTGAAGCCTGGGATTCTTCACAACTCTGCTCAATAGATTGCCAAGCATTGCCCATTGCCTCGGCCGAGGCGAAGCGCTCCCGCGTGCCAATGGCGGACGCAGGCCGCTGGCACACCGGAGACGCGGGAGAGGCGTTTGAGAAGGTCGCGCGGAGGGGAAACGCAGAAAGCGGCCTTTTTCTCGGAAGGTTGCTTGCTCCGGTGCTGGTTGGCGTCTGCAGTGGAGTCTGCAATGGCGTCGACCGGAAGTGAGAACTTGCAGCTGCGACGGACGCCGACAGAGCTTCCTGTGAATGGCGCGAGTGGCCGGCCGCCGACTTCGGACGGGCATCTTTGGCAAGAGGGGCCGTTCCCACTTGGAGGGATGAGCGCCCTTCGCTTCGCTCCTCGGGCGGAGGTGGTGCAGTTGCAGCCTCACATGGGCCATCAGATGGGCCATCAAATGGGCCAGAGAGGCCCCCAGAGGGGCCTCCAAAGGAGCCTCCAGGACCCGCAGAGCCCTGGAGCTTCACCAGCCGCTCCCGCGCCTCGCGGTGGCGCTGGAGCAGGGAAAGTCGGGAAGCATTTTGCTCCTGGGACTCCACCATCTCGTGAGCTTACTGTGGCTTAGTGGTTTTGTACGGCTTGTGAAGCTCTGACTGCATGTTCGGTCTCTCTTGAACCCTTCCCGGTGCAACAGTACAAGCGCCTGCCCCCCCTGCCCGTTGCATGCATCCCGTCACACAACAAACAACGCGCTGAGTCATCACAAGTCACCACCATGCCTCCCTGTATCGGGCCTATGCGACCCTAGCTATCTCATCCTGTCTACACTCTTCTTCGCAGCCGAAAGAGTTTGCGGGAGACTGCAGTCATCTGTGATGGTACTGCCTGGCAATCCACACGAAGTGGAGAACTAAACAGAATGGCAGAGCTGAGCTCAGGGACCTGAACTGCGTGCAGACGTGAAGCAGTCTGTTTTGCCACTTTGTGCAATCTTCTCAGCAAAATTTGAGAGATAGCAACCATGCTTGGTAGCAGCCATGCCCTGGCTACATCCAGATGGATACTCGGAACTACGCCTCCAAGGATAGAAGGGATCCCCTCAGGGGTCCGGCCCTACCAATACCAAGAGGCGCTGGCTGGAAACACTTGACAGGGTTCTGTCCTACTTTTTGATAATTGTTAAGCAGCTGCTCTTCTCGGTGTCTTTGTATCGAGCAGAGATTCTGCTCTGACAAAGAGGACTTGACTTCAGGCGAATCTCGAGGAAACACCATGCTTAGGCGGCCTTGTTTGCATTTCAAGTACACCGTAACTGAACCCCCCAAAGAACAAACTTTCTTTGGGGCTGGGGGAGAACCCTCCCCAAGCCCAAAGCTCATCTGCTGGGCATGGAGGAGCCCAAAGCTCTCTCTCTCTGCCTATCTCTTCCTTCATTCCTTCCTGCACGCTCGGCCCCCGGAGAGGGCTCTCTTTCGTCTTCTTTTTCTTCGTCTTCTTCTTCTTTTTCTTCATTGTCTTCTTCTTATTCTTCTTATTCTTCTTCTTTTTCTCCTTCTGCACACACTCTCTCTCTCTCTTGCAGAATTTTTGTCCACTGGCTGCCCACACCATGCAG